ATACAAGAGAAAGACGATAAACGGCGACGTCTACCGTACCTATATATGCCCTAATATCAAGACTTTTGCATGGGAATTATGGCAGACACTACGACACCAGCCTATTCTTGTAGAGGATAATGCCTCAATTCACTCAGCAAAAGCGACGCGCCTGGCCTGGGAACAGAACGGCATGCTTGTAATGGAATGGCCGGCGAATTCCCCTGATTTGAATCCAATTGAGAACGTTTGGCGGCTGTTGAAGGGGAGAATACAACGCCGGTTTCCTACAACAAAGGAGGAAGTACGGCAGTACGCTGAGGAGGAATGGGAGAAGCTTGAGCCCGAAGAATTTGAAAAGTATACGGGCAATATGAGGGAGCGTTGCCTTGCTGTAATTGCTGCTGATGGCGGCCCAACGAAATATTAGTTACTGAATAAGCACTGTTTTCATGTGGCGATGTGGCGATTGTAAGCACTAACAGAGACGCTTGCAGGGAGCGCCGGCAGCCCGCTCAGGTAGCCCCCTTGTATAACGTGCTTTTAGCCCGCATGGTCATTGCATCTTATCGCAAAGAAATCCGCGATACATTTTCGTGACGTTTACCTATAAAGCTTTAATTATCACACAGACGCCGAAATCGTTGAATAAAAGCCTAGGCCGCAAACAGCTCGATACTTCCGCAGTCGCTGAACTAGCTACTCTGAAGAGACCAAGAAGTTAGCTTGTAAAATCATACGCAATGGGCAAAGAGCTCATCCTCAACGCCTTCGCCATCACCTCACCAGCTCATCTGTCGCCGGGTCTGTGGCGGCATCCCCGAAACAAGACCACGAAATACAAGACGCTCAAGTTCTGGACCAACCTTGCCCAGCTGCTCGACAAAGCAAACTTCCACGCCCTGTTCATCGCTGATGTCCTGGGCCCGTACGACGTCTACAAAGGACCGGCGAATGCGGGCCCAGCACTGCCATCTGGAGCTCAGTTCCCTATCAATGACCCGCTCTATGCCGTCCCCGCCATGGCGGCAGCGACGAAGAATCTGACCTTTGGCGTCACAGCTAGCACGACATACGATGCGCCCTATGCTCTCGCCCGCCGATTCTCGACGGTGGACCATCTAGCGGAAGGACGTGTTGCTTGGAATATAGTCACGTCGTACCTAGACAGCGCTGCTCGGAACTTTGGTCTCGATACGCAGATCGAGCATGACGAGAGGTACCGTATCGCCGACGAGTACATGGACGTCGTATACAAGCTCTGGGAAGGTAGTTGGCGAGATGACGCAGTAGTAGAGGACGAGAAGACTGGCCAGTATGCAGTCCCGGAGCGTGTGCGCCAGATCCACCACAAGGGGAAGTACTTCAAAGTACCCGGTCCGCATCTGTGCGAGCCTTCGCTTCAACGCACACCGTTTCTGTTCCAAGCTGGCACCTCGGCCGCAGGAAAAGAGTTTGGTGCGAAGCATGCCGAGGCCATCTTCGTTGGTGCACAGCATCCTGAACAGCTTCGGCCAAACGTGGATGCGATCCGGAAGCTTGCGAAGGAGAAGTATGGGAGAGACCCTAGCCACATCAAAATCGTTGCGGGCATCACTTTGATTGCGGCAGAGACGGACGAGGCTGCAAAGAAAAAGCATGACGAGCTGCTCTCGTACGGCGATAAGGAGGGAGCATTGGCGCTCTTTGGGGGGTGGACGGGCATCGACTTGTCCAGCTACTCGGAAGACGAGGACTTCCGGTTTGTCGAACTACCGAAGGGAGCCCAATCCATGGTAAATCGTTGGGCTAGCACAGTGCCTGGGAGCGACAATCTACCGTGGAACAAAGCCCGCATCGCAGAGTTCCTCATATTGGGTGGAATGCAAGCTAAGATTGTAGGAAGTGGGAAAACGATTGTGGACGAGCTTGAGAGATGGGTGGAGATTGCAGGTATTGATGGATTCAACTTGGCCCACATCGTGAACCCTGGCTCTTTCGAGGATATTATCGAGTTCGTCATTCCCGAGCTTCAGAAACGGGGTCTGTTCCGTAAGGGGGTGGAAAAAGAAGGTGCGACTGCTCGAGAGGCGTATTTGGGGTCTCCGTGGCTGTTAGATGACCATTACGGCCATAAGTTTCGATGGGCTGCTGGCGAGGAGCTCCCGCCGTACGCCAAGGACGAAGCTGAACTGCAAAAGGAGGCCAAGTAGTGACTGAAAGTCTTGCCTCGTTTGCGTTACCTCAAAAGATGTTACTTTTTTGAAATGTTTGTGCATATGGCGTTGTTTTATTTTCCCTCCTGCCCCATAGGGATCCTCGGGGAAGTCAATGCCCACCCAGCTGGTCAGATTGTCAATGCAAATCCATTGATCCTTGGAAAGCCACCCAGGCTTGCAGGTAATCGAAATTCGCATCTCGTCCCAACTTGTTAAAAGGTGATATAGCAGTCCAGCACTCGGTGAACGAACATAATGAACCAACGCCTTGGGACCATAACGGTGGGTTTTCCGCAGTTAGACTGCAGTCCTCTAGTCCTGATATCACGTGTCGTTTTTCTCGGAACAGGAAGAAAGGTGATTTGTCGAGAAATGATAAAAGAAACGTGAGGATGCAATGAGCACGTGCAATTCAATGCAAGGTGACATTTTCACACGCCTCGTGACCACGTACATAGATAAAGGCGTGAAAAGGCGAGAAAAGGCGAGCCCCTGAAGGAAACGTGCCACTGTGCGTCGGACGAGCCAAGAATATGCATGGAGCATGTGGTATAAGAGCCATGGGCGTTGGTTGGGCCCCCACACCCCCCATTGGCGTATTCGTGTTTCGCAGGATGCAGGTCGCTGAAGCGGACTCCGATGTGCATGTCGAAGCATGGTGGTGAGGTGTTGGGGGCGCGAAGTCCGTGAATGATTTGACGTCCACGCCAGTCCTAGATCGCCTAACCAACCTCAGGTGGGGCAGTCGGATACCGATCTTCTGCCCGTGCCCTGCCCTCCTGCTTCGACGCCTGCAGATTCTGCAGATTCCGCGTGGTTTAGGCATGGCCATCGTCAATAGAAACAGGCATGCATGGCTTCATCGCCTGTTGCGACGGCAAGGCCCTCATCGCTTACCTACTCACCTCTATACACTGTGATCGCCGCGCTAGGGACGGACATCGGACCTTCGATTGCATGCTTGTAGAGTCCGGGGAATACTAGCAGACACAGAATATACAAAGGGCCCTGTGCTACTGACTGTGAGACAGACGAGGCTTGCTAATTTGCTCTGCAATCTATTCACCTGTGCTCGTACGCTCCTTCGTCCTTCACCGATCTAGCTGACAATTTTCTGCTTCACTCATTTCTGCCTCAGGTGCTTCACATTGGTATTATCTCAGCGTTTGCAATTCGTGACGCACTCGTCCATCATGGGTCTTCCTATCATGAACCGACCTGCGACTATCTATGGATGCTCAATCTCATTTCAGGTATGATACTGTCAGCCTCCCAAAGACGATCCTTTGCTCACCTTCCTACCGATTGTTGCCTGGATGGCCGTAGCTTTAAGGCTATACACGCGCTACAAAATGCCTAAGACTCTAGGATGGGACGACTTCTTCGTAACTGCGGCGGTTGTAAGTTACTTCTTCATTGACTAACCGTTCCAGCTTTAGCTGACTTCTCTGTTAGATCACTGCCACGGTTGGTTCAGCAATTATATGTCTCCGTCAGCGCATAGTCTTCGCCTCCAGCCGTTAGTGGACCCACTAACTCATACTCCAGAACCGGGTGCAGGCTTAGGCCAACATATGAACACCCTCAGTGAAAAGCAGCTGTCTGACTACTTCTATGTAAGCACCCTCCGCCGATGAACCGAACCACATCTATCTAACCATCCCTAGTATGTATTTAGCGCCAATACTTGCTACATCGTCTCCGCTACATTAATCAAGCTCTCCATCCTCCTCCAATACATCCGTCTCTTCGAAGAGTCCTCCAGCAAATGGGCTCGCAAATGTTGCTTTATCATGTTGGGCGTTGTGACGTGTTGGGGGATTGCCTTCTTCTTCACTCAGGTCTGTGGCTGCACACCAATCAAAGCGAACTGGGACCTGGAGATTGCAGGCTCTCACTGCGTAATGTTCGGCTCGAAAGAGCCAAAGGAGTTGTTTGCGGCTTTCGCGAGCCATGCGGCTTCTAATATGTTTCTCGATATTCTTATTCTGATTTTGCCGGTACCTTTCCTGTCGACCATCCGCCTCGAGGGAAAGAGGAAGAAGGGTATAATCTCATTGCTTGTCATTGGTGGAATGTTAGTCAAACTTCTCTTTACCCGAATACTTTTCTAGACTCGCCCATATACTAACCCGCTACCCTAACAGCGTCGCCATCTTCAGTGCCATCCGTCTCTTCAGCATCGCCCAACACCGTGTGGGAACGGTCCCCGTCGTCGATCTTACCTACTACTCTCCCCCGATCTTCATCTTCTCCAGCCTCGAAATCCAAGTCGCCATCATCTGCGCCTCCACCCCCGTTTTCTGGCCCATGCTCGAATCCATCAACCTCGGCAAGATCTTCGTCACGCAAGAAGTCGAGGTGGTGACCGAGTCGCGCGAGATGGCCAGCCCGTCCGAGGAGCGTGATCTCGGAATCTTGCGAAGCGCCAGCAGCCAGCAGTCGCTCAAAGGGCGGGATAGCTACGACAAGAAAGACTATCAGAATGATTGGGCGGTACCGGATTTCTTGGACGCGGGCGCCGATCGCGATAACGATGCGACGTATGGCGTGTCGGCGCGCAGAGCTACGACGCCGTTTGATCCGCTGAAGGTGCTAGACAAGTGAGCGTGTTGTGCTCGGGTGCTCTTGGATCCTGTGGAAATATTTTCTTTTGTGCTAGCTCGAGGCCCTGGACGGCTTTTACATATACTAGATACCCGCGACACATACTCGCTATGATCAATACATTCTTATAATGACACTCATGCTCTATCTAGAAAGATCGTTTGGGTATATAAGTGCCGTGATTCGTACCTACTTGCCTAACTTTACAACATGCTCCATAACGCTCTCATAAGAAGAGAGCCAATCCTCGAGGTATCCTCAAATAAGGGCCATCCCATGTGCTCCCTGATGAAACGCCTTATCCGCCCTCGGCGTCGTATCAACCTCTATCGTCCTCCTCACCGCCATCTCCGCCAAATCAACAACCGTAACCGTGCCCCCAAACACATTCGCGACATACCCCGTCAACCCATCCGGCGACGACTTCAGCGCTAGCGGAAACTTCCCAACCTCCACCTCCCCAACCCTCTCCAACGACGTCGCGTCCAGCACCACCAGCCGCCCGGGCCTCGGCTTCAGCGCCGCCGCCGACGCGCCCTCCTCCAGCCGATACACCGCCACGAGGATCTTCCTCCGCGCCGTGACATGCACGGCCAAGATGCCCTCGTCGAACGGCACCGTCTTCACGATCTCGTCCGTGCTCGTGTCCACGACTTCGATCGTCGGCGGGACCTCCAGCTTCATCTGCGCGCTCGGCGTCGGGAAGTACGCGAAGCGGCCATCGCGGCTCACCGCGCCCTGGTTGCTTCCCGTGACCGGGATCTTCTTGGCGAGCTGCTCGCGCTCGAGGTCCAAGACTGAGACGAAGGGGCTGGTCATGTTGCTCGTGTAGGCCTTTTTGCCGTCCGGCGTCAGCGTGAACCAGTGCGCGCGGCCGTCGCAGGGGATGCTCTTCACGACCGCGCGAGACGCGAGATCGATCCCGACGAGGCCGCCGGTTGGGAAGCCGGTTTCGACGGTTGCGTAGAGGATGCTGTTGTCGGGCGAGATGCTGAGGCCGTGGGGGCCGCCGAAGGGGCTGAGGTCGATGGTATCGGTTACTTTTTTGGTCGTGGCGTCGATGATGCTGATGGTGTTGCAGATGGAGCCGTGGGCGAAGTAGTGCCCGTGGCTATAGGTGTGGCTAACGTAGAGCAGGTTTCGAGGACTGTCATAAGCCAAGTCGTGAGGCTCTGCAGGTAGGTTTTCCAGGCGGCCGGTGAGTTCGCCGGTGTTGTTGTTGAAGAAGCTGAGGGATTCGCCGCTTTGACTGATGACGGCTAGGGTGGATGGAGAGGACATGATGATAGTGGAATGGGGAAAAGCTGGATTGAAATGGAATGAGAATGAGTTGCAGTGTAAGATATGTTGATGATTTCGACTGTGGTTTATATCTCTAGAATGGTTCGGAGGAAAGATCGGATTTGATAGCGAAGTCCGCACTAAAGCATCACGACCTCCGATTTCACGTGATATGACCAGTAAGACTCGAAGAGAAGATTCACATTGGATCCACTGCCTCAAGAAGCAGCTAGTGATAATCTGTACTGACTACTAGCAGAAGTGGAAACTGGGAATGGGTATAATAGGAATCAGACTTACGCTCCTTCGTGATCACTATGACGCATCTCACTAAGAGAGCTAGCTAGAGCAACCACATAACTATGGCAATAACTTGGACTCTGGCTCCGCCTGCTGTCGGTAAAAGTCCAACGCTATCGGGATGCTGCCCGAGTACCCCACATCCCCTTGCGCATGCTCCAGCTTCCTCATGACCTTCCCAACCAATTTCGCAATCCACCGATCGTTCGCCATAGCATTGACTGTGTTGTGGCCAGCCTTGCGCATACCATACTGAAAGTTACCGGGGATCTCCTTCATCCCGCGGTCCATTTTGCGCATGAAATCTTTGAAACCAGTCTGTTGGGCATCTTCATTGCCATTGCCAAGGCTCGTACTACTATTGGAAGCGTTACTCTCTGAGCGTCTAAGCACGCGAAGAGAATCGTATTCCTCGAAATCTCGTTCCATCTCGATGACCTTGGTAGCTTTGACTAGTGCGGCGGTGAAGTTAAGTAGCTCTTGGTCAAAACAGGCCGGCAAGTGCGCGTGAGCAGAGATAGTGATGTTGCTTTCGTCTTTGACCAGCTGCTCCAGTGTTCGTTGTGCTTGGACAGTGTTTGGAGTTCCTTCAGCATTGGCAATGGCCTGCTCTTGTTCCATTTCATCTTCCGGAGTTGGCTTCTTCGGGAGGATATGCTCATGATGGGGAAGAAGATAGGATGGTATTGAGACTGTCGCGTCGGCACCTCCAAGGCGGATTACTTGATTTAGGGTGACGGATTCAGTGACAGTGCGATAAGCCATGAAGTCTTCTATCTTGAGGTAGCATTCAATATCGTGAACTGTGTTTATTGGCACCGAGGCTGTGCAGTTTATCGGGCCAAGTTCTACCGCGAAATTGGCGTCTGACATCCACGCATCAATTCGGGCCTCGAGTCGGCGAATCTCAGCATCTTGGGAGGAATAGTGCTTGAATAAGTAGTGTTTCATCAAATGGACCATCCACTTTCCAGACCCTGCGGTCGTCAAAGATTTGATGGAGATAGGATGGAAGTAGCTAAGAGGGTATAGGAGTACGCGAAGGAGCAGCGGTAAGCGATGCATAAACTTTTTTACCGCTGGAGAGGATGAGTTTTGAAGAGTAGATACCCTGACGGACTTTGACGGGGGGTGAGGTATCGTGGCTTGGTCATGAATGCTCGCGCAGATCGCGGCCCGCATATCGTTGGCGTTATTCAGATTTGAAGCGGCATCGACTTGGCCGGCTTTTGCTATGTCTTCTAGGGTCTTCCTGGCGATATTGGTTGAACACGTATCTGAGATATTACGAAGAATATCATCGTAAGTTGTTCTCGCCTTCTCTTCATCAGGTAACAGCCGTTGGATAGAGTCGAGGATTTCGATTGGATCTGACGAGTCTTCCGAAATAGCACCACCTGTCAAGGCCGCTTTCATCTTCTGTCGACTTGGCATCGTTCCATCGAGAGCAGCAGATGCAGCCCTTAGAAGGGGTGTGTTCGTCACCATAATCGCGTCTCCATCCTCGTCGTGGGTATCCTTTTGGAGTGTACCAAATGTCATCTCGAACTCTCCGCCCTTAACGTTGGCATAGACATCTTCGATCTCGATCTTTCTCAATAGTGATATGGTAACTTTCTCAGTCTGTATCGCAAGTTCCATGTCGTCGGAGAGTTTGATGCCCACCTCGATCCCGTGCGCAACAACAGTCAAGCTTGAGAGGGAGAAGGTGAATCCTCGAACGACCAAAAGACCGTCCACATCCGTGTCTATCTCCAGTGCTGGCAGGTTGAAGAAGGCGATCTTATCGTTGATGAAATGCAGGTCGCGCAGCAAGGTCCTGAAAGCCCATCGTGCACGTTTCGCAGCAGCATCGAACTGGAAGAGACATGCTAGCAGGATGGTAGGGTAACAGAAGGCAGCAAACACCCAGTAGAGCAACCAGGAGGTGGCGGCGACCGCATAAACAAGGTTCAGGGTCGTAAACAGTGTCCAGAGAGGGATATAGGGCAGGATCCGGTACCCATTCGATGCGCCTAGAAGAATCGTGTACACGAGCAAAGGTGCGCCAGAGACGACCCATCGTAAGGGCCAGCTCAATAAAGCCGCACCGAGAACAGTCGCTGCGAGGAAGGTGTTGGGAGTGACATGCCAACTCTTTGGGGACGACCTGGATGCGGGGGCGACTGGCTTTCTCTTGACAGGACTTGGCTGACCGCGGCCTTCGTCTTGGGGGCCTGCATCCCTTGCCATGGCTGCGTGGGTCGCGAGGAGGTATTTGTCCGAAGGTAGGGCGGGAGGGTTGAAGAGGTGGTGGCTCAATCGTCCATGGCAGCCATCCTCACCAGGCCGTAGTTGCACCCGCGAGCAAGTATGACGTACTCGAGAGAACGTGGAGTGGAATTAATCCTGCCAGCGGGCTGGACTCGCTAGACACAAACATCGTGCAGCTAGTCTTTGACAGCATTTCGCTTGGGAGCCCCAATGCAACGTAACTTGATGAGGCTTCAAAGCGCGGGTGGGCGGCTTGACTTGGTGTTGACGCCGATGGCGGAGAGTTCTTCCGCAAATCACGTGCACCAATCCCCTACACGACAATAAAAAACCTAGCTTCTTGCGTCAGGACGAAGGACTTCATGAATGTGGTCGGAAGACCGCCAAGACACTTTTATGTGCTCTAGAAACGAAGTCATCTGTCAAGACGTAATTGATATAGACTATAAATTCAACATTAAGAGATATGCCAGTCTAGGTAAGTAAACGCTAAGAGCTATAACTAAGGAGAAAACGTCTACTCGTAATTCGTAAATCGTGGACATGCAATCATGATCCCATCAGACTCATCAAAGACATAAAAGTCTTGCAGTCGTCACTCCGTCACCTTGATCCTCACCCCCTGACTCCCCGCCCAGGCCTTGGGCACCGTTGCGTCTGTCACAATCCTCACGTCTCTCTCACTCGTCTCCCATAGCTCCAACACCCCCACGTCATCCTCAAATTTAGTCTCTTCTCCTTCAAATCTACCCCCATACCTGCGGAACACGGATGCAAGGGTGAGTGCCATTTCAGAGTATGCCAGATTGATTCCAGCGCACGCTCTCGTCCCCTTGTTGAACGAAACGAGATAACGGTCCAACCTCGGGTTTTCGATCCAGCGCTGCGGAACAAATGAATATGGCTGGGGGAAAATCTTCTCATTCCAATGAACTAGACAAGCAGTGGTAGACATTGGCGTTCCAGGAGGAATGATCCAGTGTTTCGATTTTCTCTCCAACTCTTCGTCGCCATTGAAGTCATAGTTGGGTCCGGCATCGAAGACGAGTGTTTCATCGGGTGCTTCTCGCGGCAGACGCGCCGTGAAGCCGTGACTGAGCCGAAGTGATTCTTGAATACAAGCCGTCAGCATCGGTAGGTTCTCGAGTTCGGCAACTAATGGCATCTCGTCTGGGTTCGGGATTGCGGTGACTAGCTCTTCCTTCAAGCCACGGAGTTCGGACGGCTGGGAGACGAGGTAGTACATGGCCCATGAAAGAGTCTGGGCGGTAGTGACAGTGCCTGCGAACACCGTGACTTGGCCTTCTTGGCCTAGGCGAAAAGTTGTCTTCTCGGAGGCGGGAAGGTCCGGGTTAGCAAGAATGGAATGGAAGATTGTAGACGGGATGTCTTCAGGGGATTTGGAGGCAGAGAAATCACCGCGGATTCGGGCGATTTGTGTACGCAAGCCCTGAGCATTATGAGTTAGTCTGTACTGATAACGTGTGACGAAAGGCCACAACAATCACATCCCAGTGAAACACTCAAATATCGAAGTTACTGACCCGCTGAAGATTGATATATGAAGCCATATCCGGATTCAATTTGACAGTGATGGAGTCTGGGAGCATTTGCATGACTGGGAAGATCCAGGGTGCAATCTTGATGAGCTTTGATGACTTCGCGGCGCTCAAAGATGCATCATGAAAGCTAGGAGCAAAGTCTTCTGCCTCAGTACGATTATCGTTTCGCCCGAAGGCATATTGAACCGCGATATCTAGCCTTGTCAGGTACGTTCATATCCACACGCTGAATATCAAAAAATGCTCACCATTCGAAAGCGCCGCAAAGCCTAAAGATGCCGACATTGGCTGACCAGTGTACTTGAAAGCTCTAAGCCGCATCAAGAACGTATCCACCACTTTCTGCATCTGCGGTTGAAGTGCACGAACCTTGGCCTTGGAAAAGAATGGGTTGAGAGCTGCCCTACGTAGCCGGTGGAGCTCATGTTTCGATGTCCCGAAGACGGACTGTGGGACGCCGAATGATCGAGAAAAAAGCTCCGGCTTGTCACGCCTTTTAGCGCTACCGGCATAGATCGTATCGAAGTAGTCGGGGTCGGCGATGTGGACTTCATGTGGAGTAATTCGAACTACGGGGCCGTACTTCTCATGCATTTTGATAATTTCAAACATGTATTGGCCGCCCACGATGACATCGTAATAGAACTCGTACCTACTAGTCTTAGTACAGCTACAGGACGTGTAACTTCATCACGACACAGTTCCAAGGAGTGCGAAAAGAGAAGGTAGTCAAAAAGTCGCTACCAAAAGAATGCGCATTGCATAAGACGCTCACCAGAATGTGACTTTGGCTTGCCATGGACCAGGTATGTGAGAAATGGGACTGAAGAAGATCCGGTAGACACCAAGACTTATCAGATACCCCGCAGTGATGATAAGGAGAGTTGGGACAAGCGGAAGAGCAGATAGAAAAGTGAAAGCCATGCTAGCAACCCCAAGGATTCCCTTCGTAGCTACAAAGGTACTGTGGAAAGAGGCTTCACAGGTATATCCAAGTACCGGTACGTGAATGATAAGCGCTGTGTACCCTGAGACTAGAAATAAATAGCTGATCGAGGTGCGGGGCATGCTTCTAGCGAGGATTGCGGCATAGTAGCGAAGGCTGCAAAGGGCCGTCCCGATCAAGTCCGGTCCGGACCCCCACCATCACCCCACCTGCAAGAACCTGATATGCATACGGTTCCCATTGAAGCATTGCGGGAGATAACTTGACAAGCCGTTTGCGGGCTCCGTAATGACTCGCAGAGCATCTCTACTTACAGCTGCACACCAACTACTGCGTTGTTGAAATGAAATTCTGATCTGCAATGTTGGGTTCGATTTGACTCGACGCTTCTGCTGTCCGCAGCTCGGAGAGGGCAATATGACTGACAGTGATTTCGGAAAGCGATTTCAGAAAGTGGGATCTTGCCAAGCCGACTGTGACAGCTACGCTACCCATGAGGGTGGAAATGGTCGAGTATTGCCCAAGTTCAGTGCGTCAAAATAGTCTGCGGATAGACTGGGACATGCTACAATTCCACAAGAAGGCTTACCCGTAGTGAAACAGATGATGCCAGTGGAAGAACAACCTCGTACGTACTATCAGCTTCTTCAGATCTAGACGCTACGTCGAGGTAGGCAAGATATCCTGCCTGGACGTAAACTATCAGCAGCAGCTTTCTTCCCGCATCAAGAGTTAGGCTACTTGCGATCCTCCAGGATAGCAGCAGCCAATTGCAATCGAGGCTACGGGTTTCCCGTTTCAACAGTCTCTAGTCCTTGCGAGCCTCGGTATCCTTCCGTTTGTGATTGGTTATCCTTGAGTATCTCGAGCTGACCGCGCTGGCCGTGGCTCTCGCTATCAACAGCATCGGATAAATTCTAACGGTGACTGGACAATGGATAGATTTGTACTCAAGACTTCGCTTCTTTCTCTAAGATGAGCACTGAGCTTTGTTAAGAGGAGTGAAATGGATGATACTTCGTGATGGTTTGAGCTATACGTGTGTGATCTCTACGGTGTTGCCGAGAACAACAAAAATCAGTGATCGTATGCGGATTATCACTGTCGCAGAGACTCCCAGAGCCTTCGAACGTGCGTATGTCTATGGGGAAAAGATTCAAATGGCCGCCTTCACGATCCAACAATTGATACTCTCCGGACTGTACGCTTTGAAGACGCTGAACATACTAACAACAGGTTACGCTATCTATTATTAGCATGGTCAATGCTATCATAATTGGCCTAGATATTGGGCTGCTCACTATGGCATACCTAAACAAACATGTCCTTGAGCAGACGGTGAAGGGTTCCGTCTTCAGCGTAAAGCTCGAAGCCGATTTTGCGATCCTAAGTAGGCTCCTCTGCGTCACGACGAATGCGATTCAGTCAAGTGAATTAGTGAACAATAACGACGTCCTAGCCAAATAGACTAGAAGGTCGGACACACCAATCGCGGAACGAGAATGCACCATCAAGGTCAGTCGTGTTGCTACTCAGGCGATAGGTGCAACGTCGTAAGACATCCAATGGGTAAAATAAACGCGGCGGACGAGACGAAGCTGGAGGTACTAATCGCAAAAGTCAATATGGAGCTGGGTCGTACTGCGAGAACTGTTCAAGGCTTCGAAGACTGAGTTCCGAATGACGTTTGCAGAGGCGATACGATCCATAGGACAACAATGATAGTATTGTGAGACGCTTTGCATCCATCAGTGTAGGCGTGTTCGCTTTGAGAGATGGTTGGAGAGATGGCTGGAGAAATGGTTGGATCGCGCTTTTCAACGACTTCCAAGCTTTGATCGGCCCTTCACTCATCCATCAACGGGGACCTACTTCGTAGGCCACCACTCAACGTCAGATTAACGTTTGTATAACTATCAACCCAGTGCTCAAGCATGTAGCTCTGAATAACTTAGAGTTCCCACGATACCCATTCCCCCAAATTTACACCCTATTTCTGGACTTCCCAGCGGCCAGAATGACGGACTATCCCCACAGACTAATACCCACCTTTCAAGCGATTGGCATCACAGCACCAGCTATATACAGCGGTATGTCAAACCTCTCCTTAGAACCATATTTATTCCAATCTAATTACTCTTCTAGCGATCTGTTACTCCTACAGCCGCATCACGATGGCTACCCTCCTCTCTACCTCTCCGAGCGAGAAGCAACTCGCAAAACAGTGGTACCATGCCTACGCCCTTGGCCCCTCGTTCGTTCCACCCTTAATTATCAGCGGCACGCTCTCAAACCTCTTACTTGCGTACGTCAACACTGCCGCCAATTCTATATCCCGCTCTGCCAATACCCTTGCGGCTCTCTGCGTCGCGTCTATCATACCGATGACGCTGGCGTATATGGAACCTGGGGTTAACGGCGCAGGCAAGTGGAAAGCAGCGAGTTTGCTGCGAGATGAGGGGTTTGAGCTTGAGGATAATGGAACAGCGAGCCCTGGGGTGGATCGGCAGAGTGCGAGTGAGGCAACGAAGAAGTGGGCCGACGAGGTAGAGATGCGGACAATTGTTGAAACCTGGATAAGGCTGAATATGTGGAGGTGCTGGATTGGGGCTCTAGCTGTCGGGACAAGCTCATATGCGATGACACTGAGCAGTTGATGCTCTGGCGTAAGGCAAGTTGGGACTTTGTGGGGGGGAGGGAGGTAGGGGGAGTTTGCTCTGTGTAGCATGATACATATTAATATAATTAATAGTTGAAGAGCCAGCTCTAACATTATCATGTACACAGTACATTGCACCGTAAGAGTTGAAAGATATCTTCTGTAGCTACATCATTATGCAGAATTGTGAATGAGCACTTGTGCAAGCCGAGAGCTGTCAAATTATGAACACCCACGAGTCGCGTGTTCCCGTGAGCCTCCCAATTGCACGGCTTTCTCTCTCACCCTCTCTTTTATCTAGTCTCGTCAACGAACCGTCCTGTGGACGATCTGCTATAAGAAAAAACCACCTTCGATCCACTTCATGCTTTCGGTCTCCCTTGTCACAATCCGAGGCGTGGAATGATCGGTAAATCCTCTAACCTGGGAGCCTTTGCATTGCCCTTGGCTGCACTGACATGCATTGACGGGAATGTAATTCCCACGATGTCAAACTCATTGAAATCGACTGACACGAGATGCTGAAGATGCATTCTTCTGGATGAGCTGGTTCGTGTTCCTTGCCCGTCCCCCACATATCTACAACTGACATGAGGGTACGTAGTGCGACGACAATGGCTCGTGCTGCGAGCTGTCTTAATGACATGAACCAGTACCCCAATATCGATTGCAAACGAGGCGACATCGTGAATGCCGATGCTTTTATTACAACTCTTGCTGGTTTGACGCCCGCTCTCTGGATTGGCATTTCTGCTAACACTTTTTGACCAAGGCGTATGCGAAACCGAAGATGGCCTATGGCACCTCAAGGCCGCCAGGGAGGGCTATGCAAAAGTCTTCCTTGACTACAGCGAAGTCCTGGAAGACGAGTTGACGACTAATATTGTGGTCGACCTGCCTCGTTGCGCAGAACTTCATTCTTCTACTGATCTACGGCCCGTTGTCTTCGCGTTCCTAGGCCAATTCAAAGATCTGAATAAGCGATGGAGTAATTTCTACAAAGATATGATTGTGGAGGCAATTAACCTTTTTACCAGCTATCAGGAACAGCGGCTGTCACAGATACCCAGAGCTCCGGCAAGCCTAATCGATGGTTCCATGCTCATCACGTTGGCGCTACGATGTGTAGTCACTTCCCACAGATTTGCCAACATACACTACTGTTGGCTGCCAAGCTCAGATGTACCCAATTACATCGACTTTCACGCATGCATTGCGGAGACGAAAAAGAGTACACATGGCGGGGGATACAGTCCTAGAATCGAAGTATAGAAGCTACCACAAGACACTGAAGTCCCTCATAGTACTAGAGAGCCCTATCACTCTGTACTCATCAATACCGCTCGCTTAGCTCATAAGACCTTACTCCGCACGGATCCCCGCGACTGGCCGTACGTCTTCTGTACATTGTGCATTCTACGCCTCGCCCTGCGTGACAGAAATGACCTTCAATTATACTAGTGCCCTAGCTAGCGCCTTCCTAGACTTCGAGGAGCGCACTCTCGCTCTATGTAACACTTTCTTGTTATGCATTAAGGACTGTCATCCTTTCAACAAAGCATTCGACATCAAAAAGCACGCCTGGTTGGTGGACGATGATGAAGAGGCCATACGCACCTATGATTGGTTGTATACGATATGGGTCGAATATGGTAAGTGACGATGTATTTCGTTTTGCCTCCGGCAGCTAACGAAGACTCTAGGCAGTCATTTAGAGTACGACGACAGTTTAGAAACTGGGTCTATCTTCTATGGAAAAATTGATGAATTTGTTGGGGGCTTCTTCATCCCATAATAAACGTCGTTCTGGTCCGTATAACGTAGTAGGAGCCGGCGTATCGGTATCTGTGGTGCCTACATTGCGGCGTTGCGTTCACGGTCTTCGGTTGTGTTCCCGCGCTCTGATATGAACAAGGAACTTCCCGATTTCCTATATTAGGTCGGGTCGACCCAGAAGATATTCGACGAAGTCTGTTCAGCCATCAATGTCACGGAGCAGAATCATGTACGCAAGGCAGAATTATAAGACGAAATAGAAGCCAGAAGTTGCCATGTATATGCAAGGTAGTCCTTGTCCACCATGTTTCCACCGGTGCACCTAACACTTGACCTCCCCACTCTCCATATCCCGAGACTTTCCGTCTCCACACCCTTCTCCTTCAGATCCTTCGCAAGTCCCGCACCTCGCACAAGCACATTCTCTTCCTCGACGTAACTTGTCTCTTTCACGCTTTTGAGAGCAGCTACAAACATGCAAACAAGGCCCACCGCCTGGACGATAAATTGGAATATTTGAGCTGACTGGTTTTAAAGGCAGCCAGACCTGTCCGGCCTCCTGGCATGATCATGCATATGACGGCAGTGGAAAATAGACCGCGTCGTTTGCGACCACGAGATGCTTCCCGTATTATAGGTTGGAAATTCCGACCTCAGGAGTGCTCTTGATCCAAATTTGAAACCGATTTCAGCGTATTCGGAGCCGACTTTTGAGTTAGATTCTTCCCGATAGCCGCGGATGGCTTTATTTGCAACACGGGCTGTGTACATCTCACTACCGCTAGCTGAAGCGCTACGATGCACTTTAGGAAATCAGAATGAAATAGATTTTAATGATGAATAATCGGGTTACTCGCAGTTCATCTCAGACGGCGGTGAGGCCCAATTGAAATCTCGCAAGGTTTGCTTATATATCCAAGTAGTGTGAATGAAAGACGGACTGTTTGGTAAAATCATCGCAATGAAGCTTCAAGCCTGTGATACACGTGGATGTCAAGAGCATTCTCGCTAAACCTAAGTGTAGGCTTCGTTAAGAAGCGCGAAATTTAGGAAAAATTTGCAGAAATGGCCAGTGCACAGGGGGTTTCCGGGGTCTACACAAAACTAGAAGTGGAGCAAACAGTAGATGCGTGTGAATTAGGGAAGTTATTTCCTCACAGTACAATGCCGCTTGTGAGAGCTCACAAACAAACCACAGGACTTGTGAATACCAGGTCCGTACTTCGTAGTTTCGAAAACGGGTGAACTACAGTTGTCGATATTTCACAGGTGTGTGGTAAGCAATGGCTGCGACTACCAGGACATCGAGCATTGATTGTAAGTAATTTTGGTAGCTCGACATGAAAGGCAAGATGGCCGAGTGGTCTAAGGCGCAAGACTAAGGATCTTGTGGGACATCCCGCGTGGGTTCGAATCCCACTCTTGTCAAACGTTCTTTTCGATTTCTGTCATGTAGATGAGCGAATGGATAATATTTTTGTCGTCTAGAAGTGCCTGTGTGATGTTGGCTGTGCTTCCCACCTTCTTTTACCCAAGCATGCCGTAGGAGTGGCTGTCCGTTGCTGTGATATTCATCAACATGATGAGGTAACACCAAAAGCTGCAATATCACCGTCCCGCAGACCCTGGGCGGCCTCAGATATTCCCAGATCAGATGTGAAAAGCTTAAGTTTTGTTTCTTTGTATCAGGAAATGCAATACTCGGGGATGAATTCACGCTCCTCGGCAACATCGAATATTCATTCGCAGCGGTTACCGATGGCCCTGTCGCGCAGACCCTGGAAGAAATGTGTTCCCAAACTCAGGAAAAACAAGGAAGGTCAATATCTCCTAAAGCAAGCCGATTTAGCTCGGTAAATAACCCTTTGGGGTATCCCATTGTGGCAAATGTGAGATTCTTCCATCCTGATCTCCACTGTTCCCGGATGATGCATAGAGAAGCTCTCAACTACACGGGAAACTAGTTTCTGAAGAGATAGCAGCGCGCTGGAAGCATCCCACCAGGAAAACTGGATCGTAATTGCTCTGAGCAAGTCATTTCGAGTTAGTCTTGACATATCTCATCCAGAATAGAGTGAACAGCGACTAGAGGACAGCGGCTTGTTCACATAAGAGCATCAGTGTCATTGCCAGGCGGGCCCCATTCTCGAATCGATGAATCGTAGTGTGGAACGCCTCTGCTCTTATATCGAAGCCATTCAAGGGTAGACTGCCGTCTGTGTACCGCAGTCAACGAGATGACTGCACTGCGAAGCGATTCTGACTGCACCACAAGCGGTAAGATCAAGTGGAAGGATTCAGGAGGCTATCGGCTTTGGAGGGAGGAATTTTCGTGACGCATTCGCGGTCATAGCTGAAGTTTGACTTCGGCCAAGTCCTCACCTACACCAATGGGTCTTGGACAGATATTATCGGCCGCATCCCTCTTCTTCCGTGACGGTCCATTGTTGGCTTTCGGTTTGGATCTGGGAGTGATACATCTGATATCTAGCGTGTAGCTACGTTGCAACCCAGATATCAGGTCTAGATACCGGGAATCGTGTCAGGACTTTGCGTCAATTGAAGTTCCGCAAAGGAGCTTACACTGTTTGCCACAGCCCAAACTTCGGGGTGAACGTGGAAGGCATCACGTCTTTGAGATCCTCAAGCCATTCATCTTGATGAGCCATGATGGCAATCGTTATCGGGCAGCGATGGAAGAACGTATCCGTAACAATCGGGGCGTGCTCCATGATTCAGACTTGAGTGTTGACCCGGGGAGGTCTCGGACATCCGAAGTCTTTCCGCATTACATAAGCCACCCAAGACGATGGGATTCTAGCTCCCAATTCCTACCTCTCCGTCCTCTCTCAACTCACGACCCAAAGGAGGATGGAATGGTATTCTCTCCTCTTCCTGTCCCTACATCTAACCAGAGTGGTCTCCAAAGTTTGTCTTGTTGATTGTAGGAGATCACAACGATTAGACTTTGCTATCCAGGGCTGTATAGAACACGAGAAGTAATCTATCTTTTTTCTCAACTGAAGATTGCTAAAATGTAAGAGAGCCCGCATCCTGAAGCTGGTGGGTTCTAGTAGACAAATCACGTACTCTATGCAGCGTCTCATGCCTTCACATCCTCTATCCTCGTTTCCGCCTCCTTAGTCTCCTCGTCTCCCATCTCTACCTCAAACTTCCCATCCACAGCCACAGTCTTCTCATCTCCGAAACATATTGCGATCTCCTCAAGGCTTTTACCCGACGTTTCAGGGAAAAGGAAGTACACGAATACCAGCAACATGAAAATAAGGATACAAAAGACGATATAGTACTTCCAGCCAATATCGCCCAGTGCAATCGGATTTACAAATTGGCCAATAATCAACCCGACGTACGTACTCACCAAGCTAACCGTGAATCCTCGCCCGCGTAGCGTGTATGGGAAAATCTCAATCGGATATGTCTGGAGCAGTGGCGTAAAGCCGATGTCGTAGAAAAAGGAGTAGATGAACACAAACGCGATGACCGAGTTCCCCACCGCATGGTCGCCCGTCCTCGCAAACACAGAGGCCAGGACCGTCCATCCGATATACGACAGCAGCATACCCACAGCGCACGTAAGCCAGAGAGTACGGCGGCCTATCCGGTCGATCAGTATCCCGGCGCCCACACTGCAGAGATAGTTGAAGAGCTGTAGCATGCCGTTTATGAGGGCCTGGTCGCTGGTCTTGGTGATGCCGATCGATTTCAAAACGAGTGTGAGATAGTACGAGATCACCGCGATGCCGCCCCAGGTTCCCCAGAAGCCGATGACGAAGGAGATGAATGTGCGCTTGCGATTTGGTGCTGTGCAGATCAGGTCCACGTAGGAAGACTGCGAAGAAATCAGGCGTTCGGCTTCGATGTGGGAGATCATCTCGGCCATTTCGAAGTCTACCAGACGAGACGTCTCGTCGCCGCCTGCGTGCCATTTGGTAAGAATGCGGCGAGCGGCGGGAATATCGTCGTGGGCGATATACCATCTAGTAAGATGTGTCAGGGAAGCTATTATGTGTCGAAAGGCCGGATTGTAGCTCCCACGAAGCTAACCTTGGAGACTCAGGGACGAACCACACGAACAGCAGTTGAATGAACGGAATCAGCCCTTGAAGAATAGAGGGGATCCTCCAAGACCACGAACTCGGCATCCTGAAAGTTCCGTAGGTAATCCACGCGGCCATGATAGCACCGATCCACTTTCCAATGATCAGCATTTTCTCCAGCTCAAGCATTCAACCACTCACGTAGAACGTATAATACAATCCAGTCACCTTCCCACGTTGTGTCGGATACGCCAACTCAGTAACTAAGATTGGAGCAGGCTGGCTGATGAACGCGCAAGCAAAACCCACAATCCACCGCGCCACGATGAACATGGGCAGATTCTGCGCCGCTCCCTGCAATGCCGCCCCAATCACCGCTACCACAAGGCCGAAAGTGAGAGGGACTTTGCGGCCCCAGCGATCTCCGATGAACGTCGCGGGTAGCACACCTATCAGCTTCCCTAGAGGGTACCTTGGTGTCGCATCAGAAATATATCGCGGTATTTCAGTGGGAGGCACCCCACATCGCGTTCAGGGCCCCAAGCACGCTGGACTTTGGCTGGCCGAAATAGTTCCACCACTGCGGGAGAGTCTGCAAACCATTGACCATCGAGCCATCATAGCCATAGACTCCAGGAGAAAGCATAGGCACTAGCAACATGAGGTTGAGTAGTATGAGGTGGCGTGTTCGGTACCATGGCTTCGGGTTATCTGGCAGCACCTTGCTCATTGTCAGCGGGTCGCGTCTGTACACATGGGATATTCAATCTCGTTTGAGTCACTTACGGCTGCGAGCTCTGGGCCGACAGCCAACTCACTATCTTTCTTGGACGATTTGAATAGCCTCATCTTACTCCGAAGGTAACCTTGTGAGTGTTTCAAGCCAAAGAATCTCATAAGTTGTCGATCAATCGGGGCGCAAGGCTCCTTAAATAGCCCACCCACGATCGCTGTACCCCATATTCCCCAAATTTTGATTCTTTGACCAGTTGGATATTATGATTGGGTACGATGCTCAATGTGGACCTCTCCCATCCGGAATTTATAGCGGAATCCGGGATTACACAGGTGCTCACCAATAATTCTCCCACCTTTAAGAACAAATCGCGCGGACAAAGATATCCATCCTGGCATTGATATGCAGCCGTTCCTTGACGACTTGAGCCAAGGTCCTACGCTTTATCTCTTGTTTGGAAGTTTCATGTTCGAGTGCTGATCGTCACCCTCAACAGCTAGCCTATCATAACGGAAGTGGAATCGCAATTTTTTTCCGATTCCAGGCTCTTTGAACTAAGATTGAAAAATAAGTATGAACAATACAGGTGAGTATTTTTGTCCGATAATTTCGAGTCCGCGCGAAACCCATGATATAGTACGGGAATTTGAGACAAGGATAGACGAACTCAATGGAGGAAACAGAAAAAAATGATATAAGGCATCCAGCGCGCTTAAACGCAGCTCTACAGACGTAAAGAGATCATGGTATAGCTCCTCTAGTTCTCCGCTCGCAAGTCCTCAAATCTCATTTATCATCTCTCATGGTAAAAACGTTGAGAGGAGCTAAGCTCCTACACCACCCAGCCGCCTCTGCAACTTCTCAACCTTCGCCTCCAACTCCGCATTCTCGTCCTCCCGCTTGTGCAGCTCTCTCTGAAGTGTCTCCTTCTCGGACCTGAGCTGCTGCAACCTCTGCGCACTCTTCTCCCGGTGCGTTGAATGTGCTTCATGTAACGCTTCGATACGATGCCAGTTCATCGAAGACGTGTCAGTCGTTACTCCTGCTCCACTGGCACGGGCTCGTGCGAGCTCCTCGTCTTTCTGGCGGAGCTTGAATTGCAGATCGCTAACGGTGTCACGCCAGGCGGCATGAGCGGTGACTCTATCTGTAGATCCGCTTGTTGCCGTTGGACTCAAGCCCTGTTTCAATGCCGCGATCTGAGATAGCAGGTCCTGATTTGCCTTCTCCAGCTCAAGTGCTCGTTGCTCGAGTGCCGCATTACGAGCCACCTGGAAAAGATCTGTGGTGTTTCGCCTTTCGAGCGCGATGCTCTTTGGGCGCCCATTAGGAGTGAGTACGCCGCCGGTCTTCTCCATGCGGTCAAGCTTCCGCGTGGCCTCAGCGAGCTTGCTGCGTACTATGAGGACGTTCTCGAGGTCCTCGTCGCGTAGCTTCTTCATGGCCTCGTGCTCGCGGCGCTCCTTAGCAAGCAGGCCGCGGATCTTAATGTTGTTCTCAACGTCCTCGTCGCGTAGGGCGAAGAGAGCCTCGTGGCGTTTTTGCCAGGTCGCTTTCTCGGCTTCGAGGGACTTTATACGATCTTGCATCTCCCTGTATTCATCGGGCTGGACGGCAATGGTTGGATTTTCGCGCTCGAGAAAGACGACTTTGGATAGCAGGGCAGAAAGCTGCTGCTCAAGAGGCCCAATCACTCGAGACTCGACAATCGGTTCTATCTCCTTCTCGTTCTCAAGTAGCTCTTTCGGCTTGAGAGAAGTCGGCGTTTTCTCTGGAAATTCGAAGTCCTGCTCGTCGGCGAGGGTCGAGCCGCGGGAACGCGTTTCACTATTGTCTTCCCGTATACTCTCGCGTGTATGTGGGGGAGGTAGCTGAATTTCTGCGACATGGAGACTTGCATGGCCGAGCTTTCGCGTTAAGCGCTCTTGTTGCTGCCATAGCGGAGGAATAGTGGCTGTCGTGGTTGGCGGCATCGGGAACTCGTCCTCGCCTGCTGTGTCACTACTCCGGTCTGAATCGTAACCTCCAGACCCACGATGCGAATTGATTGATCGTGCAATGGAGTGTACAGATGGGGACCGTGCCATCGACGTCACAGAATTGTGTACGGAGTGGACGGAAGGCGTGCGGGAGGGGGGATTCGAAACTCGATTGGCATTCCACATTGGGATCCTTGACTGTCTACGAGAAGGAGAAGCCAGAATGGGATATCTGCAAAGTTTTAAGAGTGACTAATGAAGATGTTGCTACCGAATGAGGGTTCAATTAATGCGAGGTTGAGGCTTTTGGACTACTTGCAAATTTCAAGGCAGCTTAGACTTTATCATTGAGGTGGTGGGAAACGGGGTAACTACTTGAGACAGGCTGACACGCGGGATCGTGACAGGGGCGGCGCCTGCTACATTTCGGGGAGGCAAACGGTCTTGGCCGGGCATTTCCCAAGATTGGTATCAGAGAACGCATTACAGTAGTAAAAGCATAAATAAGGGGGATAAGTCATGACTTAGAATACGACTCTCTGTGCCAGAGCTGACAGGCGGAATATTTAGAGATGTGGGAATGGTGTGACGCGGCCTCGCAACGCGATCACGTGGTTCGGCTCTACGACTCCGGAATAAGGCACCGTGCGCAAGCCAGCAAAATGAACACAGCTCACCCAAATATGTAGTAAACTTTCCTAAAAATAGACAGAGATAAAGACTCTTAACTTACCTCGCGTTATTAAGTTTCAGAATAAAATTCAATGAAGATTTGGGTGAGTCGTGTTCATTTTGGTGGGGTGCGTACGGTGCCTCATTCCGGCCGCTTATTTCGGTTTCAACGCCTTCCGTGCCAAGACTTGCTTCGGGCCTTTTTTGTCCCGGAACGTAACTACGCCTCTGAAACCGGATGAACTCCCATCTTCTTCATGTATTGGTCAAGTGGCTGAGGGCGGTGGTGGGACCCGACAAGACGCGCAGGCTAGCGCGTTTCGGTTGGCGCTGCCCCACGCCAGCGCCAAGCCTGGAACGCCAACCACCCGTCTTTGTTCTGCATCCATCCTTTGCCATCCCGTCATCATATATTCAGCGCTGCACCGCGCGTATCGCTTTTCTCTTTCCATGCCAATGGCTCCGCGACCCATTTCTGCTCCCGCCAAGAAGAAAGGGCTACCCAAACCTGGCCCTCGCGCGACCCCCGTCGTGAAGAAGCCCATACAGACCTCTAGCACTCGAACGAGCTTGCGGTCGCAAAACAAGCTGCCGGTTTCGCACGCTGGCCAGTCTCATCCTGTCCAATTGTCTCCCACCTCTCCTGCACCCGCCCTTCAGCCAGCCGGCACCAAACGGAAGCATTCCCGAGACACTGAAGCTGAAGCCGACAAGCCAAAAGACGAGCGCCCTTCAAAACAGTCCCGAAGGAGTACTCGTCACCGTCTCAAGCCCTCCGAGGAGAAGTTGCCCAAAGACGCTGAAGCTGAAGCTGAAGCCAAAGCCGACAAGCCAGAAGGTTCCTCAGAACAGCCCCAAGAACCCCCTCTGCTCTCTGAGAAGGACTCACGATCACTCCAATCAGTTTTTCAGGAAGTGATGACTTCCGCAGCCAGCAACTCTCTTAAACGGCCCGCATCACATCGTTCCAGAGCCCCATCGGAAACAGGAACAAGCTCTACTAACACCAATGCCGTCTACCGCCGCAAGAATCTTGCGGCCGTCAAGATCCGCCTCCATGCTAATCCGCCTGACGACGTCGAAACCACTATTAAAGGCATTGTCAACACCAAATCCCCCCGGCAGCGCCAAGCCGAACTTCACGTTATAGCCCAAGGATTCCGCGACGGCTGCCTCAAAAACGTTAGGGCTCAGTCTGGCGAAGATGACTTTCTTGCCCCACTCTATAAGACCATATCGGCCTTGTGTCTCGACAACCTCTGTGGTAGGCTTCCGCTGGCGCTTCTGCGGTGGAACCGAGGCATCGTGAACCTCTAGTTGCTGGATGCCGGCCATGAAGCTCGAACTGTAATGTAGTTGCTGCCGGATCACTGGCTTAAGCTCCTCTCGCCAGGCGGCCTTTTCATGGATAAACAAAAGTCTGCTAACGGGAATTACATCTCCCCTGAATCCTCAATGGTCAACACGTCCATTCCACTAGCTAATAATTTGCAGGGACCTAGCACGATGCCTCTTCTAGCCCCTGTCCCTGAGAAAGAGGAAGATCGTTCCCCGCTTAAAACCCCGCACCCCGACCTCTTAATGGGCATAGACCTTGATGCTCTCATCTCTGCTCTCTCGTTGCAAGGTCTTGAGAAGGGCGATGCCACGGAATTCATCGAGTGGCTCCAGGACGAGATGGTGCAGCACGAGCCAGACCGGCCGCTTGAACCAATGCTGCTCTTAGTACCTGCCCCACGCGCCTTAGATCTCGCCTTCCCATTTGCTGTTGTTGAAGGCAAGGCCTACTCAACCGGTAAACAAATCTTTGAGGCAGAGAATCAAGCTGCGGTTTCCATGGCTTGTGCGCTCAACCTCCTACATTGTCTGGATCGCATGGCCAATCAGGGAACAATAACGGATACCCAACTCCGTGTCTTATTCGCCATCACTACACAAGGCCCCATCCACGAGCTCTGGGCCTACTGGACTGTCGTTAAAGGTGGTGTGCGCGTATTCGAATCGAAGCTTTGGGACAGTTGGAATGTGCTGGTCCTGGAGCGCGCGGAGGACTTTATAGTTAAGCTTAATAGTGTGTGCCTTTGGGGTACAGGCCCATTTCTGAAAACAGTGGTGGAGCCTCTGGGGAAGGTGGCAAGGAAGGCAAGGGAGGCGACAGCTTAGTTATGATGGAATCGGTACCGAATTGAACAGTCATCTTTCTATTTTTTATCCTTTATTTTTACTTTGCAAGATGCGATTCGTGATATGGCAAACTATGAACACAAGGCTCCTCGCCTGTAGTCCAGTTTTGGAAATGGATTATTTTGAGTTACTTATAGCGAGCACTCTGGTTTGGGGCACTCTGGTTCGCGGCACTCTGGCTTGGAGCACTCCAGTTTGGAGCACCCTGGCTTGGAGTACTCCCACGGAAAGCGCTACAAGGTGGACTACTTGTATGTACAGAGCTCCTATGACCCATTCTTAAAACTCCAACTAAGGAGATTGATATGGGGGGACTTTGATGCGGATACATTTTCTGGGCCCCATCAGCTCAATGAAAGACGGGAACTGCTATCTTCGGCAAGTGAGATGCCGGGTTCACTTTCGGATCTATCCGTGCGCGACTAATTTAATGTATGTTATATATCAGCATATAATGTCAGCCTTTGAGATAGTTAGCCCCTTAGATGGTTAGCCTCTGAGATGGTCAGCCTCTTGAGATGGCCAGCTACTGACATCATCCGCCTTTGGCGACATAGAAAAGCAGTGCTAATCTTGTCTTGCACGACAGCGGATTGTATAATGGGGGAAGTTTGATGTTTGAAGTGTATATTAAGATTAACTAGATTATGTACGTAGTTAGCTATATATATTATGTACAGGGGCGTCGCATACTTAACCCATCACTATCTGATTCCCTCCTTGATAATTTACAAACGTGAACTACGGTTCAAAGTTGAATATGGTATACTGCTGCGGAGCTTGCATGCAATCGCCGAACATCCCCATGTCCTGTGCGCAAGCTGTGCGTCTGTGGTTGTGAAGCGTACGAGCGCGGAGCTCGATGCACCTCCTCCACGTGTTTCTTGAAGTGGTCGCTGCCCCAGATAAACTTGTATTGGCAATATTCGTCTGGACAAGGGATCGCCGCGTCGGGTGAGAACCAACTGAGATGCTGCTTGTTGAGATGTTCTTCGGCCTTGGCTTTCCGACAGAATTCCTTACAGTCACACAGTCACCTTTCCGACAGACACACTAAAGGCACTGCTTGTTCATGATTAGCGTGGGCTCGCTCTTTACGGGTGCCTGTGGTATCGGGACGGCATGTCGCATCGGGAAGGCTTGTGGCATCGGGAAGACTCGAGGAATCGGGACGGCGTAAAGCGTCGGGGCGATATAAGGCATCGAAACGGCTTGCGGCATCGGGTAGGCTTGCGACGTCAGATACGGATATGGTGGTGGTGTTGTTCCATGTATTATGGGTGCCCACATTAAGGGTAATGTCGATTCGTGCTTTGGGGATGGCACAATGCCCTAGGCGCGATGGTGGGATTGTGGCTTGCGTTTGGCTGGTGCTCCGGGTGTTCGACTTATCTCCCATATGGCTGCGATAGTCTTTATCCGATGCTGGAGTTTCTCCGTCTTGTTAAGGCCTGAAATGTTCTGGCAAAGTAACTCGGCAACCTTCTTGCGCTCGGGACTGAGTTCGAAAGCTGACACCCGATCTAGCTTTTGTGTAACAGCTATTAGTTCTGGTCCCTGGGGTGCAAATACCTCTGATTTCGAAGGCGGTCGTTTCCTAAACTGTTAAAAAGTTCCCCAGGACATAGAGTTATTGTAGTAATAACTTGTGATATAGATCCTCGGGTGGACTGAAGGTATGATCAATAATGAGGAAGATGCTGAACAACTCGCAATTGCAGATGCAAAAAGCATAACACCAACAAAAGGTCAAAAGGTAGAGGAATTGCGCAAATATCCAACCATTCCCCCGGATACCGATAGAGCCCTGGTCACAAACTCGGCGCTTACTCTCGCACTTCAATGGATAGTTGAAGAAGGTAGGTCGTCTAGAGAGGCTTCGTCACGAACGAATGCACGGAGCATCATGCTTTGAAACCGGTGGTGCTTCAACCTGCGACTTACCCGGGGAGCAGGCAAAATTCTGGAACATGGCTTCGTGCTTGCCAAGAGAATCCAGGAAGATTGAAGTTTTGCTCATTATCTTCTCTCACGGTATTTGCGTCAACAAAGGCTGTTGAGCCCCTTGCGTCCTTGGTGCGTTGTCTGTGATACCGCGGCTTCCGAAGGCGACTGTGGATGATCGCTATACTCATCCCAGTACGGTATTGCCGCGGCCCGTGTTGATAAGCATTGATGTTCTGAGATACGAGCGGTGGTGTTTTTGGGAGGAGAAGGCACAATTGGGGGTAACACCTGGAGAGGTGCCGCTAAGACCGTTTGGGACAGTCACGTTCACTTCGTAGAGCAACTTCTTCCGATACTAGAAAGTAACAACTACAGTCATACTACTGCTACACTACTCCAATACAACCCATTTCTATCGCAGTGATTCAGGGAACGAAAAAGATAATCATTTACCCTCAAAAGGAACCAATTGTGTGAAGCAGCTCTTAGATTCTTTTGACTTTTGGTAGACCAAGAGGAAATAGAACAATAGAACAATAGAACAATTCACGACATATCGATCCGCTGCATTTCCTATACTATTCCATGGTTCACTTGAGGATTTTTCAGCGCGACGCAGAATCTAGACAGAGTCGGAGTATCAACCTATCGGCCATGCAAGGCATCAAAGGCGGGTCAAGATACCCCTAATTGCGTATAAGACACATAGCTGAAGCAGCAGCAAAGGCATAGCCGTGAATGTAGAAGCATGAAGTCGATGTATCGGTGAAGCATTCTCTCCATCCATCTCGATTACTAAGCTATTTTCACGCGTCAAACCTGGAAACTTGCACGCCCTATCATCAACAAACTGTAGGTAACGTTGTAAGCAGCCACGTACGCAGAGCAACTTTCCCAGTGCAGAGCCTAGGTGAGGGGTAGCTTTGTGTCCGACTCACAGGTTGTACAAGTAACGCCAGAGCTTCAATTGAAAAGCAGACTAAGACGCAGCATTCACATCTACAGAACCTTCATCTAACCCTACAATGGCATCCCAACCGACCACGACCGCCAACATTGCTGATTCGCCAGGCCGACGCCTTTACAATGGCTCCTGCCACTGCGGCTACACACGCTACCGCTGCCTCCTGACCTTTCCACCCCCTGCGGTGCACCCAAACGTCGATCCCTCAATCACCACCAGGATCAGGAAGTGCAATTGTACCAGCTGTCATAAAACAAACTTCTTCCACGTGCGGCCGCAGTCCTCACCAGACGACTTCGTGCTGCTGGCGCCCACCAATCCGTTCGATGACCCTGCGGACGGTGGCCTAGCCGACTACCAGTGCTTCGCGAAGTTCACACACTGGTTCTTCTGCCCAAAGTGCGGAGTCCGATGTTTCACATTCGGTGGGGACAGCGAGGTGGCGGAGGTAGACCTGGGGGAGTGGGCTGGAGGGCAGAAAGAGGGGAAGTTGACAAAGGTGTGGCGTGCGAAGAAGGAGGGCTGGATTGAGAAGGGCGACACCAGCTATCTGAGCATCAATGCAACGACCCTGGAGGCTCGGCAGGAGGGGCTTGATCTGCGGGAGTGGCACGAGAAGGGATGGATTGTGTATTTGGACATGCTTGATGAAAAGGAAGAGAACAAGATGGTACCCTTGGAGGGTGGAATGTATTGAGGTAGATGGGATGACGCGGTTCAACACCGCACCAGGACGGCCTAAGACGTGTCGCTTTGATGATAGGCCTTACTTATCGATCACGGATAAAGTCATTTTAGTACCCAATTTTGACTTCAGCTTCACGCGCCAAATGAGTCTTTGCAACTTAGCACGGCCGTACCGTTCCACTACATCACTGGCTAGGCATACTAATCCAGCCTTTGCAAACGCTCTCTCATATTTTCTTTCATATCCAGTGCGTCCCTGGGTGGCCACGCACTGCTAGGTGCAGCAACTTGTGATCAGCCTGCTCGAATCCAAGCTCGCTCTAGGCATTCATGTCTTGGCACTGGTTTCGATGCGTGTCCTCACCGCAGACACAGTATGGGAAATGCGTTACCAGTTACCCGGGCAATAATCAGGTAGTGAAACCCACCAAAGGACTTACAGAACCATATCGATACTCCCGTGATCAAGGCACGATTAGCAAAAGAGCTCATGCAGGTACCTTGAAGCTCTCCAACTTCTAGATCCCCGAAGCCTCTAAGTCGATTGGTGCTATTCGTGATACATCGCTATGATAGGTCAAGTTGATTCCCTCGGATGGCTTAGAAGCACGTGACGTTCCCAACATACCCCCTGCCTTACCACATCAAGGCAACCATTTCATTCACCACAGTGAACGTCCTCAAAAGCTATCCCTTCCATTAAACCAGATCTCTCTCTTCTCTTCTCTAACCGCTCCCGAAACTCATCCAAGAAACTCATCTCCTATAAAGTAAGCCCTCACCCCCTCCTCACACCTCTCCATAACCTACCCCAACACCACTTCCACAGACCCACCACCGCCATGCCTTCCGAACCCAAACCAAAGCCCCACCCACTCGACGTCCTCGAAGACGGCGGCCTCTACATCCTCCTCTTCAACCGCGCCTCACCCCCGAAGCCTTCAACTTCCACTGGGCCCTCTACCTGCACAAGAACAAAGACACCGGCGGCACCAAATACCACATCACCGGCAGCGCTGGCAAGTGGCTAGCGGCGCATCAAGACACCCGCGGCATCTTTCACGAAACCTTTCTCGTTGGGCTGTTCCAAATCGCGACCATCACCGGCTCCACTGCTTGCGAGCGCCTCGATAAGACGATGCGTCAGTTCGATGATGGACTGAATGACCTGGATGTTAACTGCCGCACTTGGCTTCTGAAGGTGCTGGGGGTGCTTGCGGGAGAGGTGGATGGAAAGAGGGTGCTCAAGTGCGATGATGTGGATGCCTTGGAGAGGGAGGTGATGGAGTTTGGGAACAAGAATATGGAAAGTGCGGACTTGGCTATGCAGCCGAGGCCGTTTGAGGCGTCGAAGATTTGTGGAGGGGTGTGAGCTGAGGGGGTGCTGGGGGTGTATGGGAAGAGAGACAGCGCTAAGCGAGGGGGGTACGTGGTCTCGAAGCTGGAAGGAATTCTTCCGTACGGGACCTTTCGCATGGCTACTTGGGGCTTTCGGACTGCTTAGAATCGTTCGAAGAAAGGGGCTCGACCGGCAAGCCTGTTCTAGGGCTGTGACATCGGGTATCTCATTTACGACTGAACTGGTCATTGGCTCGATAACCCTAATTAAATAGAGCGTGCTAACCTTTGTAGGAATTGAAAAAAGCGAAATGCTCCAATCAACCATGCCAGCATATTACGAGGACTTGACATGAGTCTGTACACTCCTCCAGCGTTCCAAATCTACCCCTAGTCTCCTCCTACATCTTGGAAGTACCCTCAGTCTCCATCAGTTATCATAATACCCATACATCCCGTCATGCTCGTCCGCCATATGCTCATAAATCACAAGCTCATCAAACGCACCCCCACACTCCCAGCACCAATGCGTTCCACAACCTCGGACCGGACACATAACATGATTGCACCCGCTATCCTTCTGGCTGTCCACCCCACACTTCGGACACTTCTTGATGACCACCCTCGATCCCCCGATCTTGTGTCGCGTGTACCCCTGCCTAAGGGCTCTCTGAGCACGATTGCCGCCGCGGCCCTGCGGAAGCCGGATCCCTCTATCTTCGAGCTCCTGTTGCTCTAGAAGCTCATTGATAGCGTTCTCATTCGCGGAGTTCATCGCTTCAATGTAGCGAATGCAGTCTTCACACTCCCAGTCTTTCACTTCGGCTGGTGCGCCTCGAGCACACACTCTTTCGACATATCGACATGCGTGTCCGCATTCAACGCACCAGGCGTGTATCCATTGCCCGCGTTCCTCGACTGCGGTCTTCAGCCCGCCAACGGCGTGTATGCCCTGGCCGTAAGCGTGGAGCGTCTTTGCGGCAGGAGCCCGTCGGCAGAATGGGCAGAAGAGGGCGGCGGTGTTGATGATGCGGCCTGAGCCGTTGAGACCGTACCATGACTGGAGACAGCCCCCGCAGATACGTTGAGTGCAGCTAGAACGACCACATGCGGGGCGAAGCGCGGTGTGGCGGAAGTTACTGAAGCAAAGAGAGCACGGGACTGATTCAGTACGGCGGCGAGAGATGAAAGATTGAAGATGCTTGATCAGATCTGGCGCGTTGTGGATGAGCTTCCCCTTGAGTTTAAGCTGGGCAGAAGGGTTCGGGAAAAGCGTGACAAGCTTAGCAAAGTCTGCGGTACCGGACGCGGTGATGGTGTGGAAAAGGGAGCGGCCGTTGAAGGGATCGGCAATCTTATTCGACATGTTCTTGAGAAGCCAGAAGGATTTGTCGGTTTCCTGGCAGATCTTGTTGGCGTTGGTTTCTACCGCGACAATTGTGGTGCGCTTGGATACGCAAGCATAGCATTTGAAGTCGGATTTGGCCAAATTAGATGGGCGGTATTCTTCTGGGTAGATGACGCGATTGAGACACTGAGTGCATTCGAGCACAGGTGCGTGGCCCAAGTTAGGGACTCGACAGTAATGACACTTCGCACGCACGTTCAGTGCTTCTACGTTGTAGACGACGTATTGAGCGCGGCACTCCCTGTTGAAACACTCAACCCATGAGGCCTGAGTGTTCTCGTCGTCTGACTTCGTTACTCGGCAGTTGATGTAGGCCTCTTTTTCCTTCTCGTCCTTATAGTCGCGGGCAGAGCATGGGCCGCACTGGCCATTCTTTGCCATGACGGAGACCGAGCGCGGATATTTGCAGGATCGACAAGTAACAATGGGGCCGATAGACACGGATGTCTTTTCAGGGGTCCAGCCGATTAGAGCTGACAAATGAGTGTTGAGGTTAAGCTCAAGCATCTTGTATTCGACAAGTCGTTTGAAGAGAGCTCGATCACTCTCCTTCAAAAGCTTCGATTTAGTCGTCCCTCCTTCCGTGCTCATTCTCTGTCGATATTCCTGGTCGGCATCTAGCAGAAGAGAAAGGCAGCTGACATTCCATGTCTCTGGAATTTCGAGGTTGTTCCACTTGTCCTTCCAAATCAGCATCTCCGTGTCCGCGGCCTTCAATAATGGCTGTACACCTAACCGGATACTGAGGGCCGCTAGAAGTGCAGATGGGCGAGCTGCCAGCATCGTTCCTGGGACAACGATATGAAGTAAGATTCTCCAGAATTTGCGCCCATATTCCTGACTGGCAAGCGCCATGGGAATCTTGGGAACATCTTCGTCGCTACTGCCTGCAATATGGGCCGGGAAATCTTCAGCGGATTCCGCGAATGTGAGACGCGTGAGGACCCTCCCAAGACGTCGGAGTATCTTGTAATCGCATGACCTTCCAATCTCAAGGAGCTCGTCGCGACGGAATTTAGTGATGGGACGATCTTCTTCGTCTTCGTCATCGACATCTTCGTTGGTTGGTCTGACAAAGGCCAAAGTGGGATCAAGGAAAACACAGGGGAATCGCTGATCTTTGGGGACGGACTCGACTGCTTCCAGGACATCGGCCGTATAATCATAAGACTCCTCGAGCCAAGTCTTCATCCGAGCCTTTTCCTCTGCATTGGCTATCCTTTCAATCTGGAGACCGAATGCGGATATCAGTCTATCTCGAGCTTTATTGTTCCTGTCGTTACAGACCGCTCGCCAGAGGCTCCCAAACACCGGGTTGAGTGACACCGCCGAAACATCTTCTTTGATGATCTTGGTGAGATGCTCGACAGCCACCGCTTTGTACGCTTCGTCGGTATTGTATCGCTTCGCGAAGTCCTGTACCGGAGTCTTCTTCTTAGGCAAATGCTTCTTGAGAATCTCCGTGGTAAGCTGGACTTCAGTGATGTTCTTCATAATCAACTTCTTCGCATCTGCCTCTTTCTTGGTGGCGGCGAAGTAAGTATCCGCCGCGGGATCAGTCTCGTCCTTGGCCTTCTTGATCGCACTGACATTGATATATCGAGACAACGACGCCGAAAGCTTTTGGGGTGCGCTGGTCACTCCAGCCTTTTCAACGCCCATCCATGCGAGAAGCATTTCAACAGTTACTTCTGAAATGCCGAGAGGCTTGGAGTCCTTGAGATAGAGGCATGCACCGCGAGTAATCGTGGAGAGATAGTTGTAATGACCGACGTACTGCCAGGCCATCGAGGGTTCCAGAATACAGAAGACCTGAGCTTTCTTCTCCCCAGAGTGGAGGGTTTTGCTCGCAGATACCCAGTCATTGAACAGAGGACCATATCCACCATATGACGCAGGGTCACTGAGCGCCTTCTTCTCTTTGCCAAGGTTGGACCACTCCTCAGTCATGGATCCATTGATAAGCGAGTGAGGAGGAGCATCTGTGTAAACGAGGATGATGGTCGTCGCCTCTGGTCTCATCACCTCGTACGCCTTTGCCAACCCGGTCTTGGTCGCTTCAGCATAGTCGCCGCCCCCGAAAGGGTCCAGAGACTTTGCCAGCGAGATGAGGTCTGGCTGAGAATCTTTGTCACTTTCCGAAGGATCAAGCCAGCCCGACCATTCCAGTAACTTTTTGTCACAATAGTCTCTGTATGCTAAGAGACCAACGCGAGCAAAACAATCAGTCAAGGTAGAGATGGCAATGACCTTCGGCAAAGACAACTGTAATGATTCGAGGTAATCGCTCTTAAAGCGGTAGTACACATGTTAGCAGAATTTTACAAAGAGTGGCAGGGGAGAGGGGTAAGGACACCACTTTGACTTGAGCAGATGTTCAAAGCGATGGAATGGCGCTTGAACGTGGCTCATGTGGACGCTCAACCACAACTTGAGCCATGTTTCAATACATTCCAGGAATGATGACGCCAAAGGATTCTGATATGTATACTAAAGCCTCACGTACCATAGAATACGTCGCGTCTACAAGGATGAGGAGATCGTATATCTCTTTCTGGGTGGATTCCATGATTGCGTCGGCGATGGCAGATTCGTCTGTTGACGTTCAAGTGACGAATCTGGCGCAGTAGATTAAAGATGTAAGAACGCTTGAAGATACAATTGATGACTCTGAAGCAGTATGATGACTATAGAAGCGCTCTCGAAGGTACAATTGGTCGTGTTGACGTATGGAAGTTGAGACGGATGGTGTCCGATTGATCTTTTTTTCTGCTTGAAACTTTCTAGAAAACGTGGGCTCTTTATACGACTTGCGTGTCATTAAATTTCCAGGCAACAATCCAATAATAAGGTTGACTCACCTCCACGAGAATCCGATGTAGAGGATGTTGATGACTCAAGCCATAGTATGTGTAGACCACGCCACACTGTTTTCGGGCCAGAAAAAACTCGCGAAAGCAATGCTTAAAGAGCCAAGAAGGAGTGAAGGAGAGGTTGGGAAAAGAACAGGACCGTATCTTCTCTAATGCAGCGGCTTGAAGCCAGTGTTCTTAGCATGTGCGGCTGAGGGGCGGCCCCTAGCACTAAGCCATCGTGAGCTTGAAGAGCGAGCTGCAAGGTGGCTGACAGTGGCCCCTGTGCTAGCCGTTCTGGGGGCCATACAACATGCATGTTAAGATGTCAAAGATGATGTTCGTAAAGGCGATAATGGTTGCTGCATTACGAGTGGGGAAAAGCAGACCTGACTGAAGGGGTGCACTGTACGCATATCGAGAAACTTCGGCATGATCCTTTGCTCGACAGGAAATCCCAAAGATACGCTTGCTATTAGCCCTCATCTCCCAGTTTACCATGAGATTAAAGGGCGGTCCGCGCGTGTTTCATGCTGCGTTGCGCGGAGGTGGCTTAATGATGATCTCGTCCACCGTAGCTCCACATCATACCCGCTTTGGACATCATCTTGAGCCCACAGCAAGCTTCGTCTCCTCTCTCCGCCAGCTCAACTTTAAGATAAGGAAGACTAAAGGCTCATCAAGATGCTTATCCAAGAGTCCCACGTTGACATTCCCACCCAGGCCGGAGGAGATATGCGTACGTCTATTCATCCGTGACTTTCCGTATCCGCCCTCTGAAAATGACTAGGGCTCTTCGTGTTCCATCCAACAATTGCAAATTACCCAAAGGCCAAATTCCCAGGAGTCGTTGTCTTCAGTGAGATCTATCAAGGTATGCAAATGCTCTATATTTCTCTCAATATTTAATACCTGCTGTGCATGTAGTAAAGGAGAAAAGACTCATGAAAGATCCACCACTCTTGGTGTATATAAGAGTATATATCTCGCATCATATCTCTACTATCTGTCAACAATAAAACGTCTAATAAGGGGCTCCTTTTTATTTCTCAAGTCTCCTTTTCAGAGGAAAACCACATCTCATCCAGTACATGCTCCATCACAACCCCCCCCCCCCCTCACACAACCCGCTCTAGTCACCGGCCCCGTCGCCCGCTTCTGCCGCCAAATCGCCGGCCAAGGCTACATCGCCGTCGCACCCTCCTCGTACCACGAGTTCACAGGCCCCGAAGCCCTCGCCTACGACGGCCCCGGCACAGACGCCGGCAACGAGTGGAAGATCACGAAGAAAGTCTCCGCGTACGACGAAGATGCCACGCTCAGCATCGACCACCTCATCTCCCTCCCCACTTGCACCGGCCGCATCGGGGCCGCAGGTATGTGCCTAGGCGGCCACCTGGCCTACCGGGCTGCACTCGACAAGAGAGTCAGTGCCGCGGTGTGCTACTTCGCGACGGACATGCACTCGAAGAGTTTGGGGGCGGGGAAGAACGATGACAGTCTTGCGCGCGCGAAAGACGTCAAGGGGGAGCTTGTGATGGTAAGAAAAGCCAACTCCATACGTCCAAAATCCACGAAAGTAAGGATAGGCTAACGAGTCCTCCAACCCAGATCTTCGGCAAACTAGACAACCACGTCCCACCCGCCGGCCGCGACCTCATCCGCAAGACGCTCCACGACGCTGGGGTGACGTTCTCCTTCTATGAAGCAGCGTGGGCACAGCGTAAGCACACCCCTAGCCTAAGTCTTCTATTCCCTCATCACCTCGAAAGTCGCTCTTTCCGTCACTCATGCTGACGATTCTTGATCACAGACGCCTTCATCCGCGACGAACTAAGCAAAGGCCGCTACGACCCCCCAATCGCGGGCATCTGCTTTGCCATGCTGACCGAGCTCTTCGGACGCGTCCTACGCTCGGATCTGGGGCCGCGAAGCGGCGATGGGGTGGAGGTGGAGGATGTGTGCTGAACGCAGCTCTCTAGCCCCCTGACGACGTCGTGTAAATAGACATGATGAAGAGAAACACGAACCCAGACACGAACCCAAGATAAAGATAAAGATAGTCTTCGCATTCAATATGCAACATCGCATCGATCTACATCGTGCACTATCCACTGCACTTCTCTGCTCACACCCATCCCTCCTACCTCTGCCATCATGCTTCATGCCGCTCCGATGTGGAAGCCCCCCTCCCCTAGCCATCATTTCCTAAAGTTTGACTTTTCCACAAAGATTATATACACGAACCACGGGCCAATCTCTAGGCCCAAGCCCCCCTAACTTTTAATTTCGAGTTGGAGTTCTCTCGTTCGCAAATGACCTCGTCGCGCCGATTCGGCCCCTTGTAGCCTTCACCAAACCTCACGAGAAAAATAGATTTTTGAAAACGAGACACTCATTGTTGGCAGTCAGCACTGCAGGCCGCTCACGCCTCAATCCGGGAATAGAACAAAATATACGCGACCTTGCCCTCGCGCACACCCTCCTTGCGCGCCGACGCAGGCGTGGGCGTCCGCTTGCCCGCGCTGCTGGGCGTCGCCGTGCCGTTGACGACACCGCTCCACTTCTTCGTCTTGCCCGCGCCGCTGCCCTCCGTCTTCTCTGTGCCGTTGACCTGGCTCCACCCGCCCTGGTCGTCGGCCTTACCTTCCTCCTCCAGACCCACCTGCTCGTAAAAGTTGCGCGAGCGGCTGGAGTCGCGCTTGTGCTGCTCGAGGGCTGCTGCGAGAATCTTGGGATCTTCCTCTGCGCCGCCCTCGGCGACGACGTCGGCACGGATACGCCGGATGACGGTGTCGTCCATGCGGATCCACTCGCGGCCTTCCTGCCGGCGGACGTCAACGGTGTAGTGGCCGCCTGAGGCGTTCTTGCCATGGTGATAAACGACGGCAGTGAGACGGTAGCGAGGAAGTCCACCGCGAGCCGCGAAGGCGCTGCGTTTGTGAGGCGGAAAGACCTCCTTGGGAATTTCTAGCTCAAGTGGGTAGCCGACCTTCTTCCAGATCTTTTGGGTGCCGCCTGTAGCGTCGTAGAGGAAACGCTTGAGATGGAGGATGAGCACAGGGGGTAGTGTCTCAATGAAAAGTTGCTTTGTTGCCGATCGAGTGCCTTGTGGCGCATTTGAGTCCCCTTGGAGGGTTTCCAAATGCGTCAAGCCACGAAGGGCGTCAGTGATGTTGTTGACGTTCGGTGCGCCAATATCAAGTTGTAGGGGTTGGTACGGCTCCAAAGTAACCGTGGTCTTCTGCCCATGTCGCTTGTATTCCGAGCGAAGCTTGCCGCCAAAGATTTTGGTGATTGGTGACTCGACCTCGATAGTGCCAGATGACTGTGTGACCGCGGACTTCTGCTTAGGACCAACTTCCAGCCAGCCACCGTCTACCGGAGCAGATTTCTCGCTGGTTGGAGATGTGATTTCGGCGCTCTCGGCACCGTTGGTAGGTCTAGCACCCTTCATGACATGGGCGCACTCGTCATGTAGTCCAGCGAGCAAAAAGCCAAGAAACTCTTCGGCATCCTGTTGGTGCCCTCGCTAAGGATTGTTAGTGACGGGCTGCTACACTAAGGTAGAATGGTATACCTTCATGTGATCGAAGCGTGGCAACCTCCGAATTACGTCGTAGACGTACTCTGGAGTCAATGGATCGCCGTACTGCTCAAGCTCATTATCCTTGAGTCGAAGTCGGAGCTTCTCGGCGGAGTCCGCAGAATCGATGATGCTGAAATCGCGCATGAAAACAGTACTTTTTATGTTAGTAATGCATGAGGAACCTACTACCGATTGGGGCCTTACATGGCGTCAACCAAAGGAGTCTCGCTTTTGAAGTTATGAACCGCACGTTTGTGAACTTGGTCCAAGAAGTCATAGAAAGGAATGCAGAAAACAAGAACTTGCAAAATCTAGAGACAGATTAGTAAACCTCGTAGATCGAAAGGCCAAGAAACGTACCGAATTCATATAGCACATATTCCCAGTATTTACAAGGCCGCGAGGTTGCAGGAACGCCAATTTCCTCTTGGCATCCACAGAAAATGAGGTAAGAACGTCACCGAGCGAGTTGCTTTTAGCTGACCCATTGGGCGTCACGACACCGTTCTGAACAGCTAACGATTGCGCAGTAGCGGGGGCAGGCTTGCTCCGCAGCAACTCCGCCCATGACTTCGGCGCTGGCTTGGATGCTGGGGGTGAGGCTGTGGGCGTCTGCTCTGAACCTGCGGATTTCTCGGACCGCTGAGCTTCGCTGGCCGGCTTATCTGTCTTCTCAGGTGTCACCGACTTTTGGGTAGTTGATGTTACGCTGGGGGCTACTTTTGGCACTGCTGGTTTAATGGGTATGAGAGGCACTGCCGTTTTCGTGGCAGACCTCGTGTGCGAGGACGGAGCGGCAGGCCGCGGTGCAGGAGCAGGGGGTAGGACCGAAGATGGTGTGGTGGGGTGTGTGGAGTCAGCCTCTGACGGAGCTTGTGATGTTGCTGGCGTCTCCAATTCCGAAACGGGAGCTGCGGTAGAAGTTGGCGATGCCGCTCTCTCCACAGCTGGAGGCTCCTCTACCAGAGGTTGCTCATCTGTCTGCTCCGGCTCTGGGATTCCCTCCTCTGGTGTGTCTGTCTGCTCGCGTGCTGGAAAGGCAAGACCCTCCTCAGTCGAAGCTACCAGACCACGCCGTCTCCTCCGCTTGTTGGAAGCCTTTGGGGGGAACGGCAACTCGGGGACAGATAGCCATGGTAGAGGAGGCGCGAAAGGAGTTCGGTGTGTTGGCTGAGGGGGAGGAGGCGCGGAGAAGGACGGTCGGGACGAAGCTGATGGCGGCGGCTCCGGAGTCGTCATTGTGGTTGTCGTTGAAGGAGGAGAAACATGGGCCTGTGATGCCACTGAGGGAGTCGAGGGAGCTTGCTGGGGAGTGTAGTTCCGGGGAACAGGGGGCGTCCTCGAGTGGGCAATGGGCGGCGTTTGTCCAAGCTGGCGACTGACGGGAGCAACGGGCTGCATGGGCGGGTGCGACGACACGACTACGGGCGAGCCATGGGACTGGGGCTGGTACTGGCGCGGGGGCATAGAGTATTGATGCTGATGCTGGGGCTGGTGATAGGGATACCACTGCTGCTGGTACGGCGACGCGTGCGGTGGGCCATGGTATTGCGGGTGGAAGTTGGCGTAGGGGTTGTGGACGGGGGAGTGCGTCTGCGGCGGGTAGTACTCGCCATGCCGCCTACCCTGATAGATAGGAACAGCAGGCGGTACATGAGGCCCGGGCATCATGTCGAATGCGGCTGCCGTCACAGTCAGCGCTGGCCGGGCAGAGGCCTAGCGACCGACTTGTGAGGCGTGGAAGAGCCCGCGACGTGGACAGCGCGACGTTCGGTCTGCGAGCGATGCTGGTGGGCGACGAAGATGGGAGCAAGAGATGGCCGGACAATGGGGCAGGAGACGGTGTTGAGGAGGCCGAGAAATATTACTGGGGGTGGCCGGAGCCAGGCAGCGAGCGCAGGCAGGCGGCGCACTCGGGCGGCACTCTATGCGGAGCGGCAGAGGGCCGTGGTCTGGCGGAACCAGGGCATCCTCGAGCAGAGGAGTGAAGGCAGAGGTGGCGTGGGAGAAGGGCGCGCGGTGAAATGGGCCCGGTGGTGAAGGAGGCGACCGTCTCTCCGCGTGGAAGAGCCCAGAAACTGCGGTAGGCGTGGACGGGGTGCGCCGTAGCTAGCGCTTCTCCGCATGGAGCCATCCGGGCCATCGTCTGGGCGCAGGGCTGCGATGGCTGCGCGATACTGGGCCCGCCGCGTCCAGTGCTTCAGCTGTTCTGCGTTCTGCCCAGCCCGGCGCGCGGCTGCTTGGGGGTTGGCAGCAAACAAGCAACGCCCGCAAGCATCGTCGCCGCGACCAGTTGAGACCACCCCATGCATCACGTGATCCCATTTGCCGCAGCCTTCTCCGTCTCCGAATGACTCTACTCTTCGCCTCTCAGTCCGCCCACGAGGGGACATACACTGCGTGCTGCTGTGCATCCACCCTTCTCTTTCCTTCGTCGTCCTTTCCTCTCCTCGCCGTTCCCTCCCGTCGCCTCCGCTCTCCCTCATTAGATTGCAGGTGTGAAGGTTGAGCGTCGAGCGTGTCCCCCGCCCTCGTCATCGGCTCTCGATCGGTACCGCCATGTCTGTTCCGCCAGCCATTGCTTCGTCCTCCAAAGCAGCAACCACTGCGGGCCAGCTCTCGCCAGCGCAGGCCCAGGCTGGCTCTGTAGCAGCCGGCGACACCTTCGGCCAGCGACGAAGCGGGGGTTCTGGCAGTTTTGGAGCGGGGAATACATCGCGCGCGTCGCCTTCCCCACGCAACGCCCAGCTCGGCCGGAAGCAGCACAAGGGCTCCAAGCGCTTCAGGGCTACGGATGAGGATGCTCTTGCGGAATCCGTAAGTGCCAGTCTTGCTGCAGTCGATCCGCTTCCTCCGATCCTCAATCTGACACGGCCAGGCCGCCATGCGTCCTTTCAACAACCGCAAGGGGCAAACATCCATTACCCACTTGATGAACTTTAGCCTCCCCCCTCGCCCTCAGAACTACCATAGCCATGCTCCATCGCGGAACAACCGGAGACACCCTACTTGGGGACTGGGCTCGGGCTATCATGCGGTCGACAAAGCGAGGTAAGCATTTCTGGCCATAGAAGAGGACCTACGATCTGACAGCACAGATTTGTTCACTCCAACTACCGCTTCATCGTCGACCCCAGAGGGGACTACCGGGCTCAGAACGTAGACGCCGACACCCATCTGGACTGGAACAATGTCTTGCAGATACTGGTGTCCGCTCAGTCTCAACTCGCATCCTGCCCCATTTGTCTGGGCACTCCCGTCGCTCCCCGCATGGCCAAGTGCGGCCACATATTCTGCCTACCGTGCCTTATCCGGTACATGCACGCCGACGAGGAGACGAAATCGCCTGAGAAGAGAGCTCGGTCCAAGAAATGCCCACTCTGCTGGGACAGCATATACATATCGGAGACGCGGCCTGTCCGGTGGTACACTGGACAAGAAGGAGGCGCACCCCACGAGGGCGAGGACATTGTGCTTCGGTTGATCATGAGAACAACGGGAAGCACCCTCGCCTTGCCGAGAGATGGAGCAGAGCTGTTAGATAAGGACCAAGATATACCTTGGTATTACGCCGCAGAGGTCATGGATTATGCTCGGGTTATGAAGGGGAGTGAGGACTACATGCTTGCTCAGTTAGAGGAAGAGGTGGCGGAGCTTGAAAGACAAGAGAAGGAAGACGAGCTGATGTTTGGGGAGGACAACGTAGAGTGGGTCCGGAAAGCTGTTCGATCTATCCAGGAAGCCAAGGAGAAGATCAAAGGTGTCGGAAATCCACCGGCTTTACCAAGTAAACCAGCGGAGCAGAAACCAAAGCGCGCTCCAATAGTTTACCACGAAGCGGGCGATCAGACTCCGGAAATGTATCTGATTCAAAATGCGGTCAGGTCCGGCCAAAGCATTTCCCAGGCCACACAGAACGAATCTGTTGTATCCGAGGAATTGGACTCCCACGGAATTGCTGCGACAATTGTGAATGGATCGAACGCTCCATCTTCGAGGAAACTTTCCATTAGCTCGACCCCCCAGAGGGCAGGCTCTGGCGCTCCTGGAACTCTCGCCGAGTTTCGAAACCGTCAACATCATGAGCATCATAATACTCCATCTGAGTATTATTTCTACCAAGCGTTGTTGCATTACTATCTCTCACCGCTTGATATTCGAATTTTGAAAGCGGCATTTGGTAATTTTTCGACTTTTCCATCAACTATTCTGCCTCGTGTTGAGCGTGTATCTACTGGCCACATCGTCGATGACGAACTTCGAAGGAAAACTAAGTACCTCGCACATCTACCCTACGGATGTGAAGTGGGGTTCCTAGAATGCGACTGGACCGATACGGTGACTCCTGAAGTCCTCGAGCAGTTCAAAGCAGAAATCGACAAACGACGAAAGAAAAATCAAGACAAGGAAGTAAGGGAGGAAAAGGCACGGATCAAGGCGGAGAAGGAAGAGGATTCGCGTTATGCTCCTACGCGGCGAAAGAGAACCAGCATCTCGGAAAGATTTACGGCGGATGACTTTCAACCGCTCGTTTCATCGGATGCGGCTGATAGTTCTGGGTCGGTTGGTGCTGAGAGTGCGTCGACTTCGCCACCTTGGCCAGTACGGCGAGGTCAAGGGTTTGCTTCTCTGGCATCGCCGTCGACCAGTCCCTCTGCGGCGCGCACAGTTTGGGGTACCACGATAGTGGCACCATCTTCGCCGACATTGGTGGCCGTGCCTTCAGAGAGCGACATGCGAGACGACGGGTGGCTCCAAGGGTGGGAGAAAGATCTCTTGCAGGAAGAAGACATGATTGCCCAAGCGCAGGCCATGTCGCTTGTTGGCGAGGGGGAGCCTTCTAAGAAACCGCCGGTGAGCGGCGGTAAGAAGAAGAAAGCGAAGAAGATCACATTGATGAGCACAAACGTAAGGAGGGGAGCATAATTCTGACTTCTTAGCTACTCATATGAGCGTCAGCATTGAAACAGCTTGAACTTCCCCTTTGTGATTTCTTTCACGAGATAGTTCGTGTGACTGCCGTATATCGAGGATTATCAACAGCGACCAAATCATTACAGTACTAGGGCACAAGTTGGAGCACGTCGTTTTTCCCATCCCGTCCCAATTCGTTGTGGGGTGCTGAAGCACCACAAACAGCGACAAGTAAGCCGACTGTCAGCGCGTGGGATTTCTCTGACTTGGGCTCTTAGGGACTTTACATCTTCTAAAAACTTCGACAATGCGTCGAAGCACCTCAAACGGTGGTAAGCAACTGTGCCCAGACTTTCAGCAGGGCACTGTAGAACTACCTATTTACAAGGTCATAGAAATGCCAGTCTGGAGCCAACATCGTGAAAGCTTTTAATTCTTCTGAATCTACTCAAGCTACTCACGGGAGATGCTGCCCAGATGCCATTTCAAAGCCGGGGCTTTGGCCGGATCGCCACGCCCAAAATCGTACGACTCCTTCCCCACGGGGATCCTCAACCCAACCCACCAACGTCATTCACAATCTTAACCCAAATGATCCGATCAAGGAGCCCAACGCCCGTTGCTACAACTCAATGGGGTCTGCCGCAAATGATATCTTATGGAGGTGTTCGTTGAGATCAATCACGCCCTCTACGTACGGAAAGGGGCATTTCAAGAGCAGACCTATGTGGGTTTGGGATAGTCTGGGGGTTGTCGGACTGCGTGCCTTTCCAATCAACTAACTATTTATACTTAGTTAGATATAACCTCAAAACCTTCGCTGCATGTGAGATGCGCATATCCAATTACTGTGGGCTATCTCCGCACAGTTGAAGGGTCGCAGTCTTCTTGTTTGCTTTCATCATAGACGAGAGACTTTGAGCAGGAAACCATTCACCTGGGACAGTCGTTCAAATTGCCGAGGCAGGTGTAATTTTGTTGGCTGTTGAGAATTCACCCCAGGACAACCAATATACGAGGCCGCGCAAGGTCCTCAACTACGTATCAGGACGGACTCTTTCTCCGTCCACCACTACAGCCAGCTCTCCGACTACAGCAACCAGTCCAACACCGTCTCCAGCTACCGTCGTTGCCTGCTCACGTCTCACTAGCATCTCTCCTCAGCACACAAACCTGACACCATGTCCAGCTCCCGCACTCCCAAGGCGCCACCGCATCCGGACCGCTTCCTCGATTTTTTCTCCCTCGAGGTCATTGTGCCGGACATGGCCAAGGTCAAAGAGATGCTCGAAGCCGCCGAAACTCTCATCAACGAGCTCGAGCCCCACTCTCAGTTCCAGAACCAAAAGCGACTCAACCGAGGCCGGATCTACTACTGCTGGCACCTGGCGAAGGCCGCCCACGAACACGTAAAGGACCTCGAGACTTACCCGGACCCGCCTCCGTTCAATTGGACTCACGTTACCGTGAGCCACTTTATGACCCTATGGTTCCTCATCGACAAGCAGCCTGACGTGTTGGCGACGAAGGCAGACGACATTGCTGAGACGATGGTTCCGTTTGGCACTACGGTCCGCATGGCGGCCAAGGAGTGCTACGATCTCGTCCAGCGCTGGATTGCGGCTTGATGGGATGCGAGATGTCGATGAGTCTTGTGACTATGGAGTGTTCTTGTTCGTAATCCCTTTCCTTTGCAATCTACCTTGTTGGCACTAACAGTTTCTTTCTTGCAGCTAGGGGCTCACTTGTGCTGGCTGGTGAGCTTCGTTCGAAGGCGCAAGCGGCGTCTAGCTAGAACGAAAATAGATATGGGCATCATCTCGTCCGCATCGTCTTCGGAAGGTGGACATATCATTCGACGTTGTAGGGTTGGCATGGCACCAGAGGGGTTAATGTGTACAGTTTTAGCTGGTATGTGAAGATGCTTTAAGGGGTTCCAGTCTCAATTGGTATTAACATGCACAGCGAGTACCTCCTGTGAAGGATCTGTCGTGATCGGCCTTGCGCTCAAAATTTCACTATCGACTTCGGCACAAGGCTGGCTTTATGTTTCCGATATTATGCATTGCATTCGAATGGCAACCCACATTGCCAATCCCGGTTCCCGTGGGCGTTGATTGGGGTAAGTCACAGCTCTGTTTCAGGTGAAAGTAAGTCGGCTAGCTAGCACGGCTGACCGCTAGCCTAATGGGGTAATTCTTCAGAGTAATCAAGCACAAAGGATGCAGCACGTAAGACCGTCCAATGAACGTGCCACAATCGATCAGTAATCCCACGTCTTGTTAGAAATCCATGGTGGCAGCCCTATCAAGATACTAATCAGCTGCAGCATGCGCTAGCTCCCGGATTTGCGCACTGCGCTCATTGGACGCCACTGCTCTAGGTAGAGCCTTACCAAGACACGCTCTCCAATCTTTTCCAAGTCCAAGATTATATCAGCGCTGCACCTCAGTATTTTGCTTCGTCATCGCTGCCGTTGGCAGTGGCGTCCAATACTTCTCTTCCAAATCTCCATCTTCCAATCGTATCCGTGACGTTCCAGCCAGCATTGCCTAAGCCCTAAATCGTAACGTCCCACCATGACTAGTCAGAGCTATCTTTCTCACATGTGGACTGCTAATGTGATAGAGAAAGGTATATGACAGCCAGCTCCCCTCGTTCTGGGTAGCTATCGGCCCAACTCCCATCTTCAACTCACACGCCCCACGACAAGAAGATGTCCGATCTCATTCGCGAAGCTCCATTCGGACAAGTGGTCCGGTGGGTAACCAAGAACAAATTCCTTCAATATCCAGAAGAGAAACCAGACTTCCAGTGTCCCCACTCCTACAACTGCAATAACGGCGACGAGAAGCACCATCTGCATCAACACCAAAGCCACCGAAGCCACAGATCAGCTGGAGCTGTTCAGCGTGGTGGAGATATCGAGAAGCAGGAGGAACGGCCTCTTGCCGGAGATTCTGGCGATGCTTCATCGACTACCGATGCTACTCCGTTGAGCAATCCGGAGAATGTGGAGTCGAGCCTCCACAAGCTGGACACCCAGAGCTCAAATGACTCCATCACAGCTGAGGTCGAGCGGACAGGGACGCTGGGTCTTCAGCGGACGCAAACGCTTCCATATACCAACGAGCGCTTGGCTATAGAGCATGAGCTCGCAGTCGAGAAAACGAAGTCGAGGCCAATCGTACCAGCGGTGACGTCAGACGGAACGATTTTGGTAGACTGGTTAGACGTCCCTTTCAAAGCCTACTCGAGTGTCAACTAACTTTCCCCAAAGGTACAATACTGACGACCCTGCGAACCCTCAGAATTGGTCTCCGAAGAAAAAGTTCACGGTCGCCTTCCTCATCGACCTCTATACCTTCGTTGTTTATGCCGGTTCTGCCATTTATGTCTCCAGCGAGGGACTCATCATGGAGCGCTTCGGCGTCGGCAATTTCAAAGCTTCGCTAGGTCTTGCTTTGTACGTGTTGGGCTACGGCTTGGGACCGCTGATCTTGTCACCCATGTCTGAGATTCCGGCGTTTGGGCGGAATGTGCCATATGTGGTTACCTTTGCCATCTATGTCATCTTGTGCGTGCCTACGAGCTTAGTTGATAACTTGGGAGGGCTGATCTTCCTACGGTTCTTGTTAGGGTTCTTGGGGAGTCCATGTTTAGCGAATGGTGGTGCGAGTATGGGGGTAAGTGGCTTCTTAGGAACTTAAGATGGAGGACCAAACACTGACGCCTTTTAGGACATGTACTCTCTTCTCTACCTGCCATATTCCGTAGCATTTTGGGTATCAGCCGCGTTTGCTGCGCCGGCCCTCGGTCCTCTCTTATCCGGCTACGCTGTCGTTGCTGAGAAGTAAGCATCCAATCCCTGCTTTCGACATATCCATACAGCAGCTAACAGACACGTAGCTGGCGGTGGTCCCAATGGGAGGTCCTCTGGATGTCTGCGCCGGTCTTCATCCTGTTCTTCTTCTTCCTCCCCGAGACTTCCCCAGCCAATATCCTCCTCCGCCGCGCGGCGCGGCTGCGCAAATTGACCGGCAACGAGAAGATCCGCTCTCAGACTGAAATCGACCGGAAGGGCACGAGTTTTTTGCGCGTTCTTAGCGAGGCCATCATTAAGCCCATCGAGATCTGCATCAAAGACCCTGCCGTAAGCTTCGCATGTATACTCGATTGAATAAGTGATTAACCACTGACGCTCTCACTAGGTTCTCTTCGTGAATGTCTACACTGCCCTTACGTACGGCATTTACTACTCCTTCGTAAGCAGCACCTTCTCCATGTTGTTCTCGATCGCACTAACACATGGCCATCCAGTTCGAAGTCTTCCCGCTCGTGTACCCGCCGCTCTACGGCTTCAACATTGGCGAGACAGGCACCGTCTTCGTGTGCATCGTCATCGGATGCGTCATCGCCATGTCGATCTACTTTTCCTACTTACACTTCTACCTCATTCCAGACATCATGAAGAATGGATTGCGGGCGCAGGAGTCGCGGCTCGTACCAGCGCTATTTGCATGCTTTGGCCCGCCGGTGGGACTGTTCTTGTTCGGTGAGTTGAAAGGCGTCCGAGGCTGGCGGAGAAGGCTAACAAAACCGCAGGATGGACGGCTAGGACATCTGTCCACTGGATCGTAAGCGTCATCGGGATCACAATCTACGCAACGTCGGTGTATATCCTACTCCAGTGTATCTTCGGTAAGCCATTATTCCGTCCGGTTCTCAACGCCACTAACATATATGCAGTCTACGTACCGATGTCCTATCCACAATATGCCGCTTCCCTCTTCGCCGGCAACGACTTCTGTCGCTCGCTGTTCGCGTTCGGCGCTATTCTCTTTTCGCGCCCCATGTTTGTGGATCTAGGCATTGGAAAGGGGGTTAGTCTACTGGGTGGATTGAGTGTTATGGGAATCGTAAGTCAATTCTTTCCCTCTCAATCGGTGTAATACGTTTTCTAGAGTATGAAGACTAGAGCAGGGCTAATGCGACTGTGATAGATTGGAATGTGGCTGCTGTACTTCTATGGCGCAAAGTTGCGCGCGAGGTCCAAGTTTGCCATTTGATGTCATGGTGTAGAGACGCCGTCTGGCGCAAGATATGATTGCGACAGCAAGAGATTTTAGGATCTTCAAGGAAATTGAAGCTCCGTTTACCGGAAGCTAGTGAAGGATGTAATGGGTATCAAGCTTTAAAAGGCTTGCTTGGTCTATGGACTTTGAGATGAGACATCGGAGTAATGGAAAAACTGATTGTCCATGTTAATATGTTGAGTATTCGGAAGTATAGAAGCGCTTTTTTTCTCTTGTGTCCCAATGGGAAGTTAGAATTATACAACCTACTCTCCGGAAGTCGCTTTTGGACAGGTAAAGGTCTCATGAGTTTACCAAAAAAACGTAAAGATGGAATATAATGTAATTATGGCTAAACAATAATTGATGGAAGAAAATATAGATAACTTCCATCCCACATATTTGACGAGATAAAATGATCTCCTCTTGAAGAAATGAAACTAAAGAAGAGGTAGGGAAGTGGGTATATATACCTAGGTCGTCTACGGAAGGTATAGCCGAGAGGAAGTTCGCCATGCCTCGGTGATCACTCACCACCACGGCTCTCCAATACTTACACACCACAGCATCAATGCCCGTAAACGTCCTAATCGTCGGCGCCGGCGCCGTCGGTGCCTTCTATGCCTCCCGTCTCGCCCAAGTCCCAAACGTCCACGTCTCCGTAATATGCCGCTCCAACTACGCCGCCGTCGCTGCTTCAGGCTTCGCGGTCACCTCCCCTCAATACGGCGACTACACCTTCACCCCCACCCACACCTTCGCCAACCCCGACGAGGCGCGGCGGAGCAACATTAGCTGGGACTACATACTCGTGAGCACGAAGGCGCTCCCCGACGTCAGCAACGACTCGGAGATACTCGAAGGACTTGTGGGAGACAACACCGCCATCGTCCTGGTGCAGAACGGACTGGGCGTCGAAGCGCCGTACGCCAAACGTTTCCCCAAAGCTACAATATGCAGTGCGGTCACGATTGTCAGTGCGGCGCAGACGAGCCATGGTAAGATCAAGCACAATCGCTGGACGCGCATAAACGTAGGGCCCTACCTACCGCACCTGGATACCGGAGACACGAAAGCCAGCGATGCGGAAGCGATTGCGCGGAACGACAAGTTTGTAGAGCTGCTGAAGGAGGGAGGGGTCAAGGATGCGGACGCCTACGACCATGCTAAGCTCCAGCTCGTCCGCTGGCACAAGATTGCTATCAACGCATCTATGAACCCGTCGTCTGTGCTCTCGGGCGGGACACCGAATGGCGCCATGGCACTCGATGACGAGCTGTACCGGCATCTGAAAGGAGTCATGGACGAGGTGCTGAGCACGGCGCCAAAGGTGCTTGGGAAGCCGTTCCCAAAGGAGTTCGCGACGACTGAGCAGCTGCTGAGGAGCACGCAGAAGAATACGAGTGGGAGTAAGCCCAGCATGGCGTTAGATTGGGAGCAGGGGAAGAGGATGGAACTAGAGGTTATATTGGGTAACCCGATTAGGGTGGCAAGGGAGAGGGGGTTTGAGATGCCGCGGATGCAGAGTTTGTACGCGTTACTAAGGATGGCACAGGAGAATAGGGAGAAGCTGAAGCTGCAGAGTAAAATATGAAGCGTGCTGGTTATATTGCTTCCCGCCCCTCGGATATCACGTGATATATACATGTCAGCATAAACGAAGACATTGACACACCACCACCACCTCCCTAATCCCTCCAAAAGCAGCCAACTTACCCCTCTCCATTCTTCCGGTAGGTACACTGTGATACTAGTACATATCCTGCTTTGAAAGCAAGCTTTCGGGCTTCCGACGAAAATGCCCCGCCAATAGCCGCTCTTAGCTCATTGGCCAATTCGAGGGACTCATGCAACTCCACATGCACGCCCTTTCGCATATCCTCCTGATATCGTATGCGGCGGGCTTGAGTCACCCTCTAACCATCATTTCCCTTTCTAATGACTCGAAGGAGTGTCGTATAAAGTCAGGAGTGCCTCAGGTTCTTTGTCTAATCAGTATTCCATTTCGAGAAGATTTCATCTAGCTAGGTCTTGACTTTGGGAAGGAAGAAACGTTATGTCTGCTACGTCAACACTCCCTGTGCGAGAGAGTAAGAAGCAAGATGGGGCTGAAGCGAGTAGATTGGTGAAGCCGGCGAAGGAGTTGAGGAAGGACTTTCTGTTTGATCAAAAGTATCGCAACCTCAATCATGGTATGTTAGTTTCAGCAAATGTTCTACTCGTTACAGATATCAGGATCTCAGATTCAAAGCTTGAACCATACCTCTCTTGAGTGGGCTTTCCTATCAATTCTTAGTAGTGGGCTTTCTCCTCTTCCGTCTAAAAGAATAACTCAAGATACGGGTCATGATTTCCTGACTTCCCTTAATCGCCTCTATTTCATCTCCCAAGAGTTCCCATTTTAAATCATCCCCAGGCTCCTTCGGCACCTACCCCAAACCCGTCCGTGACACTATGCGCGCCATGCAGGACGCTGCCGAAGCTCGCCCAGATGACTTCATTCGCTACATCTACCCCAAACTCCTCGACGAGTCCCGCGCTGCCATTGCTGGTGTCCTTAACGCTCCCGTCGACACCCTCGTCTACGTCCCCAACGCTACGACAGGCATAAATACCGTCCTCCGCAACCTCACCTACGAAAAAGGTGATAAAATCCTGCATTTCTCTAGCATCTACGGTGCTTGCGGAAAGACAGTGACGTATATCACCGAAACGACCCCGGCAGAGGCCGTACAGATTGAGTTCACGTATCCCGTAGAGGATGATTGGCTGGTTGAGGAGATGAAGCGAAAGGTTGAGGAAGAGAAAAAGCAGGGGAATCGCGTGCGGATTGCAATCTTTGATACTGTTGTATCGATGCCGGGTGTCCGCATGCCGTTTGAGAAGCTCGCGGCGGCTTGTAAAGAGGTAAGTGTGCTGAGCTTCGTCGACGCGGCGCATGCTATTGGGCATGTGGAGTTGGATTTGCAGAAGTTGGACCCAGATTTCTTGGTTAGCAATTGCCACAAGTGAGTCTCTTTTTCTTTTTCCAAGGCCGTTTTCTCTTTTAGGCCATTTTTAACCTCTATAGATGGCTCTACGTCCCCCGCGGCTGCGCAGTCTTCTACGTGCCGGTCCGCAACCAACACCTGCTCCGGTCTAGCCTCCCAACCTCGCACGGCTTCGTCCCTATTCCAAAGCCAGGCGTCACTTACATCAATCCCTTCGCCCCTTCCTCTTACACCCCCTTTATCTACAACTTCTCCTTCGTCGGCACCATCGACAACTCGCCCTACCTCTGTATCCCCGCCGCGCTGAAGTACCGCGAGAGCATTGGCGGCGAAAAGGCCATCATGGCCTACAACTCCGCTCTTGCGAACGCGGCCGCAAAGCATGTAGCTAAAGTGCTCGGCACCGAGATACTGCAGAACTCGACGGGCACGCTGACGAACTGCTGTCTGACCAACGTCCGCCTTCCGCTCGAGGTCGACGCTATTGTGAAGGTCATGGCAGCGAAGGGGTTGATGAAGACTGCCGCGGAGGTGCAGAGCCTGGTGCGGGATTGGATGGTGGAGCGCATGGTGGAGGAGTATGACACGTTCATTGCCATGGTGGTGTATGGGGGCGCGTGGTGGGTGAGGTTTAGCGGGCAGGTGTATTTGGATATGGAGGATTTCGAGTGGGCGGGGACGGTGTTGAAGGAGCTTTGCGGGAGGGTTGGGAAGGGGGAGTTTGTGATGGAGGAGAAAAGCAGGGCCCGCTTGTGATTGACAGGACTGGAAGTATTGCACATCAATATTTCTAACAGGCCTGCCATGTAACGGAAAAGCCGGACAGCTGATAGATCTTGGAGTGGAGACTATTTCAATCTTTCTTATCCTACGATCTATATGTTACAACGCTTTAGGTGGCTGACTGAAGGACTAGACAGAGAAAGGCTGCTGGCAAGTATGCAGGTTGTTTCTTAGCCTCCAGATGACATACCGTCTAGAACCGGGTAAACAGTGTCCAGCCCGTCTTCCTAACCCTTGCAACGAGCACAAAGGTAGTACCAGCAAGGCAAAACACGCCAGAAAAGATCTTAAGACCCTTCCAACCCCCCGCGCCGTCTATTATAGCGCCATTGATAGGATTAGTCGTCAGACCACCAATCGCGATAACGAACATGACAACGCCTGTGCGGAAACCAAGCTCTGCTATCGGCGAGATTGCTATCACTAGAGGTAGGATCAGTGAGACGTAAGCCCCGGAAAAGAATCCAAATAGGACGGCAAAGGCGATGAGTGCAGCATCGCTTGAGTCAGGTAGCCAGAGCGCAAGGATGTAGATACCAGACAGGTAGCAGACGACGATGAAGATGTTGTAGCGGCCGATTTTGTCGCCTAGGAAGCCTGCGAAGAGACGTCCAAATAGAGATCCGGCGTTCAGAATGGGTAGCAGGTATCCGGCCAAGTCGGAGCTCATGCCTGCGCTGAGCGCCTGGACAGGCAGATAGTTTATAGGGACGAAGAACCCGTAGCTGAACAGGAAGAAACCAACAGCGAGGAGGACGAATTGGAGCTCGGTGAAAGGTTTGGCAAGCTGCGCGCCAGTGGCTTTGTGTGGTTGTGGAGGATGGAAGGGACGGACGGTCAGATTGGCGATGATCAGGAGGAAGAGCATAAGAAATGCGCAGGTACGCATTGCCCAACCGAAACCGACGTTTCGGATCAGATGGGACACCATTATGGGGAAGATGATACCGCCTAGACTGGAGCCCGTGAAGGAGATTCCGAAGGCAGCGCCACGCTTGTGATTGAACCACCCAGCGAGGCAGGTGGCAGCTAAGACAGTTCAGTCGACTCGCATCGAAGGACGGACATAGAAACACATGGGGTACATACAGGGTTGGAAGATGGCTGAAACACCAAGACCGGAGCATAATCCTTGTGCAAGAAGTATCTGGTAGTATTCGGTCCCAAGGCTGGCCATCATGATACCAAATATATGCAAGAGACTGCCACCGAGTAGCAGCCAGCGCACACCATAGCGATCGTATATAGCGCCAACGAAGGGTCCCTGAAGAGAATCATTAGCTTTTATCTAGTGATGGAAGTTTAGAACATACCATGCCCATCATGAAAAAAATCTGTAACGACGGAATCCATGAGATCGTGCTCGGTGAGTAGTTGCTGAGCAGTTCTATTTGATAGTACTCCTGGAATACGCCAACGCCTAGTAGTTGTCAGTGTTAGATTTAAGCCCATGTACGGTTGGAGGCTGCCATACTATTTAGCCAACCGAAGCTACAGAATGATGCGCACCAAGTACCAAGCACAACGAGCCAAGCAGCGGCACCACCATCCGGGGCATCGCTGCCTGGAGGCTCCGGCTCGGGAGCCTTCTCCGCATCATCGTCGTGGGAGGTAGAGGGGGGGTTCGAGTTCCCCGCTTGAGACTCTGCCTTCTCGGTCTCTTCTTCAATCAATTGATCCTCAGCTGCTACCGCGGGTTGATTTGACTCAGACATGATAGGTAGCACTCAAGACTAAACGTATGAATGAAAGGCAAAAGGCTCTTTATAGAAGAAGTAAGGACGGAAAAGAGTTGGACTGAATCTTGAGTTATTTCAAGCTGCCCTCCTGGCTGGTACTTATAACCTAGAGGACAGCGAAAGCTCCATCTTGAGAGCTTGGATGTGGGAAGCTATGCCTCGGAATTAGTAGAACTACTACCGCAGCCCGGGATATGGTGAAGTCCTGTCGCCGGCATACACCTCCCGGAAAGGAAGAAGATGGATTTAGGGCAGTCATGTCTGTCGAAGAGCGGCTAGTGGGTCTGGTTTGAAAGATTGATAAGGTACCACTCGGGCTCGGTCGTAAAATTCTAAATATCATTCTGAGTTGTTGTGGAGGTGACGAAAGTGGCATTTCGGGCTCGGTCGTAAAAAGGGGCCGGTAATAATGGTCATGTGACTACGCTATTCGGTCTTAAAATCGATCGGCTCTTGCTGCGTCGGCTCTTGCTACGACCGAACCATCCTCTGCTGTTCAGCGGAACCAGTATTTTCAGCATCTTTCGACATCCCGAGACAAGGCTATTTCAGCCTGCACTGCCACAGCAAGCACATTTGGAGGTGGAGGTGGGCTCCGAACCAACCACCACCCAATACAGCTTGATGCCCAGGTCTGAACCCGAATCGGAGCTCCCTCAAACCCGCCGCTGGATATCTCGCTCGTGCCATAGTTGCAATAGCAAGAAAATCCGCTGTGACAAAAGAGAACCATGCTCCTCATGCACACGGACTGGCAGGCCCTGTGTCTACCCACCATCGGGGCCTCGGAAACGGCGGGCGAAAGAGACTATTATAGCTGACATGGCCTCCCGTATTTCTGGTCTAGAAAAGTCTCTTAACGAGGCCAGAAACCAAGGGGCATTGATTTCAACGATCCCCACTTACACAACTGCGAGTCTAACGCCCTCGACGACTGCTGCGAACTCTGATGATTTGAGCGAGAGGTCTAATGGCGGTATTCTTGTCCAGAAGGGGTCATCAAGCCAATACTTCAACGAAGTTTTCATATCTAGAGTCATAGAAGAAGTCTTTACACCAATTCCATCAACGATGTTCTATCTGTAGTTCTAACAGCTACCACAGGAGCGAAATATCGAATCGGCTCTGACGCCTCCTCAGACAGCGTCCCCGCAGCCACCAGTGGTATCGCCGTTCAATGCCACGGGAATCCTCTCCTCTGCTTTCTTATCAGTGGCGCCAGCCAGCTTTTATCCGAATACACAACTGGCTGTAAGGCTTTGGAAAATCTACGTGGACAATGTCGAAGGCACTGCAGGATTCAAACTGTTGCATCTTCCTACCGATGAGGTCAAGGTGTATTCAACCATCAATGACCCAAGCACGGCATCCCTGGAAAATCTCGCACTCAGCTTCGCTATCTACTTTACGTCAACAGTCACTCTCGAAGATCCGGAAGCCCACGTGACTCTAGGACAGGATAGGAATACGTTTCTACTCCAATGCAAGGTTGGCCTAGAGCAAGCATTCGCGCATGGAGACTTCTTGGACCGTCCAACGATGACTGGGCTTCACGCCTTGGCCATATATCTCGTATGTTCCATTCTCGTCTAGTGCTTACTTCTTCTGCGGATCTAAGTTGTCTGTCTCTAGTCTGCGCTTCGCGTCCATAATCGCGGCAAAGGGATATGGATTCTCAACGGCCTCGCAATCCGTATCGCAGAGTCATTGGGCCTTCATCGCGATGGAGAGCGGCTTGGTCTTTCTCCTTTCCAGTCTGAGATTCGCCGTCGACTTTGGTGGCATCTGCTCAGTCGAGACGGCCGTTCAGGCGAGGACTACGGCCTACAAAACACCAACAACCTAGTACCTGTGTCAGAAGTTAGCCTGCCGATCAATGTCGACGATACAGACCTCTATCTCGAAATGCAGCACCTTCCTGCACCAAAAGAGGGCTGGACTACCATGACTTTCTCGCTGATCAACATTGGCCTGACAAAGTCAATTCAAAAACTAGCAGCTATCGCCGCGTCATCGACATCTTCGTCTCCTCCAAGCGAACAGGTTAGAGCAAATATTATTCAAGAGAATAAGGTGCGTATCGAGAAGTCGCTGGCACATTGCAATCCGGTCATACCTCAACAACGTCTAACTATCACTTGCTCCCGCTTCCTGCTTCGAAAGCTCGACTTCGTCACGAGACTACAGTGGGCTTTACTGCAGCGTGCGGGTACACCGGTAGATTTTGCGACCGAGGAAAACTTGATCGAGGCCTTGGCTATCTTAGGGCCGAGAATCTACAACGAGGATGGCATGCTGAAGCAATACACGTGGGCCAGGAAGGCTTATCCACAATACCATGTCACCATGTACGTTCTGTGGCATCTGTGTGTCAAACCCGAAGGCCCAAATATCGGCAGGGCATGGGAGGCGGTAGAACCCCTCTTTTCTCAGGAGCTATGGGACGAGTCTACCATTGGATTTGGACCGAAGTCAGCAGTGTTGGTAGCCCTCAAGGCGAAAGCCAAGTCAGTGAGGGAAAACATTCAAAGACTGAACCCAGGGAAGGATGCGAGAACTAGCGATTCTCGATCTCGTCCAGTGTCTGGAGAAGGGGTCTCTGTGTACAGGTTTGAAGATACTGGCAGTGATGACTTTGCTCTCAACACTGACATTGATGAATGGCCAAATTGGGAAGCACTGGTGCGAGGTTTCCAGCTAGATAGTCCCAATGCCTTCTGGCAGGGAGGTGGATTAGATGGCACGTGATGCCAAGCAACTCCAAGATTGCTTACTAACTAATACCTGGCCTGTGCACCTACACCTTCAATACCTTTTACACCGCTCTTACATCCGAACTTCTTCAAGGGCCAAAATGAGAACCCTCGACAGCCTCCCTTCTGAGCTGCGACAGCAGATCGTCTTGAACAGCATAAGCTACGAATTCCAGGAAGTCATACCAACATCGCCAGTGTTGCCAGCCGACGAGGAGCCGCCGTCCCCTATCCCAAGAATCCGGGTGCATACTCCTCTCAGTGGTGTCTGCAAGATTCTCCAAGCAGACACCCAGGAAGTACTCCGCCGTTGGCCTGACGCCAAAACGGGTTCGTTCGGCCCGCTTGAGACGCCATGGGACTTGCGTTGCTTGAACCTTCTCAGCCGTTACTTCACACAGCGTGCCACCACCTTGAACCGCGCATGGCCCGGTATCCAGGAAATGGAAATTCACCTATTCGACCATCGCAAAACTTCCTGGGATTATCCCAAAGGGCAAAGCATTGGATACGACTTGGCTGCAGCACTGCAACATGAATGTATTCTACGCGAGTGGTCTGGTGACTTTGAAGGATGGATCCCTGCAAGCATTAAGGTTCTGAAGATTGACCTAACGATCCCATCTGGGCCACTGAAAGTTCTGGATGAATGCGGCCAGGGAGGTGCTCACGTTCTAGAACACGAGCGAGTCGAATTCCAGGGAAAGTTTTGGTACCACCTTTTCGACCAAGTAGTGCGTACACTTAGCAACATCATCTGGGACAACGGCTTCCTCAATTTTCCCAACAAGATGGAGCACATTGCGCCAGCACTAGAGAATTTGGTGATTGAGACGATTGGAACGGCTCCTGATAGCCAGGTTTATGCCATGGCTAATACGAGGGAATTGTGGAGGGGAAAGTGGGAAAAAAAGCAGGAAATACTTTCTGCCTATAGTTCTACCGATTCCAAGATCGTCCTCGACTTGTCCAATTACACGAGGCAGATCAAGGCGAAACGAGTGGAGCTAGGGCTAGATACTATGGAGAATGTATGAGCTAAGGGGTACTCTGGAGGGCTTGACAGCATTACGGGCCGTCTTTCCTTTTGAAAAAAGATGACTAGTATCGTATTCAACAGCACTGAGTCACCGTAATGGTATCGGTCGGGGCTGTCATGCTCCTCTTAGTTTCTTTCCTCCACGAATTTACACGAACTATCTCAGGTTCCCCCCGCGATTCTTGCTTTCAATTTCCTGCATTCGGTTATCTTCTCATTTAAATACGCGTTTAATTTTATCGAATTTGACATCTCGCTAGGCTTCCAAGGCTGGTCCCACGACCTCTTTCGTGACCCACAACAGCGGCATCGTCTCCTTGAATTCAGTAGTAGAGACCGAAATGCTCACTGCAAGTAGATTAAACCCCAATAAATCAAACACGCTGATGTCCCTCCAGTCCCGGGACTGAAACATGATACTTCCGCATCCGTCCTCGTGATAGTCCAGGAGCAGGCTCTCGCATACGGCAAATCGTGGCCAAGTCCTTGTGCAACGTCGAGGATATTAAACTGCAGCAGGGCAAGCCGTGTCGCGAACATCTTGCGAGCCTCAACCTTCCATTGCTCACGGTGCAACGGCGAAGAGTAGAAATCTCTGATCTTCTTATGAACTTGGAAGTGCTCGGACATGCCCGTATATTTGGAGTCAAAGTACTCTGGGGTAAAATAAGACATGTTTGCAATGTGAAGGCTCTTGGAAACAGATGGATTCTGCCATTCCGGAAGTGAAAGTTGGGAGATGTTTTGATACCGGGAGTACCAGATAGCACCGCTTCTTGGGTGCCGTAGTTCGAAGACATCCACGCAAGCTAGCACTGTAGATCGTTGCAGATCGTTCCAGAATAATCGATTTCCCTCCTTCATTCGCGCGGGCGATGGCCTCGCTGGAAATATTGGATCGTCGTTCGGCTCAACATACATTATGTGTTGTGGCAGGACAAAGCAAAGACTTGTCTGACCATGCGGGACGCGAAGTTCCGGTATGAAGGTCCTGCCGTATCGAAGTTCAAGATCGATCAGGGCTTCCCCTTTGACTTCTCTGTATATTCCGGGTAAGTGTGGAACTCGATAAACTCTGGGCGAACGATTGCTAATATCTTGTAGTGTCTTAGGGGGAACTGCAATGCAAGCCGGGGGCTCACCGAATTACACAATGCCCAAAGCCACCCTGAACCTGCGAAGTATTGGGCTTATAGATGATCTCTCCGAAGGTTTTGTCGCCATGGTTTTGGATCCCGAACATGTTTCCATAATGATACTCGACGTAGCGTGTGGCGCTGTCATCTATAATACGTGTTCTAACGTATTCTCACTCGGCCTGAAAACGGCACATGTCTTTCGCATGCGAAACTCGACGGCATGCTTCTCATTGATGCCCAGAAGTCGAGAGCTGAGATACCCGGTGTCCAATTGGAATGCGGACGAGTCCCCTCGCGTGCAGATGCTCCCCTGAAAGGGGCAAGACACGTTATGTTATGAAGGCAACGACAAGATTTTCAAGAGAATTATGAACCCTTTGGTTCGCGAGCGCATGAAGACGCTAATTCTCCAGAAGTGCTCTACGAAGTAGATGGGCAGACGCGGAGAAGGTTTATACGTTGAGAGATAGAGTTGCGGTGAAGAGACAGCCCACAAGTCAGCCCAGCAAGGCATACTCCTGCTTCGTCCAAAGCACAATCTCAGGCGCCCATTTGACTGCATTGATGACGTGTTGAGACGGTTGAGATATGCCTGATCGCAAGGCTGAAGAAAAAGCAGCGAACGATGACAAGTGAGCCGCAACTCGGCGCTATACCCGGAGTGCTTGGTAGTATAGTTAAATCTTGCGGTGGCCAATCTTACATCTTGCCCATACCATCGAACTATCCCAAGTGGACGCGCACCAGCGTGCCTAACCGTCGACTTGATCATCGTCTTGGCATAGCGAATGATTCATAGCAACCTTTCAACACCCAACCAACCTCCAATCTAAATCCAAATCGCATTATTGCTCTCAGCTCCAATAAGGTCCAGCGTCCGGTAGCGGTATCTGGCCCAATTCTCCACCCTCGCCCACGGTTCCCATCCCAGGAATCAATCTCATCGCGTGCAGCCACTCTACCAAAGAAATGCCTACCATCAGAGCGCAACAGAGCGCAAAGCAAGCTCCCTTCAAAACCTCCCTGCCTCCTCTCCCATCTCCATTCCTCTTCACACACCGCACCCCACACACTCCGCAAAAACCTCTCCCAAAACCACTTCCGGACGCATACGACGACACACGCAACGACACCCAAAGCCTCACACAATGGCCGCCGCAACCACCACCACCGACAGCTACTACGTCCTCTCCATGACCGCCACTCCTCCTCCCCACCGCCACCCCTACCTCGAAACCAAACCCGACACCAACGTCCCCATGGCACCCCGACCAGCCTCTCCCACGAAATGCACCCGACTGCAGGAACCACACGACCGCCACGCCGAGGCGCCCGAGCACGACGACCACGCCAGCCATCACGTCCGTTTCCTGCTGCCCGAGCCCGCGAAGGTTATGCAGAAGAAGCACCTGCGCTGGGCGGACAAGCTGTTCCGAGGAGGGTCCCGCTTGTCGTGGGCGGAGAAGGTGGAGAGAGCGCGGAAGAGGGATGGCAAGATGGGGCGGAAGGAGATGCTGGATTTCTAGGGCGAGGTACCTGGACGTTGGAGGAGGTGGTTTCTGGGAGTATGTGGTCGGCCTTTTTTGGGGGGGAGGGGGGAATTTTTGAGTTTGGGGTTTTGATGTCGGTGGAACGGGCGTTGATGGGCCGGAGACTGGATCTAGGAGGTGATATGCGTGGTCGCGGTGAGCGAGATGTTGGGTCGGAGGAGGGTTTCTAAGAGGTAGGTTTGTGATGGGCACCTGTTTCATAGCCGCTACGTGCGAAAGTAGGTAAAAATCGATGCGTTTTTCTCGAGGTTGAAATGTTGTGAAGAATTCCCGGAGTGCTTCATGTCTTGGCCGCTTCGATGTCATAGCTGTCGCACGCAAAACCAGAGGCGCAGCAATCAAGAGGAAAGGCACCACAACTATAAGAACAAGTGTTTCGAATCATAAACCTACATACTATGCCGCCTCCCTGCGCTTCCACATCAACCCTCATTCTTCCACGCAGACAAGTAGAGACTTGAGAAAACCACGCACACACAGGTATATGAGCAAGCAACACGAAAAGGGTCCCTTGTGAAAATGCAGTCGAAACAACAAAACGCACTCCACGACCATGGAAAACACGACGAGAAGGGCTGACGACGGGGAGACATGAGTTAGTTACAAACCGCAAAGCAGATAGAGGTATCCACGTCGACCCATACATGACACAATCCCCGCCGCCCTTCTCCGGGTACTAAGCATTACGTAAACACGACCTCCTCCGCCGCATCCAATCTATCCCGATGAACCTTTCCAACAAAGAGGCCATTCCATCGTCGTACTTCGTTCATTCCTTATTTATCGTGGTGGAACTTCTCCTTCAGCTTGCCGAAGAACGAGAGTCGGTTCTTCTTCTTCTGCTTCTTGTCAGTGCTGGCGACGCTCTCGGGGGTGCCGACGGCGGAGGCCTCTCCATTCTTCTTCGGCGTCTCTGGGGTGCTCTTGGCCGGAACCTTGCTGGACTCGACGCCAGTGGTGACAACTGGAGCAGTTTCCGCGGTCGTGGGCTGCTTCGACATGGGCGAGATGTCGCGAGAATCGACTGCTTTGGGTGTTTCTACAGCCGCAGCTGTAACAGGGGCGGTCGCACTGGTTTCGGCAGTCACCGTAGGAGCGGGTTCGCCGGCTTCGTCAGTGGTCTTGACCTCTTTCAGCAGCTCCTGCTCCACCTCCTTCTTCTCTTCGACGGCTACCGGGTTAGCAGCGGCCTCCGGTCCAACCTCCGCTTCTTTCTGGCTCTCGGCCACAACTTCAGGCACTTCGGGGGCAGCCTCAGTGGCTTCGGCAGCCGCGGTAGGAGCGGGTTCACCGGCTTCGTTGGTAGTCTTGATCTCTTTCAGCAGCTCCTGCTCTACTTCCTGCTTCTCTTCGACGGCTACTGGGTTTGCAGTGGCCTCCGGTCCGACGTCTGCTTTTATCTGACTCTCGGTGACAACTTCAGGCACTTCCGAGGTGGTGGCAGTAGCGGCAGGCGAGCCGTTGAGACCAAAAATACGAGCAGCGGTGTCCTTGGCCGAGTAAGTAGCTCCAGCGAAAGCAGCAGCTCCGCCAGCCGCAGCACCACCAGCAATAGCAGCAGCCTTCCCAGCACCAGAAGAGCTATCGGCCGCGGGAGGCTCCTCAGGCACCTTTGCCTTCAACTCTTCTTCGACCTCCTTCTTCTCGAGCACTGCTTCGGAGTTCGCGGAAGCTTCAGGGCTGAAGTTTGCCTCTTGTTGGCTCTCGGAAACGACCTCCGGAACGCCCTTTGGCTCCTTGGGCACGGCACCTGCAAGCGCGGCAGTGGAGCTAAGAGGAGCGGCCGATTGGATCGTGACGCCTGGATCTGTCTCAGCAGCTGTGCCTGCTCCCATTGGCAAGCTAGACTCCGGAATCATTATGCCGCCAATTGGCGGGATCCCAAACATACCTCCTTTGGTTTCGCGCTCAGCCTCAGGGGTGACAACAGGACCCAGCTGCGGCGGGGCGGCGTCCGACGCTTCGTAGGACTTTTCGTCAGTCTTAGCGGTGCTTGATATGGTGTTGGAAGTCAGCGTGCTTGGGTCTGGGACCTTCTCGCCAGGCGCAAGGTGAATAGGGTTGCCAGCGCCGGCAGTTGCGGGTATCGGGTTGACGCCAAATGCCCTCTCCTCAGGCTCGTCATCCTTGACAGTTGACTGTATGGTGTTGTTCGTGAGGGTGCTAGGGTCGGGCACCTTCTCGCCAGGTGCCAGGTGAACGGGGTTTCCGAGGCCTTCAGTGGCGGGTATGGGGTTCACGGAGAAGGCGTTGGGCTCTGTTGCTGGCGTCTCGGGGAACGCGCCAGGCACAGGCGAAGCCTCCTTCTCCTTGGGCACGGCTCCAGCCAGCGCAGCGGTGGATGATGCGGGGGCGGCGGAAGAAAGGGTGTGGACAGGTGTCTCTTTGATGTCGTCGGGGAGGAGGATATTGTTGTAGTTTGGTCCGTCATATTCGCCGGGCGCCGTGTCGTTGGTCACCCAGTTGCCGTCAACGACGAACTTGGAAGGCATTGTCAGCGGGAAAGGGCAGGAATTAAGTGTTGGAGATGATGTGCAAAGGCAACAGTGGGTCGACGACGGCAAGCAGGTTTATTTGCGGGAGTCGCGCCAGCAGAGTCAGCGCCGGCGAGCGAGGAAAGCACCAACCTTGTATTCGACCTTCTGCTTCGGCAGCTCGACGGTCTTCTTGAAGATGCCGCCTTCCTTCTCCAGCTTGACGCTTTGCTTCCAATCATCGAAGGTGCCGGTGACGAAGACTTCGTTAGCGCTGTGCTCCCTATAGCCAGTTGGTCAGCGCGGGTAGGCGGGGCCGGCGAGGGCACACGATGCGTACCAGGTAAAGGTATAGCTGCCCATGGTTGCAACGGGCAGTGTAGGGGACAGAGGAATGAGGCGATGAGGGCGAGTCGGTCGGAGACAGCGGCTTCAGTCCTCTAGTGCGCGCGAGGGCTGGGGATGAAGGGGTGAAGGAGCTGCTGGGGTGGCGGGGGGCAGCGGGCACACGGGCAATGCGGGCAGTGAGGATGTGAAGAAGTGGGAAATGGCCTGCGATGCCGGATAGGGATGCAGGATGCTGGGGCAGTGGTGGAGCTGGAGCTTTCGTGGGGCGTGTGTGCAGACGAATGAAGACGACGCCAGGCATACAGCCGCTAGAGCAAAACAGGCCTGGCGCGCATCGCCACGAGGTGGATATCGCCGTTGGAGATTTCATGCATATCTAATTCATGTGCTGGTGGGAGCCCGGCTGCAATTGGGCGCAGGCGGGCGCACAATGGCACGCGCAAACGTGCTGCCATGCTGTCGCTCTCGCGAGCTGCAAACGTGCTTGCGTCATGCCGTCCGCCTGATACGTGCCTCCACGCCTCGTTTCTCCAGCCTCATTGCCATGCTGCGGCGTGGAATCGTAGCACAACAGGGCCACAGGGCCGCAGGGCCGCCGAGGGACTCACTCCACCGCTGCCGATACACCACGGCCGGCTGCTGCACGGGACTCGGCCGTCGTCGCCGTTGACGATGGCCTAACTTGCTGCAGACAAGGCCGTCCTGACCGCCAGTTCACGCTCCCAGTTCACGCTCCCAGTTCACGCTCGCCCGGCCGCCAAACACTGACCTTTCCAACGAGTACCTCGACAGAAACAGCAAGTACGATATCCCAATGTGCACTCAAGCAATTGCCTTTCCCATTCAGGGAACTGAGCTGCTCATGCTCCAGCCTGAGTTGTGGCTGTGCTGGGTGAGCGCATCCTGAGCCGCATCTTATCAGCATGGGTCACGTGATCTTGGGTTTGCGGTCTATCCTACCTAGCACCAGATGAGTAAGACCACGAAAAGATGACAGCCATTAGCACCATGACGACTGAAACAAGGCAATTACAAATCTCGGTCTTGATAGGGCCATATTCGTGAATACGAGACTGTGTGAGTCGGACTCAGCCATGTTTACAAACATCTCCTTGACGGTATTGTTGATGCGTGAAGCCTGCTCATAATTTTCTCGAAGGACCATGCCATCCAGTGGGATCAGGTTATCGTTCTGAAGCTGGTGCAGGACTTCTCTGAGACCCTCTACAAGCTCCATCTCACTGTTGTGGAGCTCTAGTTCCTTCTCCGTAAACTGTATAGGACAAGGTACGGCCGCTGGTGCAATTTCTTCCCATTGAGCAGCTATGTGTACCAAGGCGTGACGGAAAGAAAACACGTTGTTCCTGCTCCAGGCGCCACAAAGCAAAGAAACGGGGTTGATCAAAAGAGAGCGATTGTGCAAGGTCATTGCGGCCCACCGCTGCTCATTTGTAAGCTTGGTAAGGTTTTGGTAATGGCTGAGCAGGTTTGCAGTGTTGTCTATATCGTTTGTTGCATTGGATCCTTCTGTTGCGGCATTCAATCGGTTACTAGTGGTGCTAGATCCGACTGGAAGAAGTAAACGTGGGATATTGTGTTGGAAGAATAGCTCAGACACTGAGGCCGACTGCCAGTCGATAATGCAAATTATTCGCTTCGTCTCTGGATCGACGAGTATATTATCGAGGTGAAGGTCTGGGTGGGAGAGCGATGTCTGAGAAGGAGCCGGCGATAGATGTGGTGTTGAAACAGTCCAGTCACGTCTCCCCGAAACCTGTCTTGGGGCCTACCAAGCCTGACGCAGGGGCAGCGCAGAAGGTGCCCACCCGCTGTTTCAGCACTCAACACTCTCGGCATCGCGGGCCTGCGTCGCTTGCCGGTGGCTGTGATAGACAGCTTGACTCGGTCGGCGTCGTGGTTCTTTCACCGCTCACCGCACGGCTGTCTCTGGCGCTGAAGTTAGGTTTGGCTGCCAAAGGCATGGCGGAGACAGCCCCGCAGAGGCCACCGCCCACCGCCCACCGCCCACCGCGTCACCGATCAGCACCGCTTTGTCGCATTCTTGGAGGGCGGCCGTCTTTGTCGGCGGCACGGCGGGCGTGAGGCGCGGCTCTGCAGTTTGATACACCACGGACAAGCTCATCGCGCGGAGGCCAGGCGGCTGTCCGTGGGGCGGGCGCTAGAAGGGCGGCTCCAGCTGGGGGCGATGCGGCGGGGAGAGCTGCACGGCGAGGCCATCGCGCTGGTGGAGAGCGCTCCCAGCGCTCCCCGCGCGCCGCCGTCTCAGACCCAGTGGACTGCGCTCCGTGGCATGTGTGTGCCTCTAATCGCCGGCGTCGGGCCCTGTGCCTTGCTGTGTGACTCCCACGGCCCACCGAATGGTTGCTTCTTCTGCCTTCTAATGTTCTAGAAAGAGCCCCGCAGCTGCACCAGGAAGCCCCCATCTGCCTGCCCGCGCGCCTCCACGACGTCCAGCTCGCCGCCATTGCGTGCCATCCCAACCCTTCCCCGATCCCTCGCTGTATTCTCACCACCGCCGGCCTCAATTCTTCGCCTGCTGCCTCCTCGCCCTGCCCTGCTGCTCTGTCCATCACTACGCGCTCCGCATCCGCCATTGCGTCCTCTGCCGGCCGTCACACGGCAGCAGCGTCATCCCTGCGCTTTTGGCCTCTCTCGCGAACCAACGTCAAAGGAGTGCGGGTCCACCACAACCCCTCCCCTCTCACCACACCTCCATGTCGCTGCCACCCGACTACTCCAATGAAATCTCCGCCCTCAACCGCGAGATCCTGAAGCACAGCCCCCAAGACGTCCTGCAGTTCTGCGCCAACTTCTTCCAGCGCCGCCTCGAGTCCCAGCGCGCCGAGTTCCTGCTGTCCCAGCACCATTCCACGCAAGGCGGTGGCATGGCCGAGAGCACATTCCCCGGCAGCAATCCCTTCGGCTCCTCGCCCAGCGGCGGCCTCTCTACCGCTGGCATGCACCGCCTCGAGGAGGAGGAGGAGAACGACACCGTCGCCTCGCCCACCGCCCAGTCCTTCCCGCGCTCCACCGACGCCGCTCCCTCCAGCGGCGAGTCGCCCTTTGGCAACTTCGGCGGCTTCCAGTCGCAAGCCAACAGCCGCGCTGCGGCCTCCAAGTCGCAGCCCCCCTCGTCGCTCCCGATGGACCCCCAGAGCTTCCCCAGCAACTACAACATGAACCGGAGGACGTCCGTGTCCGCCGAGTCGCTCAACCCCACCTCCTCCCTCAACGACAACTGGACCCCCCCGTACCACCAAAAGACGGACGACCAGCAGACACGCCTCAAGCAGGCCGTGTCAGGCAACTTCCTCTTCTCCCACCTCGACGACGAGCAATCCGCACAGGTGCTAGGTGCCCTACAAGAGAAGCCAATACCCACAAAGGGCATAAAGGTCATCCAGCAGGGTGACGTCGGCGACTACTTTTACGTCGTCGAGGATGGCCATTTTGACATATTCGTCAACAAGAGCGGCAAGCTAGAACCAGGCCCCGATGGCCTGGGCAACAAAGTCGGCAGCGTCGGACCGGGCGGGTCCTTTGGCGAGCTGGCTTTGATGTACAATGCTCCCCGCGCAGCCACCGTTGCCTCAACCGAGCCCTCGACCCTATGGGCGCTTGACCGAGTAACTTTCCGCCGCATCCTCATGGACAGCGCATTCCAGCGACGTCGGATGTACGAGGGCTTCCTCGAAGAAGTCCCGCTACTATCGTCGCTAACGCCGTACGAGCGGTCCAAGATTGCCGACGCGCTCGAGACTCGCAAATTCCCCGCCGGCACGACCATCATCAAAGAAGGCGACGTGGGCGAATCTTTCTTCATCCTCGAGAGCGGTTCCGCCGAAGTCTATAAGCGCGGCATCGACAAGGCCGTCAATAGCTACAAGAAAGGCGACTACTTTGGCGAGCTTGCCCTCCTCAACGACGCACCCCGCGCCGCCTCCGTCGTCAGCAACACCGAAGTCAAGGTGGCGACGCTCGGCAAGGACGGTTTCCAGCGCCTGCTAGGCCCCGTCGAGGGCATCATGCGGCGGAACGACCCTAGTAAGCTGGGGACAGAAGGTGTGGACCCTTTGGCTAAGGGAAAATAGTGGGCGCGGGTAGAACTCATTCTGCCCCGGCGAATTTCGGGCCTATTCCGCGCCTTAGTTCTTTGCATGGCCTGATGGTAAAAGGCGGATGGACGATGGATGGTCCTGTTGCTTAAAGTAAGGAAAGAAGGATGACCGACAGTAAGGAAATAGGCTGAGTCGTGCCGTCTACGGCTCGATTCTCGGCCCTTTATAAACGCACGCGAATTCACGAATAGGATACTCTAGAATGGATGGTGAATGAATGGATGGACGGGCGGTTTCAAATTCAAGTTCTTGTTATTCTCCCCCCGCTGTACTCCTCGTCCGCTGTGATTTGGGAATTCACAGATTGGCTGGGCTAAATGTGGTTTTTCTTACTCTCACTACACTACTACTACTACTACTACTCCTCCTCTACATTAAAGCACCGGGCGTTTTTGCGTTTTACGTTTTCTATATGTTGTGATTGTATGCGTACCATTCCGCACTGTCACTAAGGGTCGTTGCTGTCTGGGGCTAGAGCTGGACAGGGACGGGCACGTGGGGTATGTTGGGAGGGTTGGGAGGTGGCTGAGTTGTTGTGGGCTTTGTGTATCGTATCGAATGAATCGGGTTTTGCTGATTGCAATAATGGCAGCTCTGTTATTCGAGTGTTTGGTGATCTATGAGGAATGACTAGGATGTCACGTGATATACTCTAGGAGTGAGTCTTGCGATATTGAAGTATAGAGAGTGAGTACAAGAATAGGTCAAGGCACTAAGCAAAGCGAAGAAAGCTCGTGTCACAAATCATTCAGACCTTGAATATATCACTGGCATCGGCCTTGTTCATAAGCAAGAGCAAAGGTCAAGCAAAGTATGATTTGGTTTCGCACGACCACGCATGGTATGGTGACATGCATGGCCCGTGTAGATATAGCCTGGAAGCTGAGTTGGAAAAAAAAAATCGATCTTCAGTGACGAATAGGTCTTCAGGCTTTGGATGTGTGAAGGCTCGTCCACTTCGAACCACTCAACATACCCCAGGGGGCCCCATTTATCCGCTAGAATTAAAGCTCCCGAGTGGATCAGGTGCTGAGAGTGTTGAATCGCTCTGCCGGACCTGCGTCCCTAGCCTGCTGTATGCACATCTCCTGTCTGAAGACCTCCATATTCTCTTCTGTAATATAGTCGAGGACCTCTTGCTTGGTGAAGCCTGTGGTCTCTATACCCTGCTTTCTTGCCTCGTCTCGTCCGCCTCCGTGGCGTTTTCGAACATTGGCTTCAGCTTCTCTTGGCAGAACCGGCTTAATAGCACTGCGTGCTCGGTTGCAAGGTCTTTCTCGTCCTCTCGGAAGACGAGAGCATTGCCAACACCGTGCTGCCAGTGGCTAGGCACAAGGCCCCAGCTATCGCTCCTAGGATCTGTGTTCATGAAGAGGGGGGATGCTGATTCATTGACAAGACTGAAACCTTCCCCTTGCTGTGTCTTCTCTCTTTCCCTCTCTTTCCAGACCAGGACAGGGAGGTTGACAAGGTTGGAGGTTGGAGAGAGTTCGCCGTCCAAAACTGCGGGGCCATGTCTGAAAACTCCAACTCTAACAAAACGACTCGCGTTGTAGCGATGTTGTTCGCCTTCGCATCTGATCTTGACGCAGAAGATCTCGTTGTCGTCGAAGGGTGACAAACAGTTCAGAGCATGGCGGTAATCGGTCAGCTTGACGTCGTCGTAGTAGACGGGAGCGCTGTCGCCACCTCGCTTTCGCAGACACCACTATTGGACCGCTCCATTTGAAAGGCATGGTTCCTACGAGGGCCGCAGCTTGGGCGAGGGTGCAGTTGGGTTCATCGAACTCAAGCCCGTCTAGCTCATCCCGAAACGCTAGATCGATAGTGTTGCGCAGTCTTCGTTGAGGTTGGCCAACTAGCTGTAGAGAGCGAAAGATCGGTATTGGATCATCAGTTCCCAAGCATGGATGACACCAATGCGAATTCTCGGGCGTGTCCAGAGAAAGAAGATAATTTCTCATAGAGAACCTATACCATACATGGGCGCTTGTTTTCCTGTGGCCCTGGGAGAAGTATTGCTCGCCTATGCTGAGGTGATGGGCGCGGCCTCTGCTTTGCATACTTCTTGCACAGGTGTTTGTGGCTTCCCCAGTCAATCAATTGGCATTCCTTGAAGCAATATCCGCAGCTCCGACAAAATGGAGCACAGCTCCGCTGGACGTTTATGACAAGTTATGCGGTCATCATCTTCAAAGAAATTCTCTGGAAGTGAATTCTCGGAGGGCTTTGGGTCTCTGGAAAAGGAATCGACTCTATTCATCTTATTAGCTTAGACTTCAAACGCAGGAGAGTTTAGAAGAGGAGTACACACTTGAGCTCTACGATAGCATGAACTCTGTCACCGATCGGTAGCTTGTCGGCGTTGTCGTTATCATTGCCTTCAGCAAGCACCAAGAGCTTGAAGAAGCTGTCGAATTGCGAGTCTGCCGTAGACATCTTGGGTTATAGCAGCAGACCTGTGCCTTGTAGAGCTGTTATAGAAAAGTCCTTGCAGTCAAGAACTGCAAGATTTCAGCAATGTAAAGTTTCGGGGCAAGCCGGGAGGAGTTGTCTACTCGCGTCGTGCCGGGCCGAAGTGACTTCAGAGAGATTCGAAGCCGTCGGGCGTCCTTCGAAAAAGCCCATAGATCACCAAGACTTAGTGGAGCAGTCCGAGCCCAGAGAGCTTGGTGAAGTGTTTCGGTTACAGAGGTGAGTTTGCGACAGTAAATGAGATAAGGTGGTGTGTGGAAGAGAACAAAGCACGATAGAAAGCTTAGCGTTTCACTGTAATTGCAACCTTGGAAGACCGAAGGCATGAGAGCATTCAATGAACAATCGACGGAGCACAGGCTGAATGCAGCTGTTAAGATAAGATTCATGAGTGAATGAAACGCAGTTTGTAGCCGAGAAAATAGCAAAGAGAAATTCTCCCAACATAGATGCAGGTCGTACCCGGCGAGTAGTCTCTACATACTATATATCATTTTTGGTATCGATTCCATGAGGAGCCCGCTTAGGTCGATTGTCGTAGGACAAACCCCAAGCAGCAGACCGGGGTGACGAATGTCGAAGGTGAATGCATCAGTCTTCAATCTATTTGGAAATCGCCCGACGTCGTACACACGGTCAAAGATCTGTATAAAGGACATCAATGGAAGCAACGGCTATGTCTTGACGCTGTGTGAATAGCCTCGCCAGTTTACTAGTTGTCCAAAGTGCCGCATTTCTCTCTTATTAGGAATGCTGAAAATACTATGAAGCTCCTCACGCAGCGGTAAACGAATGCACGGATTTCAACGATGGGGGATTGTAAGTTCCACTCATCATATAGTGATGGGAAAGGTAGGAAACGAGAAACACAGATTTAAGGAAAGAGATATTGATTTCCCCAACTTCTTTACTGTACCTTACTACCTAACAAAATTCTTCGCATAGCCTACCTGGACCTTTTTCGCTGCAACGGAAGCACAGACCATGATGCAAAGTTGCATTGCGAAAGCTGAAGAGGTTCTCAGTTGCAAGGGAAGACGTGTCGTTGAACCCTGTGATCGACATAAAGTTACGCACGTGGCTGAGTGGAGCTCGAGCTTCGCAACAGACGCCGGTCCTTGAACCTGGGAAATCACCAATACAAACATCTGCCTGTTTGGAGTATTTGACCTGCTACGCCTGCCTGCTACCCACACTGTGCCTGATATTCAGAGTTGCACTGCCACAGCGCTCTTCGAGTACCCAGCCCACGAGACTCTTTCACTACTATATAGGCATAAAAGCCCAACATACTCTCCACTCTCCACTCTCCACTCTCCGCTCTCCGCTCTCCAAGCTTCTACAACCATAAAACAGGCATATCACCATCGACAGCCATTGTCGCGCTCAGGCGCTCCCCTCACGATGCCTCTTGACATCTCTATCCCCACCACTTCCACCTCCGAAGGACCCAAGCCCTACACCAAATACGCCATCCGCATCGCTGCACCCCTCCGAACTACCATCCTTCACAAACGCTACTCCGACTTCGCCGCCCTTCACTCCCTCCTTATCTCCCAAGTCGGCACTGCGCCTCCAGCACCGCTACCAGGAAAATCATGGCTAGGCGGCGGCCTAGGGAGACTGGGACTTGGCAGCACGAACGGCAGCCCTGAGATGGTCGAGGAGCGGCGGAAAGGACTGGAAAAATATCTGCGGGCTATAGAGACCTCGGAAGACGGACGATGGCGCATGAGCGATGCGTGGCGCAAGTTCATGGAGTTGGGCGCTGCGTCAGCGGGGCGGAATGGGAGCGTGAGCACGAATGCGTCAGGACTAGGGAAAGACGCGATCAAGGACGGGAGTGATTGGTTGGATGCGCACGCAGAACTGAAGAGTAGGCTACAAGAGGCCAGGCTGTGGCTCACGAAGAGAGAACAGGCAAATACTGCTAATGCACAGCACGAGGCTGGGGCGAACGCGAAGAGGAGCCTTGTGAGGGCTGGCACGTTGATACAAGCACTTGAGCAGGCACTAGAAAGATTGAGTGGAAAAGGGGGAAGTGAGTGGGGTGGTGAAAAACTAGGGGATGGGGAAGTGAGGAGGCGGCGGGATCTGATTGGAACGGCGAGGAAGGAGAAGGATGGACTGGAGGGTGTGCTTAATGCCATGGCTGTGAAGTCTGTCGCTTCTAGTACGCAAGGGCCAACATCTTCAGCCAGCGCGACATCAGAGCAAAAGAGTAGCTTGTTCAAGGGAGCAGCGGGCGGTGGAAGGAGGGTATTAGGTGTGCCAGCGAAGGAGACCGAGAGGACACGAGAGCTCGACAATGATGGCGTTCTGCAGCTCCAGAAACAGATCATGGCAGAACAGGACGAAGACGTTCAGGACTTATCGCGGGTCGTAAGGAGGATGCGAGAGATGGGGGTGCAAATCAATGAAGAGGTTGTACTGCAGAACCAGATGCTTGGACTGTTCGAGGAGGATGTTGACAGGTATGTCATGTTCCAGCTGCTCATCTACTCAAACTTGTCTCCAGTGGTGCTAACTACACATGCAGAGTCGACGGCAAAATCAGGATTGCAAGAAAGCGTGCAGACAAGATCAAGTAGTTATTTCCACGGGGGACCTCAGGCATTGTCGAGAGCGACACATATACCCGGCGCTTGCCTCCTGTTTTTCCGTAGAGTTGAATATGACACACAGTTCTGGCCTGATTTCCACGGCCTATCTCTCATGCTCCATTTTCGTCTTGATTTCGTCCGTGGAACGCGGTCAGTTACCACTCGATCACAGCATCGGCCTCTTCCATCTCTTCTCTGTCCACACTCATACCCTCATAAGCCACCACAAAGTCCCTCAACCGCCTCACATTTCCACTCCGAATATCAGCCCGAATCTCCCTCATCACCAGATCGAAGAACCAGTACGGCGCAAACGCGTCCATCTCCCGCTCCAAATCTTCTTCCTCCATGATTCTCACCTCTTCTTCGCCCTCCATGCTCACATCTCTACCACCACAACGTTATGCCCGCCCATCAAAACGTGCAGCAAAGGACAAACTCACCTCTCCTCATCTCCGGCCTCCCCAAGCTCACCGATCCCCCCACCCTCCAAATCGTCCCCTGCCTCGGCCCTCTCCAACACCTCAGCCACGTCCTCCAAACACTCCTCGACCTCCTCTTCATCCCCCCGCTGCTCATGGTAAACCCTACCCCCATCTGCCTTCCACGTCCTGATATACGCCTCCCGCGCTGCAAACCCGTCTCCCGCCTCCGCCTCTCTAACCGCCGCCAGGAATTGGTTCTCGATCCGCCGCAGCGGGCGCGCAGGGATGACGTACACGAGGAGCGCCGCGCGCGTGAACCGGGTGTTGAAAGCGTCGGGGTGGAAGCCTGATCTCGGGTCTAGGGCCAGGAAGAAGAGGAAGCGTAGGGCGGCGAGGGGTAGGATGGGGTCGGCGCGGTGATGGGCCGCAAAGAGCGCGCAGCGGATCAGCGGCTTGGTGTGGTAGAGCTCGTAGGAGATGTCGGGAGGGGTGCTGAGGGGGACGAGCTGGGTCAGAGGACCGGTTTGGGCGGCGTGATTCATGGTAGGGTGTTGGATGGTTGTGGTGAATGGGTTGGAATTGTGTAGGCTTTGGATGAGGACTGTGGTGGGCTGTGCGAGGTTGAGGGAAGAAGGAGAATTGAGGGATGAGGCCATTTTATGTGCATCAGAGGGTGAATTTGAGAGTGAAGTGCAAGGCGTTTTCACCGCAGTTTGAGGGGTTAGGTAGCTATGGCGGGTGGGAAGAAAAGAATAGCAACGATTGTTTGACTTATTCGGTCCCCTAGCGAAGGTCCTCTGGGCCATCGGAAAGATGCCAAGAGCTGGACCCGGTGAATTGAGCTGGAAGTTTGTACATCGCGAAGCCCTATTCTGGCGTCCAGGGGGCCATACGTCCTCACCTAATCACCCAGCGAGTATGATAGTTCGCCATCGATTCTTGAGTGCTCAATCAAAGCTCTAGATTCGAGCGTAGAAAGGGACATCTAGTTCAGCCGTTGCCAGCAGGCCGTAATGATCAGTTACCCATTCTTCACATCCCATGTCTCGCATGTCCTGCCTCTTGTCATCGGCAACCTTGATTCCCACTCCTATTCTGTGTAGTGCCGTTACCTTCACCAAACCACAGTAGAGGACCTTATCCATCCTGCTGCACCCAAATTTATCCTTCATCCACTGCGGTACTTGTTGGCCCCATGTGTAGCCCTCTTCGGAGTCCTCCACTCCTCCAAGTTCTAAGTAGGCATCCTTTAGCTCATTCTCTGAATGGAGTGTCCGGTCAAAAGGCTGAATAGCATTGAGATCCCCCGCGAGTAGTGCTGCGTGCACGTGTGGTTCGTGCAAGTATCTGGCGGCAGAGGCAAGCTGTAAGGGCCGGACCGGAGGCTCTGCTACGAGGGACTCTAGGTGCGTGTTACACAGTCGCAATACCCTCGCGTCTCCACTCGATTCATCGTGCAGGGAAATGTCTACGAACAGCCCATCACGCTCGAATTTGGTTACCCAAGGCACCCGGAATAGCCGCGAGACCCGCAGTTTCCTATCCACGAAGGTCGTTGTGCCATACATAGGACCATTCCAGCTCCTTTCGTCGATGTCAGTAAGGAAGAAGCGTTTCTGGATCCAGCTGCTAGCTCGTATTTGCGCCATATCGGACTGGCCCATCTCTTGGAGGAATATGACGATCGGATGGGACGCCGGCACACTGGAAACGAGGCTCTCGAGATGCTCTAGGGCCGCTGCCATGCGTGCCTCCGCTCCGCCAGTCAGGATGTCAATGTTCCAAGTGATCAGGCATATGGATGAGGCTTTAGCGCTGCCAGAAGCTATGGTGGGTGGGTGTTCCTGCCAGCTTGCCCCTTCATAGCCCCAGTAGGATTGGGCCTTTGGCTGGTAGTGAGAGTCATCGAGTACTTGGGCGGGGGGCTCTGCGAGCTTTGCGGCCAACGTAGCTTCGATAGATCCGGCTTTGGCAGACATGATGTATAGTACTAGGATACAAGACTGTGTACGAAGTATATTGGAGTGTCACTGATTTAAGTCCGATCGAGAATCTGACCGAGGGGTAGGCAAACCATAGTGAACGACTTTTAAACTCGCCAGACAACGCCCACTGCCGATACCTAGAAGCGATTACCAGCATACTTTCTTCGCAGTCGTCATTACTAACTCCGGCAGTGAGCGGCACAGATTGATGTGGCAGGGATGGGATCATACAGCCCTACGATTTGGCGACTTGAGGGTTCACCTTGCCGCTTGACCACTTCTACCACGACTTCGTCATAACATCAATTCCTCCATGCCACGACCGCCGTATTCTCTCGCCACCGCCTGAGGTGGGCCCGTGGCCTTCCTACAGCGACAATGGACGCGCAGAAGCTGATCTCATCCATGTGCGTATCACGTCCTGCCCACCAAAAGCTGTCCACCGTGAACTGACCACCTCCAGCGGCCTTGTTGCCGGCCTGGTATTCCTCCCCGGCCTTGTCCGTACCTCGTTCGCCATCGACCGTCCAATACACTCGTCAATCGTAGTACTCGCCGTCTGTGGAGCTTGTATAATTGGGTTGGACCGAACGCGCGCCTTAAAGGATACCAAATCGCACCGACACCGCTATGGGCCCATACCCCTGGAAGACGCGAGTGATCGGCGCATATCGGGCAATAGATCAGTACACGGTGAAGAGAATGGGAGCAAGCAATCGCCGCTGTCCAGCTTGAGACGGCTGCGTCTTGTCTTTCTCATTCTTGTTGGCGCTCTCTGCGCCCGTGTAGAAGTGCTGCATCAGGTCGCCAAAGGAGTCCAATGCACTCGTGGGAGCTACCAAGTATGCCTCTAATATGTAGGGCTTTATGGCTACTCTGCTAATCCTCTGAAGCCATTTCTACCATTTCTTCTAGCCGTGTACGATTTCGCTATTATCCGTCGGCATCGTCAGGAATGGAAGCCCGATGAAGAGCAAAATGGGAGCCCATTCAAGCAAGTGTTTGCTCGCCTCTCTAGACATCGGTACATGCTGGTCTTGTCTACTCTGCTTCTAGGCTTGTGTAGCTCGCTCGAGTTGTCGGCAACTGCACCGCCATCCTCGACTTACATATGCGCTACAACGTTACCAACATTCACTCTAGTGCCCGCGATCCAGCTTCTTGGATTGTTCCTGGACGCCTTGATATTTGTACTAGTGTTCCATATCCTTGATCTGGGTTCAGATTCTCCGCAGTCTAATGTCAATGCGCCTCGGATCATAGGCTGGGCCTTCCTTGTGAGATTGTCCAGATGACAGCTCGTAATCATTGACTGACACCTAAACTGTAGCTGTCTGCTGTCGTGTGGACCATTATTGGGGCTTTAGTCTTCTTTGTAAGCCCCGACGATCGCCACTGGATTCTCACCCCAGATAGAACCTATCTCTGGAGTCTGTTCAACCTTACCCTAGCCGTTTGTATTACGGTGTTATTTGCTGTTTCCGTAGTAAGTGATTCTCAAATCATCATACCCCGGTCATTAGCTTCTGTGCATTCTTCTGCCACTGCTTGTGGTCTTTTTCGATACTCTTCAGGTGTCATCCTGTTCAAACTGCCACCGGTACGAATAAGCTTACAGGCACCACCGTTCGAGGTGGCCTGATGAGTTAATTAAACCTTGACATGATGGGCTTTCGTCTCCCTCCTGTGTTTGAAAGCGTGTTGAGACACCATGACACTGGCAAGGAACTGTACACAGACGGCATCGTAGATAGTACACTGCTAACGCTATAGGCTTCCCGTTCACGACCGGTATCATTCTCCTTTCTGGTTGTTTTCACATTAACAGGGATGACTGCATTGACATCGGACTGGAGCCAGCACATTCAAAATCTGGGCTTCTCTGACAAGTTGAACTTCGTCTTCGTGATTACAATATTCGTCGCTGATATTCTCTACGCGGTTATTGAGATGTCTGCTGAGAACCGCTCGCGGTCCTCGATGAAGAATATGTCGGGTGTGCCTGGTTGGTTTCTCTTTTCGATTGCAGGCCTCCTCATTTTCCGGCTGTTGTTCGGAAATCCCTATCTCAGCCAACCAAGCTCTCATCCGATTGATACTCTAATTGGGAGGGCGCGTTCTCAGCACGACCTGTGGAAAAAGCAGGCGTCTTCCTCAAAATCGCTGTCGGATGCCGTAGCGGTCTACCGCCAACGATATCACCGGAATCCGCCCCCGCAATTCGATATCTGGTATAATTATGCCACCTCTCGGTCCTCCTTAGTTATTGACGACTACGATAACATTTATAATGATCTCTTACCTTATTGGTCCCTGTCACCCGCTGAAATACGTCAAAGAACCTGGGAGATTATAGCAAATCCTTGGAGTGATGCTGGTGGCGTTCACGTCAGAGCAGGATCGCTTGAGATTAGTGCCAATATGCCAGGAACGCACAGGTGGATGGTCGACGGCGTCACTCATATTATGGAGAAATTTGCAGAGTGGCTTCCGGATATGGACCTTGCATTCAACCTAAATGACGAAGCACGGGTAACAGTACCTTTCGAAGTCCTTGAAGCGCTGAAAGTAACATCATCGAGAGCTGCTCAATCAAAGACGCCAGGTGTAGTTGGGTTCAGCAATGAGAGATCTTCTGGGTGGGCCCCGATTCCCGAGCAGCCTATTGCAGAATCGCGCTTCCAACAGCGCTCTTTTCAGCGGACATTCTATGGGTTTGGAGCTGTGGGTTGTCCGCCTTCTTCAAGAGCTCAAAAGGAAAGATTATGGAATGTCAAAGACCTGTGTACAACGTGTGCAGCCCCGCACTCATTAGGCTACTTCCTCTCCAATTGGACTTTGTCAGCGTCCGTCTGCCACCAACCCGACCTCGCTGACCTGCACGGGCTGAATCTCTCACCCGCTGCCTTCAAAGGCTCCTACGATCTCATGCCTATGTTCAGTCAGAGCAAGCCGGCCGGCTACAACGACATCCTCTACCCTTCAGCTTGGAATTACATGGACAAAGTCAAATATGCCCCTTCCCCTGAATTTCCGGATCCTCCATTCTCCAACAAAGAGAATACCATTTTCTGGCGTGGTGCTACTTCTGAGGGTGTTTCCGCCGGCAGTGGCGTCTGGAAGGGAATGGCACGCCAGCGCCTAGTGCACCTCGCCAACAATGCTACCACTCCCCAGCTCGTCCTCCTCCCTCAGCCACGCACGAACAAGCCGACCTACATAATGCTTGAACCTACTAGTGTCGCCGCAATCCTCAATTCGTCCATCCGCCTCGTCGACGGCATCGCCCGCTGCGGTGGCCGCGATTGTCCGGACCAAACGAATGAGTTTGGGGGAAGCGCTCCTCGCTCGGACTTCCAGCACCACTGGCACTACCGATTCCTCGTCGATGCAGACGGCGCAGGGTTCTCAGGACGCTTCCTCCCGTTTCTCCAGAGTGGGAGCGTGCCGTTCAAAACGGCATTGTTCAGGGAGTGGTACGAGGGCCGTTTGACAGCGTGGCGGCATTTCGTCCCGCTTGATTTGCGCCTGCATGGGCTATGGAGCACCCTGGCGTATTTTGCGGGGGTGGACGGTCGGAGCATCGGAGGGAGAGTGGGCAAGTGGGAAGCAAGAGCTAAAGAGGCAGAGGACATCGCGGAGAATGGCCGGAAGTGGGCGAATACTGTGCTGAGGAAAGAGGACATGGAAATATACTTCTTCCGGCTATTGTTGGAGTGGGGAAGGTTGACGGATGATCGGAGGGATGAGCTAGGATTCTCGGTGTAGGTGTTTTGAAAACATTCCATACACCTATCTACAGCTGCCGAAAGTAACTTCACGGTTATTTGCAATTTCATGAACTTCCAACACGTCCTACTTTTGAAACTACTATGAAGTACTACCAGCAACGGCATGAAAGCGCACACGGCCCAGATTGTCCCTTAATCTTTGATGTTATTCTCCTCCCTCCATATCAACCGCTCTTGGTCGACGACACCAGGTCCACGGTAGACACTCCCATAAACCCCACTGGCCCAATCTTTGCCAACACCTTCCTTCGTCGCCTTCCTCCTATACCATTTCCCGTAGGCAAGCAGATAGTAGAGACGAAAGCTCAACAAAGCGAACTTGTCACGTTCCAGATCTGCCGGATACGTCGCTCCGAGATCTACAGCTGCCGCGATACCGCTGATAACGGCTACTTCATGCGCATTTACCAACGTCCACGCTGCCGCAAACCGTGTATGGCGTCGGCCCTGCAGAAGCCACATCCAGGGCACCACGAAGAGGTTATGGGTGAAAGAGTGGCAGAGTTGGTGCCACCAGTCCTTCCGGATGATTTTGCTCTCGTCAATTTCGTCGATTGACCACAGGTGGCCATCGCGGTGCTTATTGAGGAAGATGGTCTGAAATACGTGGCGCTCGAATGGTACCTCCGGGGGAAACTGTGCTTGATAGTTGGTGCAGTCGAAGCACATTTCTAGCTTCGTTAGGTCGGCTGGGTACTGCTTGATGTAGTACATAGGCTTGAAGGACTCCCGGGCCATTTCGACGCGCGTTGTTTGGTCTACGCCAGAGAGTGTGGAGACCGCTTGCTCATCGTTATAGAAGTTCTCGTAGTGGCGCTTCATGTAGTCACTGTCCCAGTGCGTGACGGTGATGTCGTCTGCGAATTTGGCAGAACCAAGAACTTTCTTCTCTCGGAAGCTTGCGGTGGATTCCAGAATGCGTTCTGCAGTATCGGCCCTGTGAACTGCCAGCTTAGTTTACACCTTCTTGCACATCATTTCAAGAACTCACAAGACACAGAGCACTATTTCGTCGTAGTGCTCCTCGAACTCCTGCGCACTCGAATCGGCATTGCTATCTGCGTCCTCTGAAACCCAGGAGCTATTCGGGTTGTGGTCATCTGATTTCGGCGTACGCTTTATCATGCGGACAACAACGCCGTTTTTGTCTCTTTTCATCACCCGCGCGAGCTCGGTTGAGAGACGAACCTTGACGCCATTTACAATCAGGCTTTTTCTCCAATCCTCATAGAAGTCACTGAAGTTCGGAAAGACGACCATGGGAGGCAGGTTGCTGGCGACGCTCAACTTATCCCCTGGATACCACATGCCATACGTGGGGCTCGTACACAGCCGCTCTAGGATGATGCTCGGGACCTCTGGCGTGTAGTTGCCCGTTCCAAGGAAGAGCGCAACCATGGGCAGCACAATCGTGTTCGAGAATTCGTCCGAGAAGCGGAATATTTTCATCAGGTATTTGATGGGTACCATAGCGAAGAATACCTCAAACCAGCGAATTATGGACAGCATTGTCTTGAATCTTTTGATCTCTTTTTGGTGACGAGCGAGCAGCGAAGTCGGGTACACATTTGACCAGAAGGCATCGTCTTTACCAAACGAGACCTATGCAGTGAGTTGGGAGTTTTTTGAAGAATGGATGTTGTAGCTTACCTGCAACTTCACTGGATCCGCGTGATGGCCCTGACGAGCAAACATAGTCATAGTGTGGTGGAAGATAAAGCTTCCACCTTGTACACCCTGGTTCATCCAACTAGCTCCATGTCTTTCCTTGTCTAGAGGGATAGAAAAGGCTTGCCCTCCGCAGTAGTTTTCAGCGTCGATGATAGTTACGTCAAACTTGTCGGGATGCTCGGCAAGATGATGTGCGCAAGACATTCCTGTAAGAAGTAAATATTAGCCATACACTGTTAGCGAGAGTATTGAAAGTAATGAGTATGTACCAGCAGCTCCAGCTCCTACAATCAATACTTTCTTCCTCCCGGTGCCATCCTTTCCAGATTGGGATGCCATGTTCGTAGTTGGGAGAAGGGAATCTGATGGACGCATGAGAAACCGTGTCGACACCACAACTTTGGACAAGGTATAGCTTGATGGAAAACTGCCATTGCGATGGGTCTATGGTATCGATCTATATATGTGACTCGTGGATGGCAGAAACAAGTGCGTCATGACAAAGGAGTGGCTTGGTACTTGCGCGATCCCCCGACGAAATCGCCCGTCTAGATCGCAGATTAACGAGCCAATCGGCCAATCAACGTCATGGATCGAACAACACTAATCCTAGAGGTACCACCGGAGGTACAATACGCTGGAGCACTCATACGGTGACAGACTTATACTTACAAGCCAACCCCCTCGTCGTATTTAGAAGAGGTCAGATCATGTGAGAGACGTTCGTCGCAACTCTGGCCTGTAGCGTCTCCTTTCTTGAACTCGATAGGTATAGGTATATGTGCCGCTTTCGTGCCACTATCATGCGTGCTTCAACACACGTCCAACAATACGAGCAAGGTAGAGGCTCATCATTCCAGACAATACAAAAACTTGATAGGTCATGTCAGATGGAGCACTACAGAGAAGGATGGGCGCCGAACCCGCGTGGCCGAATGCTTCCAAGAGAAAGAATCCCTTCGTGAAACCGTAATGAAAGTTCCCTGACTCTAGAACCGGCACTGTACCCTAGAGTTCGGTTACGCGTATGACAACCAAGACAGCTTTGCTTGGGGATATTGGTCGCGAAAAATAACAGGCACAGCTTGCCCACTATGCAAGCTTCATGTCCTCCCAACGGTAATGTCTACGCTCCCTGACATTGTGTCGAACTCCAATTTACTGTTCCCGCTTCCCTTCTTTGCCTTCACCGTCTTGCCCGTGTATCCACCTCCAAGATGGATGATCTCCACGTCTTCTCCATGAAGGCTAAGGCTCCCGCTGCGGGTTCCCCCATGGATAGCGCCCTCCCACTCCTGGGGATACCCCAGCACCATGGCCCCAGATAATCCTTTGTGCGAGCTTGTGAGTCTTGATATAGTCGTGCCAGAATTCTTGTAGGGAGCTTGCAAGGTTAATCTCGTCATTCCCGATCTCGTGTTTGTATAAAGAGTTGACGGGCCAGCGTCAGCTTCGAACGGGATTATATCGGCCGTAATAGATCCTGTACCAACTTCAATATCGGTGGAAGAACCATGGATCAACACTGCCGAAACTAAGCCGGTTTTGGAGTTGATAGTAGTCTTGTAGTCCCGGGCCGGTATATCAAAAGTGTCGAATTTTACTTTCACGAGCCCAGAGAGAGACTCCGCGCGAAAAACAGCAGGAGCTAGATGGTCGTTGTCTGCCTCCTTCGGCTCTACATCCACAGTAATGGCGCCGCTCTTAGTCTTTATGGATAGGAGGTCCTTGAGAGCGTAAGTACCGCTCACAGCTCCAGACCCAATGTCAATCGTAATCTCCCTAGATTCAAAAGGACGGGCATCAAGGGATCCTGCGTTGAGCTGAATAGTGGTTTTATCCGTTACTCCCTTTCGAGAGATCAGCATAGCTACAGGGGTAGTCATCTGAATAGACACTTACAAAGTTGACACCGTCATAAATGTTTACTGACAAGTGATGGGCATGAATCCCAAGCTTCTTCAGACGCACGCCTGATGAGACGTAGAGATAGAACTCGATTCGCAAGCAAACCGAGCTGCGGTACGCGTCAGTCTCTTTCAAAACTGGTTCCTTGATTGTGAATTCTGTATCGGTTTTGATGTATCGCAACTCATCTATCTCAACGAAGTCCGGCGTTGCCATGATAAGGTTGCCAGCCAAGCCACTTTTTTGGCCTTTCGGCGCTTTCATCACATGTAAAGTCCCTGAAATGGTGCCAAGCTTGTATTTGGGATCGGACAGAAGTTCTTGAATGGAAAAAGAACGTGGCGTGCCAAAATCAAACTCCTCGCTCGTGGTGTGGAACTTAGATGTGCAGTAGGGCGGCCAGTCCACAATATCTTTTGGTGCATCAGGAGCATGGGCTTCCTAACCACCATCAGTAAAACAACTGGTGTGTTACGTGTATAAAGTTTTGATGAAATAGAGAAACATTTAATGAGTTGACATAGCTTTCTGGATTTGAATTCACTCGCTGCCTTACCTTCCGCATAATCGTGCCACTAATAAGGCAAGCAGCCACTACAGCAGCGCATATCAAAAGAAGTATTTTCAAGAGTCGGCCAGAAAAATAACTTCGTACGTGCTGAGGGTACTTTCGGTAGGAGCTGTATTCGAATGACTCCCGAGAGCCACCCATATCCTGGGGGGGATGTTGAGCCCTGAGCAGTGGTGTTGCTGGCACAGTGCTCGCAGTCTCATTGGGGACATGCTCGTTCCGCATGGTGCTGTAGGTCATATGCTGATTGGATGTCCCTTCGTAGTATGCTGGGGGAGGTTGGTCCGACTCCATTTGACGCATTAACGGCGAACTTTCGTCTGAGCTGCCCCATGGCTGTAGCATTCTCTGGAAGACTGGGGATGTCGAAGAGTTGCCAGTTGAGGCTTCCAAGTCAGCCTCACTCGCCTTCGATAGTGATCGATGTTCCGAACTAGCAACATCAATGTAAACGTCCCGAGGGTGAAGCCTGTCTGAGAAGTAGCCGTCTGTCGGACTGTACTCATCGGAGAAGGATTCTCGGTCTGAGTCATCGTGGTGCGGCCGGTAAGCCATTGCGATGAGAATTAACAGGAGACTTCACACAGAAAGGTCGAGGGTGGAGTCCAGAAAGTCGATACCAGGCAACAGGATATTTGAAGAGTGAGGAAGCTTCGTAAGACGAACGTATGCACGCGTTAAAGCTTCGATTCCATTGGTGTAGATACTCCAGTCTAACGCGCCAAGCAGCATCCTTGAAGGGAAATGCGTCACTTACTTGACTGCATGCGGCAGGCGTTTATTCTTCCTAAGAGCTCGCATACGAACTCTGGAATGGCACAACTACACAGGATTTGGTAGCCTATCGCATGATTGGCCAAACTCATATAGTTTCTAGTATTAATGCTCACAAGCTTATATTGTGGGGCTTGCTGTGCGCGATATCCACGTTTTGTGTACTGGGAGGTCAGCAACACTGACTTCTAACATGCTGTATCATCAAGCACAGCGCCCACATATTGAGTTCCGGCTACTGTCTGCCTGAGAAGTCACGTGCGGCGCGAAACACCATGCACAAATCAAGTGCCGAGCAACAATAGACGCTGAGTGCTTGAGCAGAGTCGCAACCGCGCAACACTTATTGAACACGTTCAAACCTCATAATCATTTCGTTCGAATAGATTTATTCCACCATGGAGTTCTCAATCTAGGGGGTTCGCACGTCGCTCCGTCGAGTAGGGATTTGTATATCGTGTATGCCTAGAAACGCCCTCCGAATGAATAGAGTGTGACCCAGCTCTTTCCAAAAACGCCACGCTACAGAATGCTCAGATATCTGCTATTGTACAAGATGCAAGATGAAGATTTGCTTGTGGGGCAGCCGCTAGCTCTTCTCTAGAAGTTCTTTCGCTTCGTTGACTTTCGTAGCCAAATACGGGCTGCCTCCGCGGTCGGGATGGTTGTTCAGCATGAGGGATCGGTGCTTCTTTCGGATGAGTTCTTTGGAGAGTCCGCGTTCGCTGCAATTCCAATCAGCTGACAGCCAAGTGCGATTGCGACGGCAGAGAGTCTTACGGAACTTCTAATATCAACGCGGCCTCCCTTCGGGTCATCTTGGGCTCAAATCCGCCCTTATAGAAGGCGCGCCCAAACGCAGCGCCACCTCGAGATTTGCGGAGGGCGACGAGTCCAGCGCGGCCCTGTTGACTTGTAAGTTGGACTGCGGCGGAAGAAGGCTGTAGGTGCACATACGAAAAAGGCTGCTGCGGCGACGCCAACGCCGATTGCTACTGCGGATGCCATGACAGACGGACAGAAGGATGAAGGATGACGAACAACTGGCGAGGATGGGGACGAGAAGCGTGAGAGACTCGCCGTCGCCGCCGGGTGCACCAGGTTCAAGATATAATTTTAGCGCCTTGGCATATCAAAAAGTTCAACCCGCCGAGTCTGTGCGTGCTTCTTCTCCTCTCCCACCACTCCCCCACCGCAGTCGCACTCCGAGCCCGCCAATATGAGGATTGAGACGTGTAAGTCTGAGCAAATACATAGTCGGCCTCCTACTGACTCATACAGGCTATTTCTGCTCCCAGCCAGGTTAGTTGGACTAAAAGTATTTATACCAAAAACGAATTCAAGTTGACATTAAAATGGTAGTTTATCCGTCTAAGGGCATAACCTTTGTGCGCAATGACGCTCACAAGTTCGTCTTCTGGTAAGCGGCCTGTTAGAACTATCTCGCAGCGCGGACACTCCCTCGCTGACACTTAGCAAAGCCGGTCGAAATGCCACAGGAACTTCAAGATGAAGCGCAACCCCCGCAAACTTGCTTGGACCAAGAGCTTCCGCCGCGCTCATGGCAAAGAGCTGACCGTCGATTCTACGCTCTCCTTCGCCGCCCGCCGGAACGTCCCTGTACGGTACAACCGCGACCTGGTTGCCACCACTCTCAAGGCCATGCAACGCGTCTCTGAGATACGAGCCCGACGTGAACGCGCATTCTACAAGCAGCGGATGAAGGGCAACAAGGAGCGACAACGACAAGCGGACCGAAAACTGGTTGAGGAGAACCAACACTTGCTGCCCCCAAGTGAGCGGACTGTGGTTGAAGTCGAGGACGGGAAGGTACAAGTTGCCGACGAGATGGAGGTAGAGCTTGTCAAGGCTAGGGTCGATGCTAGAAGGAAAGAGTTGGAGATGGATGTTGAGGAGAGCGAGATTGACGAAGCACAAGAGGTGCCGAAGATCAAGACGAAGAGGAAGCTGCGAATTGCAAGAGGCGGCAAAGTTGAGGCCATGGATGTGGATTGAAACGTCATGGCTGGGACTCTCTGACGTGGAATCGTTTGCAAGCTGCTTTGGCGTTATGGCGACGAGGCAGTCAGGCGTTGAGGTTCTTTTGGTTTATGGGCCGAAAACGACCCATAGCGGTGTCGACTAAAAGGTGCTCAATACAGCCCATTTCATGACATAAGGCTTTGCTTGATACTGACCTCGCAGCGGGTAGTGAGCTGTTTCGCAACAGCCCAGGATCGCATACTAATTCACCCACACAATCATCAAATGTTAGGACACAAGTATACACATAAAGCCCTGAAATTTTCCAGTCTACCTGATTTTGTACATCCGTACACCAATATGCGCTGGACTTAAAACATTATACTACGCCGCTGAAAAACGCCCAGGATGATGATACAGACAACAGATCCTAAGCCTAAAGTCATGGCTAGTATGAATAGAAACGAGACGAGAGCGCGTAAATCATCCCAAAAGAGCAACAGGTATATACAAAAAACATAATTGAAAAGGGCTCCTTTTTCACCACAGAAGCAGGGAGATGGCTCATCCCGGGTTCTGGTTTTGCCCGTTCACACCGTTACTTCCGCCCTCTCCTAAATCTGGCAGGACGCCATTCATCGAGATGCCATCTTCATACCCGGAGTAGCCCGTCATATCTGCCCAATCCCATTCTAGTGTCATTGGCATCTTCCATAGATCCTGCGGAAAAGGTTGTTGGAACGTGCCCATGTCGAGAGAATCATGAATTGTTCCATTGGGGTTCATGCCATTACTAATACCATTCATGTTACCAGAGTTCGGGTTTTGCGGGGCTCCAAACGAGAGATCCGGAAGTCCTGCAGTGCTTGTCGGTAGCATCTGGCTCGCTGTTGACGGAGATGAGAATCCACCAAGGAGGCTAGCCGTGTTGTTCAGGCTTGCGTGTGTGAAATCTGGAGAAAATGGGAACGGCTGTGAATGGACGAAATTCTGTTAGCATCAAATAAATTTAAAGAGTTTCAGAAATGATATGGAAACATGACCGCTTACCTCATCAAAGTTGCCGTTGAATTCAGGATTGAAATTTCCTGAAATGCCGGGAAGAGGGGTCTGGGATCCTGGTTGTTGATGCGGAGGTCCTTGTGAAGCTCGCGACTGGAGCTGTCGGTTTTGAAATTCCGGCGTCAGTATCTGCTGTGCTGTGGCATTGATCTCCGCATCCTGGTCTGTCGCCTGTTTGCGCTTTCGTCTAGACGAGTTCTCTCTGTCTGCCTTCTCCAGTACCACTTTAGCAATGCGTTCGAACTCAGCACAGACACTTAGCATCCTTCGGACACTACCGTTTTCTTCATCAGTGCACAATAGGCTCAGGAACCCAACGACCAAATTCATCAATCGTAGATCTGATCGCGCCCGAGTGTCTTGAGGATTTTGCAGAATGTTGGCGAAAAGCGTTACTAGTGCCGATACAGGGTAGTAGATGATCAACCTAGAGGAATTAGTAAGAAAGGGGAAAAGGTCGAATATCGCACTTACCAGACACAAGCGTAATCGCCTTTCGGGATGTATTTAATGAGATGGATGGATGCCCGCGCAGCCTGTACGCATAACGTAGCGGACGAGAATACTCTTGGGTTGAGAGGACGCGCATTGAGTCCTTGGATAGCGAAATTCGATAAGCGGCTAGTCCAGTACCCATGATGCACGCTCATGCGATGTATCGTTGTGAGGCAATTGTAGTATGCAAAATGCAGTACCACGACGTGCAAAATGAGTGGCGTATGACTCGCTTTGATTTCGTGTTCTGGTCGAAAGTCGATGGGTATCGCGTCTTTCCAGCTTTCCAACTCCTTATCAAGCTCGCCGATAGTGTTGAGCAGCTCTCCATCAGACTGTTTAGACGCTTTCACTGAATAGAGCTGTTTATATACTTTGCTCTCGATACAAGCGAAGGTACAGAGCAGGCGGAATAGATTCAACTTCCCTTTGCCATTGGCGAGAGGGATGTTTCCGATGTTGTCTGGGGGGTCCTCACTAGGGAGATCTACATTCATGTCATCGTCATCTTGTATTGGGGGTCGTCCCGATCGCAGGCAGATGCTGGACTAGGGTTAATATAACACAGTACAGGGGTAGCAATACTACTCACTCTCTATCAAGCATGTACGCTATCCAGAACACTCTTTTACGTTGCTCAATCTCGGACGGGTTGAGATTGAATCCTGATCCTCGCTTATGCAAGCCTATGCTATGAGAAAGACGAATAGCAGCAGCCACAAAAAAGAACGATGGCTGTGGATTCGGTGTGCCCTGCAAGAAGAGGGCCTAAAAGTCTGTTAGTTTGTAATACGTGGGGTTACAGGGGTAAAATCATTACCATGCCAAGAAGAGCTTGCACGCTCAGTAAGTCTGTGTTGCGCATGGTGAGTTCTGTCTGCACTGCAAGGGCATTCTTCAGATAGCCCCACGCTTTTTGGTCCTCCTCCTGTGGAACCAGATTACTCATAACGCGGAGTCTATGAGCTATTGCCAGAGCAACGTTCAAACTCGCCCACCAGCCTGAGCCCTCGTAAGGATCCCGTGAGTAGTGCTTATCGACGAGATGCATAAAAGTCGGTTCGTGGAATAACGGGAACATGCAGTTGAAGTTCTCGAAGTAGTCCTTCAGCAACGATAGCGCCTCGTTCTTTGGAGGGAGTTGCTTATAAACGCGCCGTGAAAATATGTCGCGGAAGACGTCCGGTTTCCAATGGATCCATTTGTTGTCATCTACGGCAGCTGTGGAGATCATCTCCTGGAATGATGTGTCTCCGGTCTTGTCGTTCACCCATTGTATGCCTTTTGGGGAGAAAATGGAGAAACCCGAGGAAGAGCCTGTTGTACGTTTAGCATACAGCGTGCATATGGCCTCACAAACCACATACCAATATAGCGAGTCTCACCACAGTTGTTCGTCACCAGTGAGCACATCATTTCGGCCAGCGCATCGTCCTCGCCATTGGTCTCTGTTGTTATTTTGGCCGGCTCCGGCGACGTCATGCCGCTGGCCGGACTGGGCAGTCCAGGCTGGATTGGTGTGCTCCGATGCGACGTGAATCCGTTATGGCGAGACGTCGAACTCTGTGCGTCCGAGTTTCGCGACGGCTCGGGGGTGCCGTTGTGGTGGCCGGTCTTGTCCGCAAGCCGCTTCTCCAGGGTTCCCAGATCGGTTCGGCCATCGTCGTCCTCAGGCAATATCCCGGACAGCCTGATGAGCGACTCCATGCGGGCTAGGCGATTCTCGAGACCTTCTATGTACTTTGCTCTGCCAAGATATCAGTTTGGAGTGCTAGGGCGAAGGGGCCGGGCTGACCAACCCTTTTGGAGGCTGTCGCTTCTTCTCCACCTGCGTAAATATGCATTCCGTCTTGTAGTTCTGGCAGTGGGTGCAGTTTGGCGTCTTGCCATCGCACTTGATCTTCTTTTTCCTGCACATGTCGCATGCCTGTTGGGATGGTCAGCAGAGGCAGGGCGCCTAGACACAGAAGACGTACTCTGGCGATGCGCCGCCGCTTGGGGTCGCCTTGTTCATGTTCCTGCTGGTCATTGCCGTCGACGGAGCCTTCATCGTTGCTGTTGGCGAAGATTGGGCCTCCGGACAGGGTTGGCGGCGAGCCATTGGCGCTGTTGCCAAAGATGCTCGGGGGCTGGTTGGTGAGCAGCGGCGCCTGCGGATAGTACGACTGGTGCTCGTTCTGGGAGTTGGGAGAGCTGTCCATGGCGGACCAGCGCCGACCAGCGTCGGGGACAGGAGCAGGCACGGCGGTGGGTGGCGGCGTTGTGCGGCGATAGAATATTGGAACGACGTGGGGTCGGGCGAGTCGCACAGCGCTGGAGGGTTGGGAGCGCAGGGCTCGGGGCGGACAGCGGCAGCGGCAGCGGCAGCGGGGAGACGGTGGGCAGAACGTCACGTTGCGGCGGCGTCAGGGAGTGCACGATCACGATGTTGTGCGTAGCAGCCAGAAGCGTTTGTATTTGCAAGCCGGGAGGAGGTGGATTTAGAGCTCTCGGCGCCGTAAGTCGTCCGCACCTTGCCGCCTGCCCAGCCAAAGGCCACAGGGTTCGCGCCACACGCTGCAGATCCAGCACATGGCGGCACCTGGGGCGCGGGGTCTGCAAAAGGTGGCACTCCAATTCTCCAGCAAGCGGTCTCATGTGTACATAAGTTACGCCTGTCTGCCACTGCTTGGGGTGCTGCAGTGCTGCGGTGCTGCAGTGCTGCAGTGCATTTTCAGGAAGCTGAACGAGATAGAACCCCTTCGCCTGGAACTGTGTGGAAGCCCCTTGGAGCACCCCAGACAGTGAGTGCTTGATGGATGTGCCACTGCTGTCACCCCCAGCGTGCCTGGGCAGCTGCAAAGGGTGGAGCCCGCCCGATGTGGCACTCAACACCAGGCCCGCAGGCGGACCCTGCTCCGCACAGCGTGAAGCGCCCAGCTCACGACTCGCCGCGGGGCTATCCGGACTTCTTCGACCTGCTTACCCATTCGTGCCATTCTCTGGCGCACATCGCAAGACTACCACCACACCACACTACTGCGCGGACACCTCGTGCTGGCTGCCCCGCACGTCCCTGCATGACGCCGTGCTCAGCCACCTCCGTCTTCACCTCCTCTCCTCCCGATCCGCTCGTAGGACGCTGGCACACGCCGGCCTGGACCCGTCTCTCTCGTCAGCCATCGCAAGAAGTGTGCCTGCGCAATTGCCGTCAAGAGTAGCACTACGTCGCACGTCGCACGTGGCCACTATCCACTGCCACCATGGCGGCCTCGCCCATGACCGCCGAGCAGCTTCTGAACCACCCCGAGATCAAGCATATAGTATGGCCTCTGCAGCCGGCCGCAAAGGGCAAGGCGTCTGTTGCGGCTGGACGCGGGGGGCCCTTCAGCATTGCCTACGAGATCCACGGGAAGGGAGATCGTCGCCTCGTGGTGAGTGGCCTTGTCTTCTCGTCCATTACCATTTACATACACCATACATCTCCGCGGCCTGTGCTTTGGGCGGGAGCCTCCGCGTCGCTGCAACTTCGAAGGCCTGTTTTGTTGCGATCCTGGGAGACTGCAGATCCACGTCCTCAGCCAATCCCAATCTCCCCGATCCTAGATCTTTCAAGCTCTGATCTGTGTTATGACTTCACTCTTCTCGTCTCTTTTCAATCTCCCCATCTCGTCTTCTCTTTTCTGATCACGCCCGTTTCTTTCCGCCCGCCACACCGCAGTGATTTTCTAGTCATCTGCTTCCGCGATGCGTTTATCGAGTGATATTGCTACAAGCTATCAGGGCCCGTTCGGCTGGCCCTCGAAATACTTTCTCGGCCTCTCCTCGGGAGAGCAGTCCTTGATATTGCTGGACATGCACTAACGATCCCCTTTTCTTCAACTGTAGTGGATCATGGGCCTAGGGGGCTTGAAACACACTTGGCAACGGCAAACGAAAGACTTCGCCCACACCAAAGGGGATACGTACACGTCCCTGGTGTTCGACAACAGAGGCGTTGGCGAATCGGACAAGCCCCTCATGAGGTACTCGACATCCGAGATGGCCAAAGACACAGTGGAGCTTCTGGACCATGTTGGCTGGACCGAAAATAGACAATTACATGTCATTGGAGTCAGCATGGTAATTCAGCCCCCGTACTCATCCAAGTAACTTCGGTAACTCCTCAAGGGTGGGATGATTGCACAGGAACTCGCCCTCCTGATACCGGACAGGATATGCTCTTTATCGCTAGTCTCGACAGCGTCCGGCCTCTTCAACACAGTCGTAAGTGTATGAGGAAATTCCCACGCACGTCTGCCAACTAAGCCTGTACTAGGGATATTTTGAGAACCTCCGCAATCGAATCAACATCCTGTAAGTGGACATCTAGGGTTTCATCATGAGTCTGCCCACTTCTATATCACTGCGCCACGCTGGGCATGAAAAAAGTGGCACACTCATCAAGCACTTGGCCCGTGTGTATACCTGTCTGCCACTGCATGAAGTGCTTCAACAAGTTTCCACATAGACTAAAGTGAAGAGCTTTTATCTCGTTCCAATTCCCGAAAATTCTCTGAAGCACCTCAAGCAGTGGCATACAGATGTACACACGAGACAGTCAATGCCTGGTCCAAAATTCAGATAGGATGCCCTGTCTCATCGACAGTCCTGTCTTGCTTTGCCGAACTAACTTTATTCAGCATACCTCGGGCAGTCGATGTCCAAATAAACAACGTCAAGAGGAACATGTTCACAGCGGCATGGCTTGATCGACCTGACGACACCGAGTGTGTTGTAGAGCCATTCCCCACAAATGGCGACCGTTTTGCAGCTTTCGAAATAGCCAAACGCAATAACCCCGCTGCCTTTTCACGTATCGGATTCTTAGCACAAGCGATCGCCGCGGGGTGGCACTATAAGTCGCCTGCACAGCTGAAGTCAATAAGCGAGAAGCTTGGGAAGAAGAGGATCATGATTGTCCATGGGGGCTCGGATCGCATGATAACCTTCCCTCATGCTAAAGTGCTTCAGCTTGGGCTTGAAGGCTGGGATTCGTCGGAGGCAGCCAAAGAGACGGAGTCAAAGATCGAGACGCACTTCCCCATGGATCAAGGCCATGTCATACCCATCGAGATGCGAGCGACCTTCATGGAGTGGGTGGAAGGTCTCGTTGAAAAGACTGAGAGACTAGAAAAGACATGATTGACGTTCTTACTGCTATTCACAAAGACGTTTCTAAACACGAGCCTGGCGTATACAAATCTTTTTATTCGGAAGGTAACATCACATAGGTGGACCAAGTTTAATGTATAGGTACATTCTAGCTCAAAGCATCGCCCCCCACGCTAGGCATTAGATAGTCTAAGGCTCTAATGAATATAAGTAATAGAACATTTCAATTCGTTAGTTGCCTTCGAATTCGGCCTGCCAGCATTACAGAATGTGGGTCAACATAGACAAAAATTTTTTTTTCGCTGACCACAAGCGACTTTCTTTTGATTAAGCCCCCCAGTCTCTAAAATAACTAGTGAATCAGTATGTATGTACACGTTGAGAGCGCAGGACAGTACACTCTCAAATTGCAGACTTGGAGAAAATATTACGGATCTACTTTGCTACCAAGTGTTTAGCCTTGTCTTTGGTACTGAACAAAGGGGCTACGGGAATACGTGTTAGCAAGTATGGGAGGCTAAGCTACAACATCTAGCTTTGAGCAACCTTGCATAGTCGCTGTAAATGAGAAGAGTTTTGGGTTCAAAAAAACATGCAGCATTGGATAAAATGGGGATGAAGTGTCACACTCTCGACAGATTTGAAGTGATTTTAAACAAGTTAAAGGTATGGGAACAGTTGTGGTTTGAGCAGGCTGTGGACCGCAAAATCTTAGGATTGATGCCGCTCATCGCTTTCGTAGCCCATCAAATTGTCGTTCCAGTCATTCAGCCATGTACACCCAACGCCGATGTCGTTTGCAAGAGCCATGGCGTACTGTCTCAACCTTCTATGGCTTCCGGAGCCGTCCACATCATCTTACGACCTCGTCCAACCGACTCATCAACGCTTGTGCTTCCTTCACCAGAGCCTTCCTCCTCCCTCGCGCCTCCTCATCTCCTCCAGTCTCCACTGAGTCCAGCTTGATTAGGACTTGCGCCAGAATGGTCTCAGTGAGTTTCTTGTGCTCGAAATCGCGCTCCTTTTTCTCCGATGGGGGATTGGCTGAGAAGGAGACGCATAATGGCACAATTGTGGTGTGGAAGTTGCTTGCAATCGTGTCCAGCTTCTGGAGTGCGGTTTGTGGGCCGTTGGTAGCCGCTGGGGCTGGGGGCGCAGATGTAGGACGCGGTGCCGGGATGGAGGAGGGTATAGGGAGAAATTCGGCTCTTGCGGGGGTGTGACTGGGGAAGTCCGGGTTGGACGACCTAGCCGGCGCAGCGTTGTTGGACTTTCGTCCCTTCTTCTTCTTGCCTCCCCTGTTTCTCCGCTTCTTCTTTCCGTCATTCCCAGCCTGGCTCATGTCCTCGGACGCATCCTCCGTATCCTCCTCATCGCTACCCACACTCCACGCTCGTGGCCCATCCACATCTTCAGCTCCAGGCGCCATTGCTCCCTGTCCAACCTCTCCGACAACGCACAGGATCTCAGAACCTTGTCCATCGCCTCTCAGTCCTTCTTCTCTCGCAGGCCGATCGTCGTATTTCATGTTCCTGCCACGATAGAACAGCCGTACGCGCGCAGGATCCGCAACACCAAGCTTCTTCGCTGCTGCTGAGCGGACCGTCCCTATCTTCAAGTCCCCATTTCCAATACTACGTGCCGGGAAATGAGTAGGGTAGCTGACTCGCCTATGCTTCAGCAAGAGGACGTCGGTGGCTCGATCTGGGTTCTTGTCATCCCATTCAACGATTTCCGGCTCGGCAGTGCGAGATGGGTGCCGACTATGGTGGCCAGAATGCGAGGCTAGGTCTTCCGATGTTATGTAGCTAAAGTCAGCATCGGAGACTTCTGTATTCGAGTTTGAGGCCGAGCCGGAACGGCCAAAGGGACTAAACCGCCCGCCCCAGTTGCCGAAGCGGGAAGACCAGGCCATGAACACCCAGGCGCAGGTGAGAACGACAGCGACCGCGAGTTTGAGGGGTGTGGCGTCGTTGGCGAGGTCGGAGAAGAAGGCAGCCAGGGCAAATGTATGACGTGTTCCCAGAGATGGGAAACTAGATGACAGTGACTTTCGAGTTGTGCCGCAAGTGTGCCTAAGGCAATATCGAGTCGGAGGCTGAAGCACCGGCCCGGGTCTCGAGATCGTGCTGAAATGCAGACCAACGAGGTTTTCAAAGACAGCTGCTTCGAGTGAGGTCCACAAGCGACAGGGTCACGGTGAAAGTGGACTGTGGCAGGACGACTTCGGCGGAAGAAGCAGTCAGGCGGCGGGAGAAATGATGGCGAAGCCTAGGTAAGAGTGCGGAGGAGTGTCGGTGACAGGGCGAAGCCAAAGACGAGGCCACAGCCAAGCACGTAGTAGAGAGGATCTGCTGCAGGCCTTATCTGGATAACCGGGCACAGATCACAGGCACGTGATTGCATCTCTCTACAAGAACCATGGAGATGCCTTTGTAGCTTATGTGTTCCATCCCTATCTTAATAGGAAAAAGACACTTATTCCGTTTGTTTTCAATTTCATCGCTGCTAGCTGACCACCAATCGCTGGCAGTCCAGTCGCCCCCATTCCCGCCATATAACTTTCAGGCGCTTCACTGACCAGCTATGAAAGCATTTGCACGAATTGTAGTTCTATGATGCTCAGATTGCGCCCATGCCTCCATCGTTACTGGGCATGAGTGAGGTGCTTACAAGGTAGATTATTCTAATGAATACCTGGACCATTCTGAGGTCGACCGGTAGCGGACTTGGCGCCAAGGCTTTGCCGACGTCGATCTGTTTGTTTATTTTGGGAAGCACGACCTAGCGCAGCTCCACCTCAACCTCAATCTCAACTCCCCCACTCTCTCGCTCTCGAGCCATCTCTCGCTCCTCCACGCGTCTCGCCTTCTCCTCCAGAGTTGAAAGCCCGAAGGCATCGCCATGGCGAAGCGACGATCTGCGCGCCTACAGAAGGCGGCCGAGGCGCCATCCCCGAGCCCATCCGGGGAACAGACTTCTGCCGGCCATCTTCCCTCACTCAGCGAACAGAACGAATCCTCTGCGGCCATATCTACTCCCGAGAAGCCTACACTCGCCAGCTTGAGCTCCATTACCACACGCACCCCGCGCAATCGAACCCCGATCAAGCCTTCCGGCGCAGACATGCATCCTCATCACCACCAGGCTAGCACCGCAAAGCCGCTCGAAGAGGCCCGCTGGCTGGGTTTCCTAGCCAAGGGTGCCCACACTGCTCCAGCGAAAGGTCCCAACGAGCTGGCAATAAATCAGTCAACGCCTACCAAAGGATGTGACCTCGCAACGAATCCATTCTCCACCCCAAAATTCCACTTCAGGCACAAGAGACCGTCTGCGGACCTTTCCCCCGAGGCTCGACGCATGATGGAGGAGAGTCGCGCCGAGATCCAAGGAATTCGCTCCCAGCTGTTCACTAGGCGTGAAGTCCCGTCAGCCGCAGTCCCCTTGGCCCGTAAGATGGCAACTCCCAAGGGCAAAGCAAGCCGTTTCAGTGATATCCACATGGCTCAGTTCAAGAAAATGGATTCCATTACGAGCCATCCTTCGTTGGCTAGGACGAACCCGAACCGATTCAGCCCTGCCAAGACCTCGCTGAAGCGATCCCCGTCCAAAGCAGAGCTTGACGTCCACGATAGCCCACCGAAACCGACTCCTAGCCCACGCAAGTATCTGCCGTCGAGCAATAAACATAACCAGCCTGCATTTGGTCTTGTCCGAACTAAACCTACCACTAATTTCAGCGAACCCCGTGACGAAGGAACATCGGGTTCAACGAAGCGCGTTAAGCGGCACGTACACGACGACACTTCTACAACGCGAACTGTCACAGAATATCAGAACCCTGAGAGGACCCTGCCGACCACTCCTCGAGGACCATCTTATTATGCTCCAGCCTCTGCAGCTCCTCGCTTTACTTCCAGGCTCCTCACCCCTACCAAAGCTTCCCTTGCCCGGACACAGAGTGCGCAGGCGACGAAAATTTCCAGGATGCCTTCCATGCTGCGCACACCAGCAATGAGACCACCAAAGACAGCGAAATCTTTTGAGGACTCACTCAAGGAAGGATTTCGCAAGACAAGCCACTCGTTACTCAGTATGCCGGGTGTCAGATCAATTCTTCGTACGCCGAGTCGCAAGTTCTCCAATGACCCGACGAAAATTGCGGCAGGCACCCATATGTCCCCGCCTCCTGGACTAAACCTCGACGTAGAGCTCCCAAGAGTCCCCGTCACGGCACCTACTCGAAAGCATGTCAATTTTACAGCGAGCGCAGTTGCCAAAGACGAACAGCCGGCTACCCCTTCGCGGGAAGCCCCAGACCGAGCAGCATCCGAGGTTCCACTACCATCAACTGTTGCGTATCCAACACTTCCCAATGGGAACGGCTTCAACCTTCCTGACACAACTTCGGCGCGTAGGCTGACCGTGGGAGATCAGCCGGGCAGTGGGCCTGGAAGCTTTACTTTTCGCTCTGAAAAGGCGGTGAACTTCGGCCCTGCTACCAACGGCCTGCAACGTTCGGGGGACCTGCCGAAGATAGGCACCATCAGACATGTTAGAAGCAGCGATGCGCACGATATGAATGCGGAGACTGAAGGCGGAGGCAAGAAGCGCAAGTTGGAGGTGGTTGGTGAAGACTTTGACAAGGAGAACGATCGTCAAGAGGAGGTCTCTCGGGCTAGCAAGAAATTGAAGAGCAACTTGCACGCCGGTCCGAGGACTCCTGCCAGCAAACTTCCCCGGCGCCTCGACAAACGCGCGGGATCACTCACGCCTGCTAGGCTGAACCTGCTGGCCACGCCTAAGAGGAGGTGTGGCTGAGGCGACTAGGACCGTATTCATCCACTCGAACTTCTCCTGCACTATTTGGACGACCTACAACACCTCTAGTCGTGCAGATCTCCGGCATCGACCGCGACGTGCGAAACTCACCGCTAAAGTTATCCATGCGCAGCGACGGCGAACGGGAGTTCCTTGTGGGAAATGTTTCTTTGCTTTGGCGTTTGGCTTACTATAGGGTGGAATAGTCTTGGGCATTAGCGAATGATGGCGGACTCATAATGAAAAGCGACCATAGTGTATTGAAAGTTGGAAATGGTGTAAACCGAGAAGAAATTCACACAAGCTAGAAATTCCTGTCGCAATGCAATGCCACGTCGTGTAACTGACTCCATCTTCCCTGACCTTTCACAGTTTATAATGCGGCAAATATCACTGGGTTGTACGGTGGAACGGCTCTATTTTTAGTAAAAGTACATCGCGCAAATATTGTAAGGCAAGCTTCTTAGTTCGCACATCTTTCAAGCTAATGCAAAGGATTTACAAGTGCGCTAAGAATATAGGGAGGGATATTGGAGGAGAGGAGAAAGAGACGGCAGGGAAGAGCCTTGTTTCCCTTTCTCGGCTGGGTAGCGCACTGATAAAAGGTGCGTTTCGTTCCCACTCGGTGCTCCACGATTTTCGTTCGCGCCAAGACTTTCTTGTTTGAGCTTGTAGACATCCCCGCTTATCATGCGCTTCAACTACACGGCTCACGAGGGCGGACCCGAGTTCAGACGCAAAAGAAACGTCTGCGCATAGAGGCATGTGCCGGGCGATGGGTACCGGTTTTTGGATGTTAGGCATGAGTTGCCGGAGGTGTGGAATATGGTGCCGAGGAAGGTAGTTTGTGGGCCGTGTAAGGTGAGGAGGTGCCCGGGATGCAAGGGTGGATGTAAGGAGCATGGAGAGTGCAGGTGTGGGAAAGAAAAAAAGCGCTGTACCTATGTATTGCCTCCTAAACATAAGGACAAGAAGATCTGGTGCAAGAAGTGCAGAGCGCACTACCACGAGCACAACCGCTCTCCTTATTATTACGATCACCATAACTACAAGGCTGCAAAGGAATCCCTAAAACAAAGCGCCCGGACTCTTTCTCTCACCCTCACGCGCCCTATGCTCCCCTTCCTCACCGCACGCCTCGCTGTCAAAATCACCAGTCTGCACTTCCTGCTCCAACCTGTGGACTGCGGGCCCTGCACCGCACATATCTATTTTATGCCACCTTATAAGCCTGAAGAGGCGCACTGCATCAATTTGCAGGAGATTCCTTTTGTGCCGGGCGAGGGCGGGATACTAAAAGGGAGTCCGGTGTTGCAGATGCTCTAATACTTAGGAATAGGCGGATTAGGATATTATCTTTCAGCTAAATATCTACCTAGAACTTGCACCCCCTTCTCTACCACTTGCTCCTACTAAAGAGGAAATGTAAACTCCCAACTAACGCTAGTAATGCACCTATCTTCTTTCTTTCTTGCTTTACCTCTTTCTTTTCCTGCCTGTCCCCGGCACTGACTTGTCCTGCTCTTGTGCTATCTCTCGCTCCTCCCGTAGCCTTATCTCCTCCTTCTCTTATTCTCTCCGTAGCTCCAACTCCTCTATTTGTAGCTTCATCTCCTCGTTTTACAACCTTAGCTTCTCGATTTGTAGCCTTAGCTTCTTGTTTTATAGCCTTATCTCCTTCTTCTCTTGCTCCTTCTGTTCTAATTCCTCTCTTTATAGCCTTATCACCTGCCCTATCCGCAGCCTTATCTCCTTCTCCACTTCTCCTATTGTCGCCTGCTCCCTTGGTGTTAGTTTATCTTGCAATGGTATACCACAATTAGTTGTATCGGAAACAGGGTTATGAATGTTGTAGAGGCCGTCTGTATTAATTCTTTGTCTTCCTTTGCTTAAAGACCAAGACTTATGCAACTGCTTGTCGTGCGTATAAATTTCTGCAGTGAACTCGTCCGGTTCTATAACAACATGGAAGACGTGCAATTAGATTCTTTTATTGAATTAGCACAAATGTTAGCAATGTATTTTAGAGTAAACTCTTCAATAGAAAACAGATAGGAAGGAAGTTTACCTTCAATCTCAACTTGGCGAAGCGCAGATCTAGGGCAGAAGTTGAGAATGATGTAGTCGTCCATGATGTCCCATGTTTCATACTTGCCGCCAGTGGTGAATCGGGCGGTATGCTTGGCGATTTCTGCATTATTCCCACATTGCAGCACTTCGATCCCCCACTTCTTATCAGAGACATAGAAATCTATGCGGCCGTCTTTAGTGTAAGAGTATTCAGACAGAACCGGAAGATGATGGAGCTCAAGGTTTAGACAGCAATAGAGCTCATCTTGAAACGCAGCTTCTGGAATGCCCCAGCCCCTACCAGGGGAATGCCGGCGGTTTTGGAGGGTACCTGGACTGAATCGAGCGATGGCATTGGTGCAAATCTGTTGCAGACTCAGATCATTTAAGACAGCGTCTGCTTCATGGCCCGGGAAAAGGCGGCGATAGGCGACCCGTCGATGCAGTGGAGATGCAAAAGTGAACTTTGTTCCTGTCGTTCCATGTGGTGGCTGTTCAGCATGCAGTATGCCCCATCTGTGACAACACGAGAATACGTCAAAGTTTTTCTCCGAGCGTATTAGCCCATCAGGCTGCATAGCGACTTCGCGAAGTGCTTTTTTGATGTCCACGAGCCTAAAATGCCTGAACTGAGGCATTCTGAGATTGTCTTCCACAAATTCCTCGAGATAAGGTGACCAGATCCCTCTATCCCACTTTGTAAGCCGCTCTATAAAGCTGTGCTCATGCTGGACGGTCACTCGGTGAAAGAAGTCTGTCGACAACATCTGACTCGTAGGAATACAATTCTTTTTGAATTTTAGTAAACCATAGTTTGATTTAGAAAAGTGAGACGTACAGCTTGACAGAAACGGTTCAGATGTGCTAGTAGCAGCCCAACCATACCCGGATGGCCATCTGTAGCACGATAAAGGTATTCAGTAACTCCATCCTCGAGCTGGTATTCATTTGGATGGCAAATTTCTTAGTTATGCGGTCCACTTCCTCTTTCCGGAGGAGCATACATGGACTTCCAAGCGTAGAAGAGCGCAGCTCCACACATTGCAGAGCATGCATTGTTTGTGCCTGGGATTCAATTTCTAGATTGCGAATGCCGGCGGCACCATAGAGGCAGACAAGTACGAACAAAGGCTGCGTCTTTGTGAAGTGATGGTTCTTCAGATACGACCAAAAGCCTTCATCTTCATATGAGGCCTGAGCTTCGTCAATAAGATAGATCAATCGGGCAGAGGGGTTGCTGGGGCGGAGCTCAGCATTCCGCTGTCGCCACCATTTCTCACTCTCCTCAAGAGACTCCTCGTATGGAAGATTCTTGCGCTGCTCCCTATCTTCCCAAATGAAATATGCTGGCTCCAGGTCCGGCTCTTTATAGACGATGTGATAGCCTAGTAGTTTCAGGAGAGTAGATTTTCCGACTTGGGGCGTTGCACGAACGATCACAGCTCCGTAGCGACGTACCTGTTGTAGAACGGAGTCAACTAGGTCCTGTCGCTCGCATATAAAGTCGCAGTCGGGTTCCAAGGATGACTGGCATGTGGTTCGTGATCGTCCATGTTGTGCCCACACGCGACGCAGCTGTCAATGAAACCTTCGAAGGTCCCATTGTGACAAGAGCACTGATGGCAAGGCCACATAGCTTTCGTGATGGTACTAATAGGAGGACCTGGCGAAGGGGGCTCGGTGGTTATCTGAAGCGGTCCCTCTTTACTACGGTCCGAAGACGGAGTTTCATCGTCACAGTCTTGAGGTGGGTGAAGTTCGTTTGGTGTTCTCTGTACCAAAAATCGAGCTCCGTTTCGTTTGGAGGGCTTCTTCGGAGCAGCAGACTTTGTACTTTTGGAGCGTCGTTTGAACGTCTTACACGGTTTAAGAGCAAGCTGTGAGTCTACGGCTTGTGCCGTAGAGAGAACACAGCTCTGGTATCTCGTTGTTACGGGCATTTTCAACGTTTGCGAGGCTTCAGCAGAGTCGTCTAGTAGAGAACGTACAAGTCGTTTCTTATTCCTCAAATATAGCAGCGTCTCTTTGTTCTAAGTTAACGTGTTCTACATGCATGTGGTGGTTACAAGCGAGTGGTGGCGCTTAATTTTTGGTGCGATTTGGACGTTTTAACACCCCAACAACCTCAACAACCATAAAAGATTTGAATATATAACTTAGAATAAAGATATGCATAGCTGTTCCAATATTATAAGACAAATTTTTAGGGTCTCTTGATGGCCATATTTAGTCATAGTAGAGTTTTGGCCCCCAGCATTGGGTAAGATCTACGATACAATAAAACTACAGAGACACATCACGCCAAACTATTGCCTAGCCATTGAAATGAGCTAAATACTATATGCATTCATATAATTTTATTTAATACTTTATGGTTGTTGAGATTGCTAGGGTGCCAACGTCCAGATCGCACCAAAAATTAAGCGCCACCACTCGCTTGTAACCACCACATGCATATGAGTGCAAGTGGCCATTGAGAGCATGTGGCTCAACTACCAACAATTCTATTTGATGTAGCTATCTACTATCTGCTTGCCTGCCGCCTAGGGCACGTACGTGCATTATATTCTGTTGATTCGCACATGCTGCACTTCGGTTTTGCTCGTTGCCGTTGCTCGGGTGCTGCCTCTGCTGCCCCCTCTGCAGCCCCTTCCTGTGCACCTTATGCACAAACGGCTGCTTCTGCCCCTGATAGAACACCCCCTCTAGCTATATACGTGCGCTTTCTTGCCTTTTTTTTTGTTTTTAGCGTTAATTCTCCATGCGTAGCTTCTTAACTTCGCTTTCAAGCAGCATATAATCTGCTCAACAAGTCGTCCGTAGGCCCGCTTCAGCACAGAGAAACAGCTAATATCAGGCGGCTGCAGCAGATGTATTGAATGTGCAGGCATGCGGACAACAATAATATTGTGTTCTAGGCAGAACTGATCAAATTCGGGGGCAACATAGCTGTTGTGGCCGTCCAGAATAAGCATCCGATGCGTGCTAACTGTGCGATCTTTTGTATGCTTGTAGAATAGATTTAGCCAGGTAAGGCTAATCTTATTTGTTATCTAGCTATTCTTACTAACACCAATTAACCATTATTTGCCATTCCATTTAGATTTTAGGTCGTCGTGACGCTTAACAAAGTTATATGCCTATTGCTTGTTGACCAGTCGTGATCCAGGGTGCAGGGGAGCAAGAATGCTGGCCATCTGTCCTACAGTGCGTACTCCAGGTGGCATGTCGCGTTTATCCATTGATAGAATCCACTGCTTGAGGCTCTCTTCTTGTGCTGGTGTGAGACGGCGATTTGGCGCGACAGAACCGCGTTTTGGTGCAATGCCGGCGATGCGGCGCCTGGCGGTTGTTCGGGGCACATCGTACGTTGTTGTGGCAGGTTGGAGGGCTTTAAATTGGCCTTGTTTGAAGCTATTGATAGCTAGAACAAGTCTAGCCTCTTGAGAAAGGGGCTCTTGCTGTTGTGGGGTGGCCATTGAGGTTGTTGTTGTGTAACGCGTCGCGCGATTTTGGTGGGGTGGCCACATGCTCTCAATGGCCACTTGCACTCATACTACGTTATATCTTTCCTCCTTCCGCTCAATAGTTAGCTTCCTCCCCATCATCAATACAGCTTTTGGCTACACACCTTGTCTTGATCCGCTTCCCCTCTGATTGTCGCTCATTGCGGAGACGAGTCGTCTTATATTCATTGATTCGGCGTGAAGATGGGCCGGAGGAGGGTCTGTAAAGACTCGATATAGCGACGGATGCCGCTGTCGCGATCCCAGTCTGCTAGACACCAACGTTGCTGGTGTCTCCCGGGCCTGTATCCTGTGCCAGGTATATTATCCGCCTCCTCAATGGTGTTAACTTGGCGGGACACGGAGGCGTCGGGAGCGGGGCTTCGCGAGGAGGCGCACGCCTGTTATATCCCACGGCGCCCGAGGGATACACAGACAGCAAACTTGAGATCGCAAGCTGCTACCAATACTTACCAACTCCATAAACTGCGGCACCGAGGATGATTCTTTGCGCGGTCACGACGACGTCCTCTTTCGCTCCGTTAGTCTACACGGGTTGAGCCCTTTGGGAGGCACTAGGACGACGACCACGGCAACGATTTCGGGCCTTTGGGTCACCACGAACGACAACGATTTGACGAACGGTCTTCTCTCTCTTCGACGTCACAAATCACCTTCACGATACCCACGGCCATTCACCACTTGCACCTGTCTATGGTACGCCACCACTTGCCGAGCAGATGGATCCAGTAAGGACGGGCGGCCAAATGCTGCCAGAGGATCGCCACTTCTAAGGCAACATATCCGAAGTTAGCTTGCAGCGCTCGGCCTTACCAAACGGCTTTGTTCACTTATAAAAGATGCATTGCAGCCTTAGCGATAGTATTTCAAGCTCGCGCCCCATAAACAGGCGAACCAATGGAACCTTCGTATTAAAGCCAGCTTGCCAAAAACCACAGCACCCGACGCCTTCCAGTTTTAATCGGGGACGCCGACGCCACTATACAATGCAATCATGGGAGTCTCAGTCCTTGGCTGCATGGAAAAATCGAGGTGGTTTTCGTACTTATCCAAGTTCTTTTGTAAGACAATTTCTCATCTCCGGAAATAGAATGCCAGCCCACACGAGAGTATAAAGGAGCTTGTCAAGGGTACACCGAAGCATGTCAAGCCGACCTACACGGAGAAGCTCAGTGCAGTCGGCTGGATAGATTCTATTGAGAATAAAGTTTTTGAAGCATCATTGCAGGAGCTGGTAACGTTAAAGAAGACCGGGGTTTTGAAGAACCGTGCTCTCTTATGAGGCGACGTAAACGCCTCCAGCGAACAAGGTGTTTAGAACAGACGTGTGGTATGTCAATTTGATTAGGTTAAATTGGTAATTCAAAGCCCTACTTCATGAAACAGGCAACTCAAATCACAATTACCAGGTACCCACAATCTTCCAGACTCCAGTTCCTCTCCATTTCAAGGCCCTGGCAAATGATCCTCCAACGCAGCAGGAGTATCATCCTTTACGTTGAGTTTCGTCCACATTTTTCGTGTCGGCTTCCTCCGATTCGGTCCTCCTCATGTTCTCTAACAACTTCTTCCTACAAATCTGGCCATGGACTTTTAGGCCCCAGTAGTGGATCTTCCTAACAAGTGCCATCAGATATTCGCAGCCGCCTTCCCCACCGCAGGAGCCGGACGCAATGCAGGTCATCTGACACCCCGCCCATTTGTCGTTCTTCAGAGTGGCGTCAGTACAGTATAGCTTCCATTCGTCCTGATTGATCTGATTGAATGCAAAGGCGTAATGACGCAGCTGGACGGTTTGCTGCTCGGTTTGCTGCTCGGTTTGCTGCTCGGTTTGCTGCTCGGTTTGCTGCTCGGTTTGCTGCTCGGTTTGCTGCTCGGTTTGCTGCTCGGTTTCCATTAACTGATAGCAGTTGAATACCGCCCTCGCAGACGCGATAGCAAGGCGGTGAATAGCTGCTAAGGAGGCCTCGTTGCCGCTCCGAAAGTCAATGGTGAGGTACGGGAAGAAAGCCCGCCTCTCAAACACAGCAGTGTACTCCGCTGCCATGAGTCGCAAGTCGTTGCCCAGCGTCTCGAGGGAGATGCAATAAATAATCTCCGGACAGACCTCCCATGAGAATGATGGCTCGGCTGACAATGTAGTACTCTTGTAAGTTTGTGCGTCGGGAAGTTTTTCGCGCTTTCCCTCGGTTAAAGCTTCTCCTCGGCCTGAAGCAATGGCTATAGGGATAGACGAAACGCTCGGTATGAGAGGTGGGTTGAGTAGCGCCTCGTCTGGCTTCAGCGCGAATCTCGAGAGGCGTGTGGGCGCCAGCTTTCTTCCGTGCGCATCCTGTAACTCGTCCGGAAAGAACTGGCGTTTCGCAAGGTCTACGTACTCTGCATCGTTGCTCTTGTGCTGCAGCAAGAGCATGTACTTCTCCCGGATGAGCTTTGTCGTCTCGGACTCCTCCTTAAGCCATATATGCCTGAGGTAACTGTACTGAGCCATGTTGGGTTCTTCCAAGTACTTACCTACGGGGTCTGTAAGCTTGGGCTTATTGACAATCGTGATCCCATGGGGCCGCAGTACCATCATCGGAAAGCTGTCGCTGCCAAAAGTGGGCATGATTTTAGGCGCGATTTCCTTCCGTTTCGTGGCCATGACAGTTTTCCACAAGTCTGTAATAAAGCCGCTGTCTACGTCGGGAATACAAAAGTCCGGTTCGGCGTCAGATGCGGCTGCCGGATCGGGGCTGGTGATTTGAGCTCGAAGATGTGGGAGAAGCTGCGAGGCAGGAGACTTATAGGAGCTTGAAGGTTTGCCATGCGTGAAAGGATTGTCTGCCGGCTCGGTTCGTGGAAGATTGTGGTCGCTTGACATTGTTTGTGAAGGTAAAGTGGGAGATTGTGGCTGCTGCTGCTGCACAAAGGGGCGAGTCAATCCACTATTCCTCATGTCTTCGAATTCTCCAGGAGTGCTTTGAATGTTGCCTGGGATGCCAGCATGACTTGGAGTTTCTATGGTGTTGTTAAGGGACCCGGTAGACATGTTTGGGGTGATACTAGTCTTTGACGCGTCCAGATTTTGGTCTTGATTAGCCTGCGGCGAGGAGACATCCATGGCAGGCTGCACCTCGGTGAGTTGTAGGTGTCTAGGAAGCCAGTGGGTGTATTGTGGGTGTGGTGTAGGTGGAGGTGGTGCTGATAGGTGGAGTTAGTGGAAATGGAGGTGTGCTTTTATAGTACACACTATGCTGTCCGGTAGAAAGGGGTGCGGAGCACTTTGCAGATTCACCCACAGCAAAATATTCACCTCGCAATACAGCATTAAAGCATTCTGGTGTTGCGCCCATCACTGCACCCGCCACCACGCCCGCCGCCACTCCCGTTGCCGCCGACGCGAGGTCTCCCCCTTTTCCCCCGAGGACCCCCTTTTAGCGGCTTTTCCACGACACCCTCCACCAGTCCCTCGACACGCTCTACTAGTCCGTCGACAACCCCCAATAGTCTCTTGACACCCTCCACCGGTCCCTCAGTACCCTCCACCAGTCCCTCAACACTCGCTCCGGCGGCCGCGCCGGTTGCAAACGAAGCCGTTGCCGCGACCGTTGCCCTTGCAGCAGCGGCTATAAGTCCTTTAGCAATCCCGTACCCCATCAACGCCGACGCTCCTTGGGTTGCAGTTATCACAAACATCCGTCTTGGTTCTGCCGCTTAGATACTCGCCCTTGGCAGCGGCTCCGGCAACATTACTAACGGAGGTGATTGTGAGGATCATACTAGTAGTGCCGAGGATCGCGATGCCCTTGACGACCTTAGACGCAGACAGCATTAACGACCGAGTTGAAATTGAGGTGCCGGCCGCGTCGTTAGGGCTTTGCGGCTAGCGGCAACAGCTGCGACCGCTTCGTTGATAATGCTAGGCTTGATTCCTTCGGGGAGAATATTCTGCAGAAACCCATTGGCTTCAGCACTGGCAATTTCGGCTATACCGATGTTGTAACTCGTTCCAGGCTCCGCGTGCTCGAGGTTCGTGGCAGCCCTCGCTATCTGCTCCCCCCAGCCTTCCATTCTCTCGGCGTCCTTGCTGCCTGAGCGCAAGTTGCCTTTTTTTTGTGAAGAATGTTTTGAGCGGGACCAGCTTGTTCAACTCGCGGAAAACAATGTCCAACCTTGACTCATTCAGTATCCCCGGTGCTGCCCCAATTTCTTGCTGAAACTGGATCCCGCCCCGAGCCGGGTTGTCGTTCTGGAGCTTGACGCCAAAGTCTTGACCTGCACGCGGTCCATATACATTGGAGAGCGTGTTACTTCTTAACAAGCCTTGTTTCATACTATTCGCTTTCTCTGCCAGCTCGCCTATCTGTTGTTGTGTTTCTAGGACCTCAGTGTCCTATTCAGTTGATTCATTTATTAGTGAGCCCCTTTGGTTCGTCCATTGGTGGGCCTCCTTTGGCCTTAGTACCGCCAGGGTCGGAAAGTATGATGGAATTTAACCGCGAATATTGGTAGAGATTCAGACCGTCCACGGCTCCTTTTAGATCGGCGGAGGTGAATCTCCCCAGCCACGCAACATAATATCGGGCTCCCAAGTGGTACAATCCGCTCTCATCGAGTTCCTTCCCGAGGAAGCGGTATCTTTTGGGAACTTCGGTTTAAGAGTACGAGGAACGAACGGAAGAAACCCCGTGCGCAGTGTATTCTTTGCATGTAAGTGTTTGCGTTTCAGTCCACTTCTACTGTTGAGGATCCCTGGTGATTCGCCAATTGGTAATAATAAACTCTCCTAGGAGTTTGCGGCTCGGCACCAATAGTTTGGTGGTCGATAAGGAGCAAACAACTGCCAGACTCCGCGATGCTTAGACTGTGAACCTCTAGCATGACTTCTCTGCTTGAGTTGTAGTAACGGAACGCTTTAAATACGCCACCAATATAGATAGTCTTGTCGACTGGGGCGGAATTATGTTTAGTAGACATTTCCTCGGTGATTTATCGCACTCGGAGGCCAGTGGAATTGTAGCGGTAACGCATTATTTCCTGGGAAACCGGATCACTGGAGTCTCTTTGAGCTGAGGATAGCACCAGCTTGTCCTAGTAATTGTACTCTATTGTTGGGACGCTTGGAATTGCGATTATAGAACCGGTGATGCCATCGCGACCATTGTAGTGGTATTTCTTGATACGGCTTTTGATCTTGGTGCAACTGAGACGATTCTTCTTCTCCGAAGGGATAATGGAGCTTGGCTCGTCGTATTCATAGTGTCTTGTCCATGAGCGACTTTCTCCTGGGGTTTCATCATGAAGCTTGAGGATATTTCCCTGAGAGCCGTATTCGAAGCATTTGATATAGCGAGTCAAGGCCTCGCTATTGTTTGAATGCTCGCCCGTCATATCACCCATAACCACTGCGCCCTGTTGCCATAAGAATTGACAGCGCTCTGAACTAGCAAGTGGTATTTGTTGTAAGTGTAAAATGACTCAGTGGGTTCCGACTTGGTGTGCCAAGGCGTACGAGAACGATGAATTATATAGAAATGCCTCTTTACATATTGAAGTTCCTGTTTAGATAAGTCCTTCGAATTTGGCGAATAGAAGGCATTACCTCCCTTGGACCACCACCTATTATCGCCAGGGAATCTAATATAGGTGCCTTTAACGTGGAAGAGGTTGTTAATCTCCGAATTCTTCAACTTCCCTGCTAAAACGTATTTCTGAACTTAGGCATCGGTAAAAACGAGGCTGTAATTTCGCAATGGTAACACTATTGATTCAATAACCCCAAGTGGTAGTGCCCCTGAAAGATCGTTCTTTTGGAAGATTGTTCGAGATTTCTTTAGCATCCAGCAATGTGGGCTTGTAGTGGACGGATATAGACCATTGAAGTTTTCGAATAGGACATCAAACTTTCCGGATGGCAAGACCTCTACCATCTGCACAGCAGCTTCGAATGGAACCCACGAAGAATTCAGGTCTCGGAACCTTATAGAGGTCATCAGGTCAACGATTTCAAAGCCGCTGGACTGTGCACTAGTAGGTAAAACGTATGTTTCGGGCGTATCAATTATGTTGGTATATATTGCGTGAGTGTATATAGTGTATAAGCGGCGCTGCCTTTAGCGATTAGGGCTGTTAAGGATTGGGTTTGGGTAGTTATATTGTCGACCGTAGTTGATAGCTGCCTTTCTTAAATTATCCCGAACTAGTCAACTTAGAGTGTTGTTGAATGTGTGATTCTGGAATCCAGCAGCGATTTCAACCCAACCTTAAAGACTTTCTGGTTGTAGAGCATTCCTTTGCATGGACAAAGAATACCGCGTGCTTATTATTAGATAGAGGCTGAAGCTGTTCGATTACGAAATTTGACTGAGAGACGGTGACGGGAATGCCTTAAGCTTGGATCCGTCCATAGAGTAAGTACACCTCGCTGCGAAGAGGCAAGCCTTTTAACGCGCGGTAGGCTTCGAGCTGCTCCTAATAGACGGAATTGTAGGGAATCCATTCCGACCTTGTTCGCAACGAAGTAGGAAGGGTTGTTTCAGCGAGATTAATATTGGCCAAGTCCGGATTAAGGTCTAGAGTCTGAAAATATTAATGGCGGCAGTATCTTGTTAGGCAGCTATCGTCCCGATATTAACCTGTATGATACCACCACTTTTTCAAACCAGGGGGAATGTGAGAATCTTTGACACTCGAGTTCTCGTTCGTGTCAGTTTCCGGGCTGGTGCTGGGCAACGGGACGATGCCACCGTCGTCCCTATAGCGCCTGAGGGGAGGAGGTGCTCTATGTCGCTCGGGAATGTCCTCGTGAACTCCGGCAAGGTCGGGACCACGTTCTCGTTGTTGATTATCTCCATGCTCGTGTCGTGAACTAGCTAGCGTTGAAGCTCGCATCATGCGCCGGTTCTGAGCCCTAGCGGATCGTCGTCATGCTCATGATCAACAAGAGCTTCTCGGCGGTGCTCAACTTCTCATACGCGCTGCGGGACACGCGTCCCGACCCGCTGCTGACGATGCTGGAGGAGCTCTTCGCAGATCTGTCTCTTGAAGGTGATGACCTGCTCTCTCCGCTTCCGCACGAGCCTCTACTCAAGTCGAACTCCACCGACCTAGTCGTGCCCGTAGTAGAACTTCTAGTTCTTGCACATGATCGTGTTCGCTCTATGAGCTAGTACCGAGACAGCTCGCTCGCCGGTTTTGGGTCCGAGCATAAGCGAGGTCTGATCGTCTTCAAGGAGATGAGGTTTAATCGTCGTCATGCCCGTAGACGTTGGGGTGACCATCTACTTACTTGTGCTGGGTGGATGGCCGACGTTGAACCCCTCCTCCCCCTCTCCAACCGCCTTCTCCCTCATGGTCTTCATCATCTCGTCCCTGACCATCATCAGGGACTTCCCCAGCCTGTTTTCACCCCACCGCTTCCGGTTGACCAGCGCATGGGTGGCATCGAACTCAATCCACCAGATGCGGTTGTAGGGGCTGGCCTCCACCAATACCTTGTTCCCGGTGCTCACCAGGATCCTCATGAGCCTCTCGTTCTGCGTGAACTTGCAGGAGTTGACGCCCGCGACTATCCTCACGCACTCGTTATCCCAAACCTCGGGGACGAAGCTCCTCACCATCCTGCCCAACTTCTTGTGCTCGCTGGGCTGGGACTGGGGCGTGCTGAGCATCATGTTCGCCATCTCGGTGTCGTTGAACAGCATGGCCTTCGAGTACATCATGAACTGCTCCGCGGTCATGAACGTCTTCCCGTCGTGAGTAAAGGGCGAGCGGGTCCACTGGCTAAGCTCCACGTACTCCCTCGACATCTTCTAGCAGAAGATGTGGCCGATCTCGTGCGTCATTCTCGTACCTCCAAAAGTGGTCTGTTGTTGGCAGTGATGAGCTGACCGAGTCGCGAGTGGGACCGTCGCGGTCAATGGTGAGGACCTGAGGCCGGCTGCGCGCCCGAGCCGCTAGCTAGACCATGGTCTTGAGTTGCACATCCTCACGACGACGTGCCCGCTCTCATCCTCCTCCTCGATTCGTGGACGAAGAGCAGTTGCGACACGCTGTTCATGCCCACGGTCACAGGGCCCATTTGTAGAGCGTATTGAGGGCGTCCGCCATCTTGAGTATCGAGAAGGAAGATTGCGGAATGGGAGTGGTGATGTTTTCGATGAGCTTGGAACAGTCGGCGCTTCATTCTTTCTTTCGACAAAGCTTGGATGTCACGGAATTAGACGTCTTGTTTCTGAGCTCGGCCTAGCTTTAATCACTGCATCTCGTCGCAACTCCACACCACGCCCTCCGCTTTCTGCACACGTCCAATTCTCCCAATCTCATCCAAGGAATACAGACATTGTGGGTGGCGGCGGTGAAAAGCTTCCCGGCCAGTGAGTGCACTCAATCCTCGGATTAACCGCCACAGACTTTCGTCCGGCATATCAACTGCCATCAGCCATTGCCTTCTATCACTCTCACTAACATCTTCTCATGGACACATGGGATGGCGGGGTAGTCGAGGTACACCTCCCCAACCGCAGCGCTGGCAGCTGGCGTAGGAAGGGCAAAGGATCAGTGAGGAAAGCATGAGTTGTATTGAGGTGCTAACGAGTGGCTATATAGTGAAGAGAGAATAGGGGTTGCAGGGGGCGAGCTGAGCATTCAGCTGAGGCGCGTAGATAGATGTACGTAAGAGCATTCTAACTGGCTGCCAAGCGCCTCTATCTTCGACATCATATCCTACTCCAACCAAATACTCACGCACCGCCCTTTAGGCTCTCCTCCCCAGAAAGGTGTCACAACCTACTAGGGCATCAATATGCAACACCCACATGCTACCACTTGACTCCGTTCAAAGCCCTTCCTGCTTATCCAAAGCCCTACCAAAAAACTACCATACTTTTCTCAACCAACATCCAAAGCCAACCCATCTCCCTCCAAACTTCTTGTTAAAATAATAGAAGTCCTCCCTTTCGAAATTTTGAACACAACCTAAACCCACCAATCTCAACATGCTAATGTTTGAATCCTTTTCAAAACTCACCCACTATCGATTAGCTGGGACCGATACAGTATTGACCAGATTGAATAGGCGGCTCTAAAAACACGACATCGCGCTGAGTATTCGATCAAGTTCTCTGACTTTATTTCCATGGTTTAATTGATCAGCTTATCAAAGCCCAGGATTCTGGTTTCGATTATCCTAACTGGCTGTTTAGAGGAGCGATTGAAGTAAAACGGGACGTGGAAACTGGCTCAATACCATCTTTAGACAAATTCTGAGCAAGCTCCTCCGCGTCACGTTACTCTCCTTTTACAACACCTATATATACACGAACTACGTACCCGATACAAACTTATGTCTTCCTCACAATTCTCTTAAGCATCAATTTGCTATCTCACATCAACAGACTAATATATACTGTAATTTCCCTGAAAAGATTTTGCATCTTCATCTTCACCTTACTCTCCTCCATTCTCTTCCTTACATGCGTCACATTCCTTACATCCCCCACTTTCTTTTTCTTCGTCTCCGTCTTCGTCTTCGCCTTCGTCATCGTCTTCTTCCTCAATGAGTTTGCGCCGGGCGTATAAATCCGGCGGCACAAAGCTCGTCTGCGCCATAGAGAGGAGACAGCCTCTTCAGCTGCCATTGACTAAACCCATAGTCCGTGCCTCCGTCATGACCAACACTCCGCAGCTTTATGATCTTCTTGTCTCCGTCTCCTCGCTAGTAGACACCTTGTATAAGATTACAAGTAGCAGTTATAAGAGGTGCCAGATTCTTTTGCAGCGCCACGTCAGCTCGCGGTGCATCAGTGACCTCCTCTGCTTGTCTGGCCTGCAATAGTATAGGCACTGTAAAAAGGATCGGGCGACCATGAAGGCCAGGCATCCAGCCTCTATTGCAGCCGTCAACTCCCGAGAGATTCCTTCGCAGGTCTGTGGCTGACGAACGACACAATCCGTAACAACATCGTGTTCGGTAGTTCCTACGGTGATGAACGATACAAGGCGGTCGTAGAAGCTTGCGCTCTCGGTCTTGATTTGCAAGCCCTAGCCGACGGTGATCTCACACGTGTTGGGAGCGCGGTGTATCTCTCTCTGGAGGCCAAAAGCAGCAAATTGCCCTGGCTCGAGCTGTCTATTCAAATGCGTATCACCTTGTTCTTGACGACTGTCTAAGCGCCGTAGATTCCCACACCGGTACATGGATCTTCGAAAAATGCCTGAATGGGCCGTTGATGAATGGACGAACAGTCAATCTGGCAACCCATAACATAGCACTCACCGGAACCGATGCTATCTTTATCGTTGTGCTGGAGGGGAAGGTAATAGCATCGGGCAGCCCGGGCGAGATCAAGCGCTCAACAAAGCTTCCCCAGTTTTGGGGACCCCGTAACCAAGAAATTGACCAATTCAGACGCTCTCGGGACCCGGTGAATTCCTTCCAACCTAGCATAAAGCCACTGCGACTCGAGAAGGCTAGCGTTGAGATTATTCAGCAAGACATCGCGGATGGCTTTGATGAAGACCTCTCTAACTCTAAAGAGATCCAAAGCGATGGCTCAATTCCGTGGCGAGCCGTCTTTCGGTATCTTCGCGCCATGGGCGGTTGGGTTTTTTGGCCATTCCTCGTTCTTGCTTTTGCTGGCCAGCAGTTCGGAGCCATTGCTACGAATTGGTGGGTTCGAGTGCTGTGCAATGCATACATTACAGCTCGCCAGCAGACCGGTGCAGCCCCATCAGAGAGTACCCAAGGCATCAGCGTCGCATACTACAGGCTCTTCCTACGTCCGGTGACCTAGCGCTAAAATCAAGCTACAAAATTACCGTATAAGGTAGAATTTCCGGACGCCTCTAGGAGGGAATAGCAGTCTCATAGCCAATCAGTATTCCGGCTAGTTTAGCATTAGCCCAGAAAAGGAGGTTGACCATGGTCGACTCAGTTTCCGCGCTAGGTCGTCGGACGTAAAGAGAGCCTGTACTTTGGGATGTACGCGCTACTTATCGGTCTATCTCTTGTCGTTGGCCTGGCTAGATTGCTCTTAATATCCTACGGCTCGCTCCAAGCTTCCGAGAAAACGAGCCAGCAAAGAGAGAAACAGTGGCTCCCACGAGACCGAGTCGAAATGCGAGCCATCTCTCGGTGGCCGCAAGAAAGAATGATGGCCGGTTTGCTTTGTCGACTCGAATGGAATTACCTACACGGTACTGACCAACGGTGCCATAAGCACGGATGGTGGTGATGCCAGAGAGCGTCTCGCCAAAATGTTGGAAGAGCGGCACACGTTATGTTGACTCCATTTGCCTGATCTTTCGTGTACCGGCAACGTAGACTGCACCAGTCATGTAATAAGAGATACCGATGAAAACTCCGGGTACAAGGAACGCAGGAGTGATGATGACAATAAGGGTGATGATACCGAGCAGTGCCACAGGAAAATGTGAAGTAGCAACTGCCATGACTGCCAGGTCCTGATCCACTGCTTGCATGTCTTGTGAGCAATGATTGACGATTTCCCCGAAACTTGTCTTATCGAAAAAGGCGAAAGTCGCGTTCATGACATTTTTCGTGAGTATAATGTGGATGCTGGATCTCGAACGTAGAAAATTTGAATTCAGGAGCAATTGGGCTGAGCATGTCTTAGCCATTGTATTCTCGGAACATGTCCTCCGGCTCATCCGGTATTACATGGCAAATCTACAAAACACGATAGCGTAAGTTCATGACTCCCTAAGTCTCGCACAATGTTGAATGGTTGACTTGTTCTTGGTTTCTCCTAGTTTGCGACGTGTTCAAGAGTATATGAATCTGCCACAGGAAGCTCTGGCTGTCACCAAAGATGTTCATCTACCAGAAATTTGGCCAAGCAAAGGTGCAGTCCAGTACGAAGGCGTCTCCGCTCGCTATGCCCCTGGCATGGATCCAGTGCTTCGCAATGTCAGTTTCACTGTCAATCCTAATGAGCGGGTAGGAATCGTTGGTCGCACTGGCGCGGCCAAGTCAAGCCTAGCTCTCACCCTCCTGCGCGGCTTGGAGGCTGAGAGTGGACACACTCGGATAGACAACGTAGATACGAAGGAAGTGGGACTTCGAGACCTCCGTCGTAGACTGGCCATTGTTCCTCAGGACCCTACGCTCTTCGCAGGCACGCTGCGATTCAATCTGGATCCGTTCAGCGAACAGTCCGACAATGAGATGCTAGCGGCTTTGAAAAGCGTTGGTCTACAGGACCCAGTGGATGATAGTGATGAATCCGCGGATACAACACTGCACCGTAACAAGTTCACCGATCTTTCATTCACGCTTGCGGAATCTGGTTCCAACATATTGTAAGGCCAGAGACAACTTGTCTGCATCGCCCGCTCTCTTCTCAAAACACCCAAGATTGTGATTCTGGACGAAACCACTGCGTCGATTGACTACAACACGGACCTTAAAATTCAAGACTATGTGCGCAAATTGGACTCCACCGTCATCATAACCGCTCATCGACTTCGAACCGTCATTGACTATGACCGCATAGTGGTGTTGGACGGTAATGAGGTGAAAGAGTGCGACCATCCGTGGAGGCTACTTCAAAACAAAAATGGCATATTCCATGGCATGTGCAAAGCGGCAAGTAACGGTGAGAATTTGTTTTCCTTAGCAGAAGCTGCGTGGCACTCGGATCGTAGGATAAGGCTTTTAAATCGAAATTAAAAGTCAAAGAGCTACGAGACCTGGGATATCATCACGAGCATCTATATAGGGCTTCATGCTCAGGTTGGGATTGGTCACCTTTATTTGCCGACACTTCCATTCTTTCGCAGCGGAAGAGGGCCATATTGAGATTCGAACCGCTGTTGGCATGTTCAAAAATTTCCCCTGAGGTTTCAGCACAACGATCCACTTCTTCCCGAAGGACAAGACCCCCGAGGCTCATCGACTTGCAGCAAGAGACTTCCAAAGCGTCCGAAGATTCGCATGAGGACAAATTCGGCTAAGCCCTGTCTCATTTCAACGCGCATATGGCCGGGAGCGGGACGATGATGAGTGTTGGAGGATAAGCTCGATAAGGCTCGCAATATCGACTCCTGCGTTGGAATATCCATCATGCATTCGATTTGCGACGCAAGCAGAGCTCAAGTTGCTAGAGACGAGCCGAGAAATCTGCAAAGCTATCACGAGAGTTTTCATTCGCATTGTTGACGAAGAACCTCCGAACGGAATTGAAGCAATTGAGCAATGGGAGCTGATTATGATTTTGCTAAGGAAATCCAGGGATTCCGACTTCGTGCATCCTGATAGCGTCAAGATGATCACGGAAGCTTATTGGGAAATCTGCACGATGGCGTCTCCAAACGGAAACACGAGAGGACGAATACTAGGTGACATGGTGGACGATTTTGAGGAGATGCTCGACTGTCTAAGAGCAGAGCTAACTGTCAGATCCTCCAGGATCAAGGACTGTTTGGAGGAGTTCTTCGAGTGGTATAGTTTGCCATATATCTGCTGCTTTGTTGCGCATGCACTCTTCGCCAGCATGTATTGCTCGGTTTTTCTGACTATCTCTGTGGCCAGCCCTCAACTGTGGTTGGAATTTCTTAAGGGCCCAGAGGCTGCTGATGTTTTTGTCGAGTAAGCCATACATCGATCTATGATAGAATAGCAACATTCTTTAACTTAGCACGCCTTTTAAAAAAAGAATGTAATAAAATGCAAATCTTCCAAGCTTCTCCAAGGATTTCTACCCTTGTAGCAGTCTGCAGAGTAGAAGTGCTACTAAACCCTGCTACATACTAACTAATTGTTGTTGGTTAAATAATTACGGACCACTTGCTGAGCAGGGGAAAGGAAATCCTTAAGATGGCAAAAACGGAAACCGCTTTTGCAAGTCACTATAGCACTGAGTGCAATTCATCTGCTAGGCCTTTTCTATGCGGTAAGCTGGCAGAGACCGAGGAGATGTACACAAGGGCGCTGCGAGGATACGATGAGGCACTTGGACGGTCGGACCAGAAACTGTGGCGAGATACAGGCCTACCATGAACTCCATGTGGAATCTAGGCGACCTCTTCAAACTCAAGCAGAGTTGAGCCAGGCCAAAGAGGTGTTTTCAAGAGTACTTTCTAGCTTTCAGGTCCTCTTGAGAACCTCATAAGCTTAAAGTCGAGAACTGGAACGCGCTCTGGCATTTCTAGATACTCCGAAGGTTAAATTCTGCACAGTAGTCCGCAGAATCAATTCCAGGCTTCTGATTTAAATAATAGTAATTAAGAATCAGCATTGTATAGTTAAAGAATCTGATGCTAAGGCACGTGATATTCCGTCTAAGGCAACAAAATCGGGAGTCTAGTCTGGGAGCTCGGGCCTGCCCCTCCAAAACAAACAAGACGCTTCTCAACCATCAACTCTCAACCCTCTCCTCCAGCCATCCCCATCTCCCATGATCCCCATGAGCATTTCCGACGTCGCCGTCTGGATTGACAGCGTGCCTACGCCGCAAGTCTCGTATGAGCTCCATTCCTTGCCCACACTCGGCGAGCGACAGCTGACTGCTTTCCGTCCAACTAGTCCGTTGATTTCGCCAATTGTTCCTCGCGCAGTCGACGACAAAGAGAACCCCCGACCAGCAAAGAAGCGCCGCATCATGCAAGCCGACCCGGACCAAACACCCCGCCCCCCGAAGCGACTCCGTGACCTCAATAGCGCGCCTCAATTCGCTCCTCCCTCTCCAACCAAGAGCGCCTCAAGCGCAGCAGTATCCGAAGCCTCCGAAGTCGAATCGCATTATAGTGGGCGTCTGAGTCCCGTGAAGCAGCTCCAGCTGCTTGAAGACTTTGAAGAACATCCCATCGTCTTTTGCAACTTCGATGACGACGAGGATGGGGCGGAGCCCGAAGACGTCACGGCGATGCGCAGAGCTGTTCAACGCTTCGCAGACGGCATTGGAATCTTGGGATATGATAACATGGATGCGGTTGTTTCGGCTCTACTACCGATGGACAGGATGCGATTCCAATATCCCTGGGCAAACGACCTGGAGCACCGTTGTGTCCTTGGCTCGATGCCTTCGACGGCGCAGGTACTGGGTATTGTGGAGATGGCACGGAAGTATGACCATGGTTCAGGCGTCTCCGAGGACGAGTGGAACTCTGAGGTCCAGCATCCACTCCTCAAACTTGCACACAACACATGCAAATACCAACAGACGCTTGAAATTCATAATGTGTAAGTCTTCGTCGTCAACCTAGACAGCTGCATGCTAGCCGCAGTAGAAAAACAGTCAGGATCGAACCCACATCACTTGCACGCTCCACTCTCCCCGACCGCGTCGTCGATTATGTTGTCGCACTCAACCCGGACCAAGCCATCAAACAAGCCTGGCGCCGCCTCCGTCCGCTCCCTGGCGCATCCATCAAGTCCTGGAACCACACGACTCGGGCCCGTCATAGTCCCATTGCCATTAATGTTGAAACCAAAGGCCCCATGAAGTCATGGACAGACGGCAAACCTCAAATCGCGATATGGACCGATGCCTGGTTGAACCGCCTCGCTCTTATCCGCGGCACTACAAGTGGGCCGTGGCCCGCTCTCCCACTTCTAATCGCCCAAGGTCATGATTGGCACTTGTTGGTTTTCTCCAAGGATGACCAGAAGATGACCATTCGGGAGCAAATTGACATTGGGAGTACGAGGTCGTGCTTTGATACGATGAAGGTGATAGCGGTCCTTCACTGGCTTATGGGCTGGGCTGAGACGGTCTGGCGGCCGTGGCTCCTGTCCCTGGTAGGCTGAGATTAATAAAGTCACCCGAGACCGCATCCGGAGCCTACCTTAAAGCCACTAGAGGTCCTTTAGCTATTGATTGTTATCCTTTAGAACATATCGACATATTATACTTCGACCGCTGCGTCAGTCAGTCCCTAGACGAGAAGGAGAGGTTTCTTCCCGAATATCAACGAAGAGTGCATCGCTGGGCCCGTCTTTCAAACCAACGAGCTTTAGCGGAGTCGGCGGACCTGGAGCTCCTTTCGACGACGTAAACAGGGTGTGAGATATGATGGATGAATCGTGCCGGGACTCCAAAGCCCCAACTAGTTCCCCATGACGGTCACAGTTCAAGTTCGCGACGCGACCAGCTCATGGCATAAGAGACGGCTATGTCTACATGATAGACACTGTGAAAAAACATGAGAGTATCGCACCGCCCTCAAGGTTCGCAGGCGCGCCTTTGACCCCTGCGCCGACCAGAAAGCCTTTACCCAAGCACCTCAAGTTCTCGCGCTTTTCAAAGATATCCAAGGACACATAAAGCAATACCCAAGAACAGAATTCGATAAGATTAAGAGTCGGGAGGGAAGCGACCGTTTATTCCCTTTATGGCTGGCTTGATGTTATACCGGGCTATCTCAGTTTCACAGAATCCTTTCTTCATGACTTTGCGTAACCGTGCGACCGGACCCCCATGCACTACGAGAATGCACCATTCTTCTCTCAGCAACATTGTGCAATGGAATGGCCCGCGCCCGTCTTCTACGCAGAGAACCGTACTTCGCGAAGTTCAGTGCACGAGACCTGGGATTCCAACTCTTGAGTTGACTCAGCAACTGCGCCACGCTAACCGCCGCAATGCCACACTCATGACAGCGACCCGCAGTTGCCCATATCCTTTCTTCTCTACTCTACAACCAACAAATAGACGCTCACAAGGGCTGGCGGGTAGAAAGAGCAAAGCAGGTGTAACTACCACACTAATCAGCAAAAGGATCTTCGAAGATATTGGATTTGTGTTTGAGAAATTGGAGGTGAAACGCCATTCTGTATTTCTAGTATTTCTTGGAGTCCGCCTGCCCCAATGAGTACTACAAATGAAAGGTAGGACAGATTCGAGGTATACAATTCGCAGGTAGCTCGTTATAAGCAGATTCACAATTTAGCAGAGGAAATGTCGATCCGCCCCGCCTTTGTGCCTGTTTGCTCAAGATCGTAGTCCCATAGTCACATCTCCATCTTCCACTATAATACTGCCTGGGTACATAGTCTTATACTCGCGCCCGTCGCTATCAGTGTATATGACAGGGGCAAAGTCTTTATGGTTACCCTTAGTATGTTCTTTGCCCACTTGTACGTGCACAGACTTCCAGCATATTAAAAACAGTAGCATCGTTTGGAAATACATTGACTTACTGATTCATTTACGTGAACGTTGTAGGGGTAGGGAATGATAAATTCCGCACCATCACTGTTTTCATAGCGAACTGGAATGCTAGGATTCTGAAGCCATGGACCTATATGTACGCCATAGAATTACATCAGAAAGCCTGCTTTTAGTATTCGATAGCTTGTGTTTACCAATGTGTCTGTTTTGAAAGCGCAAGTGTGGGGCAGAATGTATTCACCTCCATCTTCATCGCGGTACTCGTGGCACCCACTCGTGATGGGCTGGAACTCTTGGCGGGGTCTTCGCACGTCTGTGGCGCACAGCACGTTCAAAGTCGAGGATTTGTAGTATGAGGGCTGAATCTCCCTTCCTTGCGCAGGCGTAATGCCATGCTCATTCGCGCGCTGTAAAGGGCGCGCTGGCTGCGCGGTTGGGTTTGAGGAAAGAGTGATAGGCCAAATGCGCTTGTACGGGGCTTGAAAGATAATGATTAGACTGATTAGCAGGACACTGGCGCAGAAATTTCCGAGGTAGCTCATTTTGTCTAGCTGGGTGATGAACTGTCGATTGGTGAATAGCTGGACCGTAAGGAAGTGGATGAATGGTCTGAATAAGAATGTACGGGTGTAGTAGTACAGATTACGCTCCAAGTAGGATAGTGAACAACTACAGCAGCAGATGGAGACGCATATATACTGCGTGCTTTTGGGGCAGTGCGTAAGCACATGCGTAGGTCTAAGGACGCCCCTTTTCTACCTGCGTCTCATACATCTCACAAGTCCATGATTTTAACGAAAGAAGAAAGTTAATAGCCTTAAAACAAGCAACCGCTACATTATGGCTCAGCTAGGGAAGTATGACAATAGGACTGATAACCTGGAAGAGAATTGGGCAGACACAAAAGACGCCATTGGGCTATTGTAAACTGAAGTTGATAATATCAAGAAAGGGATTGATGAAATATCGGACCGCGGAGATGAACGGGTGGAAAAGGCTGGAAAGAAGAATATAGCATCCGCGAGGAAAAGGGTGCGTGGAGCTTGAAGGTGGAGGAGTCTGCAGAATCGAGGAGGAAATGTGTTGGTACTAGTACATAGGCACGTGATAGGGTGCGGCTCGGAGTAGAATCACAACCCCACCAGCTACGCGAGGCGAGGAACATCAAAATGACCCAAAACCAGTAACGTGTTCTACATGCATGTGGTGGTTACAAGCGAGTGGTGGCGCTTAATTTTTGGTGCGATTTGGACGTTTTGACACCCCAGCAACCTCAACAACTATAAAAGATTTGAATCTATAACTTAGAATAAAGATATGCATAGCTGTTTCAATATTATAAGACAAATTTTTAGGGTCTCTTGATGGCCACATTTAGTTATAGTAGAGTTTTGGCCCCCTAGCATTGGGTAAGATCTACGATATAATAGAATTACAGAGACACATCACTCCAAACTATTGCCTAGCCATTGAAATGAGCTAAATACTATATGCATTCATATAATCTTATTTAATACTTTATGGTTGTTGAGATTGCTGGGGTGTCAAAACGTCCAAATCGCACCAAAAATTAAGCGCCACCACTCGCTTGTAACCACCACATGCATGTAGAACACGTTAGCTTTATGGAGCTATATCTCAGCATCACGACGAGATATTAAGTTCCTAAAACCCAGAAGATACTTGCGGAGACTTACTTGTTACATTCACCCACAGAAAAGATTTTATTATGTTGTCGTAGATTTAGTGACGTGCTTACGTAATGTGATTATGCTCCGCGCGGCACCCTTTGTATACACAAACACCACACCCCCAGGTTTGGACAATTTCAAAGAAACAATGGCCTCCGACACAGCTGCCGCGCTCAAAGAGCTCCAGAGCTCTCATCCCCTCAATCTCATCGAGCTGTCCGACTCGATCCGCCCGTCCGGCGCCCAAGACGCCGAGAAGCGCTCCTCAGCCATCTCCGACACCTCCGCAAATGCATTCGAGAACGCGACGCCGGCGGGGTTGGAGGCGGATCTAATACACTACAAAGTAGCCCATTGCCCCATTGGCTCTTCTACCAATTATGCTAACATGCTACGCAGGAACTCTTCTCCAAACTCCGCTTCTCCTACGTCGAGCAAGTCACCAAAGAGAAATTCCTGCGCGCCATAACCGACAACCCCCCCCTCTTCATCGAAGCCTCCGAGAACGCCGCGCTAGAAGCCCAGCTCGCCGAAGCAAAAGCCGCCCTCAAAGCGCAAAAAGTCGAAGTCGCCGAGCTCATCAAACAGCTAGAATCGCGGGGCAGGAATCTGAGTAATCGTGCGTGTTTCCCGCGCTCGACAACCCCCAACCGCGTGCACGTAGCACTTTAGTATGAAGCCGGCCGAGCTAAAACGTATGCGTATCTAGGCTACGAGTCTGTCACCCTCCGCACCACCTCCCTAGCCACCCTCCCCGCCGAGATCTCAACCCTCGAGTCTGCAATCGCGTCCCTCAAGCACGCGCAGGCGCCGCATCCTACCAACCCTTCGCTTTCCCTCCCCCTCCCGGAAACCCTCGAGCTCCTCCAGTCGAAAGAAGCAGAATTGGCGGCGCTGGACGCGGAACTAGCGCGGCTGCAGACGGCGGTGCCGCGGAAGACGCATGAACTAGAGAGGATAGAGGCGGAGCTGCGGCCGCTGGAAGCTCAGAAGACGGCGAAGGTGGCGGCTGCGGTGGAGGCGAGGAGGCGGAGGGAGCAGGGGGGTGGGATTGGGGATGAGTTGGAGGAGCGGGGCAGGTGGTTGAGGGCGAGTGAGGCGGCGTTGAAAGGGATGTTGGAGGTTTGATGGCGCACGGCAGGAGGGATCTGGTGGGTTTGGGGTTTGACGGTTTGGGGGAATGGCTATACCCGGGCTATTGGTGCTTTTGTTAGGAGTTTGTGGTTCAATAGGGGGCGTGCTGCACGATGTGCTTTCGATCAGCATGGATAGCATTTATTCTTTCCGGGTGCTGGTGCACTCGACCATCAAATCAAAGTTATCCGGATTCTACAAAGAATGATCTTGATTCACCCCACTTCCAAAGCAGGCAGCTTTAGATGTACCTTTATAATGGCAACGCTTTCTACATTTGGACGGAATAGCCCAATGGTTCCGGGCACAAGCAGAATTTGTCCCGGTTGATGCGTAAGAACGGTTCCTACAGGGGTGGCATGTCTAGACAATACTGTGAAAAGCGATCATATCTGACGTGACATAATACATGTTTCAGGGATAATATCAGGCGCCGGAACGTAGAGACCTACATTATAACGTTAGCACTGGACGAGGAGCTTAACACAAGAAACATCTGTGGAACTCTGTCTGCTTCATCGAGGTAGCCCGGTCGTCTCAAGGAACATCATGCCACTGTTCACGGAAATCGCTAGGGCGGGATCGCATAGGTCCGTATCGTCTTCGCTCTAGGCTGGGCGGATGTATGCATCGCATACTCGGCCGGTGTACAGTCGCGTTCGTTTCGAATCAAGTTCTTGCATCCACTTCAGCATGAAAGTCTGGATCGTCAAATACTAGGCCGTCGTATTCGTTGCATGCACATTACTTCATCCCATGACAGTCTGCCATCCTTTCTCAATCATCACGTCCATCCAAAAGGCATCGTCGCCAGCATCCAGTCGCCGCCAGACTTCTTTGATGAGCTCCTGCATCCGTCGGAGTGGTTTAGCAGGCAGTCTCATGGCGAATTCGTTGAGTCGTCTGTCCACGAATGCGCGTGTGCGAATGATCTTTGGGTCGTTTGCGTGAACGTCAAAATAATCGACGGTGGAAACGCGTTTTAGCTCTGAAGCTGCGGTCACTAGAAGGATCGGCTGGAGACAAGATGTCCCAGATGACGGCGGGAGACACTCGAGGGTATCGAGAATATGCAATGCCAAAGAGCTGATCCAGAGATTGACGTCAGAGGTTTCATGCCTGGTCTCGAATCGTGGTGTAGAGAATTCAAACTCGAAGTTGAAGTCGGGGTCCCATGTAGGTTCGGCGTGTTGCCCTAGGCGCTTCCTAAGGATGAATGGGAACACTCGGTATATCTCTAGCAGACCAGCGCAGCGGTAGGCTTCCGCAAGAACAACGAAATCATGCTTGTGGGTCTTCTGGTCTCCAGGGTCTACCAAGTCGTATTCCAGAGGGTATTCGGCCGTCAGTAATTCCTCCTCCAAAATGGCAGCGCAATCAAGCCTCTCTTTAGAATCTGCAGGATCAAAGATGCCTGAAAGCAGCGACGTCCGCTCACGTCGAACAATCCGGCCAACTTCAGCGAACAGCATCTGTACCTTAGGCGCGATTCCGGTCCAGGGGTGTGGTACAAATTTGCCATTTACCGTCTCCGAAGCAGACTTGCATGAGGAAGCGTTCTTGGGTAGGGGTTTGGCTCTTGGAGAGAAGCTCATTGAATCTTCGGAAACGAAACCGATCAACATCTCCCAATAGATAAGAGATTCCTCGAAAAACTGGACTTGGCGCTGAACATCTCTGTCATCAGATTGACTCCCTTCGAGGAGGCAGGGCAAGATAAGTGATCTAGCTACGGTCAGATGGTGAAGGCCCAGGTCCCCACTATCATGCCAACTAGTGGAGAGGCCCAGGAGTAATATGCTGAGTAGCATCCTCTCGCGTTTGATATGTCCATCATTAACCAACTGCAGCTCCTCGATGAGGCATTCGTATGCCCTTTTCTGCATCTCCAGTCCGGTAGCTGTCATCTGGGGAAAGGTGTTGGCGAGCTGCGCTGCAGCCATGGACTGAATTGCGTAATAGATGGACGGTGAACTATCCCAGATGCGCGCAATAGTTACACGGAAAGGATTCAAGGGGGAATCAAAAGATGAAAACAAGGAACAGACGTCGCTAAAATAATGTTCTACAAGCATAGTGTGGGTGTTGGAGCTAGGAGGAAGACGATAGTAGTCAAGAAGCAAAGATCTGGAGAGACGGGCGTCGCCTCTATCATGGACATGTTGGACTGCAAGCTCCTGGCAGTCATCTCCGGTTTCGAACTCGAATGCGAACGGATCATTAGCATCGAGGTAGTCGAACGGATCATCAGCATTGAGGTAGTCGAACAGATCTAGGTCGAGCTGGTGGAAATCTACTTCTGTGTCTCCAAGCGGTTCGTCGACTTCTTCGGCATCAGGCGGACTCAAGGAATCGTTAGGGTCGGCGTCAGGCCTGTCAAGCCTTTGGTCCGCCTCGATTCCCTCGTCAAGTTCTTGGATTCGCTCGCACTGAGTAGTCTCGCGACAGGCTTTGGTTGGTAGTGTTGCCGCAAAAGCGTCCAGGTGCCTGCGGACTTCTGGAGTGAGGGCGATTTCAGTCAGTCTCGAAGGAGGCTGTTTCCAGTAGTCTGAAGGCTTCTTTGGCTTTTTGGAGCGATCGAAGTCGGCTGGCTGGAACAACTCGTACTTAGTAGACCACTTCAGCGACTTCTCGTAGCCTGGACACGTGATGCCTCTGTTCTTGCACTTGATGCAGCCAGGCTTCGTCTCGTCACATTTGAACTAGAGGATAATCAATACAGGGGGCTGAAGCGATGGTATTACGGGGCCATACCCTTCTCACCTTGCAGTGTTGACAACCATTGCGAGACTTGGTCTTCTTTCGACCTTCAGGTTTAGCGGGGCTGGCTGCAGCGTTGACGGATCGTGGCATTCCGTGATAGTGAGTCTCTGGAAGATTCCGTCTGGATGATCCAAGTGGTTTTTCCGACTGAGAAGCTCCAAAGGCGTGATGGGTTGCTGCAGTGATGAAGGAGAGAGAGAACAAGAGCAGCTATTCTGGTGATGGTGTTGGGAAACCGGGCCGACGACTACGAAACTCGACCACAATCAGGCCAGCGTCACTGATAACGAGATAGGTGTGGTAACGGCGCGGGTCTCATTCGTCCAGCGGGTGGCTATTCCCCGCATGGTAGACCGTTGTCGGAGCGCTTGTTGAAGACCGACATGTGTTCCCAACATCTGTCGCGCTATTCGACGATGTTATCGACTCTGACTGGCCCCGGCGCTCAGGCAACACGTCCTCAGCTGGTCGAGAGGCATAAACACCTGGAGGTGCAACTACAAGGCCGTTGCTGACAGGCTCGTCCTGCAGCTCACGACACTAGGCGCCACACAAGTCAACGAGTATCGCCTGCCTCAGCGGAAAGACGGGACTCGTATTCCCTTTTGGGACGGCGCGCGTCACGTTACAGCCACTTCTCCCATCCGGACTGCTAATGCGGTAAACAGGAGCTTGAGGACAGAGCGCGAGGACCATGGATAGACAGTCGTTGGTGTTGAGTTTTGCGCCGGTCCTGCAAACATGGTAATACCTACGTGCCCCCTTACCTACCTATCTCTCGCAGCATGTGATTAGCTTGCTCATGTAACGAGGCCCTTTGTATTTTCCGGATGTTTTGGAAAACATGTCTTTCATTCCTACATTTCTTCTCATCTTCTTTGATTTCAGCTCATCGCTGGCGTGGAAAACATACGGTTGAGGGCACGCCTCCAGCACCATACCTCCACATCTTGTAGCTTACACTCTCTTGCACATGTCCCGATCCCAAAGACCCCACGTCTCCAAGGAGCGCTCCCGTGTGCGTGGGAGTTCCGCCAGGCTGGACTGCTATCGCGAGCACCCCGAGTATCATGCGGCCCTGCCCACGCTCCCGCCAATCAGGAGCGCCGCCTCGAGCACGGCTTCACAACGGACGCTGCCAGAGGATGTTAAAGATGCTCGAGCAGCCCTACCACGTCCTCCCGAGTCCACGGCGGGCTTCCGTCACTATTGACTTGCTATCTTGCAATGGGCCAGCTTCGCACCAATCACTCCCGTTCCTTTGCCCACCAGCTCCCTCGAAATGCCCTATGGTGCGCCTAACATCCTCAGGAGACCGCAGAAGCATTGGCAAATGTGTCAGAGGCTCTTGCTGGACCCGGCCTCCCGTTTCCCTCTTAACTATATCCATGTGGTGCCCGCCGACCCGGCTTCCTGAAATGCACTGATACCCACTCTTCGCGCCAAGCTTCCATGCTGTCCCTAGAGCCATCTCAACATCAATTTACCGCGACCGCGTTCGTTACCGGCCTGACTTTCCAATGTTAGCGTTCCAGCGCGTTGGCAATTCGGCTTACCGCGATGTCCCGGGCGTCTACTCCCATATCATCGATCCGAACGAGCGCCGCCGGATGGCCCTTGCAGAAATCGACAAGGCCTCGTTCGGATGGTACCATCTACGATTGATTGTTGTCACTGGCGTAGGCTTCTTTACTGATGCGTATAGTGTGCGACCGCAGTTTTCATCTGTATCATCGTTGTTGCTGCTTCTAATTACTCATAGTTGTTCGCCGTCAATTTAGCCACAGCGATGCTTGGAATAGTCTTCTGGCAGGATTCCGACGGCGGCGTCATGCCGCACAATGCCGATACTGCCATCAAAGTCTCGACATCTGCGGGTGCTGTGGGGGGGCAGATATTCTTTGGATATTTGGCAGATGTGCTCGGGCGCAAGAGGATGTATGGCATCGAGCTGCTCATCATTATTTCTGCTACAGTAGCACAAACTCTGTGCGCTTCCTCTAAGGCTATGTCCTTCGCCGGTGTCTTCGTCTTCTGGAGGGTGCTTATGGGATTAGGTAAGCATTCACCACTTCAAAGTCTTGGCATGAACGTGGTACCCGTGGACTAATATCTGAATCAACCTTCAGGTATCGGTGGAGACTACCCTTTATCAGCAGTAATAACCTCGGAGTTTGCGAGCACCAAGTGGCGAGGATCCATTGTTGCAGCCGTTTTTGCCATGCAAGGCTTTGGTCAGTTCGCAGCCGCAATTGTGGCCCTCGTCGTAACAACCGCGTATAAAAGGACCCTTGAGCCAGTCCGCTCAATTTCGGAATGTAGTGGAGACTGTTTAAGAGCTGTAGACATAATGTGGCGCATTATAGTTGGATTCGGCAGCATTCCCGGATGGTTCGCACTGTACTACCGGCTCACCATCCCCGAAACTCCACGATACACCTTCGACGTACTCTACGACGTCGAAACAGCCTCTGCCGATGCCCGAAGATACCGATCAGGCAAGAAAGGAGGCGCTCACCTTGACAGGCTCCACCTGGCTCGCGCGCAAGCCGATATGCTGAAGTATCGTACTCCCCGCCCCGGTCCGTCCGAGATCTGGAGATTCTTTAGCAAGCGGTCCAATGCCTTGAAACTTCTTGGAACCGCAGGATCATGGTTCCTCCTTGATGTGGCCTTTTACGGCATCAATCTTAATAGTTCCAGTGTTCTTTCCGTGATTGGGTTCGACAAGAAAGAAAATGTCTACGCGCTTCTCCAAAATGCTGCTGTCGGCCAACTAGTCCTCATCTGCGCCGGGTCAATCCCAGGCTACTGGTGTACAGTAGCCACAATAGACATACTAGGCCGGCGACCCATCCAGCTCGCCGGCTTCACGATCCTCACGGTCCTTTTCTGCGTCATCGGCTTCAACTTCGCCGGCCTGTCCCAGAAATCCCTCCTCGTCCTCTACATCCTCTGCCAATTCTTCTTCAACTTCGGTAAGCCGCCATATCTCTAACACTCAAACAACTCCCTAGATGCAATCAAACGTCTAAGCAATACCCAACGCCTCCACCATGCTAATCCTCTCAGGCCCCAACGCAACAACCTTCCTCACGCCCGCCGAAGTCTTCCCCACGCGCGTCCGCGCCACCGCCCACGGCCTGTCCGCCGGCTGCGGCAAGGTCGGCGCCATCCTCGCCCAGGTCGTCTTCGCGCCCATGGTCAATCGCGGCGCGACGCCGGCCAACCCGTCGCCGTGGCTCCACGGCGTCATGCAAATCTTCGCGCTCTTCATGTTCTGCGGCATCGGGACTACCCTGCTCGTGCCGGAGACGAAGCGGCGCTCGTTGGAGGAGCTCGCGGGGGAGACAGGGGAGAGGGGGGTGTATGAGTTGCAGTTTGTTAGTGGGTTTTTTGCCGGGGGGAGTGGGAGAGGTGGGAGGGATGGGAGGGGGAAGAGGTTGGAAGGGGAGTGGAGTTGGAGGGGATTGAGGGATAGGTATTTGAGGGTGAAGTGATTGGGTTGGGTTGGGTTGGGTTGGGTTTTCATGGCAAGGCGTTGGGGTTGGTATAGTGTAATACTTGGTAGGACTTCAGGGATCCTTTGACATAGGTTCAGTTTATCACCATTGTGATCCCGTTGCAAAAGATCAGCGTAAGCAGATTCGCCTAGAATACAAGTCCATTCTCAGTCTCGCGAGTCCATGCTATGTGAGATACCCCGCGAGTATCACAGGCTGTTCAAAACAATTCAGGTGTGAGTGGTGCACATTTCTTGACATTCATCAGAGCATTCGAACAGGGATTACTCGACCCTCGACCAATCCCAAGCCCAAACTCTCTGCGTGCACCGCTCGCTGCTGACAGCGTGGGATGTGCGAACAGGGAAACCAGGGTCCGGCAAGGGGCTGGGCGCTCTCATGTCATCCCACGTGCAGTCACGGCCTGAAGTTTGTTGGGAACAGGAAGTTAAAGCGCTCAGAGACACATTGCTCGCCTACGAAGCTCGTTGCAAAATGAGAGAAAGAGGGAGAGAAGATCAAACATAGAATGAATTGGTGGTACCGAGAAAGCACAATGTATTGATGATGCTTGGTGGCTGCAGTAGATAAGGGATACGTGTATTCGAGGGGTATTTGGTCAAGGGGAAAGCGCTCTCGTTTGTGAGCTAGTAAGAGAACGCTGTATGGTGAGAAAGGCAGAGAAGCGGGATCGGGCTGGAAAAATACCATTACCTAGGGATACTCCAAAGCTAGAGCATGTCCCGCCTCCACGCTGAAGAACTGACGGGTATTCATGGTCACTGAGCATATACGCGGTACGATCTCCGTTCTCACCCAATCAAAGCAAGCAATGAGACCAATCGAACCTAATCATTTCATGACGATTTCGGTACAGGATGGACTTTGATAGTGTTGCGCCAGAGAGAACCCAGATGCCCCACAACCGCGACCACAACCACAACCATCCATTTTCGATCCCCGCAGTCCCAACCACACGCTCAGATCTTGGTATCGTAGGGGATGGGTGTGATGCTCTCCGGCAAGTTGCCCTTGGTGCTGACGGTCCTTGCCTCCCGCGGGGGAACGGGGAGACGCTTGAGATGGACGTGGACGCCCTCGGTCTTGGCCTTCTTCATCTTTGCGTTGTTCTCCTTGACGCGCTGTCCATCTAATTAGCATGAGGTTTTCTGGGTCGAGTGCGGCGTGTGGTGTACCTTGAGGAAATCCTCTCGCGAGCGAGACAGGCGGACGTGCTCAATTCGGAGGCTGTAGATAGCTGTTAGTTTCGACAAAGCCAATATCAATGGATCCTACGTACTTCACTCGCTTCTCCATGTAGCGGTTTCCGACTTGCTTGTAGAGAATCACGCCAACGGCCGACCGTGTGACATTGTAGACGACGCCGGTCTTGCCGTGGTAGACCTTGTAGGGCATGCCCTTCTGCTCAATTGTCAGCCCTGAGACGGCTGCGGGCTGCTTTATGGGATTAACGTGCCTGGACTGCACCGTTGGCTACGACATCGACGATGTCGCCGACCTTGTACTGCCGTAGGTAGGTGGAAAGCGGGATCTACACATCGTTAATGGGAGTTCTTCTCGCCGCGGATTCGGGGCAGCTGTACGTAGCCCTTGGTTTTGAAGGAGCGGGAAAAGGCATATCGCGTGCCCGCGCGGAGACCAGCGCTGTGACCCATGGCGTCGGTTTACGAGTGTCGCGATGGGAGTGGATTTGAGGGTTCGAAGTCGGTGATGGCGAAAGCGTCGTCGAAATCAAAAGTGCGCTGTTCGCCGGCAGCAATGTCGGGCCGGCACTGGTCCGTGCATGCCCGCCCACGATCGAATTTCGTTCCAAGCGACGCAGCCAGCAACTCCAGGACACCATCGTCAACCCACCAAGGTACGGAACCCAACGTCGCGACGCCATTGAGACATACTGATCTGATCCTGTCTTCAGTTCCTAGCCAAGATGAGTACGTTCTCCAGCCTCGAGTCTCCGCCCCGGAGCGCCCCTCACAGCCAATACTGACGCCGACGACAGCGAAGGGAACATCCAGCTTCGGCAAGCGCCACAACAAGACGCACACTCTGTGCAGACGCTGCGGTTAGTCTCCAATTCCCCAGATCGTGTGGAGGCACACTACCTCAAAAGAAGGACACCCGCCATGAGCATGAGCAATTAGTGACACCAAGAACACAGGCCGTCGATCTCTCCACATCCAAAAGCACACCTGCTCCTCCTGCGGATACCCAGCGGCCAAGACCCGAAAGTGTAGGTTGCCATTCCAGGCCGATTGAGATATAGACAGGACGGCATACTGATTCCGGGACAGTCAACTGGGGCGAGAAGGCCAAGAGGAGGAAGACCACTGGCTCCGGCCGCATGCGCCATCTCAAGACCATCCCTCGACGACAAGCCAATGGCTTCCGAACTGGCGCGCCCCCTGGAGCTCGCGGCCCGACAGCTACCACCTCGTAGATGTGCGGAATGAAAGAAGGATTGGTGATGGCGTAGGGAAAGGAATGATGATGTCGGACTGGCGATGAGGGACCGGGGCAGCATCGTGTCTGCGTGGTATTGGCTCGAGCGATTTCTCCACAGTGTATCCAAAACAATCCAACTCGGACTGGTCTGGGGAGGCACCGGGTCTTTTTCCGTTATGATGAAATCCATAGGGTGCAATGAGATTTTGACCTGGCATCTGGGCATTCGCTAATGGAACTTTTTCATGATATAATGACTTTTGTGACTTTTGTTCCGTTATCCAAGACGAGAAATCAGGCCCCTTTGGGCAATCTAGCAGTGATGTACGCCTCTAGATGCGAAGCTCCTCTAAACACCACTCGAAATCACCTCCCCAACCCTCGCAGCCAATCCTTCCAAGACCAGAGCTCCCTTTTCACACACAACACCACCTCAGCTCCCCTCCCCAACACCCCCGGCCCCACCCCTCTCAAACGCCTTCACAACCCCATCCTTCCCAACGTAATACAACACCTCCCTCCCCGCTCCTTCCCCCGCCGCTCCAGACACTCTCACAACCCCACTCACATCCCTCGCAAACCCGGTGTCCAACAACCTGACACTAAGCACCAAGTCCGCCACATGCGCCAGCCCAGCCAACAACGCCGCATGGTTCGTCTCCAGCGGCGTACTCCCTCCTCCTCCTCCTCCTCCTCCTCCGTTAGCCAGCGGTGCATCCGCAACTAGCGAGACTACGGCGGCGTGAACGTGCTGGCACAGCGTGTGTAGCATGGCACGAAGCGGCTCCACGGCCGTTGAGGTGTCGGGTGTGCTGTGCTGTGTCGTCTGGGAAGGGGAAGGGGGGGTGGAGGTGGCGCCGGTGGCGAGGAGCAGGTCTGGGTGGTCCAGGATAAGGATGATGCGTTTTGGGGAGGCGGGGGTGGAGAGGGTGGAGATGGCGGAGAGGATGGTGGATTCGATGTGCTGGAGGGAGGGGGAGGTGAGTTTGGTGGTGGTCGAGGGGGTTGGCGGTGCGGGTGGGTTGCGAGCTAGGGGACTCAGAGAGGAGGCTGAAGGGGGTGGGCCTCGGGGAGTGATGGTTCGGGTTGAGCGGATCGGGAGTGGGGACGCCGGGGGATGGTGATGGGGATTTGGATTTGGATGCTGGCCTGGGATAGCTGGAGTGATGAAGAGCTCTGTGAGCCCGTCGATGAATGTGAATCGGTTTCTTTGCGCTAGTCGGGCGAGGTCGAGACCCTATATATCAGTTAGCAATCCGTATACAAAAGGCAGCAGTTGCGAAATTGAGCACTTCAATCTCGAATTCGCTAACGACTAAAGAGAGAACATACCCACGCCTTCCTCCCCTCCGCCGTCCAGAACGCCAGATCCCGCATCCAGCTCACAAGTAGCACTGCGGTCTCTTCTTTCTCTTCCTCCGTGCCCCCTATTTCGTGACCACTGCCGAAAGCATCATCGCCTGCTATCCGCCTTCTTGGATCTTCCGCAAGTGTGCTGCACAAGAACTGCGAAATAAGCCAATTCGTCCCTGCGCCGAGCACGTTCGTGAGCAGGACCAGCTCCCCGGCCTGTGGTGCTCGAGTGTACTGTTCCAAGATTGGTGGGATGCGTGAGGTTGACATTTTGTGCGGGTGGAGAAGTTGAGGAATAGAAGTAAAAAATATATATTTCAATGGCGTAGTTCTTGAGTATTATGACACTTGTCTCGTCGTTTTTATCGAAAGTGTGAAGAGTAAGAGTACGGACTTGGATTTTAAGATGCTCTGAGTGTGAAAGTCGTCTTATTTTTCTCAGCAGAGCAGTGGGCGGGCAAGTTGACTAGAAGAGATTCGTCCTAGGTGCGATTTCATGGCAAATTCTGAGGTGGTCTGGCGAGTTAGTTCTAACCGGCCGTTTAAGAACACTCTGCTGAGATTCTTGTAAGTTCCTTGAGACCCTAAAAGCGGTGTTCAAAGAATATACACAAAACTAATGTAGAAGGGGAGAGAAAAGAAAGGTAAAGAAAGTAGGTGGATTGACCGTCACGTGCTCCTGTAATCTCAACCAATCAGAAAGCGATTCGACGTGCTGGTCCGGATCCCAAGAGTTTGCTTGCTCTCATAGCGAATGTTTAGTCTACATTGCATGGCTAGGCTCTAATCAAGACATTCCACATTGGATCTATTCCTGCTCTCTCACACATATCTACAGGCAGGATTACATTTTTCACAGCAAAGCACCAGAGACCAGGGCTTTTCTACTTTTTTCTATCATTTTCTCAATAAACTCCGAAGGATTGACATCCCTCGAAGAAAGTTTATCTACCTCCCGAAACTACTCGTGAACATGAATTTTCGATCTGCGTCAAGCCTGAAGGACTCGAGACTTCATCGGAAAGCTTTTGCCATAATCCCACGTCCGCGGGCTCCAAAATCATAAACCCATTCCATCCCGTTCGTTACTCGTGGTCGCAGGAAACCGTAGCAAACCAGTCCCGAGATACGCAAAGAAATCACCCGACTCTGTTGAGAAACGCGACAAACCTTTGTCCATAAGGTTTTTCCCAATATCCTCAACGAAAAGCATTTTTCCAGCTCCATAACCTGTCTACTGAGAAGATTTTGATCAAAGGCTTATTCGTATCCGGCCGGCCCCCTAGTCCTCAGTGAACAAATTGTTCAAAGCCTCCAAAGCCGTGGGCTTGTCGTCCATCTCGATATGTATCTCCTCGCCCTCGTTTGCGTCTTCGTCCTCTTCCTCAGATATGGAATGAGTTGATTCCAGTGATGTTGTGGTAGCCAACGCAGGCGTAGACTGTTTTTTATCTAGGGGCTCGACATGATCTGAGGCCGCTCCAGGAAAGGCTCTCGAAACGGAAATAGATGGCGAGATCACAGGCTTGGCGTCGTTTGAGGTCGCTTGATGATGTTTGATACTGTTCATAATGTGGCTGGCCGATGGCTGACCCACCGGGCTTGCCTTGCCAGAAGTCTGTGCACTCACGTTCGTCGATTGTTGCATCTCTAGGGCAGGGCCTTGGATGCCTCGCTCAATCATAGCAGCATGATCGCTAGCTTCAGGGTTACTAGATCCGTCTTGATGACTCTCAGGTTTGTCGTCGAAAAGCACAAGCATCTTTCCCGGCTGAATGATCCCAGCCTTGGTCTGAACCGCGCCTGGGGCAGCGTGGAGGTCAGAAAGAAGAGAAGACTGCTTCTTCGTGCGGTGTCGAGGTCCTTGATCGGCTGCTGGTGCTGCTCTAATGACGGTAGGATTCGCAATCTCTCCCAGTTGGCTGACGAATATCCAAGGGAAGCTCATGAGCGGCATATGCTGAATAGTCTTGTCTCTCATAGACGTTTCCCGGCCTGCAACCAGCTTGGTACTGTCACATTCTTCTAGTGCTGTAGCCATCTCTTGGGCGGTAACCTTGTACATAGCAACAATAAACGGCTTCAGGTTTTGCATATCGTTGATGCTTGTTGCGCCGGCCGCTTCTATGCACATGTCCTGGAACTTTTTCTTTAGCCCACTGCTAATGCGGCCCAGTTCTTCCGCGAAAGAATAGTCTCTGGACTCAAGATTGTGCTCTAGCACGAACGTAGTCCAGACTTCAAACTCCGTCTTGATCCCGTGTTGAGCCTGAACACGACGGATATCTGCATCGTAGAGCTCTTTGATTCTTGCCGCGCTGCTCAGAGTGCCCTGGTCCAACTGATATGCATCAAGAATCCGGCTATCGAACGGGTTGTCGTATAGCGGAGTGAAGTTTGCTCGTTCGACTTGGTCATATAGTTGCCCCAGTATTTTGTTCGACGTGTAGATTCGATCTTTGGCACGGTATTTGCTCTCCATAAAGTGGGGATACATCAAGGGTTTCAGTTGCTTGCCCATGACTGCGGGATTGCCACTCTTTGGGAAATCAACCGCACGAGAATGTAGCGCTGCCAGTTTCAAGCCTAAGTCAGTCAGTAAGGTGGCGACAGTCCTTCGTTTTTGATACTTACAGTTTTCGTCGAGGACGCCGTTAGGGCTCCTGTCCGCAGTAGCGAGATGAGCGTTCGCGATCTGTCCGAGACTGTCATTTTTCATATATTGGATGTAAAAGTCAATGACCTGGGCAATGGACACATCACCGCTGACTTCCCTCGTCGGCTCTGTCTCGTAGTTCATCGCCGGGTTGTTGATGGTAAACTTCGGAATCAGATCCTGGTCCCAAATGACCAAATAATCGTCGCCATCCAAATCTCCCCCAGAGCACATGTTGGCAATGTCACGGTCTCCGGTCTGTGGAAGTACCACAACATTTTTCAGGTGGCGAAGTGCTGGGACGTTTATGGCCCTGACGATACGAATATCTCCCGGATGAAGCGATGGGTTTCTAGCCAGGATACAGAGACCTTCGATGATTTTGTAGGACCCCTTCTTGTCCTGGTCGGAAATCTGTAGAAATATCTCTGGAAGAGTCGCCAATTTTTCCTGCCTGGTGGCATCATACTGGTCCTGGGGTTTGCTGTAGTGACCCCTCAGTGTAGCAGTCTCATCGGTACAACCAAGCAAGAATGCACCGTCCTCAACGACTATCCTCGCTTTTTCCTTCAGATACTTTATGGTGTAGGAGCGCCACAAGTGGAGCACGGACATCATGAATGGATCCTTCATTTCCATGAATCCATCCGCAATCATTCCAGCCAGGGTCAAGCTCATTTGGTTCAAGTCGATGTTCCGCCTCAGCTTTTCCACTGCAATATTCGGATCGACCATGGCTCGGCTGAGCTCAGCCAACATCTTCTTTTGCATGTCGGTGAAGATCCGATCCGGCACTCCAAGAGTAGAAAGCACGATAATGAGCTGACGATTCAAGCAGGCTGTCGCAAATGATGAAATCCGGATAATCTCGAGGCCCTGATGTGTAGCGTCGAACTTCTTCTGGCTCGGTCGGATCATAATATCGTATGCCTTGACCTCCGGTGAGACTGCGAGTACACCTTTGCATCCTCCAAGTCGAAACTGGACCAGGGATGGGTGGTCATCCGAATCCCCAGGGAGTCCAAATTCGTGAGCAACCATGAGGGCAAGGAACGAGGAGATCTTGCCCACTCCGTCCGTGAAACAGTAATCACCATTCTTGATGTCTTGAATTTCTACGATGTTCACGTTCCTGCCAGCTGTAATGGCTCGACTAGTCGAGAAACATTGACCAAGTCTGGCAGCGTACTTGGAGATCGACTTGATAGGACGGAAGTCGCCCATCCATTCTCTGAGGTCTTCTACAGTACAGCGAGTTGAGGTCTCACTTCCCTCTAGGGGTGCGAAGAAGTATGCGCCATGCTCTCGGAATTGAGAATTGCCAAAGGCGAGAAACAGATAGTGGCGATCCCCTACGATGATCCCTTCAGTCATGGCTTGCTTGATTCGCCGGAAAACTTCCTCGAATCTATCGTCATCTTGGCTGTTAATTCTACCTTCAACTTTTTCGTCAGTAAATTTGACTCGGAGAAACCGATCTTGTAACTCGGATCCGTATCTGACGACCCGGTTTGAAATCTCAGTAGTCGGCGTATTGATATAGAGCATGGAGGGAGTGATCGTCGCTGATCTAGCATAGACGCAATACTTTGGAAGTCTGATCTTGCCAGAGTCCTTGACAGGTATCTTGAAAATTTCCATAGGATCCCAAGTTCGGCATTGTTTGTCTGCCGTCTTTTCCAAGATGTATCGAGCATTGGAAGGGTCCATGGCTGATAGTTTCGTGAGGAATTCTCTCGTGATATTGTGTTCATTGAGCCATCCATGGGACAGGCAGACCTGAAGCTGGTACCTCACGGAGAACTCCAACGAAATCGTGGATGAATTGAGGCTTCCAAACTGGGATTGATCGTGGAGTGACTTGTGGTATGCACCATCCAAGAGGTCCCAGAAGTCTGCTTCAACCCTCTCTCTGACCTCGAATTGCTCAAGCGGAACAGTTGGGATGTTGTGATCGTCAAGAACCTCTCGCAACACCGAGTATTCTTTCGTACTGGCGATGTTCTTCGCGGCATCAAACACAAAGCGATAAATTGTCCAGCGGCCTTTGTTTGTTAGCAAAACCCAATGAACCTGACCAGTGGACAGCCTTACCAAAATCGATGACTGCGTTCCGGTTACGCAGGTCAATTGCATTCCTCTCAACATCTTTGTTACCCCAACGGTGCAGAATATTGGTTTGGCGGTACCAAGTTTGCCATTCGCTCCAAAACATGACGTCTCCTTGGTGGGTCAAAGGAATATTGTTCGTTTGTTTGAAGAACGCTGGCGGCATCTCAAAGGGGATGACCAATTCGCATCTCATGCTCCCCGGAAGTCTAACCTCGTATATTCGCTGAAGCTGAGCGAATGGCAATCGAAATCGGTACTTATGATGAAGAGTCTGGCTGGTTGATGTTGAATATCTCAGCTCAACATAAAATTGAACATCGATTTCTTTTCGGGAGAGGTTTAGCGCCATTTCTATTCTGCGTTCACCTGCCGGAACCATCTTCGCCATAGCCATCATAGACTTTGCGTCATACATGAAGCCAAAGTCTAGCCTGCTCGCATTTAGAGTAAATCGCTCTGGGTATTTCTTTTCCGGGTTGATCGGGCTTGCGATTAGATAGCTACGATTAGGAGCGTTGAGTTGCACTCGTACAGATGCATCTGATCCGGGCAGACGCACAGGAAAGTCCCAGAACGCTTTCTTGGGCGGTGGGCAGAAATCAACGGACGCATTAGGTTTCATGCGACTGCCCCTGATCCTGATTTTCGAAATAGATCCTTCGTTCTCCAGCAGCTTGTACACGTCGAGTGTTGTGTAGCTTTCGGGCAAATTTGAGATGAAAACAGAGCACTCTGGTAGATCCATCCAGGACTTGTCCCCTTGAATCAAAGCTCCATTTTGGTGTCTCCCTGATGTATTCCTCATTGGAGAGGGAGAGCCCGACGGCTGAAAGGCTGGACGCGATGGCTCTGTGGTCTGAGCTCGTCGAGGCGCAGAAGCCGATGATCTATACACTGGCTGCGTCCTTCCCGTTGTAGGTCGCCTAGGTCCATGGTTTGCAGGACGGGAGGGTTGGTGCAGTGGGCTCGTCGCTGACCTCATTGCCCTAGCATTCGGGTGTACATGTCTGTGGGGATGATGAGATGACACTTGTGGCGATTCAGAGTCCGACGGCATTTCCGTAGCGTTGCTTGAGTGCTCGGAACTATCAATTTTCTGCGGAGGTTCTGGGAGCAGTCTCGATGGTGAATCAATAGCTGCAGTACCAGGTACGGGCTGGCTAGGCTGCTGCTGCGGGCTGCTCGTCGGTTGCATGGCCTCAGAAGTTGAGTGCCGGCGGGTAGATCGGGCTGGAGGGCTAAAGCTCGAGTCCGTTGGCTGTGAGGCGTCGCTCGACGACTCAGTGGACGGTGCCTTCTTCATCGACTTCAAGGTCGGCTGAAGATTGCTAGGCTGACGCGGAGAGGGACCAAAGCAACCTAGAGTGTCCCGGTACGGATTAGACGGTCGAGAAGGCTTGTTGCGGTTCGCCATCGCTGCGTCCGGTGTGGCTGCGCCTGCGTGCTCCTCGCTGAGCGTGATGTTGGCCCCGCTAGGACGTTTGCGCGTTGGAGGGCTCTTGCTCTGCTGCTTCTGCTTTGCTGAGGTACTGATGAGCTTTGGTGGAGTAGAGGAGGCCCGGGGCTCGACGTGGTTGTTGTAGGAGGCTTGTGCGGACGTCAGTCGAAGAAGCGAAAAGGCAACGGTAGTGAAATGGAAGCGGTCGGAGTGGAATATCTACTCGGAAGGCATGTGACGGCTTCTGCAGGAGTTTGTTGGCGAGGTGCGGCTGAAGAAGGCTCAACTTGGAAGTCGCGTGTCGAACGCGGCCACTTCAAGAAGGCAGCGCCAGTCTCCCGAAGCACCACCAGATTCAGGCCTCTACCACGATGCGATGAGCGTTGTGAATGAAAAGGCACCCACCATCTCCGGGAACTTCTGCCTTCGTAGCGGTGCGCATCGTTGGGAGAAGACGGTGCTGATCACCACGGATAGAAAGAAGTGAATCAAGTTTGATCTTAACAACTACAGCGTGACCTTGCGAAGCCGTTTCCGGAGACACACGGGTTCAAACAAAACGAACTGATTGCTGAAGGCGGGAAGTTTGCCATCTTATTTGTAGATTTATACCCTTTATTCAGGCACCGAAAGCAGTCCAACTTCTTACTGTGGGGTCGGTCCTGTCAAGAAGGTTTGATTACCGACGATTGCCTCAGCGTGAGTTGGGCTGTTCTACGCTTGGACTGTGTCTTTCTTTCATCGGGGTTCATGTGTTTCGCAGGTTCGACTGAGCACGTGCATAGTCTGACGTTCACTGGACAAGTCTGGGTGTTTGCCTATTAGCAAGAGGGTCTCTCAACATAACCGGGTCCAACTTACGATCAAGGAATCTAGATCATGTCGCACGCTTTTGTGTGACCAGTATCTCGGGCTCAAAACATAGATGCGGATCAAAGCATGAGACCGCCATCAGCTCTCTCTATCTCTTAACCCGTCGTATTTGGCGCTGCGGTAGCGATAAGAGTGCAACCAATAAAAAATTTGGAGGGACGAGAACTGCAGCGAAGTTCGCCTGCGGTGTCTGTACAAGCTTTGCGCCACAACGGGCTGAGGGATATTTTTTTCGTGGGCTTGGAGACAATAGCCCGCTTAAATGTAATTACGCCCGTCTGCACATCGCCCGTACTTACAGCCTGATTAGCGTTTCGGCATCTTGATGGCCACCAATTCAGTCATATTACTGGAAGCCTGCATGGGAATGGAATCGGGTACTCGCAGAGAGCCAATCGCAAGTCGCCAGTGAAAAAAGAACATTACCACGAGCTGTCATATCATGGAAGTGTGCCAATGGGAAGCCGTCTCGCCTAAGGCAGGATGCCGGAATAGTTACACAAAAGCATCATGCGTGCGCATACCCTGAGCAAGCCGCAACGGGCGCTAGAACTCCCACGTCGTCTCGCCGGAAGGAACCTGTCGGCCTTCCAACTGACCCAAATCTGATTTCCTCCTCTGTGGCGTCAGAGGCGTGCTAGTGAACATGCCGCTTGGGAAGGACGCAGATTCCATAGTGTCCTCCTGGCCCATAGACTTTTGATTTTCGGTAATTTCAAAGCCGATTGTGGTGCGTCGACGGCGAGGAGACTGATTTCCTCGTGCCGACGCATCAGCCAGTGGCCGCCGCTGAGACACGTCCTTGTGGGTATACATAGACTTTGAGGTGCGCGCGCCAGTATTCGGGCGAGGCAAACTGATTTGAGGAGCTTCAAACGGGCAGCCTGCCTTTGCTCGCTTCATTGTAGGACTCATCATGGGCGACGACGGGGACCTGGCGCCTCGAGATGTTATCGCTTCACCTGAGGGCTCCGTACTACCATTGCGCTGGTGTGGCTGTAGCATGGGTCTTGGCCTTATCTCACGTTGACGCCTGAGAGCAAGGTTGGAGGCTTCGTTCTGTGACCGGGTCGACCGCATCGGTGAAGCACTGTCGACTCCCATCGTGCTGAGTACTCGCTTTTTCAGTGCTTTGAGAGCATCTAGCTCCTCGTCTTTAGCTATACAGGAGTCTCTAAGCTGGTCGTTCTAAGAAGATTTAGCCATGAAGGCTTAGAGGTCCAATAATCGTAGATACAAACCTCGGACTCCAATTCGCTGATCGCAGCCCTGTCGAGATCCATCTCGTGTAACAGCTCTTCGTGCGTTTGCTTCAATTCGTCGAATCTACCAACAGCATCCTCGATCTGTTTGTTGAGACGAGCTGCCTCCTCGTTTGCCTAACATGTTCTTAGTACACTTCAGTGAATAATTGCTTTGGGCTTCTCACCTGTGCCGCTACGTTTTCCAAATCCGTCCGATACTTTGACTCCGCAGATGCCAGCTGATCTCTCGAGGCGCTCTCTAGTTTCAGGTGGTCCTCATGAAGTTTTTCAAGAGCGCGAGTTTTATCGGCGAGCTCTTGTTTGGCGTTCTCCAAATATGTCGTGATCTCACCTTCCTTTACGACAAGACCAGCGATCTGATTCGTTTGGCGCGAACCGTCCTGCCGCGCTAGCTCTAAATCTCCATGAAGTTCGTGGAGCTGCACTGTAAGAGACTCATGTAGTTGTCTGATTCGTTCCAATTCGGCGCCTCGGGACTCCAGATCGGCTTGTAACTGTTTTATCTGAATTTCGAGAGACCCAACTTGACCAGTGCGCTGTTGCAAGATCTCCTCGGTGGAGAGAAGGTCGGCTCGTAGCTTTATCTCTCGCGCCTCAAAACCAGCACGCGTATGGTTCGTCTCTCTTTCGGCTTCCTCGAGCTTCTGCCGCATGTCTTCCAACGAGGTCGAGAATTCATTCGAGAGTCTGTCATTCCGAGATTCCGCCTGTTGTAGGTCCAGCTCCCACTGCATACGTTCGCCTTCAATGCCATCGACCAGTAATTTGCGATCGATGGCTTCAGACTCAAGCGTTGATACGAGATCTTTCAACTTCGTGACTTGTGCTTCGAGCTCTTCAACTTTACGCTGCTCTTCTCTAAGAGGCTTTTCGACATGGTCGCACCGTTCCTCCAGCTGCTGGCAAACTTGTGCTACAGTATGGACGATCATATCTCTCTGATGAGCGGACTGCTGTTGAAGATCGAGAGCTAACCGATCTCTCCAGTTCGGTTGACCCGTCACAGCTCGAGGAGTGCAGCTCTGCTCAAAGACAGAAAGCCTTGACCGCAGTTGGTGTGTTTCGATTGTTTGTGGACACGTGTTTGACGGACCAGTGATGCGGCTTTGCATCTCAAGTAGAGAGATCGCTATCTTCGTTGGCAATCTAGATTCGTCTATCTGGGTCGTTAATGTAGCAGTGAGGATCATAATCAGTAAAGTCGAGACCAATGCGCGTTTGGAAGCAACGGCATGGTTATTGCAGACGTCCCCGCTGTTGTGGTCTAAGACATCGCCAGGAGGTATCGCGTCTCCTAAGAAAGAGTCCAGAGCGTGTTGCATGTCATTTGATGAGATGCTGAGCAGGAGACTCTTTCGTAGTACGGCACAAGCGGGCATGGTAGCAGTTAGCTGCGATGACAATGCACGATATACCTCTAGCAGCTCTGCGGAGATAGTACGGGTCGTAGCATTTAGCAAATCCTGGAACAACTTCTTCGACATGTTGTCATCGAATCGATGCTGTCATCTGTCAGCGCATCCGTTCAGTAAAGATATGGGGGTACCCTTAGCAGTGGCAAAGTAGTATGCACAGACTAATGACCTGTCACTGTACGGCTCTGGGTGGTCTTACCGCAAATATTGGGATGGAGACGGATAAAGATAGTCCCACCCGTATTGTTGCGAATGGCTTGAGTAAGATGTACTCTAAGGTTCTATTGTATTGGGCAACAACTTCTTTTGGAATATTCTCGTGGCCTAAGAGTGTACCCAAGAATCCGAAAGCCTGGATATATTAGACAAAGGTATAACAGGATACGTAAATATGTCTTACCTCAAGCTGCACTAACGGGTGGATTTCCGGGCGAAGGGACTTTTCGACTAATTTCGGTAACATTGACTTTGTAAGGGAACTGCTGTGTGACCATTCGTGCCGAACATCGACGTCCACGGATTGCAGAGTTCGGATCGCGATTCGAATGCCTTCAGCCGCCTCCGCATCTGTGATACCGTCCCCACAACTGCTCTTGCATGCCCAGATGACACTAAGGACAGTCATGGTGGTAGTCTTTGTCATAGCCTTGACGGAGTCGAACAGCCTCCGAGCGGCTGGAGAGCTCCATCTGACCTCTGTGCGCTCTTGAGATGATTTCAGAATTGGTGGAACATCTTGCAATGTTGCATTCGGAGGGCCTTTCAGCTCAGAGGCCACTGGTATGCCTTCAGCGAGTACAACAATCCCAAGACACCAGAGTAGAAGCATAGAGTCCTTCTGGGCATGTTTGGAGGCTAGTATGCGGCATATCTGCTGGTCGAAGTCGTCTCTAGTGTTCTGCGGTAGAAGGCCGATGAGATCACGGCATGCCCCCTTTAGCATGGCGTAGACAGGTGCCAGCATAGTGACGCATGGTGTCTGCGAGGCCTCGTCAAAAACGCGCAGGAAGAAAGACTGTGCAGCCGCTGGTAGTGGGACCGACTCTGGAAGTGGCTCGGAGAGAAAGAGCACACAGATCTGGGAATACTGCGTGGCTAAAATAAGCTTCCGAGGTTGACACGAGAGAGGATAAAAAAAGCCGCTTTGACAAGTTTCTGCCAACGCATACGGAGAGAGAAAGAGTGAATTATACAGTGTTTCCTCAGAGACATCCGTACACTTTCCTGTCGATGCGGGTAGTGCTTCATGGCGTTGATAGGCGCCAATGGTGACGTTTAACACGTCCCACTACATGGGGTGGCCTCACAAGTTGACCAGCCACCCAAGATGCTGGACTACACTCTGATCCGGAATTCTAGAAATAGCACGAGGCACCACGTGCAGTGGCATGAAAGTGTGTAGATTTCTACGACGAGGCACTGTAGTTGGTGGCCTCAAACCTCAAAATACGAGGCTCGATCTTTTACTTGTTCCTAAAGAGATTTCAGCTTACCTCGTGAAAGCCATGCAGCGACGCGTTGGCCTTTGTGAGGAGGTCGTCCAGCATGCAAGGCTCCTGACGCAGCAGACATGCTCTAAAAGCGGCGGCGTGACCTGGCGGATGTCGATTAGCTGCATAACTCCGGTGGATCGACAGGCCTGTGGGGCCGCCAGACATGGGAATTAGAAGCGATCACGTACATAAACATTGCAGGAGTTTCAGGCTGGACGGCCAGAGTGGCAAGGCGTTGGTCGCCACAGAGCAAAGCCTCGCAACCTGACACGGGTGTTGGTCTATCCACGCTGTCACCGCTGCGGGACCGTCTGCGTCGGCCAGGATGTCATTGAGCCTCTGCATGCCGTTCACGTCAGCGCTGATGACTTGCAGAAAAGACGATCATGTGTCCTGGAGCCCAGGGGTCTGCAGATTGGCCTGAGGCCTGATCGGTGAGCTTACCTGGAGGGACGCCGGGTAGGGGCACAAAAGAATGCGGGCGAGCTCGCGCGAGAGCCGCTGGTCGAGGTCCGCCATGATGATGCTGTGGTGCCGGTGGTGCGTCGTACAAGTGTGGAGTGCAGTGCGGAGAGCGCGCCTGCGAAGCTGGAGAAGTCGTCGCCATTGAGATGGCGGTTACTTGGGCAACGGCAGGTGAACGCCTGAGGCTGCAGACGTACACCACGCCTCGACGACCACGACACCTCGAGCTCGGCATACATTAGCAGGCCGTCCAGACCAGCCAGGCTGCGGGATTTTCCCCTCGCCGCATGAGGCTGCGGCGGAAGTATCGCTGTAGTAGACGCGGTGGAGGCGTGGCTTCGGGGTAAAGCAGTGCGGGATGCACGCACCCCACACGGCCATGGTGGAGTCGGTTGTACGAGCGAGCACAGGCATTCTGGTTTCTCAAAGGTAATTGTATCTCGCAGCATCCAATTGGGGAGATAGGGGTCGAGAGCGATACGATCAGACGGCGCGGCGTCTCTCACCGCTCATATCACTGCGTCAGCGCATGTCACGAAGGAGCGGGAGGCCAGACGGGAGGATGCGGCGAGTGCAGTGCAGAGAGTTTGCCGATTTGCATGACAGTCTCGATCTCTCCGCAATCTCGTCTCTCGTCCCGTGTCCGAGGCTTGGAACACGGGAGCACGGGAGCACGGGATCGGCCTGGACTGCCGACCTCGGGAGCCTCAGATCGGGCCCAAAGCGGCAATGCGATGCTTCATCATGGCTGCACACGCGCGCTGGGAGGACCGCCGACGTGGATTCGGCATCTGCTGCAGCCTCAGCTGCTGGCACGCGACATCGGCCAGGAACCAGTCGGCCAGCCCTGGAGCAGACGGTCCTAGTCTATGGCAGGCGCCGCGGGGCTTCCTGTGCGTCCCAGCACCGCCAGCCGATGTGACGATGCCTGCATCACGCCTCATCCTCCCATCCTCGACGGGCTGCCCCTCTGGAGGCACTCGAGATATCGCCACGTCCGATGGATAGTGAGTTTCTGCAGCTGCCGCTTCCAATTGCAGCCTCCATCCCTGCAAATGTCGGTGCAGACCAATGGGACTGTCGTTTTATCATTTCTATACCGTAATCTGCCCTGGTGTTTAGGTACGTACACCTGTAGTCTGTGTCCTCGTACTCCACGGCGACTCGGCACGCACGCAGGCTGCCTCTCACCCACGATGCATGCTTCCCCGCAGTTTCTTTTGCCAGCGCCGGCATACGCACTGCGCTGCACCGCCTAGCCTCGATGCCGTGGGAGGATGCCCGTCGAGCCCGCCCCTGCAGCTGATCATGCAGCCCTCTTCCCTTGCCAACTGCTGCATGTCGACACGCCGCCGGCACCTGCAGCCCCTTCACTGGCCCGCTCTCGTGCCAGCACCCGCCAGATGAGACGGGCGACATCGCCCCTGGCCGTGAGCTGTCCCGTTCCTCGCGGCGACGACCTTGGCCAGGTGTGCGCGCCAACTGCGTTTAGACTCAAAAGCTGCCTAGTTGCTCCTCTCCCCGCTCGCCTCGTGGGTCCCTCATCCGCCTACAAAATGTCTCAACGGGCCGTTGGCGGTGCCGTTCCCATCAAACCCACTGCTCTCGTGGACTGCGCGTGTCCCCGACCCTGATGGCCCGTAAAAGCCAAATCCCTAGTCCCAGCCCGTTCCTTCTGTCGACGCCCGAGGACCATTCTTTCCCCACCTGACCCTCCCTTTGCACCATGTTCCGCATCGCGGGGCCTCTGTCGAGGCTATCCGCCTCTCCACTGCTGGCGCGGGGTGCCGTTCGCCACCAGTCGACCGCTGCTGCGAAATCTAGCAGGCTCTTCGCCGGCCGGAGATCGCCCTGGACCTCTGGCCGAGTGCTCTTGTTCACGGCATTCACGGCATCACTTACCTATCTGTACGGCGTCAACGACGCCAGCTCGCACTTCAAGGTGTCATGGGCCAATTTCCGCAAGCCCAGCTACGCGAACAAAACCGACATGGAAAAGGTGCATACAGCATGGAGGCGAGGCTCAATTCTTTCTTTCGGCGCTGATCATGTGTTCAGGCTATCCACGAACTGAAGTATGCGCTAGGATCCGATGCCATCAGCACCGACGATGAAGACCTCCTGATGCATGGCTATTCAGAATGGTCCTCGATCAATATCGACCAGCTTCCAGTCGCAGTTGCTTATCCCAAGTCCACAGAAGAGGTGGCCCAAATCGCCAAGACATGCCACAAATATCGTGTGCCTATGAGTGCGTCCCTGTCACCGTGCTTGTATGATGATGCTAACTAGAGGCCTAGTTCCCTATTCGGGAGGATCCAGTCTGGAGGCCAACTTTTCTGCCCCTTTTGGAGGTATGAGTATCGATTTCACTTTCATGGATAAAATCATCACGTTGCACGCCGACGAGTAAGCGAGAATTACCTGCATTTCGCTGCGTGGACATCGTGGCTGACGTGCATATGTCAGTATGGACGTTGTCGTTCAGCCCTCAGTGCCTTGGATGAGTTTGAACGAGCAGATAAAAGACTCGGGGCTGTTCTTTCCTGTGGACCCTGGTCCATCTGTAAGTAAAGTTTGCATGTGGCGCGGAACCGCCAGATAGAGTATCCCGGTCCACGTGTTAATGCGTCTTAGGCCAGAATAGGCGGGATGGTGGGAACGAGCTGCAGGTTGGTCTCCGGTCAACCCCATCTGTGAAGCATGACGTGTACTGACATGCCCTGAATACGCGCAGCGGCACCAATGCTGTTCGGTATGGCACCATGAAAGATTGGGTCATCAACCTCACGGTCGTTCTGGCAGATGGCACTATCATCAAAACACGCCGCCGTCCGAGGTACGCCACGGATCAGCCTCGAGCGAGATTTGCTGGCTAATTCCTTTGTAGAAAGTCTTCAGCAGGCTACAATTTGACGAATCTGTTCATAGGCTCTGAAGGGACATTAGGCCTCGTCACAGAGATCACTCTTAAACTCACAGTCATTCCTCAAGAAACCAGTGTTGCAGTCGTCACATTCCCTACCATCCGCGATGCGGCAGCCGCAGCTTCAAAAGTCATGCGCGCAGGCATCCCTGTGGCTGCCATGGAGATTATGGACGAGGTCCAGATGGGAGTAATCAATCGCTCAGGATCTACTCCGAAGAAGTGGAAGGAAGTTCCTACAATGTTTTTCAAGTAAGAGCACTCCTATGCTGGTGCTTGAGCATGAATCTGATAGTCAATCGCAGATTTTCTGGAACGAAAGCAGGAGTAAGCAGCTGCGCATTCCCCATGAGTAGCTCATCTTTTGGTATGCTAATTTCCATCTTTCAGGTTCAAGAAAATACAGCAATGGTCAAAACGATCGCAAAAATGCACAAAAGTGGTGACTTCGAGTTCGCAATTAATGCCGAGGAACAGAAGACCCTTTGGTCTGCTCGCAAAGAATCACTTTGGAGCATGCTTGCACTGCGCACTGAGGGCTTAGAAGTTTGGTCTACAGATGTTGCAGTACCTCTATCAAGGCTGCCTGATATCATTGGTATGCAGTGTCCTCTCTGACCACCATCATGTGCTAATTAGACGGCAGAGATATCAAAGAAAGAAATGGACGACCTGGGACTGTTCGCTAGCATCCTTGGTCACATTGGAGACGGAAACTTCCACGAGAGCATTCTTTACGATAGCAAAAACCCCAAGGAGCGAGCTGCGGTTGAGAAGTGTATCCACGATATGGTAGATCGAGCCTTGGAGATGGACGGGACGTGCACAGGAGAGCACGGAATCGGGCTTGGCAAGAAGGATTCTCTGCTTAAGGAACTCGGGCTGGACACTATTGGAGTTATGCAGAAGATTAAAGGAGCATTGGATCCTCACTGGCTCATGAACCCTGGTAAGATCATTGATCTGCCAAGTTCGTAGTTGGCTGGAACAGGCAGCACGGAGGATTTCTCACTTCACATGCATCGGGAGGCCTCTGTCATTTCTTGCATAGACCGGCCAAACGCCGTTTGAGTCCAGCGCAACGTTAGATGTCATCTGATGAATGAATAATCAGTATCTTTCATGCCGATGAGTCTCGGGCTTTGAAAATTGTCCAAGCGGGATCCCTTTTTGTTTTGCTGGATATATAGCATGCCGTATGCGTAGTGGGACTTTATTTTGACGCCCCGCAATCGCAACCGTGCTCTTATAAAAACCGCGCTGACTCAACAGCGCAACAACTTCACACGCAAACATGGCAGAACAATTTCTCTCCAACAAGAGCCCTGGATTCCCGAGAAAGAAGTGCGGTCAGTGACAGCATTGCATTGATTGTGCTCAGCCTAATCATTGACTAGGCGTACTCGGCGCAACCGGGTCAGTAGGACAACGCTTCATCCTGCTGCTTACTCTCCACCCACACTTTGTCCTTCACGCAGTGGGCGCGAGCGAACGGTCCGCGGGAAAAAAATACAGAGATGCCGTCAAGTGGAAGCAAGCGCTACCATTCACGCCGCAAATTGGCGATTTGGTGGTGAAGAAATGTACACCAGAGGAGTTCAAGGACTGCGATGTCGTCTTCTCTGGTCTAGATAGCGCGACGGCTGGAGATGTAGGTGTGTAATCCAGCTCTATGGTCAAACCCATTCATTGCATGTTCAGGTTACTGACACCGCAATCAAGAAATGGCCTTCCTAAAGGCCGAACTCGCCGTCTTCTCAAACGCCAAAAACTACCGCCGCGACCCCCTCGTCCCCCTCGTCGTCCCCACCGTCAACCTCCCCCACCTCGACGTGATCAAGCACCAGCGCAAGCAGCACAACCTCCAAAAAGGCTTCTTGGTCTGCAACAGCAACTGCGCCGTCATCGGCATCGTGATCCCCTTCGCCGCGCTGCAATCCAAATTTGGCCCTGTCGACCAGGTCAGCGTCGTCACCATGCAAGCGGTCTCGGGCGCCGGCTACCCGGGCGTCAGCAGCATGGACATTATAGACAACGTGGTGCCCTTCATCTCGGGCGAAGAGGACAAGCTGGAGTCGGAGGCACAGAAGATCCTTGGCGGTACGAACGCGGATGTGACGGGATTTGTGGATCAGCCGATGAAGATTTCGGCGGCGTGCAATCGCGTGGCGGTGCTTGATGGGCATACGGCGTGTGTGTCGCTGAGATTTGCGAAGAGGCCTCCGCCGAGTGCGGAGGAGGTCAAGAAGGCGATGCGTGAGTATGTGTCGGAAGTGCAGACGCTGGGCTGTCCTTCGGCGCCGAAGAACGCGATTGTGGTTATGGAGGAGGCGGATAGGCCACAGCCGCGTCTGGATAGGGAGACGGATAGGGGGTATGCCGTGAGTGTGGGGAGGATCAGGGAGGATGAGAGTGGGATCTTTGATATCAAGTTTGTTGCGCTGAGCCACAATAGTAGGTTCCCCTGTCCGAATCAATTGAATCAATTCCGTATGGTGCTAATCATGTTTTCAGCGGTTATTGGAGCAGCAGGATCGTCGATTCTGAATGCTGAGGCGGCTGTGTTGAAGGGGTATGCGTGAGCAGTCGAATGAAGCGATACAGCGTTCAAAAGTGCTTGCAATAGACTTGGATACTAATCTAAAAAAAGCTTAACAATTTATGGTTTAAACTCATCGCACCCACATTTCCGCGTGTCCGGTGCCGGAACTGCTTTAGGATGGGTAGCCATAGTCTAGATATTAAATCTCTTCTTCCGCCGTTAGGCCTCTAAACCTTAAGACATATGAGCGTAAAACAATATCTAATTAGATGGGACGGGCAACTACGTGTAGGAGCGAAACTTGCCTTAAATATAGACGTTCTGATTCGTGGATCAAAGGCATGTTAACAGCAAGTATGGCAAGGAGAAGTTTCAGTACTTGACTGTTTTCAAGGTTGGTGATGGAGACCGTTTCTGCCACAATATCGAGAAGGTGGATATCTGAAGTGGAATCATGCCCAATTATTTGTTCAAATCACCGTCTGATGGCTACGGAGGTCAGGATAAGGGCTTGAAGAAGAATGCCTCAAAAGCACAAGGAACGCTAGCTTTCCTCCCGGTGTCGATTATGTTTCCTAAATCGTATTCTGTCTATGAACACCTGTATTTCTCTTAAGGCTAGATTACCACAGGCCAATGTGCTCATGATCAGAACCTGCTTCTACACAGCACAACCATTCTTGTTCGAGATCCAAGATGTCGTGTGTGGCCTCTGTCTGTTCCATCTAGTACAGGCAGAGGCATTCTGATAGTAAATAGAAGACTAGCCTACCCGGAACTAAAGCATACTATTCGCCAGCAAGTCACGTGCAAAAGAAGCTAGTCTGCCGGGCCGACCATTGATGCGTCCCCACGAAATCCATTTTGCACACTTTGATTACCGAACTTCAACCCAGCCAACTTCGACACTCCTCCACCATCGCCTCTGATTAAACCGCAATCATGGGTAGAGGACCGTAAGTATTCGAATCTCCTCTCAGGCAACGCAACTTTGCCCGCGACAGCTCTCGGCCAGGTTTCATGGAGGCCTTCGAAGGCTCGAATCTCAAATTACTCCAACGCCGGGGGCTCTCACCAATCCTATCTCCACGGCAGCACTGCTTGTTAGAAATAGAACTGACAAAATTCTCTACACAGAAAGAAGCACCAGAAGCGCCTCAGCGCGCCCTCGCATTGGCTCTTGGACAAACTTTCGGGCACCTATGCTCCCCGAGCCTCGCCCGGTCCACACAAGCTCCGCGACTGCATGCCGCTCATCGTCTTCCTCCGCAACCGGTCAGTACTCGGAATATGCTCTCCGCTCGAAGACGCGGTTTCCTGACAATGCCTCAGTTTAAAGTATGCACTCAACGGCCGCGAGGTCAAGGCCATCGTCATGCAGCGTCTCATCAAGGTCGACGGCAAGGTCCGAACCGACGCCACCTACCCGACCGGCTTCATGGACGTGATCACCATTGAGAAGACTGGCGAGAGCTTCCGATTGGTCTACGACACCAAGGGCCGTTTCACAGTGCATCGCATCACCGCCGAGGAGGTACGTCTCTGGAAATGGTGCACCGGGCAACAGGTCACTGATATTCGATAGGCCGCATACAAGCTGGGCAAAGTCAAGCGGGTTCAGCTTGGAAAGGGCGGCATCCCATTCTTGGTTACGCACGATGCACGAACGTAAGTTTAGCATCATTCAGACGTTGGACCAAGCTTTGGCGTTGGCCTAGAAGAGGACGGCATACTGAACGCAGTACATAGGATCCGGTACCCCGACCCGGCGATCAAGGTCAACGACACGATCAAGATCGATCTTACCACTGGCAAGATCACGGACTTCATCAAGTTCGACACTGGTGTCATCGCCATGGTGTAAGTGTGCCCTTTGGTGGAAGCAATTGAGCGATGCTAACCTGCATTGACAGGACTGGTGGCCGTAACATGGGCCGTGTGGGTGTCGTCACCCATCGCGAACGCCACGACGGAGGCTTCAACATTGTCCACATCAAGGATGCGGTTGATAACGAGTTCGCTACCCGCGAAGGCAACGTCTTCATCATCGGCAGCGAGAAGCCATGGATCAGCCTGCCCAAGGGCAAGGGTGTTAAGCTCTCGATTGCCGAGGAGCGCGACCGCCGCCGTGCGCACGCTTAGGCTGGGCACTGAGCGTTCGGCATGGGGAGTAATGCCAACGGTGGGGTGGCGGAGAGTTGGACGGTGCTTCTTGCTATGGTGCGGGAGCCATCTGTTATACCAGTCCGCGTGCTGGCAGGAAGACGGCGTTGAAGGACGGCAAAATGCTAGCACACCCATAGTGACAAGCGAAGGAGCCCAAAGAAGCTTCCAAACTCGAGTTAATGTGCAGCCCTTGGCCTTAGTGTAGCGTGAAGCGTGATGTGGGCCAGGCCACTTGATCCAGAGCCGAGACGTCGCAACCTGGCGCATTTCATTCCAGAACGACACCATGGCCGTTCCATTCTGCAGCAGGGGCGCGAGCAGCCAACCAGGGCAGAAGGGCCGCTCGCGGAGACGGACGAGACGGGGATGTGCTGGCGAAGGTGTGATGCGATCTGCTCGGGCAACGGCCGGGCATTGTGAAGGACGCTTGGAGTTGCAGGCTTGACGACCAATTCGCGTGCGAATGGCCACAGCTCCAGGTGTGCTATTCTGTTTATCCAGCCGTTTCCAGGCCGCCCGCTGCTATCGCCAGCGGCCTGCTCGCCACCATGGTGCGTGCCTGAGCCGCAATTTAACGGGTTGCAGGCCGAGCGGCACGCTGGCGTCCAAGCGGGCCCCCTCGCCGTGGAATCTGGGCACCGCCGTCGCATCACTGTGATCACTGTGCCGACCCTGTCAACTCCACGCCCTCACAGCTTCACCACTCTCCCACCCGCCCCGAGGCCGCGTCCCCAATGCTCGCCCGCCGCAGCCCGACTCTCGTTTTCCCCCAACCGTCCCACGACCCGCCGAGCTAGACGCCGCGACTGTCTCACCATCTCAAACGCTTGCGCAGCCACACTCGTCTTCAACCTCACGTCGCTACCTCGCGAGCTGCCCCAGAGCGTCGCCCGCCGAGCAAGGGCGAGCTGAGTCTTCGCTGCGTACTCCAACCCCGCCGCCGCCGCCATGTTGCGACCCGCCACGCCGCTGTCCATCCTGTTCTTCGTCGCATTCGCCCTGCTCCTCCTTTCGACCCTCTCCACGCCCGTAATCAAGGCAATTCCCCTAGCCACCTTCAAGGGCGTCCATTTTGGCGTGTTTGGCTACTGCAATGGCGACACATGTAGCGGGATGCGCGTGGGATACGGCACAGGTGCGTCTGGAAGCGATGCTGTCGCTCAGTCCACGGAGCGCCAGTTGCGATTGAGACGGATAACTGACACCAACTGTGATAGATGACATTTTCTCCAAAGCAGACGACTCAGACTTCTCTCTTCCCTCCGCTACAAGGTCCGTAACTCTTTGCCAAGGAAGTGATATGGCCCTTACTGAACATATTCATAGACACTCGCTTTCTTCCATTCTGATTGTCCATCCAGTTGCATGTCTTTTGACTCTAATATGCTTCGCCTTATCCGTAGCAGCCCATTTCCATTCGCCCGCGCATTCTCCCCGCTATCTTCTAGCTCTTCTAATACTTACTTTCCCGACACTGCTCGTCTCTCTCTTGGCCTTCCTGGTGGATATCCTGTTGTTCGTGCCGCACATGGCCTGGGGAGGATGGATTGTCCTGGCTGCTACCATCATCATCACTGCAAGCGGTGTGGTTACCTGTGCAATGCGCCGAACCCTGGTGAGCAGGAAAGCTCGAAAGAAGAGGATCGCCGAGAACCCCGACATGAATGGCGAGGCTTATTACAACAACCGCGCCGCAGAAGTACCTGTCATTGATGATCTTCCAAAAGCCGACTCTCCACCTCCTCTGTCAACCGGTGACACACTGGTTGGGGACAGAAAGGGGGGATTTGCTACCTTTGAGATGCAAAATCAGCAAACCTCCGACGACATGACACCGCTAAACCCGCGTAACCCGTCTGTGAAAAGCAGTAGTACCAACGGTAGGCAGCAAGGCGGTTCAGGTTACGGAGATGAAAGCCCGGATCAATACCGCGACCCCTCGAGAGGCCCATCAGGACGGCGCCAACCCAGAGACCAATACGGTAACCCCATACCCCCGCTTCCTGTGGACGGCTACGGGGCCCCTCCGCCTAGCATGCAAAACGGAGGCTCTATGCGACAAGGACCAATGGGACCGCCAATGGGACCAGGCGGCCGCGGAGCTCCCTATGGCCGTGGAAGGGGCGGGGCCCCCAGAGGAGGCCCACCGAGGGGAGGTTATGGTCGTGGAGGGCCCCAAGGAATGCGCGTTCCAGCACCGCCAGGGTGGAATGGGGGTGGAAGAGGTGGCATGGGTCCTGGGATGGTCGCGGGGGCGGCTGGACGTGGCGGCAGAGGCCCTCCACCAGACTACAACAACCGCTTCTACGCAGGTCGAGAGCAGTCGCCAGCACCCTATGGCGCGAGAGGCGTCTCTCCAATGGCTCCTATGCAGCCTCCAATGGCAATTGGCCAAGCGATTGAGATGGATGCCAGAACCGGAACGCCGCCCATGAATTATGGGCTGAGGGACAGCGACGGTGACGTTCAAGGCATGCTAGCCTTGCAACAAGGAGGAGGTTTCAATGGCCCTCAAGCAACACGGCAAGGGCCGCCAGGTGATCCTATGAGCCCTGGGAGCGTATACTCAGAGTAAGTCGAGCCCCCCATGTTGCTTTCCATTGCTAACCATTTGAAGCGAATACAAGGCTCCCCGAGCGAATTGGAACGAACCACTCCAAAACGCGTCAGACCAGACGCTTCCATCCAGCAGTGCTCGTGGACTTTCACCCATCGCGGCTTCACCCGTCGAACTACCTGCTCAACTCGCAAACAATTCGCCCATACATCGCCGAAACAAGTCATCAGATTATTATGAAGATGTTGATCCCCGCTTCGCAGATGCGGGCGCCCCTCAACCGACTGAACTCCCTGCTGCACTTGTTCCTGGCTACGCATCGAATCAAAATGCCCAAACGCCACCCCAAAATGCGCCCTACCTCCCCGCTGCTTCCCCAAACCACCTACACCCAAACGAGCCAGTGCTAGAACGTGATTCATCCTACGAGTCTATCGCCGAAGGATCACGCTCGCCAGCTGCGTCAGAAGCGTCCCATTTCACCTCCGTCTCACAACGTGGCGTCAATCCCAATTGGCGGCCGCCACCTCCAGGAATGGGTGGTCCACCGCCGCCTGGCCAGTATCCCCCTTACCAAGGAGGAGCCGGCTATGCTGGTGGGTATGGCGCGCGTCGACCTCCTAGACAAGAGGATATCATCTTGGAGTCCAACGCTGTAAACCCAGACTTCGCGATACCAGGCGTCGGACGGGGTGGCAGGGGCGGCGGCGGCGGCGGGAGAGGTGGACGAGGTGGTGGAAGGCAGCCGGGGGTGATACCTCCAATTGCTGGTGCTGGAGGCAGGTACCCTGGTGCAGAAGCCATATAAACGAGGATCTTTTCGCAAAAACGTACACAGGTGACCTGTTGGGAATGCGTGCGAACGACACTCACGGATCCTGTGGCCTGCCTCTGGGTTTACTCGAATTCGAGCCCCAGACGTCTCTCCTCACTTCACTTCACGAAACACAATACTTTTCTTCTCGGAGCGTTTGCTCAACCCAGCCACACGCTGCGACCTACGCCTTCCTTCCTTGCCTTGCCTTCTTCGGCATTGGCGACGAACTAAAAGTAGCCCAGCCCAGCCACTGCGTCTTTTTGCGCCTGTTCAAGGCCTGATATGGAATCGCTTCTCTAATACCCTCTCTTTTGCTTCTCACCGGATTATGTACAAAACCGCCATCTTCCTGCTGTGTTTTCTTGCGTCTCTAGGCACCCTAGCCATCTCCCTCCCTCTCTCCTTTTACGTCTCAAATACTATATAGCACTAGTCTAATTCGTGCTGATGGATGGCTCCCCTTCCTCTTTTCCCCTTTTGCTGAAGACGAGTTTGTATGAACTGACTCGAACTCTTTCCGGCTCACTTACGGGCGAATGGACTTCTCTGATTCTCTGTACATAATTTATATTTAGCTTTTCCCACTTGTTGTTTTTCTTTTTTCTCTGTGATGGATGGATACTGGGTACTGGACGCTGCTGGGGTTGCTGTTTACGGGCTTTTTTTTTTCTTTTTTTGTGGGGGGGTTTGTGTTCAAGGTTTCTATAGATTAGATATCAGGCAATAGGAATGGAATATGGGGTTAACTGGATGCTGGATGGGAAGGAAATATCAAGCAATGAAACTAATATTTTTTTTTTCTAAATCACTGTCACGTGTCAAATCGAGTATGCAAAGCTTAAGCAAAAACCCCACTTGAGCTCGAAGAGTTGTAGTCCTTATTCAGCAAATACCGCCTCACTAACGTAGTCGGCAAGCTAGTGGGCCATGCAAGCTAGTGGGCCACCCAATTATTGGTGCGATTTAGACCTTTTAGCACCCTAGCAATCTTAACAATCACAGAATATTCCAGGTTGTGACTTAGGATAATGATATCCGTGGTTATTTTAATATCATCTGTTAATTTTTTAGATCTCTTGATAGCCCTGTTTAGCCGCAGTAAAATGTTGCCTAGTTTTGGCCCCTAAAATCAAGTAATACCTACAATATAATAGGATTACGCTGCTATACTGCTCCAAACATTCTCTTAGCTATTAAAATGAGCTAGATAGTATATGCAATCTTAAAGCTATACTTTATATCTCGTAGTTGTTGAGATTGCTGGGGTGCTAAAAGGTCTAAATCGCACCAAAAATTGGGTGGCCCACTAGCTTGCATGGCCCACTAGCTTGCCGACTACGTTACTTATACCCACGAAACAAAACGGAGAGCGATGGAGAGGATGAAAAATAAGTTTTTCTACGCCAATTTTCACCAACTGGCTAGTAAGCAAGCCCCATAAGAAGTAGACTACACCCGTTGCATCCCCCCTCGAATAGGAACTCAAAGACAGCCCATGCCAAACCCTCAAAACGGAAGTCGAGACAAACAGTCCCGCTTACCAAGCATACTACCCCGAATCACTCGTACTTCTTCCCACCCTCCTTTCCCCGCTGATAGACACCGCTCCACTCACTCCTCCAAATACGACAACTTCCGCATCTCGCCCAGCCGCTGCCTCGCCTGCGCAAGATTGTTCTCCAGCTGCAGAATCTCGACCTAAGCAACGGATTAGCACACATATACACTTGGAATGCCAATTGCTACGGAGGCTCGCGGGGCGGGTAAACATACCTGCTGTTCCATCTGCCTGACCTTAAACTCGTGGTCGCTCAGCTTCGTATAATCTTGCACCTCCCCCTCATCCCTATTCCGCTGCGCAATGATATCCTGCACCTGCCTAACTAAGCTCCTACACGCGCTGGTAACAGCCTTGCTCGCGCCCTCGAGGCGGTCCTGGGACTTGCTCATAAAGGACGCTTTGACGCGGGAGGCGGCGACGAGCTGCGCGGTCGAGGCGGCGACGTCGTTGGACGCGACGATGAGCTGCTCGGGCGAGTTGCGGCCGCTGATGACGCCGTCGGCGGTCTCAGTGAGCATGTTGGTCGACGAGGCGACTGCTTTCGCGGCGCTGATGAGGCCCTCGGTCCAGCGGTTGTGCTTCTTGTAGAAGGCCGTCTTGGTCATGGTGCCGCGGCCTTCGCGGACGATTTCTTGCTGCGAGGCGGTGGCGGCTTTGATGAGCTGGGCGATGGCGTTTAGGACGGCGATGGCGGCGGCGAGGATGGAGCTGAAGGGAGCTTAGTTAGCAAATGTTGAACAGGTTAGGATTAATGGACGGCTTTTAACATACTCGTGGATCTTCAGCTCGTACGTCGAGTATTGGTCTCTCGGCTTCTTCATCAGCTTGGCCAGGCGCTCCGGAGCGGCATCGATGGCTTTGGCGGCATTGATCAGCTCGTTGTCGACCAGCTCGCCAATGTCACCCTGGCCGGCGGTAATCTTGCTCTTCGGTGCGAACGCATCCGCCAATTTGGATAGTTTCTGGAGGTTGACCAATACCTCACTGTTGTTGTTGAGCACAACGTTGGTCTTCTGCTCTGGCTCCATATCGTAGAGACGCACAGATTGCAGATTGCGGAAAAACTTGACGGTTGAGCTAGCTGAGAGTCGGGCAGCATTGACCAGCTGATCAGCCTTGTTCTCGTCTGATGCGAACCTCGTGAGACCTTTGGTGTTGGTGAGGACATCTGCTATTGAGCTAGAGAAGGCGTTGACCGTTCGAATGATCTCGGAATGGGTGCTGTTTGGTCCGTCCGCAATGAAATTGTTGAAGGCAGTTGAGAATTCCATAGCACACGAGGAAGCCTTCTCAATCTGCGACAATACATATGGTCCAGAGGCATTCTGGTTTCCCGCTTGCATTGAAGAGTCGAGTTCGTATAAAGAGTCGTCCACACGTTGTACTCCGCTTTGGAGGACCGAGTCGATGATGTCGTTGATCTTCTGGATGTTGTCTAGAAGGAAGCTGTCCAGCTGCCCATCCATGGCATTGTCATTCGCGTGTTGAGATAGCTTGAGCTCGTTCAACTCGAGAAGTGTTTGATCCATGCCGGCTTTGAAGATCTCCAACTCGTCTTCCTTCTCCCGCAACGACCTCTCCAGGTCAATGTCACCATCGCGATACTTCATGTGCACCTCATCTAAAGCACGGGTCTTGTTCCTGAGCGCCTCCTCGAGATCTGCAATCTCTCGGTTGTGTCTGGACAGCATCGCAGAAAGCTCAGTACCCTTACCACGTTCCGCATTGTCGGCCTTCTCCAAAGCAAAGCGAAGCTCGCGCTTCAACTTTTCTAGCTCTTCCTTGTGACCACCAGTAAACCTGTCTTTTTCAAGGAGGGCTCGGTCTCGTTCGCGGATCATGTCTGCAAGCTCTAGATTCTTCGTCTTGAGTTCGCGGGCAAGTTTCTCGCGGGCGTCCATCGCTTCTTGCGCAGAGTTGGCCTTCAATTGCACAGACTTGAACTTCTGAAGCAGTTGGAGATGCTCATGTCGTAGCTGCGAGTATAGTTTGGCTAATGCCTCGTATTTCGTACGCCATGTGTTCAATTGTTCTTGCAATGCTCTGATCTGATCGTCTCTGGATTGGGATTGTTGAGAGAAGTTCGCGTTCAGGTTGGCTAATTCGGCCTCTAGAGCCTTCATTCTTCCATCGTACTGCTGCAGCATCAGCTGATCGCGCTCGTATTGTGCACGAGCGTTCAGGTTTTCTCTCTCTAGCTCAGCAAGGCGGCCCTGGGTCTGTTGCTGGTACTGCTCGCGCATCAGTTGCTCCTGGGCGAGTCGCTGCTGCTCAGCTTGCAACCGTTGCTGTTCTTCGAAATCTCGCTGCGCCTGTAGTGCTTGCTGTTGTTGCTGCATCTGTGCAGCCTCCCATTGCTCCTGGAGTCTGCGCTGCTCTTCTGCGTATTCGTCCTGTTGGCGCTTCTGCTCGTTCTTCCAGAACTCGTTGATTGGCTCTGGATCCACCGATGCAACCCTTGGAGGCGTCCGCATAGGTGCCTCTACTTCCTTCCTCGGACGTACAGGCAAGGCCGGCGCATTCTCGTCCTCGGATAGTAGGTTTGGCGGGTCTTGTGGCAGTTTGGGTACCGTTATCAAGCTAGTTAGATATCGAAGGTTTGAGCATTCGTAGTAGAACTTGACTAGACGGTAATGCTGCGCATCATAACGACCACGGAGAGGTGACAGCGCTTCGTCGTCACCGAGAGCTGTAAACATTAGTAGCTGTCGTCATTTTTATGAAGACAAGAAGCTGCTTACTTGTATGCATGGCTCTCAACATGCTCGTTATGAACTTATATATCCCGTAGCTCTCTTGTACTAGTCCTACCAGGGCAGAGATTCTGCACTCATTGTTCGCGCCGCTGCGGAAGTGGGAGAAGATCAGCTTCTGGAAAGTGTCAATCTGGTCTTGGAGAGTCATCAGGTCGGAGATAGTCTCATAACTGCTAGAGTGAGCTTCATTCTCTTGCAAGTATTGGCGCCGCTTACCCTTCATTTGGGTCGTTGATTGACTTCAGACTTATATACTCTTCGTATTCGAAAGTTCCTGATGATTGTTAGAGATTCCGGATTTACTGGCCACCTGTTGCTCCTACCATTGAACTCCGGATGCTGGCGGTGAAATGCGAGCTTGGCGAGGAGGAAGTATATGTACTCCGAGATGAGCGGTCCATAGCCTGATGTTTCATAAGCAACAATTCCACCATACATGATCATATGCGCCATGAGTATATTTGCCGCGCACCTCGTAGGCCCTCTCCAGCTGCAACTCCTCTATTCAAGCTCTCCAGCCAGTTCACGTTCGCTTGCGCCTCCTTGAGAGCGATGGGGTGGCCCTCCTGAAGGACTTTGTGGATGGTGATGAGAGCTTTGAAGGTCTGGACTTCGTCGGCGAGAATAGGTTGGCTAAAAAAGAGTATCAGAATCAGCATTGCTCAGTGTGTCTAATGCGTCTTGCACTTACACCTTCATGCCCGCCCAAAACGACGCCGAGGACTTGTGATCCCACGTGTACACAATGCAGCTTCGAACATGTTTTCCTACGCGGCAATGAGCATCTGTACGTCTCCATATCCGAAAGGACTATCCATACTCTTTGGGGCGGTCTCATCTGTCTCACTGTATCAGCAGGCTGCCGTGTTGGGTCGATTAGAGGCGGAGGATAGGTACCGATGCTTGTTGCCTTGCGAATGTTGATTGCTAGCTCTGACTCCTGCCTTCAATAAGAGTTAGTAGATGCTCAGAAAGAGGTTACAAGAGGTGGCTCAGCACTGACTTTCCCATATCAACGTGGCGCGAGGATCCGTAGAGCGCCATGGCTGGCGGAGAAGCCGGTGCCTCACGAGCTTACGGGGTTTTTCAAAGGAGGTTTAACAAGGCGAGCAAGCTTCTAGAAGTACTACAGACTATTAAAGAGAGCAGCGGGAACCAGGCTGGGTTGCGTGGGGAGCTGGGAGCGTTAATGTCGGAGCAGTGGGAAGGTTGCGCCTCGCTCCACGCCAAGCAACAACATTCGTGTTCTATTCTTCAGCCCTGTTGATGACGAACGCCGCCACGACACCAGCTGCGCAGTTCACGGCTGCCTTTATGCCATGCAGACTCTACAGTCCGGGGACGCCTCTCTTGCAGTTCTCCCCGCTATCTCGCCATTGGGCCGTGTGGTGTGGGAGGCGGCTGTGCATGTGCGACTTTTGCGCTGGCAACACCCCCATGCCTTCACCACCGACGATACAGCAGAGTTCATGCGGTCATGTGTGCCTGAGGACGCCTTGCTACTGATGTGTTGTCAACTCGGTACACTGTCTTGACGCCGCTCGAGGTGCCTCGATGCGTTCTCAATGGTCGGAAAGTGGTTCATTTGCTACACAGTCTCCGTGCAGGTATATACGATATCGACGCCATGAAAATGCTTTCAACCCGAACGCCCTGTGAATGCATGGCCTCCAAACCTGCCGAATCAGTGAACTTCGCCCTTGCTCAAGTACGCTGCCATAGGATCATCAGCCGTTACTCGTTTTCGTCTGTACTCCTCCATTTCATCCTCTGTGATGCCTCCCTTCATCTCCTCCAGCGTGCGCTTCCTGGCTCCAGCATCGGCCCTGGCTTTCCAGTCGTCATCGACAGCATTCGGAACATGCTCCTCCCTAGCTTCTTCCTCCTTCCAAGCGACTGCTTTTGGAATTTCGTCCAAGTCCGTTCCAGTCCGTAGCCGGGTAGTCTCCTGAAATGCCTTCTTGCCATCTTCGCCAGTACAGTAGCTGTTCTTGACAATAGAATGACAGCAGGCATAACCCCACTTGAAATTTGACCACCAGCTGCCCCAGACTGATGTGTGGTTGTTGATGAGAATGTCTTCTGGATATTTTGATTTCGCCTTGACGATGGGTGCCCCTTTAATACGGCCTTGCTCGTCGTATTCGACATATCGTTCGTTCTCCACCACTGCAGCCCCTTTAGGCGCACTCAGTAGATGCTCCTGCCCGCCGTACTTGTCCAGTATCGCCTTTTGATGTGCCAGCCGTCGTGTTTCTGCTGCTTGTTCTTCCTTCTTGCGGAGGTACTCGCCGGATGTGGGGTTGGCCTGCAGATGGAGTTTGTTCTTGTCCCCTCGTTCTTGGGTTTCCCATGCATAGCGCTGTGCCTTTTCAAACTCTGCCGCGTCCCCGGAGGCCTTCATGAAGCCTTCCTCCGCGACCAATGCCGCTGCTTGATCTGCCGTGGCGCCACTGTCCACCATCGATCGCGTCTTAGGGTCGTATTTGGCCGAGTCGAGATCCAGGTTCAGGAGATATTTGGCAGTGTCTTCTCGTAACCGCAAATTCCGAGTCGACGTAGCTTGCTTCCTGCCCATATCGGTCTCTGCCTCGTACTTTGCGCCCTCGTCTTCTTCGTCCTCGCCGTCCGGGCCCTGGTTGTCTGTGCCAGCCTTGACCTGTTTCTTCATCTCTTCCAGCTCATGGTACTCTTCCACCACAGCTTTGTATTCCGCAGCGTCATAACCATTCCATCGATCTCGTTTCGCGTCCCACCCTAGTTGCACGTCCTGCACGATCTCATCTGCTTGGATGTTCTTCCCCGTCCATTTCGCGCCTTGCTTTCGCGGCCGGCTTAGACAGTCCTTGGCCTTGTGTGTCATTGCGCCGCAATTCTCGCATGCGCCTTTGCGGAACTTGGTTGCGGCAGGACCTAGTTTGCGACCTCGGTCGTACCATTTTGAATCCTGCTCCTGCTTTTGTAGACGTTGATGTTCGAGGTAGTCGCTAGTTGGCTCGCTGGCGTCGTCGACATAGAAGGGTTTCTTCGAGATGAAGGATGGGATGTATTCGTTGCGCTCCTTGTTGGCCGCAGATACATCGGGCTTCTTCGGCGGGCCTGGAGGTGGCATGGTTGAGGATTTTCAGTGAGGAGAATTAGCAAATTACGGCGGTCTACCTCGGGGCTTGGTAAAGGGTGGTGTGGTCGAAGGCAGTATTGGAAAGTGAGGTGCTGAGGCTACCGGTATTGAGGCAGGGTTGAATCACAAGGTCGGTGCCACAGTGCTATCCCGTAGGGCTGAAGGCTGCGCTTTGGCAAGCGCGTCTCCCCCGCCACGCCTCTGTTTTCAAACTTTCACCATGACGCGCCGTGAATGCAACGACGCTTAGCAGGCGCTGCTGTGGGGCTCAGCTACTTATAGTATCTATATCACCACGATGAGGATCAATTCCAGCACCACAATCCCACCTCACCGGCCGGGCCATCAATGGACATTTTCCGCTTCCGCCTCAATTGCATAGACCACTACCAGTCTGCTCCAACGGAGCTTGATCCTGTACTGCGTCGCGGGACAGGTCTTTCCCAGCGCCAGAATGGACCCCAGGTGCCTGTTATTAGGGTCTTCGGCGCAACGGAAACTGGCCAAAAGGTCTGCGCGCATATCCATGGTGCTCTACCATACCTATATTTGCAATACGATGGCAGTCTGGAAAAGGACGCCGGTAAGTGTGAATCAATTGCGTTTATCCAGATACTAATTTGAAGCAGTCGACGAATATATCCGTACTCTCCGCGACTCGATTGATCACGCTCTTGCTGTCAGCTACCGCCGGAATGCGTATGACGGACGCGCAGTCTACGTGGGCCATATTACCCTCGTCAAGGGGGTACCGTTCTTTGGCTATCACGTTGGTTACAAGTTTTACTTGAAGGTGTACATGCTCAACCCAATGCATATGACGCGATTCGCAGACCTGTTGTACCAGGGTGCTATCATGAACAGAGTTCTGCAACCGCACGAAAGCCACGTGCAGTATCTCCTCCAATGGATGTGCGATTACAACCTTTACGGTTGCGCATATATCGACTGCTCAAATGTCACCTTCCGCGGCCCTGTTCCGGATGCTTCAGATTCGACAGGTTCGGTACACAAATGGCATGACAAATCCATTCCCATCCACCTCCTTTCTGATCAGGATCGATTTCCGCGGCAAAGCCATTGTTCAATTGAAATCGATATCTGTGTCCAGGACATTCTGAACCGGAAAGAGATCGAACCTCGTCCCCAACATCACGACTTCATCGAGCGGTTTCGTCATTTGCAACCTGATGAGAAGCTCGTACATTCCATGGCTGGCTTATGGCGTGACGAAACCCGCCGCCGAAGACTGCGCATGGGACTTAGCGACTCTTCGGGTACTCCTTTCCCCCCAGAAGTCTTGATGTCCGTGTCCGCAGATCCTCGAAATACCGACAAGGGCGGGTGGATACATGAGGAGGAGTTCAATGAAATGATTCATGAATTGATCCATGGAGAAAAGGAGCAGAGACCGGATGCCGACATGAGCTTCGACAAATTCGTGAAGCCCGTGCGACTAGAAGATCATGTTCAGACAGCAATCGACAGCGTGGAAGATCTGTTCCCTGAAAACCTCCAGAGGGCCTTCACTCTTCCCGACGACGTCATCGATGGAGCTAATGATCTCGTCAAGGACGATGTTTCGGAAGACTTAGTCGAAGGTCAGGGGGAACCTGAGCTTGAAGAAATAGGCGGTGTTATTGGAGCTACCAACGAACAAGATCAGAGTGATGGCAAAGAGCAGGATGACTTCGAAGATGTAGTGGATCACGAGACTGGGACAGCTGCCAAGAGCGATTTCTCTGCAAGCACTCCAAGCGGAGATACTACAGTAGCTCGCTCGGAAAGCTCTCACGAGTCGAACAAAAAGCGAGAGTTACCTTCCGAAGCGATAAATCCAAACAAGAGACTTAAAATCTCCCCAGACACCCCTCTCAAAACCGCCAACTTGGTAACGGGAGGTGTGGCAATCAGGACTAGATCAGCTCGGCGTGTCGCTTTTCAAGAAGCTCTTAATGAAAACCGGGATTCGGAAATCTCTCTTTCGAATTCTCAAGGGAGTGCGGAGGAAGGGGGGCCACAGTCATCGCAAGGAAGTATTAAGGCCCTAGGCGGCAGCGGCCCTAAGACTCTTTCCTTTCCAGTCGTTAAGAACCCTCATGATTCGGGCACTCTTCTGCGATTAAGCCAAGAAGGGTACTCAAATACCCAGAAAACACCCAAGAGATCCGCTGCGGCCAAGTTAGCACTACCGAACTCTTCTGAAGACTCGCCCCGAACGCCATGGAGCCACCAGAGGACGCCATCGACCGTAACCACCACGAACCGCAAATCGCTGCCATCAGAGATCGCGACACTGGCTGCGCAGTTAGGGGCGTCTCGTTACTGCCGCAAATCGTCGCGCGTGCTGTACTATAGCGACCTGCCTCCTCTTGCTGACGTGGTTGTATCAACGATGTCAGAATACGACATGCCATCGATTATCTACCAAGATGCCTTCTACAGCGACGAGAACGACGTTCCAGATCGGCCTCGGGAGTATGCGGGTCGTGAGTTCAGATTGCAAAGTACCACGATACCCTACCTACCAGCTTTCGATCCTACTGGGACCGCGCTATCCAACTTTGGGGAGAAACCTGCCGTTGTCTTAAACAGAACTAAAGAAGAACAAGACAGCCGAGCTAGGGGGAGGCTCTGTAAGTTACGCAATTGGGAACTCGCCACCGCCCCGCCATCCGCAGCAGAAGTAGAAGCATGGCTTCAACAGGAAAAGAAAGATCCAGTGCCATCCACAAAAGGCAACGCGGCGAACCCAGCTGCAGACGTGAAGAGTCCTTCTGAAAAGCTCTCCCAAATCGAGGGTCCTACCCAAAAGAACAAAGGCGGCTCCAAGTACTCACAGAAGAAGAAGTCTGCAAGTGTCAAACATGAGACTCAATACATGAGCATTATGAGCCTTGAAGTCCATGTCAACAATCGAGGCACCTTGGCGCCAGACCCAAACGAGGATGAGATTTCCTGCGTTTTTTGGTGCATTGATGCAGACGATAACGCTGGCGGCAACAGAGATCGGATCGGCATCGTTGCACTATCTGACGAGGACGGAATTGCGAAACGGATAGCCAAGCAAGTCTCTGTGGAGGTCGAATACGAGGAAGATGAGCTCGATCTTATCAACAGGTTGGTCGATATCGTCCGCGAGTTCGATCCCGACATTCTCACCGGCTACGAAGTTCACAATGGCTCATGGGGCTACTTGATAGAACGGGCAAGGGTGAAGTACGAGTATGATCTCTGCGACGAATTCTCCCGGATGAAGTCGCAGTCTCGTGGACGATTTGGTAAAAACGCGGATCGCTGGGGATTTACTCATACCTCGACTATCAAGGTCACAGGCCGACATATGATCAACATTTGGAGAGCAATGCGTGGCGAGCTCAACTTGCTCCAGTACACTATGGAGAACGTCGTCTTCCATCTTCTACACAAGCGAATACCGCATTATTCCTTCCAGGACCTCACATCATGGTACAAAGGCTCTATGCCTAGGGATTTAGCTAAGGTTCTGGATTATTTCTTATCTCGGGTACAGCTAAACCTGGAAATACTGGAAGTCAATGAGCTCGTCTCACGAACTAGCGAGCAAGCACGTCTCTTGGGTGTTGACTTCTTCTCGGTCTTCTCCCGCGGATCGCAATTCAAGGTTGAATCACTCATGTTCCGGATTGCCAAACCCGAAAGCTTCATCCTCGTTTCCCCAAGTCGAAAGCAAGTTGGCCAGCAAAATGCCTTGGAGTGCCTTCCTTTGGTTATGGAGCCTCAAAGCGCGTTCTACACCAGCCCGCTCTTGGTGCTCGACTTCCAGTCGCTCTACCCTAGTGTCATGATCGCATATAATTACTGCTATTCGACCTGTCTCGGGCGAGTTGTCAGCTGGCGTGGTCAAAACAAGATGGGATTTGCGGACTTCCAACGCGAGCCTCGACTCGTCGAACTCATCAAAGACTACATCAACATAGCGCCGAATGGAATGATGTATGTCAAGCCTGAGATGCGCAAGTCACTGCTTGCAAAGATGCTGGGCGAGATCCTAGAAACACGCGTTATGGTCAAGAGCGGCATGAAGGCAGACAAGGACGACAGGCCCCTGCAACAGCTCCTCAACAACAGACAACTAGCCCTCAAGCTCATCGCCAATGTTACCTACGGCTACACTTCCGCCTCCTTCTCCGGCCGCATGCCGTGCTCCGAAATCGCCGACAGCATCGTGCAAACCGGCCGCGAGACCCTCGAGAAGGCTATCGCTCTCATCCACTCCGTCGACCGGTGGGGCGCAGAGGTTGTCTACGGGGACACCGACTCTCTCTTCGTCTACCTCAAGGGCCGCACAAGAGACCAAGCTTTCGCCATTGGCGAGGAGATCGCAGAAGCCGTCACAAACGCCAACCCGCGGCCCGTCAAGCTCAAATTCGAGAAAGTGTACCACCCATGCGTCCTCCTGGCCAAAAAGCGCTACGTCGGCTTCAAATACGAGTCGCGCACGCAAACCACGCCCGATTTCGACGCCAAAGGCATTGAGACGGTCCGGCGCGACGGCACACCCGCCGAGCAGAAGATCGAAGAGAAAGCCCTCAAGATCCTCTTCCGCACCGCCGATCTCAGCGCCGTGAAGTCCTACTTTCAGTCCCAGTGCGCGAAGATCATGGCGGGCAGCGTCAGCATCCAGGACTTCCTCTTCGCGAAGGAAGTCAAGCTGGGCACGTACAGCGACAAGGGCCCGCCGCCGCCGGGTGCCCTCATCGCCACCAGGCGCATGCTCGCCGACCCCCGCCTCGAGCCGCAGTACGGCGAGCGCGTGCCGTACGTCGTCGTCACGGGCCCGCCGCAGGCCCGGCTCATCGACCGCTGTGTCGCGCCCGAGGCGCTGCTCGCCGACGACGCGCTCGAGCTCGATGCCGAGTACTACATCTCCAAGAACCTGATCCCGCCGCTCGAGCGCATCTTCAACCTCGTCGGCGCCAACGTGCGGCTGTGGTACGAGGAGATGCCGAAGGTGCAGCGAATCAGGAGCGTGGGCGTCGTTGTGGGAGCGAATAATGATGCACAGGGCGGCCAGCCAGGTGCGGCTGCGGCGAGGAAGACGCTCGAGAACTACATGCGCAGCTCGGCGTGCTTGGTTTGTCGGACTAAGTTTGCGCCTGCACTGCCGCCGCAGCAATTCGCGGATAAGCCGAGCCCGGTGTTGCTGCTGCCGCTGTGTGCGGCGTGCAAGGCGAGGCCGGCGCAGACGCTGTTGGCGCTGAGGATGCGGCTCAATCAGGCAGAGACGAGGGTTAAGAGTGTGGAGGACGTGTGTCGCAGCTGTGCGGGCCTGGCGTTTGGAGAGGAGGTGCGGTGTGACAGTCGGGACTGTCCGGTGTTCTACACGCGGCTGAGAGAAAGGGCGCGGGCGGATAGGGCGAGAGATGGGGTCGGGCGCGTGGTGGGGTTGCTGGAGAAGGATGGAGAGGAGAGCTTCATCAGGGGGGGTGGGGCGTTGGAGTGGTAAGCGTGAGGATGTTTTTGCATAGGCGGTTGTGCAGAGCGCAGCATTGTAATGGCGTATTTGGGTCGCTTGGTGGCTTTTGTTTGGGCAGGTCAGGTATGGATAGCCCTTCTGTTTGTGACATCTACTTTTTGTTTTCCCCCCAATGCACTCACTCATATTCTTGAAGCGTAAGGCATCGCGTCCGAAGATATCGCCGCTATTGACCAGCTTTGGCAAGTCTTGGCTGCCGAGGAAGACCCGGGGGGTGTTGAGTCTAGACGAGGGCTCCGGGCACCTTTTCGCACAGAACTCGAATACAATTTTGTTGGTTTCGTTGAGAATAGTTAGGCGGGCGCGATATCACCCAAAAAAAGGGGGGGGGTTCCGTGCGTGGCGTTCGAAGAACACGAAAAGTCGCGTCTGGTACCTAGAGACTTGAAGCAGGCGCGGGAAGCAGGCACGAGGGATAGCAGGGTGGGGTTTCGAGCCGGTGGAAGGAACCAAAATGCAAATGAAGGGCCTCAGATAGTCGTGAGCAGGAGCGCACACACTTTCTGTCTAGGTACGTGCTGTAGAAGTTGCCTCTCACTCCCCCTTCTGCTTCCACCAACTCCTCTCCCAACCCCCTCTCCGCCGCTTTCTCAGACACGGTATACTCCACCTCGCCCAGCGCGCTCTCCAGCTCCTCCACACACGCACTGCACTCGCACGCCCCTGTCACCACAGACCCCCGCGGCCCTTCATCCTCCTTCAGCCAGCGCTTCTCGGCCCACCAGTCCGCGTCCCGCGTCTCCCCGCAGCGCCGCCGCGCCCGGATGTCCATCATGGCCACCTCGTCCCGCCACGAGAACCCCGGCTCGATCTCGGTGGAGAGGAACACGACGCCCGGGACTGCACTGCCACAGCTGCGCGCGGACGTCAGCGAGCCAGGCGGCATAGGCGGTCCAGTTGCGGCGGCGGGAAGCGCGGAGGCGGGCGGCGGTGGGGCCGGGGAGGTCGTCGAGGGTTTTGCTGAGGCCGAGGGCGTTGATGGTGGTTAGGAGGTGGAGGCGGGTTGGGGTGGAGTTGGAGTTGGAGTTGGAGTTGGATCCAGAGAGCAAGGTATTTGGGAAATCCGGGTCCGGGAAGTCGGGCCAGTGGGTGAGAAGGGGATTCATGTTGTCGCGTTGTGTGAGGTAATTAGGTAGGTTGACGGTGGCAGCTGGAGCGGCAGTAGGGCACAAGCTGTCATGTGGTAGATGGGGTTCCTGACTTGGTAGGCGAGGGTGTGAAAAGGCGGGCCGAAGGAAGAAGGGAGGAAGGCAAAGCGGTGAAAGTGCTTGTTCTCCCAGCCATCTGTGGTGTTGTTTGTTGGATCGACAAAAGAGATCACCGTGTAAGGGAGGCTCGGTGCAGCATTTAGGATGGAGACGAAGTTGGAAATGTTGCGTATGGTGAGCAGAGCTTGGCCAGGGTCATCTTCTGTTGCTGCGGATATCTCGAGGATTAGACGCCTGAACGAGGAAAGAAAGGGCGAACTCTAGTTAGATCGGAAGCCTAGGGCGTGGCACGTTGCTTTCTAGCCATTGTAGCCTATGCGAATTCGAAGGTCACGGCTTGTCCTTTGATAAAAGAGTTGCTAGACTTCTCCCCATATGATCTTGCTGACGCATGAGACCCCGAGGGGGACACATAGGTCGTGACGGTAGCTATGGTAGAAGGATAGTGGTTCTGATATGTGGCAACAGAAGTCTTCGTCCAGGAGCTCGTATATCAGATATCGTAGGTCAAGCGGGAGTTTAGCAAGGTCCCCTAGTCCTGGGGTTGAGTTTCTAGCCATAAAGAGCGGGGACGAGGAACTGGCAGTGGTCACGAAATGTGAAGACGCTTTCTGCTCTGATAGACGTTCCTACGGTGTTACGAAGAGTGAAGGTGAATCGCAAATTTTTGGAAACAAAGGTCCAGACATCAAGAGACGCAAAGGCCTGCACACCAGGGAAACGAGCTCTCGTGGATCCTTCTAGCAGCAAGACGACGTTCAGATGAAGCGCTGATTGAAGCCTAGAGTCGATACGTGTGCACGGCCCACCTTGCGACGTGGTCAAGCACGTGACATATAAAGCATCACCACCTGGGCAAACTGACAGTATAGGCCATACGATCAGTCTCGTCATCACTGATTGGGACACATTTGTCTGCCGCTGTGAAGTATGCTTCAATACCTTCTCAAGACGGTAGAGCCACAGAGTCAAAGACTCACGCCAAGTAAGCATCTGAATGGGCAGTTGAATATAGCACATAGCATATCTACACAACTTTAGTCGCAAAAGTACCACGCCTCGCTACCATCGAGAAGTTTAAATAAAAAATTCCCCTATCCATCCATCCATAATCAATCACACCCGCGAACCGGCCGGGCGATGCAACCAGCGCAAGACAAGCAACGAGGCACAGCCAAGCCGCACCACCACCAGCACACTCCGTCCAAGCTTTTTTCGTCGAAAAATAGAAAACCCTCATGATCTAACTCTTTGATGTTTTTAGTCTCTCCCTCCACCACCTCACCCGCACATCTCGGCCTTTTTTGTTTCTCTGAGGTGGTTACAAGAAGACAGAGAAGGAGATAACGAGCATTGAGGCAACACCGACAAAAACAGCATGACGAAGGGGTATGCGCATCTGTAACCGAACCGAGCCGACCAATAAAGAAAAAGTCCGATGCACATAAAACAAAGTGAAAAGGTCGGCACCGCAATGTTGTTTCCATCAAGCATGGAGTGAAGTAGCACCATGATTCCCAGCCCGCTTGGAAGAAGTATGTAAGTGGAAAAAGAGGGTGATACGAGTGGAATGGTGACAGGCATGGTCCAAAAGAAGTATTGAGGAAGATGCCGCAGGCAAGATACAAGAAACAAAAGCTACTACACAGTATTTAAAGACGCTGGTATCCCACTCCGCTCGAATGACAAATTGACATAAGTGTTGACTTGGTGAATCGCTCAGTCCTTTCCCACACGCTCCTCGCACCGAGTGAAGAAGTAAGGAAGCACAGGTGGTATCTGAGCCAATGGCATATCATAGTACAAGAAGAAAAGAAGTTGTGGTGCAAGATAGTCCAGCAATACGAAAAACACTCTCTTCGCTTAGTAATTGCCGTCGCCTTTCGAGTTTTCAAAGTAGACATGCATTCGAAAGCGCCGTCGCTATTACGTACTTTTTCGCTGTGTGGAATTGGGTATCGTTGCTTAACGGTAGGTGTTCCTGTCGGGATTGCCAGCGCTGACTGCACGGCCGTTGTTGCCGTTGGTCGGGCTGAGATGTTTGCTCTTGAGACCATCAGACGTCATACCACGCTTGCTGGGCGTCTCACCTCGCCTCTTCAACCGGCTGGTTCGCCATCCCTCGTACCATCGCTCGCGACTAGCCTCTCGTAATTCCGAACGCCACTCGCTGAACACGCTGTCCTTGAGCCTTACGAAATCGCAGTGCTCAACGTTATATGGGTCGGCGAACCCCCATGGAAACTTACGACCGACGACACCCGGCTCGTAGATGTCGGGGGAGATGATGCTCATGGGAAGATATGGAATTTCGGAGTCTTCTTTCTCAATGGAGGCGGACATGGCGGACACTCGTCGGCGATGGCCATCTGCTCCACGCTTAGCTGCCTCTGGAGGGGAGCTAGGCGAAGTTGCAGGCGACGAAGAATTGGAAGACGTAGTCGAGCGGCCGGCGTCAGAGGACGAGCGATCGAGGATTTTGTTGAGGATGGGCGATGAATGCTCCTCGGTGTCGGAAGACGAGTGGTTGTACGCATCCTCATCTCGCTCATCGAGACGGTCCTCGTCTTCGGCATCCGAGTCGGAGAGATTGAGCGCCTCGAGTGGATCAAGCTTTGCCTGCTTCAGGCTGTCCCATACGATCTTCTTTAGGTGTGCCATGTGAGCTGTGGTGATAGTGTCCGCTTTGCTGATGACGGGGATCACTGTTGTTTTGCCCTGAAGGGTACGAAGCACCTGCAAGTCAAGATCCTCGTCCAGACCACCAATGACGCGGTGGGAGCTGAATTTGCTGACCAAGTTCGGGTTCTTGCGTGACTCTGCAACATTGTAGTCCAGACGAGCTGGATCTAGGACTAGGAAGACACAATGTATGTGAGTGTCCCGAACGCCAGGCGCACGAATGACCTTCTGCTCTTCAGTGAAGGTCTCCTCAAACTTGGATTGGAGGAAGGAGGACATCTCTCGCAGCTGGAGATCAACGACGTTCTTCTCCAAGCCTTGCGAGTCCCACAAAGTGACACCGATTCTCTCATGATCCACCTCGGTCTCCAAGTATTCAGATGTAAAGGCGGAGTCGGGACGTTGAGCCGTAGCAGGTGGGGAAGGAGTGTGGCCCCGCTTCTTCGCCGGCAGAGCTAGGGACGTGCGAAGAAAGTTGATGAAGGAGGTCTTGCCGGAGCTCTTGGTGCCAACGACGAGGATGCTAGAGATCGGTCAGTGGTTGGCCATCCAGACCATGAAGCGAAAATAGGCTCACTTGAAGGGTGTTGGATCCTTCCTTCTCCGGACACGACGAGGGCTGTTCAGAGTGCTGACAGTACTGTTGGCGTAGCTGTAGCGGCTGCGGTGGGTCATGCTCTCGGTCCTGGCGTAGGGATCATAGTTGTCATTCGAGGGAGAGCTGCCAGGAACTAGCGGCACGAGGACTTTGCCATGCGGGCCCATCTTGTAGTCAGCGGACGGTCTGCTGAAGTTTCCGCCCTGCCCGTAGCCGCCGGCTCTGTTGGACACGATGGCGAAGGAGTCTGGTCTTGCGCTTTCCCCTCCGAACGTGGGAAGGCCTTCTGTTGTGTGATGCGCAGGGAGACGCGGGGGCGAACGGGGTAGCATGGCGGCCGCTCGTTCCTGTCGCTGGAGCTCCTCGCGCTGGGCTTGCGCCTTCTGTTTCTTGGACATCTTGCCTCCTGACACGGAGCGGTTTCCTTTTGCCTCGTTCGACTTCTGCCTGCGCAAGAAATTAAAAGAAGAGCGTCGGGCACCACCGGGAATCTGCTGATCGCCGTTGGGAGAGGCGGAAGCTTTGAACTGGGGCAATGCGGTATCGTCGGGCGAAGGGTCCTTGGGCGGGAGTGGGTGAGGAGACGGTGTCGCTGTTGCCATTTTCGGGCGCTTACTGACACTTGGGTCTGCGAATGTCGGGAATCCTGGACAAGGGATATCTGCGGGCGCGTCGTTGGAAGACGCCGTGCGGCAAGTAGAGGCGTGAGATGAAGGGAGAGCAGCGTTGGAGGGCGGAGCGAATGGGATTGCAGGGCTGCGCAGGTACCACGCGGTGTGGAGAAAGGGTCTGAGACGGCCTGCGGGGGCAAAAGCGGACGCGACGGCGACGCGACGAGAAGAGGAGGCAAAAGGAGAGACGTGCACGGCACGCACGGCGAGAAGGGAGTCTCAGCGGCCTCGGGGGGGAATTGGCAGAGACGAAAGCACGGAGAGAAGGGAGCTGGACGAGGAGAGGCCTGAGGGCCTGCAGGAGGTGGGAGGTCTGGGAGGCGTGGAATCAGGGGCCGGCAAGCAATGGGACTGGTGGAATTCCGCACAGGCCACAGCTCCACGCATCGCTGGTGAAACACGCCAAACGGCACGCCAACGGCAGCCGAGATCGCGAGTGCTGCCCGCAACGGCATGCCGATCGAGAGTTTGGCCTAGTCCTAGATGCCATGTATAGACGCAGACGCCTGCACAGCCACTATCCGCTCCCGAATCAGCCCAGACAAGTGCTCCGTCCAGATATGTATTCCGTGCCCGGGTTGTTGCTGCCCCAGGCGGCCTGTCGAGCTATTAAGCCGGTCAAAATAACGGCACAAAGGCCTCTCCGCCGACTGTCGGATTCCCAAAACCCTCTCGGAGACCTCAAGGCAGTGTCAAGTGCGACTACCCAGTTCGATGCCGTTGACGTGCTTCGGCCAGCGACGACGATTGTGGACCACTGGCTGCCATCGCCGGTGCCCGACCTCAGAACGATGCACGCGATAGGGGCTCACCTCGTCCTCTCGACCTGAATGGCTGCGCACCACGCTCGACTCCCGATCCGTCTGATGCAACCTTTGCGCGTCCAAGGAAACCCCGGACGCCTATCCCCAATCCTTCGTGGGGCTAGTCTGCGCGCATTTGCGACCCGTCGTGCCATTGTTGGACAAGAAGTGTCAAACTCGGTTCCCTGTACTCTGTCTGGTACCTTAGCACCACGGCGACACCGGCGCCCACGAGTGGGATGAAAGACAGCGCCCAGCTGCCGCAAGACAAGATGTCAGGGATGCTCTGCACGACGAGCAACGGCAATCCTACGTTCAATTAACCTTCAAACCCGCGTGGTAGCTGCGGGCGGTACCGTCGATCTACATCTTCAAGCGACCCGCTTCCTCCCAAGGTAAACTGTGGACCCTCACGATCTTGCTTTTCTCCACACCCGGATGTCTACATGTGTATGTACCGAATCTCAGCGCAGATCTCATGGAGTCGGAACGCAACGGGCCACCCGCCACAATCGACGCCACACATCACCACACGGCACGGCACCCTGCATTAGGGCTGAACGGCTTGAAACAGGCACAGCGGCGCTAATTCTTACTTAAATCTCCGAAAATACGCAATGCCCCGGCAGTCGCATAATGGGGTAGTCACTTAGACCAAGACTGACTTCCTAGCATCGATTTGCGGTAATTAGACATAGCCTAGAGAGACGCATGAAAGTTGACGTCTAATTAAAAAGGCTCGCGCTCTCATCTTTGCCAAATATACTTCCATAAGTGGTCGTCCAAAAGGCCGTGAAGTCATCGTCCCTACAGAACGAATGAGCGATAAGTCCTCTGAGAAACAGTCACAAACATCTTACCCAGTATCCGGCCTCAGCTTCTCAACAACCGGAATCCATACCTTCTCGTAACCCTCGCTCCGATACAGATCCAGCTTCTCCTCCACTTGCGGGATGCAGCTAACGTAGCCGTTCACCTTCAACCACAACGTGAGTCTGCGCTGCTCCTTGCACGCCGCCGCATCGTACTCGACTTCGCCCCAGCGCGTCCGCGTCAAGAAAGTCGGCCGAAAGAACGGGCGCGCAGCCACGTTTCCATAGAGGTAGTCCGCCAGCGTATGCATGCGGAGCCCCTCTCCTTCTTCGAAGTCGAGCGAGCCCTCGTCCACGGAGGTTCCACCCTCCCCGTCGAACTTGTTGATTAGTGTCAGGCGCCGAACCGGTGGCTGGCAGACTAGCATGCGCCGCCAGCTTGCTTCTTTGCGGGCGAAGGCTTCGGGCCGGAGACTCCATGCGCTGCAGAGATAGAGTGCGGTGCTAGAGCTATCGTAGGGTTCTGGAGGGTTGGGGAAACGGTTGAAGTGTAGGTCCCATTCTTCTATTGGTATCTCAGGCGCGTCGGATAAGAACCCAGGAAAGGTGACGTCGAGGAGGGGGTTGATCTCAAGATTTGGAATATCCGCTTGAGGCGGGGAGCCATTGATAGGGCGGAAAAAGAGGGCATATTGGAGGGCTGGGGAAGTGGTGATGGTAGCATGGAAAGTCTTGCTAATCTGTGAGGCAAGGAGGAGGTCGCGCATGGGTAATTTTAGGAGGATAAGCTCAAAGAGTTCGGAGGTAGCGAAGACACGAGATCTCGAGGACATATCGGAATCCTTCATGGTAGGATCCTTGATGATGTTGTCTCAATAGCTTCGATATAATTCTAATGTTGGTGCCGGGGGTCGATGCTGCCTACGAAGTTTCGTGGCCGTTCTGGAAATCCTCAAAACATTATAATCTCGAATCTGGGTCACTGTCGTTAGCACCTCAAGACAGTCTCAAGAATGCGAATAAGATTGAAGTTCGTTATGGACAATTGGTAAGCTCGCTAAGCCACCCTAGGCGTCGACACATCGATGTTCACCCACTACACACGACTTACAGCTTCTGATTTATATCAATACAATGAAGCCCCAGAAGCAGTGGCAGAAGAGCGTACCCAGACTTATATGAAGAAAGATTGTAGCATCACTACGAAATGGATTTCGGCCCAAGCGCTTTGCCGTTCCGAATAGGAAGTTGGAGCGGCTTCTGGACTTCCGAATACCCGGAAAGATGTATCAATCTATAAAGCATTTCAAGATCATCAAAGGTCACAATTCTTCTGGGAAAGAAAGAAGTGGATCCGAGGAGACGTATTGACCACCTCAAAGCTACACGACGACATCTACGTAACGTTTACGCGAGTTCCTATCTTCATAACCCAATACCTCATCACTATCAACATATCAGCATGGCCTCGCCCAACGAATTCGCACCTGCGGACTCTTTCAAAAACAGAACCGTCATCGTCACCGGCGGCGCAGGCAGCATAGGCAGACCCCTATGCCTCGCCTTCGCCAGCGCGGGCGCCAACGTCGTCGTAAACGACCTAGGGGGTGACATCTCGGGCTCCGGCAGCTCCCCCAGCCCAGCATCCGATGTTGTAGCAGAGATCAAACTCGCGGGAGGCTCCGCAGTCGCAGATACCCACAGCGTGGCCGACGCAGCCGCCATCCTCTCCACCGCCCTAGAAACCTTCGGCCGCATCGACATCATCGTCAACAACGCCGGCATCACGCGCTTCGGCCCACTAGAAGCGCAGCCGCCCGAGAACTTCACCGACGTCTTCGCCGTCAACGCCGCCGCCCCGCTCGCGCTGCTGCACCACGCCTGGCCGCACTTCCAGGCGCAGTCGTACGGCCGCGTCATCAACTTCGCGTCGGATTCGATCTTCGGCATGGCGAACTCGCTGCCGTACGTCCTGGCGCGCGGGGCCACGTTTGGCGCAACGCGCACGCTGGCGCTGGAGGGCGCGCCGCACGGCATCCTCGTCAACGCCGTGTGTCCGACGTCGTACAGTCGCATGATGGCGCCCATGTTCAAGGACCTGCCGCCCGAGCACCAGGCCGCGACGGAGAAGAACTATCGCGGCGAGGCGAACGTGCCGATGATACTGGCGCTTGCGCACGAGGCGTGTGCGGTGAGTGGGCAGGTGTTTAGTACGGGGGGGTACGGGATGTCGCGCGTGATGCTGGGGGCGACGAGTGCGGTGGGGAATTGTAGGACGATGGGCGAGGTGCAGCGGCGGCTGCCGGAGTTGTTGGAGAAGGAGAGGGAGTTTGTGGAGCCGATGAATGTTTATGAGTTTGCGAGTTTTAGGACGAGGACGCTGCAGTCGTAGGGGAGGGAAAGGAGAAATATTTGAAAACTACCACCGTGCTTGTTCTAGAGCTACCATGAAATGCACTAGCGTTTTCGTCCTAGGGTTGTATAGGCTCGTCTGCACTTGTTTGTCGTGCTTCAATGGGCCTTAGGTTTTTGGGGGGCTTCAGATGCCATTCAATCTATGCTCTAGCCCTCACCAACGAATCTGCGACCACGCCCGTTTGGGGTAACCCAGCGAGGCTGCACATTAGGGAAAGTAACGTTCTTCTTCTTTTCCACATGCCTGGAATCATATCGAGGCACTTCAAATAGTCATAAACAAGCTTACACAAACCGAAAATAAAGCTCCATAAAAGACCTCTTATCCAAACCAGCATTTTTCCTTGCAAACAGATATGTGAGCAGAAAGTAGACTCATACCCTCCTCTTCACCCTCATCGGCATTCCATCCCTCGGTTTCGCAGTCGCATAGAGCACCTGATAGGCTTCGTCTCCCCAAACGTCCTGCACACCCTGCTTTCCTCGGTCGTTCTTCGCCCATAGCGTACCGTCTCCCCCCAGCAAATGCAGCTCATCATACGCAGCCTTGAAGTCGAAAAGCCGAGCCACAAGCACAAGAGCAATCTTGATTTCCAGCATCGCCAGCTCCTGTCCGATACAATTACGGGGCCCTTTTTCAAAAGGTCGAAACGTCCTAGGATCAATATTGCTAATTTCCGGCGATAGGAAGCGTTCCGGGCGGAAGTCGTGGACATCGCGGCCCCAGATCTTGCGTGAGCGGTGCAAACAGACCGACTCGATCCAGATGGTGAGACCGTCGGTCGAAACCATGTCGCCTGTGCTGGGATCCTTGATGAAGAGGTGTGGTCCCCCCTGCCTGATGGAAGTAGCAGGAGTATACAAGCGAAGAGTTTCTTGGATGGCCGCCGTGGTGTATGTCAGCTTGTTGAGCAAGTGCACATTTGATTTCAGGACGTCGGCGGCCGCGAGAGGGTCAGAACCGAAGATCTTGTCGTGCTCGGCGCGCAGCTTGGCGAGGATGTCTGGATGGCGGGAGAGACGGTACAATGCGTACGCGACGGTTGATGATGTGGTGTCGTGACCGGCGACAAGCAGCATCCTGAAATTGTCGATGACATATTGGCGGAATTCGGGATCCATCTTGAGCAGGTTCATGTCATCTCCCTTCCCCCGGCTATATTCTGCAAAATAAGTGTCCAGTGCGAGATCAATGCCGACTCTCTGACGTGTGTTTGAAGCATTGCCGGCGCGGGCTGTCAACCGCGCGTCTAAGAGCTTGCCTAGATATCGTCTCATCCGCCATGTGTAGTATAGATTTATAATGGGACGGATCGGATTGTAGATATGGAGAGGGTTGAAGGAGGTACGGTCCCTCAGCCATGTAAGTTGTGCACGCATGGCATCAACGTACTCGTTCTGCGTGGTCTGTGACTTGAAGTCATGATTCCTAGGAAGATGAAGACAATTAGTAACCCGTAAGTATCAAGGAAACGTATACAGAGCCAGGAATGACACTCGTTTGCCACTGGCTGAGCACTTGTAAGACGCGTTCAGAAGTCTGTGAGCATGCATGTAGCATCAAAGTTTCAAGATACCTTAGCTAGAAACTGGCTCGTGATTGAATGATGAATGTGCAAGCAGAAAAAGCCAACTCACAGAATCACTTTCCCAATGATATCTATAGTCAGATGGGTTGCAGGCTCCTCAAGCCTAAACGGGTCGTTCTTCGAGGCAAACTTGTCGAGGCCGTCAACAAATACCATTGTAGAATCAACGACCAAAGGAACCAGCGTCATCAACTGCGTCATGGAGAAAGCGGGGTTGAAAATCGCTCTCCATTTCTTCCATAGAGCCCCTTCCATTACCACGAGGTTTTGAGGCCCAGCAACCGGTTCTAACGCCTCCCCTAGGAGTTGGGATTTGGGGTAATTCTGTACAGTTGAAACTTCATGAGCGAGACCAGGGTCATTGACGATCAAAATTGCGGGACCGGCTGGATAGGTGTCGAACAAGAAGACTGGACCAAGGTTGTAGTCCTCAGCGAGTAGGGCTGGCAGATAGTGGGGATGCATGCGAATCGGCTTTGTCTTTCGGTACTCGCCCAAGAGAAGAATATGTCCCCATAATTTATGATAAGGTGGCCCTGGCTATACACGGTGAGTTCACGAGTCGAGGTATACGACGTATGAGCATCCAGTCGCTCGGAAGGGGACAGGTTGGCACAGCCTGGAGAGACCAGGAGAAACTCAATGAGAGCTTACATATTTGCTCATAAGCTTCCTGTGACGGAAGAAGCAAGCGATGGCACGAGTAAGGTACGCAACTAAGATAGTCGCAATCGCAGCAACAACATGGTGCCCCCGGAGGTTATCCATACTTTCTGCTGCAGTTTGCCTAAGCTGGACATGCGCTCTCCTTGCGTTTAAAAACCTTGGGGATACATACCCTTGCACGTGAGGCGGGGTTGTAAGCAGTAAAGCGAACCCTTCGTGTACATTCGTATTTGCTTTACGATAAGTGCTAACAAGGACAGGTCTTACCGAGGGGACGGAGCAGATACTCAACCCATGTCGCCCAGACTCCTTGTTGGCGCGGGTCTCCTTCTAACTGAAACTCCCAAGCGAATTTATGAGATACTAGACGTTTCTTGACTGTCGCTTCGTACGCTGGAAATCTTGCATTGCTGGGGACCTCAAGGCGCTTTGGTCTCATCTCCCACTCCCGTCTGACCGTCTCTTTAAATGTGGAACTAGAGACCATATTGTGTGAACCCAAAAGCGAATGTCTGCGTTTCCGTGCCGCCAAGTAAGCAGAAAACCCATCATCTCTAAAAACAGGGTCCCGGTTGTCGAGTTGCCATTTGCGAAACTCCCACCAGCGATCTACTTGTCTCGGGAACTTATCTCGGTCCCTGGACCTTGGGTCATCCAACCAAGGGAGAGCCTTTTCGCAGCTGCGCTTGGGCTCCCTCGAATCTTGCGAAAGAACCTCGATTGGCACCGCGGGCCTGCCGTCGTTCTGAACGAGCTCCTCATAGCATATCATTCGATGTCTTCGCTTCCAGACGGCGAAGTGCGTGCAGAGGACAGGGACTCTGTGCGAGGCCACTGTGGGTGTATATCTTCCGAGAAGCCGCCCGGACCGCCAGGTACGTTGGCTAATCGTTCTAAGAGCGTGCTGATGTCGACAGAACTAGTCATCTGCACTCTCTACTTGTCGCACCGCAGCTCTGCCCAGGAGCGAAGAGTTAGCGACAGGATAAGGTAAGAGCCAACAGGCGTCTCCTTACTTTAAATTTGTACAGAGCGCATCTCATTGGTGTCTCGACATGCTGTCGAGGCCGGAGGCACTGGAAATATCGAATCCACCATAGCGCAGGCGCTGCGCTTCATATACCCAACGAGCTGCCCATCATCGAGATTGAGTAGATCCTCTATAGAGAAAACAGCAGCTTCATCCTCATTGAACGACATGGCCGGAGTTGCGCGTGGGCGCACCGGGAGAAGGCTGAGTTGTACGGTGGTTTGGTGTGCCGTCCAGATATTCGAGCAACAAATGTGGCTGGCATCGGGGGAAGCGAAGCGCTTTAGGGCTACAGGGCACCCCTGTGAAAACCCTTGCAACCTACCATCCAAGGATCCCAGCCTACCTAGGTACAAGGGTCCCTACTCCACCAGCTATTGTACGAAGGAGCTCGCAGCTCGATTTTCTTGAGTCCTACCCTGCCACTGAAATTAGGCGAGGGCATAGGACTCAAGAAAAACGAGCTCCTTCGTACCTTGCCTCGCTTACCTACCCAAGTACGTGGGGAGAGATGACCCCCAACCAAGGTCACCACGGGTACGGAGTACCTGTTAGTTACCCAGCGGCCTCACAGCAATGCACACAATGCATAGCTTATGCAGGTGATCACATAAATTTATTCATGGAGTGGCTACCTTTCCTAAGCCATGGCCAGCAACACGAAAGCTGTACAGCAGACGTTCTACGAAAACACCAGCACAACCTTTACCAAGACTATGTACCCCCTCGAGCTCTGTAAAAATTCGGGGCAGATGCCCAAGAACTGGTCGCGCAAACGCATTAGGAACGAGTCCTGCGCCATCAGCATCGTTCGTCGGTATACGACCATTCCAGTCCCTGAAGTCATTGCCGTAGGAGACAACAGCAGGCGAGACTTCAGTTGGACGGTCGTGCATCTTCCATGCGATCGGATACGGTTCTGATAAAGTCCTAATCCACTGCCCGCCCGCCCACATGAATGCCAGAGATGGCTGTGCACGACATCGTAGGATTTCTTTTCCTGCAGCTTGCTGGGTAGGTTGTCTACCTTGGAAGAGCTTAGACGCAGTAGATTGAGGGGATGTGAAGGTACGGCATGGTGAGGATGTACGTCTTGCCAACCACATCAGCTTGCTTGTGGACTTCTCTGCCTTTTATTTATCCCACACCTCCTTTATCCCGCTTTTCTCGAAATAGTGGCCGGACGACAGCCACATTGCTGGGATGAGAAGTAGCACGCCATCCAGACATTGCACTAGGATGGGGCGAGAATGTAGACTGGGACGCATGCGAGCTAAAGCAATACGCATTGGAGGGTGTGGTCAGGTGCCGAAGTTAGTCAATTCGGGGACGGAACATACTTCTGAGGTGATAGAAGGGAACACGCTATTGGGACATTATATTTGGATGGGTCGAGAATCGGGGTTTGAGGAGATACGGCCTAGTCAACGCCTTGCAGGCTAGGGTCGTGGCCCTGAGGGGCGAATCGAGGGCTGAAAGTAAGACACTCTCAATCATGCGGGGAAGTGAGTCAAAAGCAATGTACATAAGCCGAGATATCATAACTGGGCGAGGACGTAATTGTGGCCCAGACGTTAATCATGCAGGGCGCATTAGCTGACTGGGCCACTCCGTCCCATCGAAGCGGTCAGCGGCTTCCCCATCACCTCCCACATCCTTCTCCGACAGAGGAGCGAACCGGCTTCTCATTAGGAGAAAAGGGGCCCACGTTTGGATCGCCTTTGGGCTCAGAGCATAGGCGGGACTTGAGAGAAAAGATACGGTGCAATTAGTTTAGAGGGGGACGACTTTTAGTCAGGTAGCGTAATTTGGAACCATGATCAAGTAAGTCTAACTCAACGCAATCCTATAAGTGCTAATCATGAAGACTTTTTAAGTGGGCTGCGGTTCAATTTAGCTCCAAAGACGATAGGCCTTTTACCAGTGAGGAATCGGAACAACTCCTCATAAAGCTTTACGTCGAGTACGACTTTACACCACTGCCACGCCGGAGTAGGGACGCCTGCGAGGAACATTGGAGAAAGTTACACAAATTCGCTTTTGGTGATGACGCTGCCACCAACGCCATAGAAAGGTATAGCAGGATACCACATTCAGCGGAGAGTTGGAGTGAACAGGAAACCAGAACGTTCCTCTCTGACCCTGATATACGCAACTTTTGGCAAAGTACATTGCTTTCTGAGAGGGCGTGCCGTATCCAATACCAGATCGTATTAGGCCTAAACTTTGCTGGCTGGAACAAAGAACGGGAAGAACAGCACATTGAAGATTGGACCGAAGACCGTATACGCGAGGGGATATCGGCAGTAGTTAAGGCATATCATGAGAAAGAGGCAGAGCGTCAGAGGAAAGAGGTAAAACTAGAGTAATTTTAACCATTCGACAAATCACTCTTACTAACGCTCTCGTAGCCGGGACGCAGAGCCGAAGTAGAAAGAGTAGTATTCTACTCGTTGATTTCGCGACGAAGTTCGAAGATTGAAAATATCTGTCGTGAATAGTTAAGCAGAGACGACGGACCATAGCTAGCAGCCTGCCGCTGCTAATTTCAGGGCACCTACTGCCTCTTGTTTTCACGAGGGCGAGGAGTCTCGTCTTTCCAGCTGCCAGACTGTCTTGGCCGTCTCTCGAAACTACGATATTGAGACATTGCTGCAACACACATAGACGGTGTATTCTCATGCCTTTCTAGCCGTACTCATCAGTCCGAACCAAGATTATCTGGCTAGAAGTTCCATTGTCCCGCGCTCATCCCCATCCTACCCATCTTCCAAATGTAGTAAATCCGTAGCAACACTCCTTCCCTCTCATCATCCTGTCGGCTTATCTGTCGTCGGGTTCTCGGATGCGGTGTCGGCAGTAAGGATCCCACGTAGTATCGCCCAGAGGCGGTTAGAGAGTATTTCCGAAAAAACAAGGCCCAAGAGGTTTAGCAGCTTCAGAATGTCGTGACGAGTCTGGGTACTGCCCTGAAGGCTGTTGAACGGTCCCTGTACCTCCTTTGGCAGCTGTCAGCTTGTCGTCTATCAGAGAGCTGTTCATAAATACATACAAAGCTGCCATCGGCGCATATAGTCGATATGTAGCAAAAGTAATTATGACCGACTACAGCCCAGCCGACAAGGCCCGGTATCTCAGTAGCAACTCCAGTATCGTGTACAAGGTCCTTAAGTTTCAAAAGCATGGCAGTGTGAAGGGTCGCAAGCTGGGATTCGGCTTCTGAATGGCCTCCGTTTGGTTCTTTGAGCTCGAAGACGCATGCAAATGCAAGCTCAGACGTGTAAGCATCCGTCATGGGGCTGAGGCTCTTGGGGCCGTGGCGTGAGGCGAACGTTTGATATGCGGCCTGGACATCGCTGTCTTGGTCAGTGAATGCAAGAACAAAGTCAGACTTCTTGCCGGTATTGGAACCAGTCTGTGCGAGGTATCTGGGCTCGATATTCTGCGTCTGCACACTGTTAAGCTCCAGCTTGCGTATGTTGTTTAACTTTAAAGCTGTGCTGACAACCTTTTCTAAGACCTTTGACCAAGCATTTTCGTCCTTCTTGCGGTCATTACATGCTTTGGCGACCTTATAAATGCTCTCTACCCGCTCCCATAGGTATGCTAGCGTCGCCGGTGGAGTATCATCCTCGTAAAACATGTACTCGTGAACGTCGTTCTCAAAGGCGTCGCGGTCGGCCTCTTCGAGCTGGTTCTGGAGTATTATCAGTGACGATGCCATTACGTGTTCATGCGCCCAGCTGTCTACCTTCAGTTTTGCGTGGATGAAACGGGAACCATGATGCTTGGACAATGCAGAGCGGACAGCCGATACAGATTCATGCTGATTTGTGTCTCGCGGTTGACGTATCTTAATGGATTGAGGAGCGTGTGCGAGCAGTCGATGGTGTTTCCGTGGTGGACTGTGCGATGGCCTGCGGCTTGGAGCTACGGGCTTTAAGATGATGCGATTTCTCAAGCTCGTGGCGGAAGATGGAGCAGATGATTCGGAGTTTACATCACATTCGGAGACCATAGCAGCTGCAGTGGCTGCGGAGCGTGAAGAGTGTGAGCATGTGGTGAGGCGACGACGCTTCTGTCGAGATGATGCTTGGTGCTGCTTCCGCTTGCGCTGCCTGGGCGAGGGGCTCTCAAGGGGCGTGAGAGGAGGTGGTGACGTGCAACCAGCAGTCAAGGGAGAAACGGAGCTTAACCAATCTTCGACGCAGGCATTATGGCCATCGTCGTCGGGCATAGCATAGATGGAAAGTAATAGTGATGGGTGATGTTGACGGAAGGACTCGATTTCGACTGGGCGCGGCACATGGTTGCTGGGGCACCTGCCCCGCTCCGAAGTAAATAAAACAGCAAGGTGCCACACGTATCTACCTCCTATAGTAAGCAGAGAGCTAGTGATATTGCAGGCAAATTAGACAATCCGGCGACTCGTATCACTGTATAGAAAATATCACTATACACCAGTATCATGCTAACGAGGTTTTACTGTATCCACATTCGCTATCGGTTGAACTGTCACCAGCGACCAAGACCATTTTCACGTGACCTAGTCGCCAAGGAGCAACCCAGCAGGGGGGCTTGGCTCGCGAGTTCCAAACATTCAGCTTGTCAACATGTCAACTACAGAGCACAAATGCACGCTACACGAATTTCCCTAGAACATCAATACTAGGGACACAGAAAACGGCGCGGGCAGTACGACGCTCACGGCTTGTGGTTCTGCGATCTGTAGTCCAATTTCGACTTCTAATCATTCCTCGGCCACTTTATCTCTCATTCAGGAATCAATAACCCATGGGTTTATGTGAATCGTGGTCCATCACATGGACGCACAACGCCTACGATGAGGCTCACTGGAAGCCTGGCGAGGAGCCTCGACGACGTCGGCTACGCATCATTGCACGTTCTTCTCCCTCACAGTGGCACATCGCGATCACCTTCGAAGGTTCATTGCACCCAGACAGGATTGCTCGAGTGAATAGAAAACAGAGGCGGCAGGACCTCGAGGATCTTTGTTCTTGTCTCGACCTAAACCATCTGCAACTCCTAGACGATACTGTTACGGAGCTGCTCATCAAGCGCGAGCACGACACCACTCCACCCTACTACGAGAATGATATCGCCTTTCCTGACCTCAATCTTCCATTGAGAAAGATGCCACGTACCGACAGCGAGTATCATTCAATCGTTGCTCATCTGCAGCTTTGCGTACGAGAAGATCCGTTCCGCGTGCAGTTTCCGCTAGTTGATTGTGCTACCGGCATCCCGACTGAAGAATATTCGAAAATTACTAAAATACGCGAACTAAGCGCCGGTGTACATGAGGTACGCATCACAGGTTGTGACACCAAACCTTATATTTATAAGGAAGTAGATAGGCCATTCTACACCCCAAGAGACAGTGCAGTTTTGGATCAGGAATTGCTGAATCTGGAAAAGTTTCGTGGAGTCAAGAATGTCACACAGCTGGTTGCTGCCATCATTTCCTCAAACCCGTATCAAACCGCTCAAGCCAGCGAAGTCGATTCTCGCAAGGAAACCGAAGTCACCAAGGCCATGAGCCTACATAACTCAGTCTTCTCACGAGGCATCCTTCTTGAATACTATTCAAATGGTACATTAGAAGAAATGCTGAAGAATGCACAGGATGCTTCACTGTCGGTAGCTCGGCCCTGGCTGAAGTGGGCATTTCAAATCGCGAATGCACTGGCATGCCTGCATGGACAGGGTGTAGCGCATATAGATATCAAGCCATCAAACATTCTCATCAGCGCGAGCGACGACGCTGTGCTGACGGATGTGAGTGGAGTCGGGGGCGTCACTCGAGAATGGCTAGCTCCTGAGATGCTTGATGTGCTAGACCCATTGTCTGAGAGAATGGGCTCACGAATGCGGAACGACGTATGGGCGCTTGGGAGGCTTTTGATACAAATGGCAAATGCTTCTTGTATTGGAAAAAAGCAACTCAATTGCATTGGAGTCAGCGCTACCATGGAGGACCCCTCCTTACGTCCCTCTGCTCAAAGCCTAGTCTCCGCTCTATTCGAACTCGGCACTTGAGTCATGATAACTAGTATAAGCTCCAATCTATATCTCCCGAGTTAAAGCCGCCATCTATGCGGTCGCCTGTTTTGGTGTTGGTCGTGATATATCTTGCTCTAGATATAGAAGCTTACCTGGACCTTCGCGACAAATTCCAGGCTTCTTGTTGCACCTAGAAATATAATATAGACCACCAGTAGTCTTAGAGTCTTCTAAACCGCTGCTGCACGGTTCTTCGGCTTTCTTTGCCTTCTCGCAAGGTTGCAATAGAGTCTTCTTATAATGCCCGCAGGAGTGGACGCGCGTTTGGAATTTGCACATATTCTCGGCTAAGAATGACGATTATGACGAAGTTGGAGAGTAAATTCAATTGAATTAAGAGTTGTAACCGGAGGGTAGGTTAAGAATTATGTTAATAGTATCTTCTTATACGAACTAGATGCTGATTTAAGTTATTGTTTAGTCTGCAGTAGAATGCAGAAGTTAAGGGCCGACGTATGCAACTACACGTTTTGAGCGTGCATATCTTTTGTAGGTAGCAACGAGTTTTTCACATCTAAAGCTTATGCGCTGCAGCTGCAGGGGCACTCGTCGGGACGGTTGCAGAATCAGGTCCGGAGGGACAGCCATCCAGAGCAGTGACCCCTGCTGCAGCCAAAAGCTGGCGCCCAAGCATTCAGAAGGTCGACCACCTATATCCTCTCGATCCAGTCGTTTAACTTCATTGCAATAACTCTGCCCGCAATGTGCGACACACACAACGGATATGCACGTGATTTCTTATATTGTAAGCTTTGACAGTTTGACTTCGGACAAGGCTCTTTATATGGAAATGGAAAGTTTTCGGGAGCAGCAACACAACTTTGATGGAAAATTTCTTAACTACTGTTTTGGACATAGTCAATGTATAACCACAAGAACCTGATTGGTCCATTGATGGCATTGGGAGAATACTGCGCGACGCTTCGTATCAAGCCTAATCTTTAGATCTACTCGCCGTGCACCCAAGAACCCTCCCTCTTCAGCTTGTTCCGCTTTTCTTCCCTGACTCTAGCCACCCATGCTTCCACACCAGCAACAGCACTTTCAGGAGATTTCCTATGCTCTAGCAAAAGCGAGAGAACTTCAGACTGTGTAATTTGTATTCTTAATCCTATCTGTAATGCACATGTAGTGGGAGCCCTAATGATCTTGGCGTAAGTTACACATGAATTCGCCAACTAGACTGCTCCCTTGGACCTCAGATTGTGTATTGTTGTAAGTACCAGTTGAAGTATCGGGCGCCGTAAGTTGGAGTCTTTTGGCTAATTTGTCCCCGGTCATACGAGACTCTCTTTTCAGAGAAGGGACCACAGCAGCAGGAGACAACGGCGGTGGTGGTGGAACCCGCCATGTTGAGGCAAGATATATTTAGGCGAATTGACCTCCACTTTCCAAATCAGGCATGCAAAAAGGGGGCTTGGCACGGACGATTGGCTGAAATTGTCGTTCGCAGAAGCACTTATCCGTGAACTGCGCATTCGCAACCCATCACGCAGGAAATCTAATGAAAGGAGAAGGTTCATACAGCTCTAAACTTGGGGCAGGGGACGTTTATGTCTTAAACTATGGACAGGGTATAGGGCATTATTTGATTCCTACAGCCCCTCTAGGTTACACCATTTCGTCCTGCAGACGATTCAAATTACGAAATGCTAGGTGATTGAAGAATCTCCCATCTAAGGGTGTAATATCTTACAAAGACCACAACATAAAGGCCCAGACGGCATGGATTTGGAGTCTGAAACGTTTGTACATCGCAATACACTACCTTTAAGCTTCTCTGTACAGCCTGACGATACGAGGTAATGAATGCTGCGGAATCTCTCCATTGGTAGAACACAGAGCAAACCTAAGCGCGAAATAAACTCGTAGTGATAGGAAGCAATTGATTCATGCCTTGATAAAACGACGACGAGTGATGCTTTCTGAGAGGTCAGGGCCCATTGCCTGTTGATGTTTCACATGGGCCATAGCCAACCCGAGCATTCAATTGTGGAACTTGAAACCTTGAAACCCAGAACTCAATACATACCGTCATGGTAATCAATCATATCTTTGTCAGCTCAAGCTAAGCCCTTTGTGTTGTGTACAATCTCACGAAGCGTCAGCAGCTATTGCTTGCAGGAGTTGCTTCGAGCCACCACGTGGCCTTTATCGATCTATGGTGCATTAGTCCCGCGATGCAAACAGATCTCATTCTACATACATGCACGACCACCGCCTCGCGAGTGATTCGACGGACCTATTTATTCGCCCTAGAAGCTACCTGCTGGAGAGTACGTACATACCGCCGCAACCCCATACACCACCACGACCACAAGACTTGCATCCCCAAGGAATCCGAGGCCAGTCGATGCGGTTCATTTCCGAGCTGCGTTATCAATCAGCCCCCTTTTTTCAAAACGGCGACTCCTCGAGTCCACTGCGACATTCTCTCGTGGCCCCTTGGCCGTATGCTGGAGATGGAAGGGTGGGCTGATTGCGCAAGCGTCTGATTCATGGCTCCAGCTCCATGTCTCCTGCTGTCCGCATTGGCTATGGCCGTGGTGAGCTTGGAAATGCGGGTTTCGACAGCCAATGGCCAGTCTGGCAGCAGCGCGGAGGCGCCTATATCAAGGAATCGGTCCTATCCGCAGGGAGAGACCCCTCCTTCCTCCTGCAGTGATAGCCCGTCAATCCCATCCTGCAGCGCCGTGCGCCCAGGAGGTGTAATCATCATCGCCGACCTCATCCACGGCGACCCCAGGCCTGCAGCGGCGCTCTTCTTTCCGCACAGTCTCCCACCTGAAACAGCGGTGCACGTCGAGACGCAGCCCCGCGGCAGTTGGCGCCCATTCGCTCCCGTGGCTCCCGCTGGTGCAGACAGAGGCGTTCGCTGTGATCAGCCCTTAGCCTTCCAGAACGTCTGGCTGTTCCTTGCTGACTGGCCGAATCGGACGACAGATCAAGCCTCCGCTGCTGGGGCTGGCTGTGTGACGGCCTTCCCGAGCGTCTGCTGTCACCACTGCTGCACATCACTTGGCTTCAATTGTTCCTCCCATCCTCCAACCACGCCGCGCATCTGCCAGCATCCGCTTCGAGGCCCTCTCGATGAAACTATACGCTGAAGCGTAGGCTCGGTTTCCCTCTCCAGAAGCGCATGCGCGCTTTGGCGCAAGGATGCAGCCGGGTGGCGTGGGGGAGCCTTCCGACTTTCCATCCGCGACTCTCTTCGATGATTCTATCTACCAGCGCGAGGCTCTGTCGCTTCCAGAAAGCAAAAATGAGGATGACTTAGACCAAGAAATACTCGAGGAAGCTCAGCAGCTTGGTATTGCCGTCAGCCAGTACCTAGCGCCAGATCCACACGATATATCAACTGCCTTGTCCACCTTCACCGTCTCGAGCGAGCCCAGGTCTTCCATGTCAGTCCGGTCACACGAATCTCACTCTACAGGATTTACTTCGGATCCTTCCCGAAACTCAAAAGACCAATGCGTAGAAAATCACCCTGCTAGCCCCAGTTTTGCCCCGCCACGAAGCTCTATATCGATTGAGAACCGCGGTTTTTCAGTAGACGGACCCCGCCCGGCCATGCGCCATGCCCACTCGTCCTCTACCACGTCTAAAGCAGGGTCAACTCGCTCCCTATTGTTGGTTTCGGAGAGCCCTGGCTTGAAGCGACGGCGAGGATCCAGCTTGCTCTCCATGTTCCGCCGAGAGTCACAGTAAGTAGCCATTGTGTCCACATCTATACATGAAACTAATCCATAGACAATGCAGCTCCTGCTCGGCCCGTGTTCGCCACAGCCATCATGTAAATCCATTCACGCCACGCCTTCTGTGCGGTCATAGTCTGACGAAGTACGCGATTCGAATACATGTCCAAGACGCCCTCGAACGCCACGACCACGCCCCACCTAGTTGCTGTGGAAGGCCTCTGCCAAGACCAGCGTTGGAAATGGCATTGACCGAGGCAGAACTGGACAGCCTCGCAAAAGCGCTACCATTATCAGGTGAAGCTGAAACCGGAATCCATACCAAAGCAAGCGAGGAGAGCGCAGTTGAGTTCACAAGCCAAGCAGAATCGCAATCTCTGGTATCTCCTGCCGAAAGTGGACCACCCAGTCCCAGTCACCCTGTAAAGACGCCAGAAGAATGCGCACGGCTAGAGAAGGCTATGGAGGACGAACGATTTAGGGCATTGCGAACCCTGCAGACAGAGCAGCTTAACAAGATCGTGTCGTTCGAGGCCAGACAGAGACAGGCCCTGCTATTATACTATGAACAGTCAAGGTCCAAACTATCGTCTGCCTTGGCGCGCAACAAAGCAGAGAGAACCAACCAGGTGGGCCGTTCGTGCTCGTGTGTTTGTTCGAGGCTAACCGTCGCAGCATGCACAACATCTAGAGCAGCTTGAAGAGATGCAAGTTGCAGCAGAGCATGATTTACGTAGAGCCCAGGTGCAAGAGAACCAGAATATGGCTACTGCACTAAAATATATGGAGGCGTACTGCAATGGCCCGAACAGTTCCGAACATACTGTATCTGAAGAAGATCGGAAGAAGTTGAAGCGACAGCACGTCGTCCAAGACAGCCTTCCACGCAAGCATGACAGCGCCATCAATGTCTTACGTTCGAAGCAAGAGAAGGACGTGAAGGTGCAAATACACAACCAGCACACCGAGCTTGTGCAGATGGACCTCGACTTTGAGAAGGAGATGGAGCAGCTTGAGATGAAGTTCCACAAAGACTCGAGTAAGCTGGACGTCCTAGCCGAGGTCCGACGAGGCAAGGCAATTGCTCGGTGGGACCTCAAGGTGGAAATCTGGAGGAGGCAGTTTGAGAAGCAACAAGAGACGTGTTTTGATGGTTCTATTCCGCATCCCGACTGGCCCGCGACCCCAACAGAAGAACCGGCAGGCGACACTACTGCCTTAGCGCCTTATTTCCAACTCCAGCATCACAGTGCGGCAGCGACTTGATTTACTAAGATTTTTGTTTCGGGGGTCCCAGCATTCTCGACCTCCCATTTCGTCCTTGCATAGCGCGGAGTTGCGGCATGTTTCTCTGCATACGTAGCGGTTTTCCTTCTTGTCAATATACCCGGTGGAATTGGATATGTATGAAGTGGGCCTATTGGTCGGGCGGGAGTATAGCTGCCGAGGGAGTGTTCGCTGGTTTAGAAAATTTAATTGAGAGGGTGCTCTTCGACTATCTTCGACCTATAACCAACAAATAGCTAAGTCTTTTAATCAGTATTTTTGGGTAATGAGGGGCTTGATAGCAAGCAGATGTCGAACTACCGCTTGAAGCCAGCATCATTGTTTGCTCGTCGCGTGTGAAATCTCACGAACTTGAATTTGTAGTATCTAAAATCATAGACGTGATAATGTATACAGTATGTAGAAGGATGAGATGACCCTGGGTCCCCTTTTCGTACTGACGTACCGGATGAGATGACGATGGACTGAGAGAGGCTGTGCTCAGCCACAACTAGACTATAAACTCCCTTGGAAGACTGAAGGGGGCCAAAGCTTGCCTAGCACTTCGAGCGTGGCGTTACCTGCTGGCGACAACGCATGCTGCTTTTCTTACACCTCATTGTACATACATACCCGGCAGCGACCGTCGATTGCCTCATCCTTTTCTTTCCTTCGGCTGCCTCTTGCTTTCAAGTAGTTGTCGAGGTCAGCTGCAGGGTTGCAGATCGTCGCCAACACCAAACCGCATCAACCGCCCTCCGCAGCCTCCTTCTCCATCACTGCCCAAGGGCGTCAAGGGCCCCAATCTGGTCTTTCAGTGTGTCCCATTGTCATCGACCAAAACTCACCGCGGGCCTCGAGCATCGTCACCTTCGCGACACGGCCGCTTTGCTGTCACTCCCTCGGTTTATGCGCGCCGCGCCGCCGCAGCCCTCGGGGCATCGCCTCTCCACATCTCCCCGTCTAGGAGAAGCGGCAGTGTCTTTCGCAAAGCCTCGAAAGACACCGACGTAGTAATCGCGGTATAATGTCTCGGCCATACCAATTCGCCGAGGAAAAGTCGACGAGGTCGCCGCTGTAAGAATGTCGTCTGCCAGCCTCACCTATCATTTGGCTAACCCATCTCCAGAGATCGACCCCAGCAAAACCTGTATCCTGCGGGCCAGCCTCCTTCGTTCAAAACAAACGTGAACCGCGCGAAGACAAAGCGATGGGTTGAGGCAAAAGCGGTCTCGTACGGTGGAGACGATTGGGGCGATTACGATGAATACGATGAGTATGGCGCGGATGAGCCGCCTCCTGCTCCTCCATCCAACCCGTCCGTACCTACTGGATTGCGGCAGAAGGGACAAAGCGCTGCAGAGGCCGGAAGGAGCTTCACAGATCCTCAGCCCCCGCGCCAGCCGTCCATACCTCGGAAAAACTCCTTCGATGCGGGCGATGAAAGGAGGGCTTTTTCTTCAGCAGCTCCTCAGGGCTTTTCAACAACTTCACCTATTGATGCGAGCGCAGCGGGCAGGAATGGCGGTTTTGGCGAAGCTGCTCCTTTGCAGAATCAGCAATACGCAGCACGCACCGTTGCGCAGCCACAGCCAATTAATACACAGGTGCCGCCTGGAAGCCGACAACCAAGTGCTTCTCAATCCGAAATCAGCGACACCCCTCAGCATCGTCGAGATTTCTCCCCTTCAGCTTTACCGCCCCCTCTCCACACGAGGGCGTCTCCTGCGCCAGGCAGTGCCCCTGCATCACCAGCAGGAGCACGCTTTCCGCCTCGGAAAAGCAGTATAAGTAACCCTTCGCCTTCTGAAGCACTCGGCCCACAGTTCCCAGCCAATGTGACCACCAGTGCTTCCGCCCAGTCACTACGAGGCCGCACACCGAGTAATCCGACAAAGCCGCTCCCATTTATCAGGCCTGCAGACATATACAAACGAGTGGAAGAGGAGCGTGTAAAGGAGCGCCAGTCCCTAGACTCAGGGCGACCTAGTCTAGACTCCTTGTCCTCGCGGCCTACAGAGGAGCCAACAGCAGGCCGCGGTCTACGGGAGCGCGGGAGTGCTGAGAGCTTAGGTAAAACCGGGAGGCGGCCAAGCATGGAGCGTGGTGGTGAGGCCGGTGAATCTGGTCGATCGCTCCAGCCGCTGGAGCCAGTTGTGGAGCGGAAGAGTGAGTACCTCCCTGACTTCAACCTTGCTAGTCAAGGTCCGCAATCATCGTATTCTACGGCGCAGCAGAGGCCTGCGGTTCAAACTTACCAGCCCATTGCCTTACCTGAGGTGCAAAGAATGTCAGGGTTTGCCGACGATTTCTCGCCCAGATACTTCGCCCCCGACTCTGCATCTTTGCAAACCGCGCCTGGTCTGCCTCCCCAGCAAGCGACCATGGGTGGCGATCCAAGTCTTCGCTCCATGGTTGACCAGGCATTCACCCGGAACGACGATAATTCTATTCCTCCCACACCAGTATCAAAGCAAGACACGTACTCGCAGTCAGGAGACGGAGTATCCAGGAGCAACACTGAAAGCTCCTATGGAATAAGCCCCATAATGAGTCGCGTGCCAAGTTCTGCCACTTCAGCTTTGAAGGCTAAGAACGTGGGTGGTGCTGAAACTTCGACTCCGGCAATTGCAGAAGAGACTAGCGAGACAAGTACGCCAACTTCAAGGCCTCCCTCAGGGGCAATGCTTGGAGGCGGGTATAAAGTCAACAGAAAACCGTCGCCTGCTCATTCTCGGAACGTTTCTTCTGGATCGCTAGTAGGCACTCCTCCACACCAGACGGGTCTGCACACACCAAGTCCTGCAGAGAGTCCAGCCAGGTCGCCAGCCATTGAAGCTCAGAAGGCGATACCAGAGCCTGAAGCCGCTGTTCTCAGTACACTGAACCCACTGCCTCTAGGAAATCCTAATGGCAATGAAAACAGCGTGCTGCCGAACTATGCGACTAGGGAGGCTGATATCGCCACCGTCGCGAAGAGAAACCCAGAAAACACTGACTTGGCGTTGGGTGAGGCGGCGAACGAGTCTCAACGAGCGTTCCTCGAGTCTCATCAAGGTGTCACCTCTGACTTAGAACGAGCCCCGCGGTCTCGATCAGAGTCCCCTAGCAAAGGAAGGGTTCAAGAACTTGCCGGAAAGTTCGACGGCATATCCGATTCGCGCCGAGGCTCTACCCATTCGAGCATCGCATCATGGGAGCGAAGTCAGGAAGACTTGCCCATCACGGTTTCGGCCATCAAAAGCAAACCCAACACTCGTGACTCCAGTCCAGTGAAGGCGCCCTTGTCACTACGCCCGACTGCGGACCGTGAGCCCAGTTTCAGACCTAAATTGCCCGGTCGATGGGAGTCATACGCTACAACTGTACCAACACCACTGGAGGAGCCCAGCAAAGATCGCCAATTGGGCGGGACTTTTGCACAATCTGCTGCAGATGTGGAGCAGAAGAATGATAGGAATGAAGAGGTTGATCTGACGCCGACTACGCAGCGGCGTTCTGCTTCTCCACACAAATCCGATGCTCTCGCTGCTTTACAAGCTGCTGGAAACGCGATGGGTGAAGCCATCAAGGCGTCCGTCGGGTTGGGAACAAGCGACGCAGAAACGGGCAATACGACCTCGAAGGCCCCCCCTGGAAACGTTTTCCTGCGCCCATTGCAGCTCGATAGGACTGTCTCTTCGGCAGAATCGAGCAATCCACCATCACCTCCTCCAAAGGATGGTTCTTTTGAGGACCTGACCCCTGGATCGCACGAAATGACTCCGACGAGGCCATCCATGCTGCCGCAGCTTAGCACAGATCCTTCTGCTCACGATTTGGAAAGTGACAAGCTGAGAAAAGAAATTGTTAGGAGTCTCAGCCCACTAAAGCAGTCTGACTCGTCTCTCCAGCCTGGTGCGCCGAGTCTGAACAATCGAGAAAGCTCGATTCTGCCAAGTGAATATGAGAGCTATTGGGCCGATGGAAACCCGGACAAGGACGTTGCTCGGCAATCTGTGGTGCAGCCAAGTCATGAACTTGGAGCAGTACTAGCCCCCTCGGCTGGACAAAGCACTCCAGAACCAAGGCCTGGTCTTCTGGACAACCGATTCAGCTGGGAACGATCAGCCGAGGCGGGCCCTCAGATCTCAAATGCACCCACGATGCCGACTTCGCAGGCAGACACCGTTGCGAGTCCCTCTACGGCGCGTGCCGACGTTGAATCACCACACGAGGAGTCTTATGCTGGAGTTCCCGAGCCATACTTTGGCCCTGGTCATGCGACTTCGGGCGCACAAATTGTCCCGCAAATAGCGGAGCCGGAAGCAAAGCCTGAGAGTAAGAGTCTGCTCGGCCAGGCTGAAGTAAACAAGAAGGCGGAAAGTCCGGTCCACTATGAGGCTAACGAACTGACCTCGCCTGTCTCACCAAACAGGCCTTCTTCATCCGAAGGACTACACGTCGTGAACTCTGCAGTCGATCCCGAGGCCGTAGATATGCCTCCGCGGCTAGCTGAGGAGGTGGCAGAAGAAAAGGAAGCGCAGCAAAAGTCCGCAGAAGCTCAGCAAGCGCCGAAGCCAACTTCCCACGAGGCTCCGCTGGGTCCACGCCCACCGACAGCTAAGAGTCCACAGCCTATTTCTCCTTCGGGCAAGCCTCTGGGATTTCGAGAAATCCTTGCAATCAGATCTGCCCCGGATCGTATCGCCACCTACAACAGAACACGGGATTACTGGGCAACCACAGATCATAGCTTACATGAATGGATGACGAAGACACTGGCGGCAAACCCTGAACATGCTTCCTTGTCCAGTCTGACGTCGCGGCCGACCATGGCGACTCCAGCTTCAGGTTCTCTGCGTCATAGGCCTACTGCGTCAATTTCACTTTTCGGCAAAAGCACATCATCCAGCGCACCGCAGCCAGCAACTCCATATTACGAGCAGTATAACGCGGCTGCATCTCAGCTGCCGCTTGGCGTCCCACCTACTACTCCTGGCGGTACGCCTTCCCAGCAGACCCCATCAACTGGCGGAGCAGGGACCAGAATTACTAGTCACCAACTTGAAAAGAAGGGCAAAGACTTGTTGCATACTGCTGGGATTTTTGGAGGCAAGGCAACTACGGGAGCAAAGGGACTATTTGCGAAAGGCAAGAGCCGCTTCAAGTCGAGCGGATCAGACAAGGTAGATCATTGATTTCTATTGCCGTGTCTTCATTTCTATTCTAGATTGCAGTGTCGGGTGACGAATCACGCGATGGCGGCTTCAGGGTAGGAAGGGCTTTCGAGAGTCGCTGACCGCTCCTGAGCCGTCGTCGTTTCTTCAATTCCTTTACCTTTTAAATTCCTCTGGGCGTTTTGTCTGCTTACGAATGCTTATCCTGCGAAACTGTATGTCAATGGCCTCACGACCCCGTCATGATTGTGCACACTATCTCATGGGAGACTAGGGCCATGTACAGCTCTTTTCATAATCACAATGCTAATTTATTCTTGTCTCCTTGAACTTTCCCACTGTGAACACGTGTTGATGTTTGTGTGATGTAGGCTTCCCGATCATCCATCTCGTCGGCTCCCACCTCACGCGAGCCCTCTGAAGAGCCCCCGGAATGGGTTACGGCACCCAACCAGTTCGAATACGGAAGGAGCTCGGTCGATCAGGGTGATCCCAAGGACAAGAAACGAAGACTCTCCTCTCCATTCCGGCGCTCGCGGTCACGGCCTTCAAGCACCGTGCTACCCAAAAATCAACATATCGATCTTTCCAATGGCTCCATCCACTCCAGGGACACGCCGCCGAGAGAGACTCCACCTACGGAAGGTAGTCGTCCTCAGTCCTACGCTGCGCCCGAATCATGGGCTACGCATGATCCGCATTCGCAGCACATTTCATGGAACAACCAGGAACGGCATTCGCAGCACGATGTCAACATGACTCCCCCTCGGAACTTGGGCGCGCCTGACAGGCTCGGCGTTCTTCCCTCGCCTGCGAAAAGTGCTTTCTCCCTGGCGCAGGCTGAAAGAGACGGCGAGGTGCCCCCCGTACCTCCGATACCCAGCGATATGGAGAGTTGGCAGCAGCAGCACGAGCGGGAACGGGAGATCCAATCTCATCGCAATCTCCAGTCCGTGATTAGACACTCAACTCCTCTAGTGTCGGATGCTCTGCGAACACAGAGTACGGACCTTGCGCCTTCTCAACAGCCCCTGGATCGACAATCAGAACAAACTGTTGGACAACAGGCTGACACTCGTGCTGCGAACGGGAAGGAAGAGCCGTCCTGGCCACTCGTGTCGAACACACCGATTCCTGATAAGACGGACTCACTCCCACCAGCTCCAATGAGTAGACAGGTGCAGTCATATGATGAAGATGACAAGCCACCGCAGCTTGGTCATGACCTATTTCCTACTTCAACGGCAGTCCTCGGAAACGTGCAAGCAGAAGAAGTCGACGGCAACGATAGACCGCCGCAGCTTCATCATGAGGCCTTCCCCGCATCAGCGCCGGCGGAGCAAATACGTCAACCAGTGGACGTTTCCCCCACATCTGGACCACAAGCGTCTGATCACGGCGATATCTCGCCCGTCGTATCCTCAGATGATCACGACGCCTCGGACGATGATGACAGAGCACCCCCGCCTTTAGATCTAGGGTTCCTCTCTAAGAACTCGCAGCCTACAAGGGACCGCCTAGGAGATATAAGTCCCGTTGTTGCGGCTCGTCAAACAGGCTTCGCTAGTGACCAAGGCCCAGTTGTCGTTCGGTCAAATGTGAACGAAGACACGTCGACTCCGGCAATGCGCCCGGCCTACGAGACGGAGCAGATTGGCGTTGGCGACGTGTCTCCCGTGTCTTCGCATGGCAATAATTTTGCTGGAACGGCGGCTGATGATTCTACGCCGACTAAAGCGGGTGTTGGGCCGTCAGACGGTCGTCCCGCTGTCATTGACGCCAACACTATCGCGCCAAAGCCATCCAGTGCCTCTAATGCGGCCGCTGTCGCAGACATAACGTATAAGAGTGAAGATGACTACGAGCCGTCTAGGTCCTCGTTGGACTCATGGGAGAACGGCAGCGTCGTAGAGCAGCTGTCTCTCCGCGACGATCGCCCTTCTGCTGGCAGGCATCACTCTCAAGAGGGAGTTGCGACAGCTGTGACTCCGCAGTCCGCTAAAACCGTGCAGGTTGGAAGTTACTTCAGACCTCGCGCAGGCGAGCAAACGCAGGTGATCGTACAGCAAGCCGCGCAGACTGTACCGCAACACGAACGACGTGCTCCTCAGACTGTAGGTCGGGAGGTACCGCAACTCAGTCAAATCTCAGGGCTTACTGAGACCCATAAGCGCTCTCAATCTCTGCTCTCAACAATCTCCAAAGCGGTCTCTGCGGAGGGCGCTGCAGACTCGCCCGTGTCCGATTTTTCAGGGAAGGCGGCAGATATACCCCTTCAACCGCAGATACTGCATGTTCCTACGCAACAAAACAATAGCGAACATCTCTCTCCAATCCACGACGACGGCTTCGACCTATATGCCGACCATAACGGCATCGTCAAGGATCTACATGACGAGCGAACTGGTGAAGCAGTGAGGATTATGCCTCCTATGCCCTCCGCCCCCCTTCCACAACCACCTGTACAACAACAACCTCCTCCTGTTTCCATTCCCTCTTTGGAGCAAGAACCCCTTCGTAGTGCGGAGTCGCCTGTAACCTGGCGAGGAGGGCACATGGGGTCAAGGCCGATGAGTTTTGTTTCTCTGCCACGAGATGCGAAGGGCAGACCGCAAGAGCAGATTAACCGCGAGATACACCCCGAAGAAGGCGAAAGAGATTTAGTACCTGAGCAGCCAGGGTCGCCGCAGGCGCCCGCTTCAGTGCCGCAGACTTTGGCTTCGTCTCCGACACCGCGGAGGCCCCAGGAGGAGATCGGGCATGCGGCACCTCCTTTGGGTCCACCAGCTCCAGGCTTTGCACCCCCTCTAGTAGCCTTGGGTGCCGCTAAAGCAGTAGGACGAGGTTTGACTGACGGTGAGAGACAACCACAGGCCATTGCTCCGTCGCAACCAATTGCGCCAATACAAGGCCAGCAGGGTCCTACTCAAGGTTATAGCGGCCAACCATCACCACCGCCACAGCAGCAGGCTGTGGGACAACTGTCTCCTCAGGGACAGCCTGTACAAAATCCTAGCAGGCACGATCCTATAGCGCAAGATCCGAGACTACAGGACCCGCGATTGTTGTATGATCCCGAGGCACAACAGTCACAGACGCAAGATCCCCGAATGCAAGACCCTCGGATTCATGACCTCAGCTTGCAGAACGGAAACCCAAGGAATCAAGCCCCACGAGGTCAAGCTGTGGGACCTATGGGACCCGGGCAGCCAATATTCCGTGACCCACGACAGCAGGGTACTACCCAAGATCAACTTTACTCCCCTCAAGACCCAAGGCTGCAAGGCCGTACGCCCGTTCAACCACTGCCCCAGGACCCTCGGATTCAAGGGGTCCGTTTTCCCCCTCCACGAAATGAATATGAGGCCCAACAGCAGATGATGGTTCGCCAGGCCATGGATCCTCGTCTTCTCGGCGTAGAGTACCAACTGCCTGGAGTAGGACCACCTGTCCGAGAAGGCCAGGCCAACGTACCAGATGCCGGACGTCCTAAGCTTGGATCAGTTTTCAAGAAACTTGGTAGTCGACAAACGCCGCCTCCTGCACAGGCAGCTCCAAACAATCGTATAAACCCCCAGCTCACTTCTCCAGACGATCAACACCGTGCCTTCTCATACCAGTCTAGCGTAGGAGATCTACCGACTGAACAAATGAAGGATAAGAAGAAAGAGCGCAAATCAGGCATCTTCAGTACATCGAATAGTCGTCCTCAGAGTGTTGGGACCGCGTCGCAATTCAGTCAAGAGAGCCGGGTCGCGCATGCCGCAGATTCTCGCGTGGATTTGAGGTATCCAACGAGCCCAGCACCGTTTAAAGGCATCCCTCCACAGGTCCCACCTCCAGGCGTGCCGCAACCTCCTAAGCCTCAGCCGCACCGAGCGTCCACTTCCATCGTTCCAGATGGTGGGAAGAAGAGACGGTTTTCTGGTCTTGGAAGCTTGTTTGGAAGGCATGGATCGACGGGTCACGTTCCGCCTACGAAGCCCCAAAAGCTATCAAAGGAGGAAAAGAAGAAGCAAAAAGCTACTGTTCAACAACCTCAGCAACTTCAGAATCCTACTCAAGGCTACCAACAACCTATTCAAGGTTATGGACAACCGCCAGTATTTCAACAGCAATATGCGCCTCAACAGCCGCGAGCTGGTCCTGGGATGCTACCCCCACAGGGAGCTCAGCAGCAGTATATACCTCCTCCACAACAGGGGCTGCCTCTACAATATCAAGTTCCTCAAGGAGCTCAAGGATACGGCCCTCAGCGCACAGGCATACAGCCACCACCAGGAACTCAGGGATACGGAATGCCTGTTCAGCAGTATTACGGACAGCCTCTGAATCCCTCGGAAGCATATAGACAACCACAATCTCCACCATCTGCCCAGAGAGGCCAGCAAGCCCATCCTTTCTCACCTCAGGCTTCCTCAGGACCACAACAATATCCAAGCGCATATGGGGAGACTAGACTAATTGCTCAATCTGCTACCCAGCAAACCCCTAGCTTTTCGCCTTCTGTGTCTCCTGTCCCTCCTCAACAGTTGAGACAAATGAGCCCCCAGAACCCACACCCTGGCCCTCCGCCAACAAATCCCTCATTTGAGCATACTGTAGGACGGATCAATGAGGAGGGTGATACCCCTCCGCCTGGTGGCTTTTATGCCCCGGGCCGCTTTTCCCATGGCCATGGAAACGTCGGTTATGGAGCGATTGCCCAGGAAGCTGCTACATCCCCTCATCTCCAAGATCAACGTCGTGTTTCGTCCCCATCATCAGTTAGTGGCTCGACGAATGGCTTATCTTCTCCAGTATCTCAACGTAGTGTCAGCTCCCCGATTTCTGAGCCACGTTACGAGACACCTCAAATCCCTGCAGCATACAGCAATGGTGCCACTAGATATGCTGATCCCACATCTCGCACGCCGAGCCTTCCAAATCAATTAGCAACCACAGCGCGGAAGTCGTCCTCTCCTTCGCCTTATAATGGCCCTGTCCGACAATACTCTGACCCCCACAGGCCTGCTATGGGGTCTCCTCAGGTGTCAGGCCAATCGCAGTATGATTCCGCTGGAGATCATCGCGAATCGTCTTCTCCGCGAGTGGTCTCACCAGTATCCAACCCCTCGCCGGGAATGCCGCCTCAACAGGTCCAGCAACGGAAGAGTCCAGGTCCCAGGATGGGGAGTATCTCGGAAGCAACACGTAGCCATCAGGAGCGCCCTTATAATATAAGTCTTCCCATTGATGAAGGCGCAGAAAATGAGGCTGCATACATAAAGCACCAGCAGATGCTACACCAGCAAATGGAAGCAGAGAATCAAGCTCAGGCAATGAGAAGCCGGAACAGCCCGTCTCCCCATCCACTCCAAGAGTACGACGGGCCTACCAGTATTCAAGGCACAACAGGACCACCCCTCGCAGGGTTTCGTGAGGTACTGCCGAGACATTCGCCGCAACCCTATCAAATACCTCCCCCTCAACAGCCGCGCTCAACTTCTCACCCACAACAAATGCAACTTCAACAACATCCCCATTCGCGAACACCAGAACCAGCTCAGCCCGCACCCATCCGCCCCTCTCAGCTTCAAGCCAGTGGATCAGTGCAACCAGCAGCGTTTCCGCTACCAAAGTCGCCAGATCCAGCAAACGCAGCAAGCCCAGTCAATCCTATCACGGCTATGCTACCTCCGCCGGCTCCCCCAAAATCGCCACATGGTGAATTCGTACCCCACCATCCCATCGACGTCGCAGCCGATGAAGCGCCCCCTTCATACTCCACTCACGAGCGGCCAGACCAAGCCTTCAATGACGAGAAAGCCGACCCGGCCCAATCACCAACACTGCAACCACCGTCGCCGCAGATGCCGCCACCGTCGCATATTCCTACGCCTCAAATACCCCAGCATCGGATACCCCCGCCGCAACAAGAGTACGTCACCGGGGATGGCCCGAACGAGCGCGGACGGAAACCCTCCCTCTCCATCCTCCAGCATCCCCAACCCTCCACCATGGCAGCCTCGCCGGCGCGTTCCTCCACCGACATGGGCTCTGCGATCTTGCGCCAGCGCCTCCTCGAGCAGGAAGAACGCGAGCGTGTCGAGCGGCTGCAGAAATCTGAGCTCCAGCGCGTGGAGAGCGAACGAGAACGCGCGGAGCGGGACCGTGCGAGGGCTAGAGCTAGGGAACTGGAGCGGAGCCGAGGGAGCATGAGGGGTTATGCTTTAGGTTCGACAGGTTCGAGTGGGCAGAGACCCGTCGCGTTTGAGCTTAGTGCGGAAGAGGATGAGCCCATTATGCGGGGAGTAAGTTATCCAGGTATGGAGTGGACGCCGGCTTGGGAGGGGGATTGAAGAAGTTTGCTTTGATGGGTGAAAATTAAGCCAAAGGGTGCAAGTCGTGTTGGTTTCTTTTAATTTGTAGATTTGTACAGGATGTTGATGGGGAGTGTATAGTAAGATCCCATCACGAGTGCCATTTCTGTTCATGTCTTCTTTTCTTCTTGACTCCTCAGCATTGCTCGAGCTCTTAGTCTTTTTGTCCATTTCTCTCAGTCGATCGGGATTTTGTTTCTTTTTTGAAAGTGGATTTGAGCGATCGCGCACCTCTTTACTGGATACCCTCGTCGTGTTCTGAGGCTCTTATCGTGGATGATGAGACAGCTCTTCATAATGTTTTTAGGGAAATACCACACATCGATCTTTCCCGTCTCGTTCCAATTCTCGTATTTAGTTTCATCTGCTGCATTTGACCACCGCCATACGTGTTCATTCATCCATCATCGTCAGAGTAGTCAACAACGTGCTTACGGCGACGCGTTCACTCCCTAAATCATCGGCCTCACTGCTTTGCTGTTATGACCACGTATGTCCAGGGAGGACAGCTGACGCTACGAAATCTTCGTCTACTTATTAATAATCTCGCCAGGAGATTTTCTTCTTCTCCATCTGCATTGCTACCTTGCTCACTTAACCCAGCAAATCTTTCTCGGTATCCATATTTTTAACCTTTCATTATGGCACCACCGTCGAGAGGCCATGGGGGTGGATCATCTTCAAACCTCGCCACTTGGCAGGACATTGCCCAAATGATCACCGACAGGCGCTGCATAGGCTGCAAGTCTAGACTGGCTACTGAAGACAGTGTGACTATAATGTTTAGACGCTGGTTGGCGAGAGAATGTGAGTCTGCAACCTGCACACAATCGTCGAAGGATACTAACTTGACACCAGCACTCCCTACCTCCTATATGACGTGCTCGAAATGCCACAAGCAATCTGCTTGTGTTGGATGTGGCTCAGCAAACACTGGAAAGCAGTCCCACACTCGAACTTCCGCACAGGGAATGAATGTTACCTGGTGCTGTGATCTTGGAAAGTTATTCATCATCTGGGCGCTTCTGTGCGGCCTCGATCAGGAGTACGCCTGGGATTCTCAACGCGCCGCATCCCTGGCAGCACGACGCCGACCAGGTTACAATAGGGGCACAGGTGTAGGGTACGGTGGCACTGGCGGCTCCCCTATCGGCATTCATGGTCTGCGTCTGCGCCCTGACCCGTCCCGACAGCAAGCCGAAGTCGGCAAATACCAGGCGAAAGTCACGGAGAGCAATTGGGACCGCGGTACCGAAAAGGTGTTTGGTCTGATGGCCGTCTTGTTGCCATCCAAGGATCGCAAGACTGACTTCGACACCAACCCCCCGGCAGGCCTGGTCTCGATGCTTAGGAACAGTATGATTCTAGACAAGTTTGCGGAGCTGATCCGGAACGACAGTCTTCAGGATGCCTCAACGCGGCGGGGGATCTACCAGGCTATGCTCGACTGCATTCGAGTCCTGTGCAACCATAATGCCCTTGCAGGCAAGACACTCTTCGCCGAGCGTATTTCGAAGGATGGAGATGTCAATCTGATGACGCTCTCCTTTGGTGGTCACGGAAACACTAAGAAGGAGACGAGTTCTAGCATCGCGGACTGCCTACAGAAGCTCAGCATCCAGAGCAATATGATGCTAAACGGCGCAAAGAACAACCGCCAGGATTTCAACAGCGAAGAGGGTCAACAAATGCTCTGGCTCTGCAGGCAAATCTCCGACCTCTCAGCCTTCCTAACAACCCACCCGAATGCCCCCAAGAACCCGTCTTCCACATCAAAGACCCGCTCCCCAGAACTAACGAACATGAGCGAAGTCGACGACGCCGAGATCATAAGCACCCACGCCTTCGGCCAACTGGCCACCCAGCTCTCCCACTCCCCACCAGGCCGCATCAAAAGCATCATCACCGACATCACGACCCTCAAAACCAGCCTGCCCCCGGGCATCTTCGTGCGCCACGGCTGCTCGCGCCTCGACGTGCTCAAATTCCTCATCGTCGGCCCGCGCGACACGCCCTACGAGCTGGGCCTCTTCGAATTCGACATGCTGCTGCCGGAGAACTACCCCAACACGAACCCGCTCGTCAACTTCCGCACGACCGGCGGCGGCACCGCCTCCTTCAACCCAAACCTGTACCCGGACGGCAAGGTCTGCCTCTCCCTGCTCGGCACCTTCGCCGGCGAGCCCTGGAACCCGCGCGAGTCCACCCTGCTGCAGGTCCTGATCAGCATCCAGGCCATGGTCTTCTGCGAGCAGCCCTTCTGCAACGAGCCCGCCCACGCCGCCGCCGCGGGGTCCCTGCAGAGCGCCGCGTACAATGCTAGCTTGCACGCGCTGACGCTGCAGTTCGGCGTCCTCGGCTGGCTGCGCGGCCTGTTCGACCCCTTGTGGACGGATGTCGTCGCTGCGCATTTCCGTGTGAGTGGGCCCGCGATTGCGAGTCTCGCGCGGCGCTGGGCGCAGCAGGGGCAGCAGCAGCAGCAGATGATGATGATGGGGTATGCGGGGCAGATGTATGGGGCGCAGCAGGCGTATGGCGGGGCGCAGGGGGGTGTGAGGAGGGTGGCGGAGGAGGTGGTGAGGGGGGTGGAGGGGCTGAAGGGGTGTGGGGGAAGGATTGTGGCGAGGGGCGCTGTGATGAGTGTGTATCAGGGGCGGTTTGGGCAGTTGAAGGAGTCGCCGAGTGCGCAGATGATGGCGATTGTGGCGAGTATGGCGGGGGGGAGGGGTGGGTATGGCGGGTATGGTGGCGGGATGAGAGGAGGGTTTGGGAGGGGGAGTGGTGGATACTCGGGTTTGTAGGGGTATTGGGAATGTGAGGGGGGTGGCGAGGGCTGTGGGAGATGTTGAGGGGATGGACTTGTCTGTATGTTGGTTTGGGTTTGTACTTAACATCTGTAGGATTACATAGATAATCTCCTTACTGGTATCAATGATAACTCTTTATGTAGTAAACAAGCTTAGCTCTAGACGCGACGGTGGCCTTAATCTAGGTACGTTGGCCCTAGAAGCTCTGTGATTAGAAACTGGCAAAGTCCTTATCCTTACGCTATGTGTCGTCCATAGACATCAGCTGAGAAAACGTGCATTGATTGATGAGATAGTAAATGTCGATTTCAAGACATCGAAACAGAAATTGAGAAGTCGACTCGCGCAGGAAATAAAGCAAGGGGTATAGACAGTAGCAGTTAATGCTTTATTCATTACGTAGAGTAATTACAAGAGCTTATAGCCAGCCCAAGCGGATATATAGACATGAAAAGGTCTGGCAACTGCGCATCCATCATACAATCTCGGCTCGAAACAAAGTAGCTCATAATGTCATTATGTAGGGCGCATCTTTCATGAACACTCCTAGCTCATTCTCCAAATACACACTTTTGCACACAATTAATATTTTAAAGTCTTAGCGGTGGTGCTTTACGCGTAGTCATCCTTCACGCGCTTCTGGCTATCAGTGTCGAGGAAGCTGCCCCGGCTGCGCGTTGAGCGAGTTGACCGCTTGCGGCTGACAGTGCTGCTACGGTTGCCACTGCCACTGACGGCACCGCCGACGCAGAAGAGCACGGTGGCGATGAGGAAGCAGGCCATGGCGCCCCAGGTGAAGCCATAGGCCTTCTTGCCCAGGGAGGCACTGTGGCCGCCACGCCTGAATGCATTGCGTCCTTCAACGGTCCAGGCACTGTTGATGGTTAGACGTACTTCAATATTGAATGAGTAGGAGTGAAGGCTCACGTCATTAAGGCAGCAGCCAGGGTCTGGAAAAAAAGGGCAATAGAGACGGTCAGGCCAGAGAGATAGCCACCCAGCCTGCTGCAAAGGGCCAGTACACCGGTGCATAGGGCACATGCGGCGAAGAAAAGGGCGATGAGGTAGAAGGCGAACATGAAGCGGGATAGGTAATAGAACTTGTGGGTGCCGAGGAACTGGGCAGGCACATTCGTCGTGGTGCCAAAGTTGCGGGGCGGATCAAAGGGCAGCGCGGGCACGGGTTTGCCGCAGTTGGCATTGTGGCCCTTGGCATCGACGCCGCACACGGCGAAGAAGGTCCATCGCGAGGGATTGCGGGCGCCGGCGATGTTGGCGATGTTGCTGGCTTGCAGGAAGTAGATCTGGTTCTCGGGGCTGCCGTTGACGCCGCCGGAGAGGATGACGAGGAATTGGAAGAGGATGCCGCCAGCGAGGATGATGAGGGAGACGAGCCCGAGGATAGGGCCTGCGGCTGGATTAGGCCAACGGAATTTAGAGGAACGGTGATGGGTGGTACATACGGGATGCGGGTGCCATGGTGGTGGAATTAAGGGTGCTGTGGGTTAGTAGGGGCCAGGAACGCTGCGCAGCCAGAGATTGGTAGACGGGGAAAGAGGATGAAACGCTTAGGGATTGTGGGCGAGCGGGCCGTGTTTATGAAGGGGCTGGGTAGGTGACGTATCGATGTTTGTGTCCAGGCACACACAACCGTGACGGGCTCCAGACCAAGGTGCTTAGCGTATTGCCTGGGTAAATTCATGGCGTTACGTCACTGGGACCGCCTCACGCCTCGGTGAAGACTCCGGCACCCCCGTCACCGCCAGCGCGCCAGCGCGAAAGCGACCGTTGATATAGATAGGCACGTGATCGATTACCTGTTTTGGTGAGTCTTGGCACTTGCAAAAGTGTGGAAGCCAGAGGGGTTGTGAAACCTGAAGCCCCGCCTGTAAACCGCGTTCAAGGTTTCACAACCCCTCTGGCTTCCACGCTTTCGCAAGTGCCAAGACATGCCCAACTGAGCCGAGCTGCACGTGATTTTTCTGTCTTCGTCCAGACCCGCGACACGCGAGCATGTAGGATTACCACTTTTAGGAGAATGATACCACTTTCGGCTCCAGGACTACCACTTCAGTACTAGATCGACCACTCCAGCAGCAGTTCCTCAGTAGACACAGTAAAATAGACATCTGTCTGGCCAGCACTCTACGCCATGTCTGCTGCTGTCTGGCCCCCTATCTCGTCCGACCAGCTTGCCCTCCAAGTTTCCGCTGCCCAGGTATGCTTTGCCATTTACCATGCTCCTGATCCATCCTGACGCCCTTCACAGGACCGGGAGCTCGAATGGCTGCTAGTCCAGCTCCAGGACACCCTCCACTCCCTCAAAGCTGGGCTGGAAGAGTGCGCTGCCTTGCTCGCACCCAACGAGAACGGCTCAACCCTCGTCCTCACCTCGGTCCGCTCAGAGTCCCTCAAAGGCCTTGTGACACGTGTCGGGACCCGCATAGTGAAGGGTGTATGGCTACCTGACGCCCTCCCAGTTGCTTCACACTGACAAAGTCTATATAGAACATCAAACTCAAGCTGGCTAGTCTCCCGCCCCCTCGCGGCTCCTCGAGCTACGACCTCGCCATCTCAGCTGCGCCGCAAGCCCCGACCCTCGTCATCGAGCAATTGACGTCTGTCCGAACACTGATAAACGCGTGCTTGGACGTGATTGATGTGACTACATGGACCGGAGATGCAAAGAACGCAAACTTCATCTCGGGCCAGTTCCAACTGCTGTACGACAACATACAGGAAGCACGGCAAGCTCTCAAGGGATACTCTGATGTTCAGCGTCCGTGGACTGAGAAGCCGATAGATGAGCAGGTGTGTATATCATGGCTTTTGGTCGGGATCATTTGATGCTAATAGAGCGTTCAGATATTCGACCCTCCGCTACCCCGCAATGTCTCATTCCATCTATCCATATTTGACGCGGCCCTCCTTCTCGAAATACGTACCCTGGAGCTCTGTAACCCAGCCGAAGAATCACATTCTGGCTTTGACATCCGTGGCAGGCTTGCGATGGCCTTGGGTGGAACCCGGCCGCCCATACACGATGAAGTGGACCGAGTTTTCAGCTATAGAGACCAGGAGGTTCGCGTCAAAGAGAAGATCCGAGTTGAGAGCCAGGACCCAGCCTTGATATCAGCCATGGCCAAGCTCAATGCTCTTGAGCATAGCGTTGGTCTGAGCCGCAAAGCTCTCAATATTGTCATGGGCAAAGAGGAGTAGCTTCAGCCTCGAAGCTGGGACCCCCGGGGAATCGATTTGAACCATTTGCAAGCCCGCCCAGTCGTTTCGACGAATGCACACACACATTTGTTTGAGTGCCCTCGGAATTTATTTCCACCTGGACACGCTGGACAAGCTTTTCCTCGGAGACGTTGAAACCTTAGACCAGGCCCCAAAACGGCTAGACTCTGATGACCGATACGCCGATAAAGGAACGCCACCATTGATCGCGCCATTGACCCTGCAAAAAAGCTCCCAGGTCACCCACTGCATCTCCGCCCTCCGATCTGGCACCGATCTAGACATCTTTTATCTGTATAGTCTCTCGTCACTCTTTTCCTTGCCCATTATTACCCTCTTTTACCGGCTGGGACCACGACAGCACAGTCCAACACTGCCTCCACCCAAAATCGCCCGCATTTGCATGGCTTCCGCACTCCTTACTGCCGTCGACTCAACCTCGCATATACACCTCATAGTCGGATCTAATCCTCTGGCCGGAGCGCGATGCACGCGCTCAATTGAGGTTGGCGCGAAACCCGTTCTCGTCGCGCCCGAAGATGCTTCTCTTCACTATGGCTTGATAAAGCGGATAGAGGAAGGCGAGGCTGAGTGGATGAAGAGGGCGTTCAGAGACAACGATTTGACAACTCTCGGTCGGGACGAGGTAGATCGTGTCGTGGACGCTGTCTTCGTGACATTGGGGGGCAAGAACCCACTGAGTACGTACCTATACCCTAAGTAACAGCAGCAGGCTATCTAACTTCGCAAAGGCGCACACATTTCCAACCTATGCAGGCGACTACGCATTCCCGTAAACGTGGCCGACGCGCCTAACCTCTGCACCTTCACACTCCTCTCTACTCACTCCGACGGGCCCCTCCAAATCGGCGTCACAACCTCTGGCAAGGGCTGCAAGCTCTCTGCTCGCATCCGCCGCGAGATTGCCTCTTCGCTCCCTTCACACCTAGGCGCCGCCGTGGAGCGCCTGGGCACAATACGCCGCCGGATATGGGAAGAAGACCACGCGGCAGAGCTGTCCATGGACCTAGAAGCGGAGGAAGAAGACGGCGGGCAGTCATCCTCTTTCAACAAACTCATAACCCCCGAAGACATCGAGGCCGCCAAAACCCGGCGCATGCGCTGGCTCGCCCAGATCTGCGAGTACTGGCCCCTCCGCCGCCTCGCCGCGATCACAGACGCAGATGTCGAAACGGCGTTGCGCAGCTACTCCACCTCTTCCACCTCCGGAATATCCACCACAGCTATAGACAATAGAAAGAGGCGCGGCCGAATCATCCTCGCAGGTTCCGGCCCCGGCCACCCCGACCTCCTCACCCGCGCAACCCACAAAGCCATCCTCGCCGCCGATCTCATCCTCGCCGACAAACTCGTCCCCGCCCCCGTCCTCGACCTCGTCCCGCGGCGCACCACCGTCTACATCGCGCGCAAGTTCCCCGGCAACGCCGAGCGCGCACAGGAAGAGCTCCTCGCTATGGGGCTCGAGGGCCTGCAAGCCGGCAAGAACGTCGTGCGGCTCAAGCAAGGCGACCCCTACATTTACGGCCGCGGCGGCGAGGAGTTCGACTTCTTCCGCGCCCACGGCTGGGCGCCGACGGTGCTGCCCGGCATCACGAGCGCGCTGAGCGCGCCGTTGTTCGCCGCCATCCCCGCGACGCACCGCGCGGTCGCGGACCAGGTGCTTATCTGCACGGGCACGGGGCGGAAAGGCGCGGCGCCAGACCCACCGGCGTATGTGGAGTCGCGGACGACGGTGTTCCTGATGGCGCTGCATCGGCTGGCGGCGCTGGTGGAGAGCTTGGTGGACGATGACAGGGAGAAGGGGTGGCCGCGGAGCACGCCATGCGCGGTGCTGGAGCGGGCGAGCTGTCCGGATCAGAGAGTCATCAGGACGACGCTGGAGTTTGTGTGTGCAGCCGTGGAGGAGGAGGGCAGTCGGCCGCCGGGGTTGCTGGTTGTGGGCAAGGCGTGTGGGGTGCTGTGGAGTGGGAGCCAGAGGTGGGTTGTGGAGGAAGGGTTTAAGGGGCTGGATGATGTGGAGGATGGGATTGGGGAGTTGATGAGTGAGTTGGAGATTGGAGAGGGCGTAAGGCAGGGGTAGGTAGATAGGGGGAATTTCGATACCACCAGATATGTAAATATATGGATTACTTCAAGCACGCTGGTTGTCATTGTTAAAACATATGTGGCGTGGTAGAGGCCCATAGGATGTGTGTACGAGACAAGCCAGCCAGTGAGAAATCCCCTGTGATATATTATTGTATTTTACTGCGCAGAACCTTTCGGAATCGATATATTGGGTGTTATAGGGAGGGAATGCCGGTGACGGAATCGGCGGCAAGATCGGCCCAGAGATCGGCCCGATATATCACGTGCTCTTTTCACTAACCTACGTTAACTCAACTCTAATTCAACATCATTCACGCTAACTAGAAACCTTTTGAATAAATATTGTGCATGACGAGCCTGCCATTCGGTTGTTCCTCCGGGATCAGACCTAGAAAAAACCCATCTCCTTTTAGAAGGGCGTGCGGCAGTGTCTAAGCCACTTGCCACATTTTGATCTTCGCCCCTCATCAGCATCGCCCTCCCTGCCACTCGCGGTCGACCAACACCCTAGCAATCGTACACTCTCTGCTACTTGCGTAGAGAAAGGTTAAGTTGTTCAAGGAGCTATTCACGTTCCTCATCTCAATCATGGAGTCGGTTTCACTGAAGCCTGAGGCAAGGCTGTTGGCTCCTAAGTCTCCCTTATCAAACACTAGACCAGACGTCCTTTGGGCGCGGGACAGAGTTGAACGCAACACGAACGAATCGGGCCTGGTATTAGGCAAGAGATCTCGATCAACGCTGTCAGAAACCCCAACTGGCATTCCTTCCGGCCAGAGAAGTGTGGAAGACATCGAACTGGAGAACGCAACGCTGCGCACCTTGGTGGACACGCAGTCCCGTAGGCTGCATATGTGGGAAGTGACATCGCAGAGCCAGTCGATACCTCCAGAGTCTCTCCAGCCTCCAGACATGACGGGCACATTGAACGCTCGCGGCCAAAGTACCCCTTCGTCTTTGCCAAAGAATAGGTCGAGGTTCGTCGAGTTATTATCAAAGCGGGCTAGTCATTCAAGAAGACCACGATCTGGTCTTCAAAATCGCAACCCGTCGACAGTCTCTACCTTAGCGACGCATTTCGAGCAGCTAAGCCGGGAATTTGAGACAGAGCGTATTCGCGAGAGGCACTCGCGAATCCAGAAGAGACGTCAGAGAGTGAGGATTAGTGAGGTCATATCTCCCAGCGATAGCGACGTTGAAAAACACGGGAATTCCAAATCCCTTTACAGCTTTGAACCTGTATCACTACCTCCGAGCCCAGAACCTCAACATGGGGGTTTGAGTCCACTAAAGAAGAACGACCGATTTGACATCCCGCCGGAGCGGACCCTCCTCAACATCGACTTGCTCATCCAGAACGCCACCAACAACGACGAGATCCAGGAGCTCAAGCAGCAGAAACGCCTCCTCCGGAATAGATAGGCCGCGTACGTCCCTCCTCTTGGACTTTAGTCCTCTAGCTTTGATCATTTAGGCCATCATGCCACTTGGATTTCTCACGCCCCCTGCTGACCTCTGTGTAGTCTCGACTCGCTGCAACGAAAGAAGAAGCACGCCGAAGAGCTCGAAGAAGAGACCCACAAAGATGCGTGCAAGCCTCCAACGTTTTTCACAACATACACAATATCTCGGGACATGACTACTGAAGCACATATGCTCCACAAAGGTCTACTACTTGCAGTCGCCGATTCTCCTACCTTAGACACCGTCAAATGTCAGCATTGTCACCGCCCCGTTCTCCGCACCGTCTCCGTCGACCACATTCGCGATTGTTTACACAAGAAGCAAAAGAAGCTTAGCAGAGACAAAGACGACCAAGGCTCAACAATACCTACGTTTTCCCTCTCTTTGCTCTCAGATCGTATTCTGGATGAAGTACACGCGAGGATGCAGGGGCAAAGACACTGACATTCGAGGTAAATTCAAAGACTCAACGATACCTACGTCTTCCCCCTCTTTACTTTCAGATCGTATTCTCGCCATGGACCACGACAGTCCGATCGACGTTAATCCCGAAACCCCATGGGCAATGCGGGAACAGAGGAGGTTGATGGGTGGCCGGGTGGGATTATTGGATCGCGAACGCTCCATAGGCAGTAATTTGTCCGGCTAGGTTCAGCTTCACGTTGATCGAATTGAATGGTAACTACAACGAGAAGGCAGAATTGATTTTTGTATCCGAAGAATAGACCTTTTGAATTTACGTCGAATGTCAGTGTCTATGCCCCTGCATCCTCGCGTATTCTTCATCCTTATGCCCCTGCGCTTTATTGATGTACTCCTCGAACTCGTTCGTGACGTCGATAGCCTGTTCAAAGTGCTTATACGCAAGTCTCTCCTTCTTGTACAGCGCCAGCTGCCTGGCAGTGTTGACAGTGTTTCTGATCTGTCTCCCATTGAGCTCGGAGCGCGCTAACAGCTCAAGCTTATCTCCGATCTCCTCATCATCTACGTTCTCGCCATCTCGCACCATAGATTTCAGAAAATCTCTCCATATTTGCCAGCGTCCGTTCAGATCTAGTGGCGGGTAATGCATCGCTAGTTGCACTCTTGACTTGAACGCCTCGTCAAAAGTCCCAACGCGGTTGGATGTCAGGATCAAAATACCGTCGTAGTACTCCAGTACTCGAAGAAACACCGAAACTAGTGCATTCCGTTGGAGGTCAGTCGGGACCCTCTCCTCCAGAAAAACGTCAGCTTCGTCAAGAAGGACTACACATCCCCAAATCGTCCCAATATAGAGAACGGACTCGAGGTATTTCTCCACGCCTTCAGGATCAGTGCCGATGTCGCCGCAGGTAACTCTGTAGAGAGGCTTTTCCGCGAGCTCCGCCACGCTCTCGGCGGTCAATGTCTTTCCCGTTCCCGGTCCACCATGGAGCATGATTATCAACCCCTTCCCTTTTCCCTCGATGATGTCGCTTCGGTACGAGTTGTTGACGGCAATGTGTACGGTTATGAGGGCCTTTATGAGCTCCTTTTTCTGGCTTTTCAAGACTAGGCGGCGTTCGAAGGCATCACTGCCCCAGACTACTTCGCGAATGTGCTCTAAAGAAAGCATGTCTGCAATCGTCAGCAATCGGAACCACTTTGGTGCTTGATCATGGAATTTACATACTCCACTTCTTATCATGAAATCCATAGCCACGGATGGTTGCCGGGAGAAGGAGAACGAACGGGTCGTCTGGCGGAGATTCCAGATCAGTAGCATCGAGGTCTGTATCATCGTTCTGCGGAGCCTGAGGTGCATCAGGATGCAATTGCTTGTAAGTGGCGATATCTATCATGTATCGTGGATTGCCCTAACCAGATTAAATTCCATTCCCATCGTCAGAAGGATTGGGGTGCTTACTGTCTGCAACTCCAAAGGCGAACTCGAAGATTCATAGCTAACGAACTTGCGTTTCCGACAATCCCAGAACAATTTACCTCGCTTCCGTAATCGCTGCTCCAATCCAGATGTATCAAATCGCAGCGGATACACGGGTAGTCTAGATATCGGAATCTGGTCGTCATACGATGGCCAAGTGATCTTGCGCGTGGTAACCTTTCTTCGGAAGACGCCGTCATACTGCCAATTCCAGCAGGTGATAAGAAGTTCGAAGTCATGATTCTGCACGCAAGATGAAGTAACATATGCTACCGGCTCTGTGCTCTGAGGGTCGACTACGACTTCGTCTGGTGGAAATAGCTTCAGAAAATGTCGTCTCTCTACCAATCCCTGGGCAAAAAGTGCATCTGCAGCTTCGTAATCGTCTGCGCAAGACTTCAGAACGTAGTGCAGAAGCGAACTTAGGTTATCCTGATGCAACTCGCTCAAAACACCAGAGCGGCCGGTAGCGTGGTCATCCAGGAGTGATCGCGCATGATAGAATCCCGTGTATGGAGCTTCGAAGCTAAGGTGCTGTAAACGGCTGAGATTGATCTTTCCTACTATTTCAAGCGATTTCTTGAGTGATGTAGAGAGTTTGTCAATGTACTCCCAATTGGGTGTAGCTTCGTCACCGTTTTCAGGCAAGGAGAAGAAGTGAGCCTTCAGACCTGTCAACACTTCTCGTTTGATCTGCGGCAGCGGAAGCGGAATGAAGTCGTCTTTAACGTTTTCGTGGTATGCTCTGCAATCGTAGTTTTTGTATACCACAAAATTGACGCCACGTTCTTCCAGCATGTCGGGATGGAGTTCGTCTTCATCGATCGGTACCTGGCCGCGAAGGACGCTTGCTTTGCTGTCGCCTTCAAATAGTTGTGGAATATCCAAGTACGTGGCCTCCATGTCATGATCTCTGTGATTACCTTCGGCGTCGCATTTAACCATATGGACGACTAGATATGGTGGAGACTCTGTCGGAGAAGCCACGTCCTCATCGATTGCGCTACGGGCACGCTTTGTAGTCCTTTCGTCTGTTCTTTGGCCATGCTCAAGAACGTCGTTTGTGTCAAAACTGATGTCGTTGGAGTCTCCTCGACGCCTTTTCCCGGCTTGCAAGGTGTCTTGCTCAGCCATTTGAAAGGAAACCTTTGATCTTAGAAATCACACAGCACTCGAGGGCCGAAGTATAGCTGTGGTTATGAATGTCAAAAGATTTAGGCTGTCTTTTCATGAAAGGGAGGCTGAGGCTCCGTCCTGCTGGCCTGGATATGTAGGCGCTCAGCTCACCGGGTGGGGGCTGTGCTTCTTGCAAGGATCAAACGCCACTCTTCTGCGGCGATCGAACCTTGGAAGACTGAAATCAGCCTCGTTGAACAACACGCACAGCACAGCCTCGACCGTCAGGACTCGAAACTATCCTGCGATGTCGACCCTTCGCCTCCACCATTCTGCACGGCCGTCAAGCACATGTTGTACATGTAGTGCTCGTACACACTTCCAAGGCACAGCTCGAGTCTACCGTCGCCATGCCCATTCCCGATGACGAGGGCGACGGCATTTTTACACTTACGAACCGGAGCGCGATAAGATCGTGGTACAGGCCAGACTCAGATACCCAGTACGTGCACCTTATTACCTAGAAGGCATTCGCGACTGAGACATGGTAGGCCGAAGGACATAGCGCAGGAAGCATACGAAGATGCGAAGAAATTCGTGGAAACGGAGCTCCGACACAACGGGAAGGCGAAGGATATACTGCAAGGAATCACTAGCATGAAAGACGTGATAGACGTGGTAGAGAAAGCAAAGGAGCGGTACGAAAAGGACACAGCCGAAAATACTGTCGTCTTGGGATGGCTGGACAAGTTCTCTGGGACGATCTTGTACTACAGCAACGTTTTGGATTGTTTGGCCCAGCATCATCCGGAATACCTGTGTTTGGCGTGGGGATCTGTCAAATTTGTCCTTCAGGTAAGCTTGGTTAGGCCAGAAGAAAGGGTGTATTCAACTCTGCCTAACAATAGTTCCACAGGGCATCCTGAACTATAGCGAGTTGGTTGTGGAGTTTGCGAAAGCTCTCGCCAGTATTGGCGAAGCATTACGGCAGACAAAGCTGAGCGCAGAGTTGTTTAAGACGGATAACATGCAAGGGGCGCTAACGCGTCTATACGCTCATATTATCCTGTTCTTGCAGCAGGCTGTGGAATGGTACAACAAGGGACGTGCTGCGCGTGCCTTCTCGGCGGTCTTCAAGCCTTACAAGCTCAAGTATCAGGACACGGTCGAGCAAATCAGGCTCTGTGCAGGAACGGTCAACGATATCGCCAGTGCCGCCAGCCGAGCCGAAGTCCGGGATATCCACATCATTCTGCAATTGATGCGAGGAGAGATAAAACGGAGGGATGAAAAGCTGCAAACAATGCAACTGGAGCTTAAAGAAAGACAAGCTAGAGTGGAGGAGTCGGTGTCAAATGTGCTCCAAGTCGCGACCAGTAAGTGGTGGTATCGATGACGGAAGAGACCACACTAACTGGAAAACTAGGTCACAAGACCATCACTGAAAGCATTCATCTCGATGTACTCGACATCAAGCCTCGGATTTACGAGATCGAATTCTCTCAGATATTATCGGTCCTCAAACCCAGGACGTGTCCCGACGAAATGCTTTATAAAGTGCTATCCATATCCAGTCGATCGCAGTCTCAAATGATGCAGCCCAAAGAACTTATGAGTCTGCTAAACGCCCTCGGAAGTTGGATATCTGTCGAAGGGTCTTCGCTTTTCCTGGTGAAAGTTGGTCCTCGTGCTGGGGCCAAAGCAAAAGAGTTCGCCGCAGATGTCATCAAACTCCTCCGGGAAAGGTCCCTCCATGTTGTCTGGAATATTTCCCCTCTAGTTCCCGGGAGCGGTCTCCCTTCTTTAGCAGAAGTGCTTCGAGGTCTAGTCTTTCAATTGTTGAGACAGAACTCCACGCTTCTTCACAATCATCTTCAAGAACTAAACTTTGCGAAATTTGCAGCAGACCATACAGACGCAGAGTGGGAAGATATGCTGCAAAAAGTGTTCTCTAGGCTGTCGAATTACTTTGTTGTTGTAGAAGCACAGGATCTCTTCGCAGCAAATAAAGAAGACGAAACGTGGGCAACGTCGTTCCTTCAGATGTTCCAAGGGTTTGTAGATCATGTTGCAAAGACAGGCAATTCGCTGAAGGTCCTGGTTGTGGGATATGATACCACGTACTCCCTGCTCCGAGATTCCGAATGTAAGAATCGAATCTCTTCGGTTATCCAGCGGCCTGCTGTCACACCGGTGCGCTCAAGGCGCCTTCGAAATTGGACAAAGAGAAATCATGGCTGGCAGCGTCTACAGGCAAAGTTTTAATAACTTATTCTTAGTATACAATTCTTGGACAAGAACCTTTTGGCATATGAGCGCTGCACCTTTCGTTGCTTCTTCGATGTATTTTATAATACCCCAAAGCTCTCTCCTTTCGTGTCATACGAAGGCTCTATGGTGATCCATATGGCATTCCACATAGCATATGATATCGTCTTGCCCTCTTATATTGAAACTCTAATAGTACCTCGACACGGAAAAAGTAGTTGTCTAGATTACAAACGAGTCGTTGCATTCATTTCGGATCAAGCGAGAGAGATGTCTGATTGCGTCTCTTGGCCAGTGTCGAACTATCAACAGCAAGAAGTCGGCATTTATAGCGGGCTCCGTCTCCAGTAGTCATATCTTGTGATATTGTATACTTGTTGAACAACCCGCGTGGCTTCGAGACTAGTAATAGAAGCCCTCGGGTTTCCTCATCCCAGTTCGCCCAATTGATATCTCTGTCTCCGGGAACCGGGGATCGCAAGGGAGAGTTTGAGCTTTGGTCGGAGTATGATTCGTTGGAATCGGAGTATTCCTGGGCGAACAAATAACCTTCGGGGTCTCTCACGGTGCACTTTTTCTTGGTCTTTTTCTTAATCTTGGAGCCCTCATCGCCGAGAACGACAGTGTCTGCTTCGCTCGAGCTTTTTTCTGTGACTATCCCTGCTGGCGCTTTTCTCTTCGCTGCATGTTTAGCTGCGGAGAGGGCTTTGTGAACTGGGTGAGAGACCTCAAAGTCACTGGCATTCACCGGAGGCGATGCAGATAGCGGGGGGAGATTCTTCGGTTTCGTGGCCGGGGCAACAGCGGGTCGGGACTTGACTATTTTCTCCTGTGATGAACCGCCTTTCACGGTAGTTTTGGCTTTCTGTCGAGGAGTCAAATCGGAGGAGTCCTCAGTTGCCTTTGGTTGAGGGTCCGGCGTCTCGCCTTCCCGTGCTATCTCCTCCGCTCTTGACCGTGCCCACTGCTCCTGGTCCCATTTTTTCCTAACTTCTAGGGTTCCCTTTGACTTCAAGCTCTGCAGTTCGTGCATCGGCACTGGTATGGGTAGGTCGCGAGCACTATATTAGGCCGTACTAATGGGGTCTAAAGCGGTTGTGAAATAACCTGGCGGTTGATCACATCGAGCGCACTCTTCCACCCTCAAGCTCCCATGAGCACATGGGACATCTGTTCACTCCATTTTCTTCATCGTGCTGTTTCCGCATCGGTGCCTTTGCAGGCAGGTCGCTAGCCTGGTTATGGTAGAGCGTGCCAACACCTCCTGGAGTGGGCGTGTAGTACCCGGGCGGCTGGTTTGCAAAAGAGTTGAAGGAGAAGCTGTTTGGGTCGAGCAGCGACGGGCTGAAGCGCCATGAATCGTGGGATCCCCGAGGAGTCGGGTCCTTGATATCTTCGTCATTGTCATGCGGTTTGATACTTGCAGGACGAGAGGGTAGAATATCCTCGTCGACATGCACGGTTTGCGCATGACGACAGAGGCTATCGAGTCGTGAGAAGCGGCGGCCACAGTGGCACTGGAATGGCCTCTCGCTAGTATGTTTCCTATGAGACATTAGCAAAATGCCAGATTTATCACTCGGGCCAACTGTGTGCTGTACTGTATATGCCTAGCCAAATGTTCGCTCCTTGTGAACGACAGATTACAAGGAGGGAAATCCGTGCAGTAGAAGCGTGGATTTCCCTTCATGTCCCCAGGACGCGCCTGCGCCTCTCTGATGCTCTCATTGATGCACTTGACTGCATCTTCAGCTGCCTTTGATGGAGAGTCGTATTCCTCGGCGTCCTGGGTTCTCTGCTTCAACGTTGCCTGCATTTTGCGCAAGGCTTCCATTAGCTCCGGGGGCACATTTTTTCCGGCATTCCGACGCTGGTCTATCAACTCAATGAGTTTCGTCGTCTCATCATGGTTCTCGACGTGTTTCAAAAGATCCGGCATGAACTTCGTGCCTTGTGCGGGCTGGGAGCTCGAGGTAGGTTCTGCATATGAAGCTGCAGTTGACTCATAGTCTGGCCATCCGGAGGCTGCTGTCCTGGCTGGCTCCGGAATGACGTTGAGGGAGTTGTCTCCGGCCCGATACTCCATTCTTGCCATGCCCAGGACGGGATATGGTATACTGGCGCGGCATCCAAACGGGATCTCTTCCCCAGCACCTGCAGTAAACTGGCCTTCTGCGGCCCACCATCTGCATGCTTGTCCCGAGCCCAAAGGACACTCGGATTGTCTTTGGCAGAGCGGGGTCTTAGAGCCGCCAGCCTTGCTTTGGGTGGCTCTGCAACGGACTCAATTTCGAGTCACTGAAGTTCTATCCGCAGTGAAAGAGGGAAATACGTGATACTTCGAAGCTGGTATGTAAGAGTTGTTGAGTGTTCGAGTGATAATGGCAATGGGTTGCAGAGAGATGCGACGACGTCGATGTGGCTGAGCTGGGGCTGGGCCGGGATGGCTGACGCTATTCTGAAATCAGACTAGATTTTCAATATCCTGGTTAACGTATTCCACAAGCGAGCCGTCCACCCAAGCGAGCCGTCCACTTCATCACAAAAACGCGACGCGTCAACTTCCAACCACCATGCGTCGACAACACAACGTGCAATCAATACAAAATGAAGGTCGAATATGCATGGCTATCGCAGCAATCAATCAGCAGCAATTTAAAAGCGAACGGCGCGCTATTACGACATATAACGTACCCAGAAGCACACTTCGAGATCGACGCGCTGGAACGACCCCACGACGCGATTCTGAGCCTAATTCGAAGAAGCTTTCCAAGCTGGAGGAATCAGTTGTTGTTCAACATATACTCGACCTGGATTCGCGAGGATTTCCGCCTAACCTGCATGCTGTACGAGAGATGGCCAACAAATTGCTCGCCGAGCGCGCCGCCGGCCACGTTGGCAAGAACTGGCCAGAGAACTTTGTTAAGCAAACACCTAAGCTTAAAACATAATTTAATTAAAAGTATAATTATTAGAGAGCTTTATATAAGGATCTAAAGGTAATTAGTAATTAGTTTAAGCTTATACGCAATATAAAAGCAAAGTATAGTATTCTAGATAAAAATATATATAACTTTAATAAAGCTAGCTTCTAAATAGGTGTTATTTTAACTAGTATAGTTATAATAGGCTTTAAGCGGTGTAATTATCTAAAATTAATATAGCCAGGTAATTATAAATAGATAATAATAATTTAAGAAGTTAATACTTATAAATAAGCTATCCCGCTATTTATTATTTTTTTAGGTAAGTACTACCTTTCTATATAGTATAAAAGTAATAATATACTACTAAACTAGGTTATAGTAGTAAGTAATAATAGCTAGATAATAAATAAGCTTAGTATTACCTAGCTATAGTATTTTAATAAGTATATAAAGGATTATACTATAGGTATATATTAGCTACTAATTATTAATAGCTATAAAAGCTACTATTTACTTAAATTTAAAAAAATTTATAAGGAAAATAATATTATTACTTTCTATATACTAGTATATTTATTATACTTACTATAGCTGCTTAATATTAGCTACTTTATACTATTAAAAAAGGTATACAGGCGCTAAATTAAGGACTTAATATACTACTATATTAACTATATTATAAAACTAAAGTTTTTACTAGTATTTAAAGCAGCCTTTTATAATTTAATTATAAAGAATAATATTTATATAGGCTTTTAAAGTGCAGGCCTTATATTACTTAATCTAGAAGTAGTACTTTTAAAGCTTAATATTTAGCTTTATATACTATTACCTTCTGCTATAGTAAAGGCTTAATAGAAATTAAAAATACTAAGCAACGCTTATAAGCTAGGCTTTTAATTAGCTTTAATTTATAATTATATTTAAAAGTATTAAAATAGCTCGCCTATAGTAATTTTTAATACGCTTAGCAGCCTTTTTAAAGGTGCTATAATAATAATATATTAAGCTATACTACTATATAATATAGTTACTAGCCTTTAAAAGGTAAATAAAGCTACTATAAAGTATAAAGCGCGCAAAAAAAAGTGGATTTAAAAAGAAAAAACTTTAATAATAGAAGCAGGCTTTTAAATAGCTATTTAAAAGCTTAATAAAAACGCCTAAAGTAAAAAGTAGTAAGGCAGAGCAGATTTTAGTAAAAGCGCGCAGCGCTATAAACGCTGCAGTAAGCTAGGGTATAATATTTATATATATAAAAATAATATAGAGGTTACTATAGATTAGGCTATAAGTTATATATAGTTAATATCTATTAGTATTATAGAGCAATTAACGTTTAAGGCCGGTTTTTATAATAAAGTAGACGGCTTACTTAGGTAGACGGCTCGCTTATAGAATACGTTAATAGAAGGAAAGAAAAATAAAATATCTTCGTTTACGTAACGTATTCTATAAGCAAGCCGTTTACCTAAGTAAGCTGTCTACTTTATTATAAAAACCGGCCTTAAACGTTAATTACTTTATAACGCTAATAAATATTAACTATATATAACTTATAGCCTAATTTATAGCAACCTTTATATTATTTTTACACGTATAAATATTATACCCTAGCTTACTGCAGCGTTTATAGCACCGCGCGCTTTTGCTAAAATCTACTCTATTTTACTACTTTTTATTTTAGGCGTTTTTATTAAGCCTTTAAATAGCTATTTAAAAGCCTGCTTCTATTATTAAAGTTTCTTTTTTTTAGATCCGCTTTTTTTTGCGCGCCTTGCGCTTTATAGCGGCTTTATTTACCTTTTAAAGGCTAGCAACTATATTATATAGTAGTATAGCTTAATATATTATTATTATAGTATTTTTAAAAAGGCTGCTAAGCGTATTAAGAATTACTATAGGCGAGCTATTTTAATACTTTTAAATATAATTATAAATTAAAGCTAATTAAAAGCCTAGCTTATAAGTATTACTTAGTATTTTTAATTCCTATTAAGCTTCTACTATAGTAGAAGGCAATAGTATATAAAGCTAAATATTAAGCTTTAAAAATACTACTTCTAAATTAAGTAATATAAGGCCTGCACCTTAAAAGCCTATATAAATATTACTTTTTATAATTAAGTTATAATATAGTCGGCAAGCTAGTAGGCCATGCAAGCTAGTAGGCCACCCAATTATTAGTGCGATTTAGACCTTTTAGCACCCTAGCAATCTTAACAATTATAGAATATTCCAGGTTATAACTTAGGATAATAATATCCGTGGTTATTTTAATATTATCTGTTAATTTTTTAGATCTCTTAATAGCCCTGTTTAGCCGCAGTAAAATGTTGCCTAGTTTTAGCCCCTAAAATCAAGTAATACCTACAATATAATAGGATTACGCTGCTATACTGCTCTAAACATTCTCTTAGCTATTAAAATAAGCTAGATAGTATATGCAATCTTAAAGCTATACTTTATATCTCGTAGTTGTTGAGATTGCTAGGGTGCTAAAAGGTCTAAATCGCACCAAAAATTGGGTGGCCCACTAGCTTGCATGGCCCACTAGCTTGCCGACTACGTTAAAAGGCTGCTTTAAATATTAGTAAAAACTTTAGCTTTATAATATAGTTAAAAAGGAACACCAAAATCGTGATTCGACCCGTATTGTCGTACGGGCGTTCCTTTCCGTCTCGTTCGAACCGCAAGGCCCGTACGAGAGTGAGAATCACGTTCATTACTGGTGCAGCGGCGTTGCGTCGTGGCTAGAGGTCGTCTTTGGAAACGTCGTCCTCAACGCCGCCAGAATGGCAGAGTTTTCACGGGTCTTGGCGGCTTGCCACCACCAAACTCGATACCCACAGACAACAGGAAGACAAACAGAGGGCTATCGTCCATAACCATCCGACATCCTATTACCTAGGATACCAACCTAGGGCCACACCCAGTGCCTGCATCTGCTGGCAAAGCGATAGGTCTTTATTCTAATAGGATAATAGGACACCTCTGTACCGGCCACATTGGAAGCCCTTGTATCTGCAACCCGATAATACCGGAACCAGGAGGACCAGGGAAGTAAGAGCAAGGACAGTGGCGGTTTGGTTAGTGGACAACAAGGGGCAATAGCTGCGCGGCGTCGAGTTATTGTAGTGACCTTTTGTCTGCAAGACACGGTCGGCCTGTCGTCATAAGAACGTCACAGGTAACGCGAAGGGGCTGCCAGTGCCCGGGCTGGCGGCCGTGGGGCGTGGTATATAATGGCAGCGACAGTCAGCTCCAGGCCTTCACGGATGCCTGGTGGACTCGTAATGGGCGCTGGTGGAATGGGAAGTATGCAGAGTATGCATGCATTCTTCCTATTTTGGTCCTCTCGTGCACGGCTGTACAAGCTCCGGCTTATACAGTGCCTCTACATGGCGAGGACGTGGTAGGGAGTATGCGTGCATACTTCCCGTTTTACACGGCTGCGCGGGCTAGGCCTATACAGCACCTCTGCAGAAC